GAGTGATAGGGTGAGCGATTCCTAGAGGATTGGGGATGAATGGCAACCAACACCTAGGAAAGTTGAAAACGTCTGGGGAGTTTGATTTATCATAACTACTTTGCGCGTTTGGTATTTCTTTTGGTGGGGCCATGATGCTTTGCTAGGTTGTTTCTTCTGCTGAAAAGCAAAAGGCTGCTCTGTACTTCCTTTTAGTTGACAGGGGCAAATAAATGAGCGGTGGCAATGAGGCAAGGGCGTTGATACTCCGTGGCCTGACATGGAGGGCGATCCTCAGGGTATAAACTGCATAGTAATGAAGCAAATAAGTAATCAGGGGAGAATATACGATTCGCGGGATTCAGTATCCCCCTGATCGTCTGCATTTGGTTCTCGGCTCCAGATCGTCGTCCTACTGTAGATATTTGCTTGTGGCCCTTGGTCCTATAAATTATGGAACCGACGATTAAGCAACTTCGAGTGAGAACAATGGTAACAAACAGTAGCCACCTCGGCCCGCACCTTAGGTAAACGGTTCTTGGGCCAATGGCGAGATAGGTTGGGACAGGCTGGGTAAAAGACCGGACGGTTTTGAGTTCCTGCGACGGGACAAAGGGTTTTGACGATCCCAGAAGCGCTTGGCAGACTGTGAAACTATTCACAAGGAGTTGAGTTCTTAAAGTCTTCACACTCGCACCTCATATGGTGGCAACATAAGTCTAGCCTTCGGCAGTTGAACCTCTGGCCTGAGCGATCTGCTTGTGTTGGGCGATGCGGTAAGACTGCGGCACGGTAGCCGTTTACCATCCACCATCGTTGGCGGTTGAGTCCATGGCACTCTAGGATATCCGATACCCGCTTTCTAAATCGAGATGTTGTTGCGATGGTGGTTGGTTACACTGCTTGCGGCTGGGAGACTCTCGACTCGAGAGTCGAGTCGTGTGCCTCTCTGTCTGGGAAATGCCCCTTCCCTGAAGGCCGCTACATGGTGACAAGAAGCAATTAAATCGAAACGGTATTGTTGAGTCCATGACGCATATTATTGCCATCAGCATTGAATGATTGCTTGTTTGCGCCTTTCTTTTTCGATCTGCAAGGTGGTTTGTGTGGCATCGTAGCCGCGCATGCTCTCTCGTACTTGTACGGAGTAGTCATGTATTTGTAACTTTTCCCGGTCCAAATTTGGATCATCGACCACCCCCGACTAACCTCCACTTTAATATGCGCTGCAACTTTGCTTTCTGCATTTTATTGTTGGGGTGCATTGGCGAGGTTGTCATTATTATCGTCCTTTGAAGCGCTTGCAGGTCCTGCTCAGGGCTTGTCAACAACGAAAGGTCATCCGTACCTTACCTACGTACATCGAGTCTTTGATATCGCTTACAGTTGTGAGTACAGGGCAACAAGACCGAGGAATGAGCCCATTGTGTTCGATATCGGAGAAGCATGCCGCCACTATACGAAATCTACGGTACGAAGCATGATAGTTCGTCCGAGTGATCTGAAACATTGCCATGTGGCAATTGCAATAGTGGTGCACGTTCTATTATATCGTTCGTCGTTAGAATGCTGGACCTGGGAAGCCCACACCACAAAGAATGGACCAATTTTCCGGAAAAGAAGATCCACCAACCCGTCCATCGGAAGCCAAAGCATACAACCTTATATTTTTAACGAGGCGCATCTTGAAAAGCCGGTCTGATCTTCTCTCTTATGTCGAGTGATATTCATTAATTTTCGAAGCAGCCACCCGGCAGAATGAAGAGTTCTTTTTGGGGGATAGGCACACCATCCCCACGTTCCGGAAACAGGAAACTACGAGAAACGAACGAGTCGCGGAGATGGTTTCAGATTACGTGCGGAGAGATCGTTGATATCGCGCCGGAATCCATGGTTTATGTTCCTAGCAGACTACCATCTCCCATGCCAGCTTCCTTATATCGTATGATTTCGTATCAAAAAGAAAACCCGCTGGAACTAAAAGTCTAGAAGATCGGTAGAGGACAGCGCCACTGGCATCTTCAGATGGCTCGGGCCTCCGTCCAGGATGCCAGAGTGGTGGCGGTACTTCACCCACGCCCGGTTCCAAAGTCCAACCGATCTGATAACGCCATTCGAATGGGTCCCATGTGAAAAGAGAGGTTACTTTTCAACGGAGAGCCTTTCAGTTTGGCCCCGGAACCTCTCCCCGTGCAATCAGGGCCTATTGCGCCTGCTCCCTGGGCTTCTTAGGCCCGCATACCCCATGGCCATGGAGAAACGAAACAGGGGCTTTCTCAGAAACAATCCCTCCTGAGTTGAAATAGTTTGTACGCCAGTAGTTACTACTCCTGTGCTCCGCACTGCGAACTCCTGTACTTGCGCTACGTCCGGATTGTGGTCCGGACCCTACGCTGCCTAGTCGATCAATATTCGCGGATAGGTAGCTGAGTACAGAGACCTCCGGGAGCCTTGAAATTGGGAACGCCAGAACACGCGGCCTTGGTGCTGCAGAGGTAACGAGGCATTAAAGTTTATATGAGCCTACAGAGCATACCGCAGCTCGCCGGAATACGCAGATGGTGCGAGTGTGCCATCTGAGGGACGGGGACAGTTCCTGGTGCCGTATCCCGTGTCTTGGGGAGACTTGGTTGACGAAAGAGGCCCGAAAGTACCTCTACAGGCCGAAGAAGCTACCAATTCCTCAGTCGGACATCATTCAGGCTGCTTTGTTACCTGCATCAGCTGGCTGCCGGACAGGCCTGCGCCTCGTGTGGCTTGCTGGTTACCACAGAACGCAAGAAGTCTGCACGTAGTACAGTACGTATGAAGCATAACAATCAAGAAGAGAGCGGCAGCATTTTGCAAGCAAGCAAGCGATCGTGAAGATTTATTGCAAAGTCGAATTAATATATGAGTCGACGGCAGAGCAGGCCTTTATCCTTTCAGCATGCGACGTCGTTCGAGTGCTGCTGAACCTGAGCCTGAGCCTGAAGCTGATAGGACCTGAGAGCGAAAACAGGGCGGCTTGTTGCCGTAGTTCCAGCTCGGTGCAGCAGTAATGCTGGAAGTCCGCAACGGCCATACTTCGAAGGCACTGATATGGAATGATTGGGCACAACGCCCTACGAGGTATTGACTTCGCAGAAGGCAAGGTACTTCTGTACTAAAGGGTGTACGGAACACCGCAACCGGGCGCTCTGACTGGACTCTTCCAAGGCCTACTCTGTATACGCCCGATAGGTGCTCTCGAAAGATTAGCTACCTACTTCGACAGGACAAGCGTCTCTCTCTTACTCGGCGCCCATCTAGGTGCCTACGGGGTAGTTGTGCTGTCTCGCCTCTACCAGTGCTACAGCAGTACTCGTACCTGCCAGTGAGGAAACTCCTTACTGACATACGACGTAAACTGCAGCGGCAATAAAAACCATCATGGCCAGGCCTGCGCCGTGACTGTGCAGACCCTGCAGAGCATCGCATCCCCTGGGTTACGTGAAAGAACAAGGAGTTTCCAGGAGCAACACCAGCTCGACAGGCACCGCTTGCATATGAACCCTGAGGCCAGCCACAGGAGCAGCGGCTGCCACTGCCACTGCCACTGCCACTGCTGGACCATCAATCATCATCCACCTCGTCAGGGCTCCTGGCCTTGTCTAACCCCCCTCGGGCAATGCTGGGACGTACTGTGCAGCAAGTAGTACTGCGGTACTTTACGAAGCATTGCGGTACTGAAGTCTTGTGCTGCACAGTCTGCAGAGTACTTGCGGCGTACAAATTCCTGGACGAAAGGATTGCGAGCAGAGAGGGGCATTGTCATTGCACCATTCAGTCCTCTCCGGGGTATTATATACTGCTGCCCACCGAATGCTACGTCCTGTTCCACTAGGTCCACTGCCCGCCCACTACTTGCTAGCTGCTAACTCCCTAGGTAGCCACAGTCCAGCACTAATAGCAAGACCCTACTACCGCCAGAGCACTAACTCCGTACCGTACAGTACTGTACCCACAGGCTGCAGTACGTACCGCAATGCATCATTACCCATCGCACCCCTATGCGTCCTGCACAACCACACAGCAGCACTACTGTACCGTGCAGTTCGAATCACAACTCCACAACGTCACAACGCCCTTCAGTGCCTCTCCGGTGCCTCTCCCAGGGCTCCAGGACATCCACTTGCTCCATCTCCCCAGGACCCCTGCCTGTGCTCCCGAGATTCCGAATGTGTCCATTCCCCCTCAGGGAGGGACCCGAAATTCAGACAAGCCCAGGGAAAAGCCCCGAGACAGGGAATCAGGGAGGAGGGAAGAGCCATCTCAAGGATGCCCCCAGGTCGCGAGGCGCAACTTGCCAAGATCCCACCCACGAACGACTAAAAGTAAGGTTGGCTAGCGAGCAAGAGCGAGGCATGGCGACCGAGCGATGGCTGGATGGCCAATATGAAGTACCCTTCCCGTTTGGAAACCTCGTTGCTGCCGGCCCCCCTTCGTCCCTTCAGACTCCATATTCCACAACTCGAAACTCGACCCAGAAAGAACCCAGAAAGCCCCCTTAGAAAGGCCGGCCGCCAGAGACTGGACTCGATTCCTCCTTGTGCAACAATCCCCGCCCGCCGCCTACTGGCATCGCTGACTGCCTCCATCAACGTCCGACCCCAACTCTCCCCCGTCAGACAGAGCGGATACGGCTCTCCGTCATTGTGTCACTCGTTGACTGTCAGGTGGAAGTCGAGGAGACGCCATTGCCTTTCCCGCTGCCATTGTCGCCCCAGCACTGCTATACAGATACAGATAGAGGGCAATATCTCCAACAATAACTCCCGTGGCCCGCTTTAAGGCAATACCAACCCGAGACCAACAGCTATCTGGGCACAGAGTTATATCTCGCTAGTTCCCCCCCCCAACCTTTTTATTGAATTATATAGAACTTCTACGGGCAGCTACACAACCTTGCCCCGACTGTCGCAAAACCTAACCCAAGGCAGCGGATTCCATTCTATCTCCTGGCTGCTGAGACTCTGTATCCCGGCAGCAAACCCCGTTACATGTCGAAAAACTATTTGGGCAGTAGCGTTTCCGATCGTGCCCCCGCTAGGACCACTCATAAGAAAGACTATTCGGAAGACGACCACCAGTTGTTCTCGGCGTTGTATGAGCTTGGACTCCTTGCCCCTCCGAATAAGGGAAACAGGAGGCGAGAGAAGGGCAAGGCCAAGGAATCTCAGAGCAGCAGCCGGGTTGCAGGATCGCACCCAAAACCTGGTACGCAGCTACCAAGTTCTAACATAATCTACAACACTCTTCCGTTCAACTTTAAACGCATGCACTCTTAGATCCAAACATTGTTCACTGACCCGTTTCCTACAAACAGATACCCGTGCCGGCGCTGGATCATCCCGTTCACACCCTCGACCGCCCGCTTCCTCCTCATCGTCGCTGACGTCGGGGAGCAGTAGAGGGTCTCGAGACCTCCGCAATCGAGCCGGTGGTGGAATGGCAGGAATGTTGGATACGGATAGGAGCCGCACGCGGCGCGAGCGAACGTTCGTCGGCAGTGAGTGTGCGGTCTGCGAGGAACCATTAGAGCACACCCTTCGCGGCGAACGCATCCTCCAGTTCTCGTGTGGCCATGTTTCCCACGAGGCCTGTTTCTATGAGTACATTAAGGAGTTTGAGTCGCAGTACTGCCCGACTTGCAATGCACCATTGGGCCTGGATACAAGTAGAGGCGGGAATGTGTTGGATATTGGTAAGAGTTTCGACGAGGGTTCGTTCTCCTGCCAGCTTACTGATTTGCGTTATTTTGCAGAGAAGCTAAGTAGCATTGTGCGGTCAGTCTCCACGAGCGAAGGCATGTCCAGATCACAACAAACCACCCCGACTCCATGGGACAGTCAAACCGTCCGGCCACATAACACGGAAGAGACTCAGCGGCAAGGTAGGGACAGCAGCCGGGATGCAAGAGGCAGCAACAACGGCAGCAGCAAAGATAGTAGAGATAGTAGGGAGCGAGAAAAATACGGCAGTTCGTCACGGAATGGACATACTCGAAACGACTCTGAACTTACTGGCACTGCATCATCTGCAGGATATTCAGACACCGGAGCAAGTGGCCCCCCACGCCGACACGACTATGATGTTCAATCCATGGAAGCCAACATCATCAGCCCCAGAGCAAGTGTCGCAAGGAATCCTATTCCACCGCCGTTAGTTAGCGTTCGGTCGGAATTCCCTACTTTGAGTCGATCACGTCACCAGCAAACCTTGACTTGTCTCGTCACAATTGAGGTTCCAGATAATAAATGGCGACCGGATCCTGATGATTTACGACCCGCTCCTCCCGTTCCGTCGATACGTCCAGAGGATACTTATGCCAGACCACCATCCCCCGCGCAGAGCGCACCTCGTTTTTATCCCTACGAGTCACCTGAGGTCTTGGACGAGATCACAGAGAATCTTCGCATGAGGGTCGAGAATTGGCATGGGCTTGATTTCAACCGGTAAAATCTCAATATTTCCGTCATTGGTCCAATTGAATGCTAATAATACGGTTGTAGATTTGGTAAACTTCGCCTGTACGGCACGATCCGGGTGGGAAAAGACAAGCAATCATGGCAGGAATTGGAGTGCTTTCTTTTCGCAGAGATGCTTATCTGCGTCAAGGAGAAGAAAGTACCGATCCCACCAGGTTGGGATGACGGCGCCTCAACGCGGAAAAACACCCGTTGCACCCTCAAAGGTTCAATTTTAATCAAAAAGCACCTCAACGAAGTTTCCGAGTCTGGTAGTGGTAAAGCCAACCTTGGTCAGACCGAGAGAATTACCATGTCTAATCTCAGGCCAGTGGAAGAGAATATCTTGACTCTCAGTCTCTCGGTAGCTGAGTTGCCATCATTCCATCTCAAGTTCGAGAACCGCAACCAGTTGAAACTATGGCAGCAAGCTCTCCTAGACTTGAACGCCGTTGAAAGCTCCCCAGTCCGTAGCCCGGATTACGACTTCTCGGAAACGGAGGAAGACGATTGGCAAAGAGTTTCGAATCCAAAAAGAGTCTCATCTGTTAATTCTTCCTCGTATGGAGGGGGCAGATCGGCGACAACAGCACCAACAGAATACACAAACAGTGGCAAGGGTACGCGATTACCATCAGCCGTTCACGTTCCGTTCGATATTGTTGTCGTGGTCCCCATATCTTCGTCTATGCAGGGTGTCAAGATCAGCCTGGTTCGGGATGCTCTAAAATTCATGGTAGCAAATCTTGGAGAACGGGACCGCATGGGTCTGGTTACGTTCGGATCTAGTAACGGAGCCGCGCCCTTAGTTGGCATGACTTCAAAGACTTGGGGCGGGTGGTCGGGTATTTTGGCTTCGATAAGACCTGTTGGTCAAAAGAGCCACCGAGCTGATGTTGTCGAGGGTGCGAATGTGGCCATGGACTTGCTTATGCAACGCAAGTCAAACAACCCAATCGCGACAATCCTCTTGATCTCTGATTCATCAACCTCGGATGCCGAGAGTGTTGACTTCGTTGTATCAAGAGCTGAGGCAGCGAAGTAAGTTATTGTTCTTCGGATTTTTATCATATCCTTTTGCTAATTATTACAGGATCGCCATTCATTCGTTTGGTCTCGGAATGACCCACAAGCCAGATACCATGATCGAATTATCGACCCGAACGAAGGCATCCTATACCTACGTTAAGGACTGGATGATGTTGCGAGAATGTGTTGCTGGATGCTTGGGCTCTCTACAATCAATGTCCCATCAAAATGTCAAGTTGAAGCTTAGGTTGCCTGAAGGATCGCCGGCAAAATTTGTCAAGATCAGCGGCGCGCTTCAGATCACGAAACGAGCCACAGGGAAAGATGCCGAAGCCTCCTTAGGGGACCTTCGATTTGGTGACAAGAGGGATATTCTCGTGCAATTGGTTATTGCCCCGGACAATGCTTCACAGGAACAACTACCGCAGGACCCTTGGGAGACAATAGTTTCTGGGCTCGAAGCCCTCGGTGGTCCTCTTGACCAGGAGGATCAACGAACAATGTCCATCGAAGAACTCCCTCTTGTCCAGGCCGACCTGACTTGGGGCGATATCCTCCGGGATGGTACTCTAACTCATCTTCCTCGCCCCTCCCTCCTCGCTATAACCATGCTTCCCGCAAGTTCCAAGAAATCGTCTAGTTGGAAGGACTCACCACCTATTCCTCCACATCCAAGTGTTGTCCAACGACGAATGGAACTCTTGACTTCCGATATGCTTACCCGTGCGCTTACCTTGGTATCGCGGGGACAGCATGACCGAGCACAGCACCTTCTTAATGAAACTCGCTCCATTCTGAAGGGGTTAGGCAAAGGCGGCCTTCCACCTATTCCCCCCACCCCGATGAAGGCGTCTAGTCAGTCTGGCAATACAGAGTCCTCATCTCCAACCTCATCCGGCACCCCCGATCGCCGCAGAACCCCGTCCCCCACATCTGCAACCACCGTTACCATGAGCCAGACGCCCTCGAGTGCTATCCGAACTCACCAGTCAAATGACGCTCTATCGATGAACTCCTCGCCTGGAATTGACGCAATCACCGTTTCGGCTCTTGACGCAGAACTCGAATCCAGCTTAGAATGGATCAATCACCCTGCAGTGTTCGGACGAGATAGCAGGAAAGCCGTCCTCCAAGCTATCGGTATTATTAGCAGCCAGAGAGGCTATACCTTCCGCACTCCCGTCGAAAGTCTCTGGTCTGGCCGAGTTACCGGTGTAAAGCGAATGACTGAGCGAAGTCGAGAGTGGCGCGAGGAAGGTGGTGGCGAAGGTGGAATCATGGAAGAGAGTTAAACGACCTTATCATTGGCGCTGATACCCCCAATCTCCAGTGTACGATCTCACTCCACCACGTACCTGCAACTTCTTTGATATCCCGACATATTTTTCTCTGGGAGAGGAGAGGAGAGGAGAGGCTCCGATTATCCTCTGTTTATTCGACATATTCTTTTTTGAAATCACGTAACGATAAGATGGCCGGTTCTGCGCATTATTCCCTCATTCGACTACCAAATACCTGTGTATAATTACTTTTTCATTCCGGTTGTGGTTTAGCAGGCACGCACACAACGTATTGGGCGCAACGTACCAAAACATACCCCGTTCGGTTCCTTATTTATTAGCTATTTTTTATTACCCCTCTTTTTGGCCTTAAAACTTAAACGGAATCTCACATGCGTTATCTACGTCTCTTGGGAGGTTTGGGGCACTGGGGGTGGGTTGGTTTGGAAGGCGGGGTGGTGCTATGGAATTACTCATTTCTCTCTCTACCTGTCTCGTCCCCTTGTATGCCTTTTATTTTTGCGAAAGCGTTTGGCTAGTAGGAGATATAGGCATTGCTTGCAGATCCATTTTAACACCCTGATAGTTTTTGATGTATGTATGTGTTGCAGAAGGGGGCGACAGTTGGTTGCCTGATTTGCGTGTTTTAACGGCCGGAGAATGCAAGCAAGTATATAGATTTCCCATGATGTGCATGTGTGTGTCAATGTAGCAATACATTGTTTTACAGAATTGATCTCTGGAGCCTTTGTGATGTTGACGATATATGTTTGTGCTATTTCGTGGTGTAGATTTCTTGATGATAATATGCTGTGATTTCTACGACCCTTGTATGGGTGAAATCTATAATCCGGTGCATTTCCTCCTGATTGCTTCTTAGCTGGATCGCCTACCGCAAACTGTACGATTATGCAAGACTGCCTCTCCTTTTTTCCCCCGGGTAGGAGCCGCACAGCTGCAGCTATTTGTTCCTTATATCTCTTCGCTGCGTTCTAGCCCCTTGAGACGCTTGTGTCTCTCTCTACATTCTAAGGCAGCAGCCCTTGCCGCTATAGCACATGATGTTAGATATCAACATGTACAAAGACCTGGGATATTGAGCAAGACTTCGTATTCAACCAGTCAACAAAATATGTTTTATTGAGATATGGTGCAGGCATTTGACCTATATCTCTAAATCCGCAAACTTCCCCAATCAGCCATTGAGCTTAAAACCAAAGAATCTTTTAATTGGGAAGATAATGCTGATTAGGGGAGCGTATTGATAGGAAATAGGATTCTCCTAATGCAGAAGTTTATTGACTCATTTTGTAGAAACTCTGCTTGCTCGTATGCTAGCTCTGACTATGCGCAAACTGCTCGCAAGTGCTAGGTATGGAAAACACCCACGGCATTAATTATGATGCTTGGGTGCTTAGTCCAGTTGTTAATGAATAGAGAATAACTAAGTAGGAGAGTGGATCTTGCGTCCCTTTATGATGTGTCTTTTAGTAAGTTCGGAGAAATAATGGCAGTATTTAATCATGCGCTTGAACATTCAACGTGGTAATCCATCAAAAATAGGATAGGAAGTGACGGGAAGGAGCCTCATCTTCCTTTTATGAGGCATCATGCTCATTATTGGAGGGAAAACTGCCCACCTGTCATCATGAGCGCTATAGTCACCAACATCACGATGCTCATCACTATTTGCTGGCTTTGCACAGCCAATTCTAAAAATCTTTCTGCTTTTGCGGTATTGGTGCAATTCTGCAATCTCCCTACGTCCAGGAGGCTGATTGGCACTATTTTGGTATTTCTCATGGCGAATCAAAGAGAGGTAAAGAGCAAGAACACGTAAAAGCTGTGAATATACCTGATGTTTTCAAATCAAACTCTTGTTTCATTTTCTCACAAAGTGCTGTGGATGATAGGAGGTGCATTTGACATCTTGTCAATGGGTCCTGAGATGGGATATATATGAAGAGATAGAAGGAAGGGGATACTGGGTTTTGAAGATACCCATCAACCAAAGTCCAAAGTCCACAGGCCAAAATCTAAATCCAAATCCAAATCCAAGAAAGTCTCACATTACACTCAAGAAGCCTGGGACCGAGCGTCCTGATTCGGATTTCAAGAAAAGCAGCCGTGGTCTTGAAAACAGCACCGAGGACACTTCCAAGATGAGCACGAACCCGAGTTGTTACAAGATGACCCAGCCTCCAGCGGTATTTACCATTCTTCTATCCTCTTTTCCATTACTAGTCGCTAACACTTCTAAAGCCCGCTCGGGGAAAATATAACGAGGGCGAGGAAATCATGTATAAACCCCAAGGTTTTCCGGCTATTCCCGTTACGGTAATACGATATGAGGAGAAGAATGGCAGGCATGGATATTGGGTGATGGCCCAAGAGGCGTGCCACTTCTGGGTAGACGGTGGCTCTCTGGATTGGCCCCGCCGTGGTAGTGGTGCGTAAACAGCTACGGCTAGCAGCATGAAGGTCCCTCTGATTTGCGCTGGGTTTCACATGGTCCATAGCCACAAAAAGAAACGTTCTCCAATTATGAAAACATCACACGGGTCATAAATGATACGAGACGGAAGGCTGCATGTGCTGAAGCCTCGATTTTATGAGGCAATGCTGCTCCTTTTTGAGGCTGACTTCCAGCTGCACCTCCTCCCCCTATTTCCTCCGGATTTTCTGAGATTGTGGAAAAGTTGATACTCTAACTTCATGCGCCCATAATGTCACGATTGGAATCTAGTGATAATCAAGTTGATCCGGAAAGGGGTATGCCTAGCGGAGTAAGTATGCCACCGTCATGGGATGTTGACCCCTATAATGACACTTCATGTTTCGCAGGGCAACGGCAGCGGGGATTCTCTTATACGTAAGTAATACTCTGACAAATGCACGACTTGTAATGCTGACGAGGACCTCAAAGATGAAGGAGGAACTAGCGCTGGACAAAGCTGGATACCAAAGCACCTTTTTCCATGTGTTGGGAAACAATCAAACACACCTAAACCTAGACTGCCAGGAGTTATAGTACCTAAGACTCGTAGGTTCTATCCTAGGGAACTTTCATATTTTCGCTGACGTTCAAGCAGTGAAAGAATATGCCAAGGGCTATCCACGACTCGCAGCCTTTCTTGACATTGATGAAAACTTCATGCTCTATCGGCGCTTCGGGGTTTTGCAAGCCCGCATATTGCTTTACAAGCAAGATGAGCTTAGAGGGCTGGAAGAGAAGCTTGATCGAAAAGATAAAGTGCACTCCGACCCAGAACTTCTATTGTCCAGAGAGAGACAGGACCAAGGTGGTGAATCCAGGAAGGAACTCATGCGTGAGATTGGAGAAGCCTTTAAAGATTATGGTAAGGTATCCTTTCAGGTCTTCTGATATCCCATAACATGGCTTACTGTATTATCAGCACAACTCTTAGCTATCGCGAGGGACATCGCTACCTTGAGCCAACCACCGCCAAGCGATTATATGAGTGTTTACAATTATTTTCAACAAAACCGGCCCCTTTGCCAAGAAGAAGCGCATATATACCACCAAGAGGATCTTGTGGCCCTAAAACCAGCGAGGGAACACTCCTGCCTCGACTCCTTGGTCGAGAAGATGTTCCGAAAGCTCCGCCCCAACACTCGGATCCATGTATGATACCCGAATGCCTTGAAAGCTCCTAAAAATGCTGACGACTCATCTGCACACAGGATTACTTCATACCTCCTGTCTCGCCTCCAAACCCCAAATAGACGTTATTATACTGACAAGTCCACAGGATCGACGGGGGGCACACACAGGCTCCACAGAAAAGGGCCTTGTCCTGTTTGACATCGACCGGGTCAATAGGGTCGTATCTATAATTGTCACAATGGCGGTCGTCGGACTCCTGATGGCACCCGTATGTCCGCTCTGGAAACTGACCAGAGAACAGACCAAAATTTCAATAGGTAAGACAATTGCGGTCATGTTTGGTTTTACCTCAGTATTTTCCGGCATGCTTTTTCTGGTCACAAGAGCGAAACGGCAGGAGATTATGAGTGCAGCTGCAGCGTAAGTTGTTGATCTGAAAAAATGTATTCAAGAGCATAAGTTCTGATGAGGTGTATAGGTACGCTGCGGTGCTTATGGTGTTTTTGGGGAGCCAGGTTTCTCCCACAAATGGCGGCTGAGGATCATGACGTCAAAGGCCTATTAGGAAGAATAGTGGGCGTGGAAGTGTGGCACAGAGCTCTGTTTGTCTGGTGGGTATGTCATTTTGTCAAATGGGTCAACAGCTATATATATATAAATTGAACATCAATGCTATCGGGGCTGAAATTCTTCTTGTTTAATCGGCCAACACTTGAGATTGGCCACACAAGGAAAGAAAAGAAAAATGGAGGAGAGGCAGTTGAACAAGAGATTAGACGGACTGCTGGGTAAATGAGAGGTGGAAGATACATTTAGCATTGATCCTGCGCTTTTCTGGGGGGAACTAGAGGAAAACGTAGGTAGAGGTCGCCTAACTTGTTCACATTCGCAAAGCATGGTCAGTTTTAAAACAGCTGGGGCGTGTCAAGGATCTAGTTTTGTACATTCTTATTAGGCTCTCTTTACGCCGACAAATTTAGTCCTCATCCCAGTTCTAAAGTACGTTAGTCAAACACATTAAATAGTATGTGGGTCAGTTAAATTATGACTTACAGCATTGGGCCCTGGAGGTTTTGGTCCACCAGCCTGTCGCGCAACAATAATTTGATCAACAGAGAGTACGGTCCTTGCAGCCTCGGTGGCCAACTTGATGGCCCAGCTCTTTGAAATCATGAGATCCAGAATTCCTTCGTCCTTCGCGTCCAATGTTCCAGTGCCATCCTCATTCTGGGAAGCTGTTAGTAGTGGCATTAAGACTCAATAAGGGAGCAACTTACCTCAATATCAATGCCGGTGGTCCAGTCATCTCTCTTGTGATGGGCAGTGTACAGTCTGCTCAGTACTTCCGTAGCATCCAAGCCGGAGCTTTCTGCCAGGGTTCGTGGGATGACTTCGAATGCCTCACCGAACTTGCGGATCGAGTATTGGGCTATACCTGGAGTCTTGTCTCCGAATGCTTGTATCCGCTCAACCAATTGTAATTCTGTTGCTCCAGCACCAGGCACCAGTCGCGGATCTCTTGTGATGGCCTTCACGACGTTGACTCCATCATCAACAGCACGCTCAATATCGTCGAGGTGGTTTTGGGTTGCTCCTCGAAGGACAAGTGTAGCTGTTCTCGTTACCTCGTTCTCCTGTCTGAATACTGTGACTCTGTCCCCGCCAATTTCAAGCGTTTCGACGACATCAATACTACCCATCTCATCGGGCATTGGGGCACCGAGTCTGGCTAATGGCGTTGCGCCAACGACTCTGCATAATCTTCGGAGCTCGAATTTGCTGAGGATACGGATAACTAGGATGCCAAAGCGATTCAGGTAGTGCATAGCAAGCTCGCCAACTGTGGATCCAGCGACCACGACGCGCAGTCCTGAGTCATATAGCTCCTTGATCGCACCTTCGAGTTGGCTCTCCTCTCCCTTGGTAAAATCGAGCATCTCCTTGGCATTGTGCAATAACACCGTTCCTTTCGTCTCCGTCTGGCTTGTGTCGATAGGGCACGAGAACACACCGACTCGTGCTTTGGTTGCCTTCTTCACAGATCCGTCGGGCTCCCGGCCAAACACCATACCCTTCACTACTCTGCTCTGTTCCAAACTGCCTCCCATAATCTTGACCACGCGGATATTGTCAACATTGAAATTGACGGGATTCTTTGGCAGCACGGCGAGTACTGCTTCTGAAACCAAGTCTGCCAAGAAATCTTCACTGCCGTTCTGCTTGCTTGCTACGACCGTCCTGATAGCCTTGCTAAGCTCTGTCTGTGATCGTATATCTTCCACCTTGTCCACGACTAGGTTCTCGAGTTCCGCTAAGGCAAACTTTTGTGCCATTTCGTACCCTCTGATCACATCGCTAGCTTTTAGGCCCATTCTTAACAACTCCTCCGCCTTTTTGAGGAGTTCTCCCGCAAGGACAATGACGAGATTCGTAGCATCTCCCATCTCAGCGTCTTGTTGTTGACTTGCCATGACGACTAATTTCGCAGCTGGGTGGACAACGTCGAGCTCCCTTAGGATAGTTGCGGCGTCGGAGGTTAAGATCATCTTCTGTAAATGGTTGATAACAATTTTATTCCGGCCATAAGGCCCTAAGGAAGTTTGGACAGTCGAAGTGATCGTGCGGCAAGCATCGATGTTGCGAAGAACAGCGCCATCTTCAGAGTCGTAGCTGTATGGCAGGTTAGCTGATAGATTCAAGTCTCGAAGAAGGCCGAAGATCTACTTTTGATATCCTCCCTTAAATAAGCCCGCATTTGGGGCGTTTGGGATATTGAGCGACATTTTGAATGTGCTGGGGGTGAAGAGGGACAAAGAGTGTTGATTTGAAAGTCTTATGTTGCACACTCCTATGAGCGCGACGTGCCTGATGCTGGTGGGACTTGTAGCTTCAAAAATTCAAAGCTCAACGCGAATTAAAGTTATTAGTAAGCAAACGGCGTCGGATTATGTTTGATGCGGCGAGGCTGGACCACGACCTGGCAAGCGCGAACCTCATCCATTGTATCGGAACAAGCCAACAATTGCACCCGCTCATAACGCTGCTACTACGACAACGACGTTGCCCGATTTACCTTGAGACACGGGGCTTCTGGTTGTTGCTATGGCGCCTCCACCTGGTATGTGAAATTTGAGTTTCTTAGGTCAAACCGCACCATGATGCCTTCCTCCCCGTCTACCATCCCTCCCCATCTGGGAATCCTACGCGCAAGTGAATGAATGGGTTTGCGGAGGGAATAGTCACTTTTTCGCCGTTTACTTTGGTTGCCTTCTATCTGGTGTTATCATTTGATTCTGATTCTGATACTTACATAGCTACAGCAGGGTCTGTCCCACCTCCTCTTGCGCCCTCAGTTGAGGAAGCATATCGTCGAAAATGCATTCAACTGAAACAGCGCATCAACGAAATCGATCATGACAACGATGCCGCTCGCCTCCGCGTAGTACGGCTTGAGCGTGGGGTTCAGAAGTTACGCCTCGAGAGGGCGTTCCTTCTCGAGCAGCTCGCAAAGCGAACGAGCACCAATGTGGAGGACTCTGAGGGGAGCCCAAGTCCACCACCTACTGTATGGCCATTCCTTTGGTGCCTGCTTGTTAGGTACATGTGATGTTTCTTGCTAACAAACTCTCCTTGATAGCCCAAAGAGAAACCCCTACGGACAAAGCGAGGGCATCGAAAGCCATCATACTTAACCAATCTCGGCGAACCCTCTGCAACGAATGCATTCATCCAACAAGGGCCTGTTACACTCTCCCCATCCTCCGATGCTTTCTCACACACCCATCATGATTCGAATCTTGGACGCAATTCAACACCTCAAGCTCAACCGTCCAACAGGTTGCTGCCTACCAGTAGCAATGGAGTTGCTGCGAAGAACGCACCAACTTCAACAAGCACTCCTCCTTTCCGCAAACCTAAGAGTGCATTTGATCTTTATTGCCAGGACCTACGTTCTGTCGTCGCAGTTACGAACCGAAAGGGCCTTGCCGATGGTTCCTATGACATCGAGGAGGGTCTTGCTCGTGGATGGCGCGATATGAATGAGGAACAGAAAAACGAGTTTCAAAGCCGATTCGACAAAATGAAGAAAGGCGCCGGGGCTGAAAAGGACACCGTGACCGCTCCTACCGCTCCAAAACAGGCTGTCACCGATGGGGAATCTCGTACCGATAACGCAGCTGGCACTACGAACGATGCAGACGAGGACGTAGAGATGGGCGAGGATGGGGATGAGCCTCCTGCAGCCCCCGCAGAAGGCGGCTTCACTGCTGTCAATCGTGGATAGATATTTCGACTCGGGCCCGAGGGTCCTGGAAGGGGGCCTTTCGCTGGATCGTTCTCAACTTGGTGGCCTTCCTCGTTGTATTGACTAACACTTCTTTTATTCTAAGTCTCATTCACATCTTTGCCCCAAGGCAATAATGAGAGGTGTTTCAGTCATGTGCGGCGTTACGGTTGGAGAATGGCGTTGCTGCTACTGGAGCGAACTGGGGACGGATCAATATAGTATAGGTTGTCCACTGCGGACCTCTTACCAAAACTGCCATATTCTTCTCCTCTGCCGAGGGGAAGCGAGAGAACTATCTAGGGTTGCAGGGCATTCGGAAACATGCCCATAGTAGCTTTGTATTATTATCGAAGATGGCGTAGGTTTAGCTTCAAGGAAACATTGTCTAATGCATTTCGCCAATAGGTTTAAGCAACCCAACATGATTAACCTTTATAGCTCGGTGCTATGCTGCAGCTATACCGGACTATTCACTTAAAAGTTAGATAGTACCACCATGTGGTGTTCTAAGTTCTCCATTGCCGCTGTGGTACAAGTCAGCCACCGTCTCACCCAAGCTAGCATTAATGCGGCCACATCGTAGAGTAGGACCAGATCTACATGCACACTCTAAGAATAGTAGAAAGAGACCGTATCCAAATAAGCTTAGAATAATTGACGCTCAACTCAACTAATAATGTATCTGTATCTTGTGCTGCCAGAGGGCCCAAAGGAGCTACGATTGCAGTGCGCACGGTCCCAGACGACCTGGCGGCGCTGGTGCTTGGCGCAGAACGTCATTTATGTTCTATCAATACTCGCCTACCTAGGTACATAGTTACGAAGCACCTTACGCAACTATTTTTGAAGACGCTTTCCAGTGGGCTTGTGGTGGAATCTCTCCTCCGCCATCATATACTTCCAATACTAGCGCATGGACTTGAACTCAAGAGGCCTTTAAGACGCTGATGTTCTTTTGGCAGCTAAGAACAGCCAATCCGAGATGGCGTCCACGAGTAGCAGTGTTACGGAAAGCACACCTCTGATTTCCCATCCCGCTCAAGCTTCCAATGCCCTGCTCTCCCCAGAAACCCAGAAGAAAGCTGGCAGAAATGTGACCTTTAATACGAATCCATCCATAATGGGCCTCGATAGCTCTGCGAACTCGATCCCTCGACCTTCACAGCCGCGGTCCTTCTCCTCCTCAAATGTTTCTGCCGCCCAACCGCCTATACTCTCAGCTCTTAACAACAAGCTACGACGTCGAAATAGCCACGGATCTCCACATGTCTCTTTACCAGGCCCCCCAGTTTCGAAGATTGGTCCTCAAAGAACCACGAAGAATGCTCAGAAGCTGAAGCTCCTCCCTAACCCCGACTTCGGCGAAGATGGACCAGACGAGGAAAGCGGAAGGGATGTCTACTCGCAATACACCCGCATTAAAGACCCCACGGCCCGCCGCGATGCTGCCAGACTGGGAAAGGCTGATAGAGACCGGTTGCCTCGAGTTACTGCATATTGCACAGCGAACGGGTACCAGATGGGTCCCCTGATGCGGTACCTAAAGGGAAGGGGCAAGACCAAGAATGCGAACCCGAAATTATTTGATGAGTGTATATACACGCCTTATAGCTACAGCCGGCCCACGATAACTAAACAAGTGCTGGAAACGCAATCAACGCCAGCCCGGATGAGGAGACATTCAGATAGCGACATTGAGGTGGAGGATAGCAGCAAGCAAAGATTAGAGGATTTAATAGATCTTGGCCCTGGAGGAGCGGATACAAATTTAGGAATCGAAGCTCCTCACCAAATGCATTCAGGGTTGGTTGAGCAGCAGACCGACGATGCCATAACCTCGGAAAGCAATGTCGATTTTGACATTCAGGTTCACACTCCAGAGATCTTCCTCTTCGATTATGGCGTGCTGGTGATATGGGGCATGTCTTTAAAGGATGAGCAGCGCTTCTTGAAGGAAATTGCAAAGTTTGAGAGAGAGAAGCTGGGGCCTGATGACGTTGAGACCGAGTGTTTTAATTTCTACTACACGAGGGAGTATCAGGCGCGTATCTATAATGATTTTATTACGTTACGAGATAAGGGGAATTATATGACGAAACTTGCTATCTCACATGCTCTTGCACAAAGCGTTAAGGTAGGCCTATCTATTCCGTTCTGTCTATAACTTGAAATATTGAGCCAGCTGCTAACATCTCCTCCTAGACATCCTTGTTCGAAGCCCTCGTCGACGATACCATAACAACCTGCAAAGATATCCCCACGCAAATCGCGCTCACAGGAGCTATCAATTTATCACGGACACAGATCAATATGCAAATAGGCGAACTCTTCATTCTGCGCATCAATATCCATTTGAATGGTTCTGTGTTGGACACTCCAGAATTGTTTTGGGTAGAGCCGCAATTAGAACCTGTTTATCAGGCTGTAAGAAGTTATTTGGAAATGAATCAGCGAGTCGGACTGTTGACGGAAAGATTGGATGTCATTGCTGATTTACTAGCCGTGTTGAAGGATCAATTGAGTCATGGTCATGGGGAAAAGCTCGAGTGGATTGGTGAGTTTATTTCTCTATTCTTTTCTCCTACATCATCTATTATATCTCTCATTGGGGTTTATCTCTAACTTCAACACTAGTAATTGTCCTCATTGCCGCAGAGATCTTTGTGGCAGGCATAAATATTGTCGTGGATTTATATGCTGGTATTTGAGTTATTACCCATTGCTTATTACTCCCTTCATCTAGCTTTATGTATAGCATTGTGAACACCGTTTGTTTGTGTGTTGTACACATTCATCGTAGCGTCTTTAGACTTCTCTCCCTGGCTCTTGAAATCGGATATGAAGGGATAGGGCTCCGTTCTCGCTATTTGTACGCTATCCTCGTGTACATAAAAATGAAAGCAAGGCAATCTGGTGACGGCCATTTAGCCTCATCTCCCGAGTGCCCAGGGAAAGTCAAAGTGGCTGGCAGCAGAGTTCTTTTTAAAGTCTATTTAAACCTTTCTAGAGTTCCATGTGGCATGTATGTACCTAAACATGTTCCAGACACGTGATTGCGAAACAGCCAGGCCAACCTGGAAGTCTGTGATTATCTCGCCTCGTCCTGAACCACATCCATAGGACGGCAGGATCTTTAATTGATTTGGATAGTTACAATATGACATCAAGATAGAAGTCTGCCTCGAAGTCGAGAGCCATTGACGGAGCCTGGCGGCCACATTCAACCTGCCGGCCAAGTGGCCGCATTATTTGAACCTCCTGGGTCGGCCACAGCCACCCAACAGTATCGCCTGCAAGGCTCCGCGATTCTACAGCGATAGACCGTCTCAAATTGTGCAACCACCCAACACCGAGCGATGGCTTCCATTGATGCAGAGGCTGGATGCCACCCACCATGCGTGAAACGTGTCAAAATTGCCCCCCAAAAGGGTCCCCAAGTGGCTTGGACAAACGGAATCAGTTTGCAAGGCACATCCCAAGGAGGCAATCATCCGCATGTGGCTGAGACGTCCATCAAAGGGCTTGTATGATCACATATGAGATGCGGGGTTATTAGTATTTCATGGCGGAAGTTCAAGAACTTATCGATAAATCTTTATTCCTACATACGCTATCTCCTACAAAACCTATCAGAATCTTATAACCTATTTGTACCCTCCTACACCTCACAACAGCTACACCAATTTCAAATGGACGACCCTCGCATCTCCCGACTCGCGAGATTCTTCAACGATGTCGTCGATGGTCGAAGACAATTGATGTCGCACCGCGATGGAAAGCTTTTCATAGAAGCTTTGTGCATGCAACTCGACTATGCTACTTGCACCTACAGACTCATATCAAGTGCTCAAGGACTGTCCGCCATTCAATCCTCCATGAGGTTTGACACTTCGGCCTCATTTCTGAACGGGAGCGCCTTAGCATTTCTTAAATATCTACAAGACCCAACTTTGGCGATTATCGATTCTGGATCCGTTCTGGCCCAAGTACTTGTCCATGTGGTCGAACCGCCATTCTTCTTAGATGCCTTTACGAAAGCGTTTAAAAGCGATGTCCTGACGCCAGATGCTCGGCACGCTTATGCATGGCTGCTTCTCCAGTTGGTCAGCTTGCCCAGGATGAAAACGTCGGCGTATACTTCTCTTGCGGCATCTCAAGATATTCTGACTGCCCTTCTGAAAGATGCCGATGGACGCACTCGTATACTTGGCGAAAAGATCAAGCACGCACTCCCGTTACATCCGTCGGAGTCTCACAATAATGCGGTTGAAAAGCCAGGAGGGAGACATAATAATGACCATGTGGACCATAGGAAGGTCTCCGTGATGCCAACGGCCGATGAGCTTTTGTCCACAGACCGGCCTTTTCTACGCACTGCCGACTTCTTGGATGACCCAGAATTGACCTCCTCACGCCGCACCATCCACATAGATAACCAGTTTCGATTGCTTCGGGAAGATATGCTTGGCGAACTACGAGAAGAGCTCAAGTTGTTAACGGGCAAGAAGACTGGCCGTCATAGAGGCATACTCTTGGATAATTTATCGGTAGCTGGAAGCCTTGATATGGGCACTGAACGGAAGCGCCAACCTTGGTGTATCGCCCTTCACGCAAAACTACCCCATCTCAACAACATGAGCCCCGAGAAAAGAAAAGATTATTTGAAGAGTAACAGCCATATCCTACGTCATGGTACCATTGCCTGTCTCTTGCTGGATGGGGAACCTGCTGCGTTTCCTACCATACATAGGGATGTGGAAAAGCTTGCGCAAAACCCTTCCACGATTGTCCTACAGTTTCAAGATGACCAAACACTTCCATACGTCCTGTTAAAGATGAAAACTGCGAAGAACATCAGACTGGCTCAGCTGGATGCTGCTATTTTTGCATTCGAACCATTCCTGAAGCGCCTACAAGATATGAGGGATATACCATTGGCAGAGGAACTACTTCACTGGGAAGAAGGTAAAACTCTCAAAGTCCCACACTTTCAGCCGACTGAAACGATACAAAACCTCGAAAGTAGAATTGGAGAAGATCTCAGGGTTCTCTTAGGAACTAAACGAAGTGTAAAACTGAATAATTCACAAACGGAATCTCTTGTTGCGAGCTTGGCTCAAAGAGTCAGCATAGTCCAGGGTCCTCCAGGTAAGACTAAAATATGGATGTCGCTCTCTTAACCCGTTAACATGCTCTTAGGTACCGGGAAGTCGTTCGTTGGGGCGCTGGTTGCCAAAGTTCTTCATGACTTTACAAATCAAGTGATCCTTGTAGTTTGCTTCACAAATCATGCCTTGGATCAATTCCTTGAGGATTTATTGGATATAGGGATTCCATCAGATGAAATGATACGCCTTGGAGCGAAAAGCACGGCTCGCACGAAATGCCTGACTATTCGAGAACAGAAAGCTACTAAGATTGACCCCAAGCACTGGGCTCAGATTGACCAACTTAAAACGAAACTCGCTGATCATGAGAGCCGACTTCGAGATACATTTAGTCGCTACCATGCCTCAAACTTTCAGAAACGGCAAATCATGGATTATCTTGAATTTCTATCCGATGCGATCCCATTCTTTGACGCCGTTATGTTGCCGGAAAAAGATGGGAGTGGAATGATACGAGTTGGAAAGCGTGGCAAAGAAATGTCACCATTCTACTTGTTAGATCGTTGGGTCGCTGGCGAGTTTACCGCTGGATCGCTCCAGCATCTACAACCAAAAGGAACTGCAGCCGTATGGAAAATGTCTCTGAGCGCGCGGCAAGCCGCTATGGGCAAATGGCAGGCAGCTATTCTGGAAGATCTTATTCGTGAGATCCAAGAGAGTGGTCGACAATATAGCGCTGATCAGATTGAACTTGAGCGACTGTTTTCTGAGAGGGATACAAACATCATACAAAGCAAGAGAATCATTGCCTGCACAACGAATGGTGCAGCGAAATATGCTGCAGCCATCCAGTCTGCGTCCCCAGGGGTTGTTCTTGTGGAGGAGGCTGGCGAGATACTTGAAGCGCATATCTTGACCGCTTTGGGCCCGAACACGGAACAGTTGATTTTGATAGGTGATCATAAGCAGCTTCGTCCCAAGTGCTCGTACGAGCTCAGCGTTGAGCAAGGGGAGGGATTCGACTTAAATCGGTCTCTCTTCGAGCGACTAGTTCTCAAAGGATTTCCCCATGTGACGCTCACAGAACAACATCGCATGAGACCGGAAATTTCGGCCATGATTCGTCATTTGACCTACCCAGGCCTCACAGATGCTAAGTCGACTCTGAACCGAAGCGATATTCGTGGGTTTCAGGACAACATTGTCTTTCTGAATCATTCTGAAAAAGAAACAGTACTCCAGAGTAGCAGAGAACTGAATGACGGGAGATCGTCATCAAAGCAGAATCCGTTCGAGGCACAAATGATCTTGAAATGTGTTCGATATCTTGCTCAACAAGGATATGGCTCAGATAAGCTGGTTGTCTTAACACCGTACCTTGGCCAGCTGAAACTACTGCGGGAGCAACTGTCGAAGGAAAACGATCCAATCCTCAATGACATGGACAGGTTTGATCTTGTTCGTGCTGGCCTTCTGACAGACCTCAGTTCGAAATCGACGGGACCATCATTGCGCATATCGACCATTGGTAAGTCCAGCAATCTCTCTCTCCATTTCACATCACGCCATCTGTTATCTACTGCCATATTAGCCTTACATAACTCGATAAAACTCCCGAAATCATTTATTAATTCTATCACCGCAGATAATTACCAAGGAGAAGAGAGTGATATCGTTCTTGCTTCACTGACCCGTAGCAACGCCGCTCGAGATATTGGATTCATGTCCGCACCAGAACGATTGAATGTTTTGCTCTCACGAGCACGCAATGGGCTATTCATCATTGGAAATGCAGAGACATTTATTAATGCGCGCAGGGGGAAAGAAGTCTGGTGCAAATTTTTCGATCATCTAAAGGAGAATAACCACATTTATGAAGGGTTTCCTCTCAAATGCGAGAAGCACCCCGATCGCTTAATTACGGTGCCTTCTCCAGACGGGTTTGATACACACTGTCCTGATGGAGGCTGCAAAGAGCCATGGTAGGTTGTACAACCCAAGATTGTTGAGAAATTTACTTACTGTTTTACAGTGCCGTTATGTTGAAATGCGGCGTGCATAAGTGTACCAGCAGCTGCCATCAGATATTTGATCATTCCAAAATTCAATGTATGGCTATTCTAAAGCAAAACTGCCCGAATGGGCATAGTCAAAGCTGGTATTGCCATGTGGGAGCTACTCCGTTGACCTGCTCGACCTGCGAGCGTGAAAAAAAAGCTGCACTGAGGAAGGCCCAAAAAGCGCTAAAAGATAAGCAAAAGCGAGATGAGCAAACTCAAAAACATGCTGAAAAAATGGCAAAACTACAGGAGGAAATCGATCAGATTATCCAGAACAGAAAAGATGATCGCCTGGATTCCGAACAAGAGGCTGCTCTCGCGCAGAAAAAGGAAGACCTCGCCAAAGCAAAGGAACGTGCAAGCAAGAAAGAATTCCAAACCCCGAACCATATTTCTAAAAGCCAAGACTCCAATGGGCCATCTCAAGGATCTTCTGCGACAATACGCACGCCTGCTGCCACTAAAGCCCCGGCCGCTGTCCATTCAACGCTAAAGGACCAACTTAAAGATTGCATTGGTCATAATAAATCTCCTTCGAAGACCGAATGGCAACGGCAGAAGGATCAAGAGAACGCGGTCAATCCGGCTATAGATCAGATCATGGAAATGACCGGGCTAGAGCAGGTTAAATCCCAGGTGTTGCGCATAAAGTCCAAGGTCGAAACATCCATCCGACAAGGCACCGACTTGAAGAAAGAGCGTCTAGGGTTGGTACTGCTTGGAAATCCCGGCACAGGTAAAACCACTGTTGCTCGTCATTATGCAAAAGCTCTCTCTTCCCTTGAAGTTCTTCCAGGCGATGGGTTTATCGAAACAACCGGCTCCAAACTCGCCCATGGCGGTATTACTGAAGTCAAGGCTCACCTAGCCCAGCTGGAGAGCTCCGAAGGAGGGGTATACTTTATTGATGAAGCCTACCAGCTTGCAGAAGGTCACTCTTATGGCGGCAAAGCAGTATTGGACTTTCTTCTTGGTGAGATTGAGAACCTGACCGGAAAGGTTGTATTCGTGTTTGCAGGCTATCGTTCAAATATGGAGAAGTTCTTCGAGCACAATCCAGGATTTACCAGCCGGATACCTTACACTTTCCACTTTGAGGACTACAGCGACGCCGAGCTCTTGAGCACAAGATGTCTGGATTCTATAAAAAGACTGGCATATTTGTTGAAGGTGGACTTGATGGGCTTTTTATGCGCATAGCTGTTCGTCGACTAGGTTGTGGGAGGGCCCGAGACGGGTTTGGCAATGCTCGTGCCCTAGAGAATCTATTTGGTAGGGTCAGAGAGCGACAGGCGGATAGACTGGCAAAAGAGCGAAGAGAGGGATCTCTTCCTGATGACCTCACAATTACCAAGGAAGATATTATTGGACCGGACCCCTCACACGCCGTTCTTCGTTGCCCGGCATGGGAGAAGCTTCAGAAGCTCACTGGTTTGGAATCAGTCAAAAATTCAGTGAGCTCTATGATTGACCTAATCAAGGCTAACTATGAGAGAGAAATCAAAGAGCTACCGCTTGTTCAGGTTTCCCTCAATCGTGTGTTCCTGGGTTCTCCTGGCACTGGTAAAACCACCGTTGCTAAGCTGTATGGCCAAATTTTAGCAGACCTTGGCCTTCTAAGCAATGGCGAAGGTAAGTTCTCCATCATCAAAATGCATTTCGATAACTTACGCAAATATAGTCGTGACGAAAAATCCAGCAGACTTTATTGGAAGCGCCATTGGCCAGTCTGAAGCCAACACCAAGGCAATACTAGCAAATTCTGTTGGGAAAGTTCTAATCATCGACGAGGCTTACATGCTATATTCCGGCTCCGAAACAGGCGGTGGCAGCGGCGGAGCGGACACATATAAGACATCAGTCATCGATACAATCGTCGCCGAGGTCCAAAGTGTGCCTGGAGAGGACCGCTGCGTCTTAATGCTCGGATAAGAAGAGGAGATGACACGCTTCTTCCAAAACGTTAATCCTGGACTTACTAGACGATTTCAACTCTCGGATGCATTTCACTTCGAAGATTTCAGTGACGCGGAGCTGCAAGAAATCCTAGAGCTCAAGCTCAAGATTCAAGGATTAGGAGCAACCACCCCTGCTATTACTGTTGCCATAGATGTTCTAGCCCGAGCTAGGAATGGATTAAATTTTGGCAACGGTGGTGATGTAGAGAATTTAATCTCTAAAGCGAAGAGCAATTACCAGCATCGCCAATCCCGGTTGCCTGCCGAACAACGATCGGTCGACTTTATATTTGAGCCACAGGATTTCGATTTAGACCACGATAGAGCTTCGTCTGCTGAAACAAACCTTCAAGAGCTGTTCCAAGGGGTTGTTGGTTGTGAAGGTATCATTAAAACCCTCGACAAATTTCTCAAGGTTGCCAAAGGAATGCGCGCTCAGGGGCTTAACCCACGGGACCAAATACCCATGAACTTCATATTCAAGGGACCACCTGGTAAGTTGACCTCCTTACTGGCGAGTTTCTTGTTTTATGGCTACACTCTAACACCCAGCCACCAGGGACTGGAAAGACGTCCACCGCTAGAAAATTTGGCCAGGTCTATTATGATCTTGGCCTTTTATCTCAAGTTGAAGTAGTTGAGTGCTCCGCGTCCGATCTTGTCGGGCAATATGTCGGGCAAACGGGACCCAAAACGATTAAACAACTCGAAAAGGGTCTAGGAAAGGTTTTGTTTATAGATGAAGCGTACCGACTTGGCGAAGGGTTATTCGCCCAAGAGGCAGTAAACGAACTTGTCGATACCATGACAAAGCCTAAGTTTGCTGGAAAGATGGTGATTATTCTTGCTGGCTACGACGATGACATGAATAGACTTCTGCAAGTCAATGAGGGTCTGAGCAGCCGCTTTGCAGATGAGATTATTTTCCCATCCCTGGGTCCTCAGCACTGCCTTCAGCTCCTCGAATCGAAGCTGAAGCAAAGAAATATCATTATACCTGCATTGAAACACCCCGCCACCTATCAAAAATGTCTGGATCTGATTACAGAGCTTGCAAACTTGCCAGCATGGGGCAATGCAAGGGATGTTCAAACATTGGCAAATAGCATGGTTAGAGAAATGTATCAGGAAGCTCATGAAAAGGTTGAACAACTCATATTATCGGACATTGTAGCATTGGGTTGCATTAGGACCATGTTATCAAGTCGGAAGGCAAGGCAAAGGCAGAGTACCCCACGCCGATCTCAATTGTCGATTCCAACCGAAACCCCTGTCCAGAGTTTCTCCCGACAAGCAGCTCCACCTCCACCTACCACGCAAGCTACAGCTACAACCTCAATGACGATCACGGATGCTGAACCAACACCGGTCCCACCATTAGCAGTGGAGACTGAAGTCTCTCGAGACCCGGGCGTATCCAACGCAGTCTGGGAACAGCTTCAAAGGGATAAAAAGGCCGCCGAACGACTTGATCAGATATTCAACCAAGCGCAGCTCAAGAACAGGGAAGCCTTGGAAGCTGCCCAAAAAGCAACCGAAGAAGCGGCCGCAGCGACTGCCGCTTTGAAAGAAGCCGAAGCAAAGACAAGATTGGAATCCCAGAAACTGTTACAAGAGCGTGAAAAGGCGCGAATCAGAGAACTGGAGGCGAGGGCTGGGCAGCACAGGATCCAATGTGAGATGAAGAAGAGGGAATCAGAAGAGCGAGAGAGGAGGGAGAGGGAGGCGTTGGTCCAGAAGAAGTTGAGGGATTTGGGGGTTTGTCCTGCAGGGTTTCGATGGATTAAGCGACCTGGTGGGTATAGATGTTCTGCTGGGTCCCATTGGGTCGACAATGCGCAGCTTGGTATTTAATGTGGTGCGGAATGTTGGGGATTTGTTTTGTATCTCGGCGTTCTTTCTTTAGATCCGTTGAGCGTGAAGGCATTTTCCTCCTTGATGTAAATGAGGAATTGACATATATTTTGGCATTTAGATAGATTTTGCGTATTTCTTAAATATTTGGTTGGCTAGGTTGCAGATATAGAGCAAGGTTCGGGAGAGGAAACTAGTAAATAAGGCAAGGCTTGAGATTTTGAAGTAGCCCCTTTATACTGCGCCCTTTTACAACACCACCGCATCATCCGCGTTGCAAATAATGATGGATGAGGGAGATGGTGTAACTATGACGGTGACTGTTGGAAATTTTAGATTCATGCATTCATAAGTAATATTTTTATGTTATTATATATAGAGCCCTAGCCCGCCTTGTCTATCATAATGCCGGTTTACGCCCATACACCACATACCTATCAAGCGATTAGCTCTACTGATCTCCGCACAGAAAGTATTGCAAACGGGCGAAATGGGAAGGGACTTACACAGGCACGAATCCATGTAGCGACTTATCCTTAATATCTTTCCTCACCTCAACCATCTCCACCTCGACCTCCTCCCTTGTCATCCCATAGGCCCTCGTCATAAGCGCCATACTAATAGCACTCAGCCCATCCAGCGAATTCGCCATGCTCCACATGCCCAGAAGCTTCTGTTTCTTCCCCTTAGGCCACGTATTCGAAGGCCACTTCAACTGTCTCTCAACAACACCTTCAAACCCCGCGTCCCGCATCCACTGTGCGTAATTTCCAGCGCAATGCCAATCGCGCCCGATTTTCTTCGCCGCCAAACATATCTTATGGTTCCAGCGTTCGACGGCGCTTCCGTCGCCGCTACCGTCGATGGATGAGATTTTGAAGAGGACGTCTTGCATTTCGAAGTAGCCGCCTGGTGAGGTGGCTTGGAAGGCCCGCTTGAAGACTTCCGCGGGGTTTTGGAAACATGAGAAGAGCATGCGGCCATGGATGAAGTCGAAGGTTTGGTTGTAAGTCCATTCGTCCTCTGCGTCGTCGATCTCGAACTGGCAATTTGGAGGGACATATTCGGGTTGTATTGCGCTTAGATCTATGCCTTGTCAATATAATGGGTTGAGGTTGTGACGTAGAAACTTTGAAAGAAACAGCGTTCCAGCACCCAAACATGGATTGGGGTGCTTAGGTAACCAAATAAGTGCTCCCTTGCCATCCCCTCAACCCCCTTGGAGTCTCCTATCTCAACTCAAGAACTCGGCGTTGAACATACCTGTTCCAATAACCATTGCGGAAGGGTTTCTCTCCGCATACTCCAATGCCCACAAGCCAGTTCCCGTTCCGATATCAAGAACGCGTTGAGGATCCTCAACTGGCGCGAGATGAAGTCGTCCATCAAGCGTTAATGTCCATAGGTGGTGTTGAAGGTTCAAACGATCTTGTTCAACATCATCGTTCGGCAAGAAATACTGGCCTTCCTTATACTTGTGATACGACCGGCCGTTCTCTTGGATAGATTCATAAAGACTTGATCTCAAGGACATCGTAGAAGATTGGATATCGGTACCAATCGCAGAATCAGTGTCTGACATTTCCGAATCGACATGCAGTGAGGTTGGGTAATAACCATCATCAGGTAGTACGACATCATCTGCTGAATGGGTATTTGAGCCTTCGGGCTGAGCTTCGGAACTCAGTTGCTGATGCTCCCCCACGAGCCCGACTTTTTCTGTATTCCGATCGCTGGGGAGGCCTTGGGGCGCTTCAGGGCCGGTGTCCATTTCCGTGTCTTGGTAGCCGTAGTGAGCTTGGTAAAACTGGTATGCTGAATCCGTTTGATTTGATCGACTAGATTCCGCACTCCAGGGCGAGTTAGAATCTTCATCGGGTTGTACTATTTGATCTACCGCCAGAGGTCCATTGACTCCATAATTGGTGGAAAGAGACTCGACACCAGGCATCGACTCGTCTCCTCCCGATTCATGGATATGGACCAAATCGGAATCTGCTGACTGATGGGCCTGATTTCTTATGTCGCTAGCCTGGGCGTGATGTGTTGAGTTGGCCGGGTCATCTTGATTAGGTTGAGGCTCTCCGTCGGCACGAGGATCTAGGGGTATTTGATGCGCTTGGTATATTCCTTCGTCGACGGCTGGTGGCAGATTCGATCGCCAACGTTGACTTGGAGGCGTATCTACTCGAGGGGGTTGAGAAGTATCCTGAGTTCCCGTTTCTATTTGACTAGCCAGATAAGCTACGTTTGTCCGAGAAGGTTCAGCGGTATGACTGGCTCCCGTTTCCGTTTCCATTTCCGATTGTCCAATTTGATGTGGTTTATCCGCGAGAGTCGGTTGCAAGATGTCATCGGTTGCGTCTATTTGAGAAACTTGACGATGGTCGGGAGCTATTCGAGCGGTCTGTTCGCAGTAGACAGTTGGCTCTAATAATGGGAGCTCCTCCGCTCGAGGGGGTTGGGATTGTTGATGAGGGTGATGGGTGTCAGCTGTCTGAGAGACTGTCTGGTACTGAGAATGTGGGTTTTCATGAATCGTTTGATAAGCTTCGGGCTCTTGGTGGGTAGGGTTAAGGGGCGCTTGAGAAACATGAGTATGGCCTGGTGGATGGGAAACGTCGTCTTGACGGGATTGAAATTCTTGAGGCTGAAGGCTAGTAGTACCAGAGGTTACATCACCAGTTTCTTCCGTTCCACCAAACGGCGGCGCTTTATTGTCCTGCATCGCTGAAGTTTAAATTCGAGTTGCGGAGATATCTCTAACACATTTGCATCCCTTTGAATCCCATATATCGCATTAAAAAGACTCGCTTGCGCGTACCCAAAACGCACCGCGAAAAAGACGACCTGCGCCAAGCTGATGGTAACCTCGATCCTCCGCCGCCTTCCCTGTGACGCTCGAGGCTGTGGAGTGGAAATCGTACTGGAGCGCGACCGTATACCCACTAGGATTACGTAGAGCGACGACAAGTTGCGGTTCGCGGTTCGCGGTTCGCAGTTCGCAGTTCGCAGCTTGCAAGCAACAGAAAGAAAACAGAGAAAAGCGAGAAAATCGAGGTTAAAAGCACCCACGCCATTGGGCTTATTACCTTACCATGTTATCATGTCGTTTCTAACAACTCGCCCAGGGTTACTGGACATTCGGGTATGCTGCTGGCAAGGATCCTGATTATCCGGAAGCTGCTGTCCGAGGGGGGCGTGAATTCGTAGGGTTGCATCGTACAAGCACCCACGGCCCCAGAATGGTGGACGAGTTGGGAACACATATAGGTCACGGCTGTAAGCAGGAACTTCCGTACCGTCTTGCCATTTTACTACCCTATCCGCGTGGGTGGTTGGTCTTGGACTCTTGCGCCATACGTAGCAGCTGCAGGCGACCGGTTCTGTAGGATCAAGTATGTGATAGTATTAAGTCTGAACATGAACAGGAACAGGAACACGAGAAGCCCTTCAGGAGAAGAAGAAATCAAATTACATCACATGGATCGAGGTGGTGATGAGTAAGCAACTGGGTGTCACATGATCTCACAGCTTTCATTGGCTGGGAAAGGTACTTAGATACTTAGGTACTTAGGTACTTAGGTACTATGCCAAACACGAAGTGGTAGCACGCACGCAGGACAACAAAACAAACTTGATTGGATTTATACAGAGAGGCATCAAGGCATATATTAAGGGCACAGAAAATACAGTAATTCATATATATTTATCCGCAAAGGAAACTAGTTCATCCCTTCACTCTAATCAGTTTACTCATCCTCATCACTGTCACCTCCCCAGTAGTTTCTCTTCGTCCTTCTTTGGCCTGCTAAAGTAATGCGGAAGACCCTGCGTCACTTGCACGGCTTGTCGAACATGAGCTGCGTTCAGAGGAGCCATCATGATGGGATCTCGGGGCCTCTCGCCATTCATTTCTCTACTTTCTTGTATTGCCAGGGATTGTGCCAATTTCATAGCATTACGGATTTGCCGTCTGTTGAGCTGTAGGTTTTTTAGATAGTCCATGTCGTCAAGGAGGTCTTCCCGAGAATCTCTATTCTCTAGTCTCTCGATACATAATTTCCATATCTTGCGCCTACTACTGGTTGATAGAGTGTACTCGGTCGCGTATTGAATACGAGATTGGAATGCATAGTCCAAAGTCCCGATCCTATTTGTTGTCATGAACATGATACCATTGAAATACTCGAGTGTCTGTAGAAAAGCTACCTAGGAGTTAATAGGGCATTCGTACGAAGACTTCAGAGTAGAACGTGCCAGAAACCATGCCATTTCTCTTGATGTCCTCGTAAGATCTTGATTCCAAGATCGCATCTGCCTCATCTAGCAGAATAATAGCTCCTAGCCTATCCGCATAGCCTAGGAATTCCGAAATAGAACCCGAAAAGTCGCCCCCGTCTGTCAGGAGACTGCTGACCCGGAGTACAATCAACGGCTTCTCCGTAAATTCAGCCACGCTCTCTGAAGGCTTGGTCAGCGTAAGTCTCAGAGGTGAAAATGCTAGAGGGGATACAACCTGCTGTCAGCGTCTTGCCAACTCCTGGGGGCCCATGAAGAACGATCACAAGACCCTACTGCGTGTTAGTGAAGAAACAGAGCAGTAAAGCGTTACCTACCGCGCCTTTGCCCGGTATGATATCCTCTGTACCGCTGGAAACTCCTCAGAATGCTTTTGAAGCAGACTTCGAATGATGGTTTTCTTCTTGTCATCAAGAACTAGTTGTCCGAATGCCAATTTGTTCCATTGGATCGGATATAGATCAGACAGTGCCACCACTTCATACTTAAGATTTTGAGGATCGAAGCATATGACCTCATTAGGACAAAACAAAGCTTGTTGGTCGGAGACTTGCTATTCTGGTGGTATATTGTCATAGCTATAGTATTCGGGTCGGCTATCCCAAAATCTTACGTTCTTCGACTCTACCGTTTCTGTAGAGAACGTTAACCATACTGGTAGTTCTTTTCCTGAATCGATAATTAAACGTCCGGAACGCTAAAGAAATTGGTCCGTCAGGGATGAATATTCGATACGCCATTGGTATGAGATCTTACATGTCCTATACGGGAAGACTCATAACGACCAGCGAAGTAACCGTCGACTTGCACGTACTGGATATAGAGCCCTTCGTGCATCCAATAACTCGATTTGTCTGACAGAAGTTGACACCACCGCTGTCCTCTTGCTATTAGTTCATTTCTAACTAGTTCTCGAGCCTCTTCGTTGCCGTATATTTCGAAAGGATATAGCGGAAGGCCCTTGATCCTTCGCGAGCCCTCGAAATAAGGGATGCTAAGTTCGGGAATTTGGCGACTGAAGCAACGCATGGCTGGAATCCAGGCCAATCCCCACGTAGTTACTTTGAATATTGAAATGCTAGTAGGTTCCTGAAAATTGTTGAAAATTGCGACTACGTAACCTTCCTCGATGAAAGAAGACTATTAAAGACAGACAACACATTTCAACGGATGCTTCGAATTTCTTACTAACACCTGCCCTGTGCATGCGGCCTCCACATCTCCTCCGCACTTACTATAAGCTAGTTTACTTTATCATAGTTATGCAACTTGTTGATATAATATTCTAACTGGCTAATTAGATAAAACATTAGCTAAAATGCCACAAATTCTAGCAACTCCCTCCCTATTCACATCGACTGAATATATATCCCTAATACATGTAATGCCCTCTAGTATAACCGCTATCTATTAACAAGAAATTTTAATGCTCCCCCTTCTTATGCTATTTGGGCGCTGGATCTGGACTCCAAATTTCAAAATCAATACATCCGATTGGAGAATTCCACCTTCCAGCTCCACCATATTTCTCCGTAACGGTATCGGTGTTGCCTGTGAACTGTTAGGGGGGTTGTAAAATGGCAAAGGAGGTGGAGGGTTCCCCGATACATACAATTGTCAATAATAAGCAACTGCGCATGCTGGCAATCTTTGTAAGGAATACCCGACAAGGATTTCGGTTTAGGTTTACACCCGTCTTGATTGTCGCTCCAATGGTGAGTCATGTGCAGATACTGGCTGGACTTGGTACGGATTCCGTCTTCCCAGCCGATCTGGGAACCATCCCAATTGCCAGGTGGAGTTTCGATCATTTCACTGCCACAGCCGAGGTTGATAGCATCGCTGGCAATCCGTCGATCCACTGGCTTGATCCCAGCCATGTTCTTGTTTATACATTGCCAGGTGAACTCTGGGCGTGCGCCACCCGTGTAAGCAGGGGGCTTGGGAGGTGTAAATGTCGGCTTTACGGTGCAGGACGCAGGTAGGGTATTAACTGTAGTCGTGGGGCAGTCGGCGATATTGGTGACTTGCCTGTAGATCCACTTGCAGTCGAAGACGGTGCTTGTTACGCATGTCTTTGATAGTGTAGGGAAGTCCGTGGGCGTGGGCGCCTTGGTGGTCGAACATGCGGGGAATCCTATGACAGCATTGTCACGCTTTATCTGAAGAGCGTCGCCGGAGAAGTCAAATAAGGCCTTTTCATCGAGATTGTAGAACTCTTCGGGGAACTCCTTGGTAAGAGCTTCGAACGCATGACCGAATTTGTTTTTAGTCTTGTCTGGGTTTTCTGTTGCGCTTGGGAGGGCTTCAATAGCTGAAGTGATGGAGGCTACATATTTGACGGTATCGGCTTGTTGCTTTTTCAAGAAGTTCCTGATGTACGCCTCGTATTGCGACGCCCAGGTCGCAGGAAAGAGACTATCACCTGCCCCTTTAATAGGTTCGCAAGCCTGGAGGTCATCGAACGCAAGGCTAAGAGAAGATGACATGTTAGAAGGAGGTGGCTTGTCGGGAGAGGTGGAGCGCAGCTTACAATCCTCTATACACCGCGGTGTTGATCTTCTTGAATTGTACCTGCGCGGCTGGGAGTTTATTGAAGGACCACGCCATGGCTCTGTGAGACACTAGATTAGCTATCATATATCCATAGATTTCCGGGCCAAGACTCTTACATATCGTTCCATAGATTCAAATTCGCATCTACGGCATCGAGGGGAGTGAGACTAGGACCAGGAACCTTGATCTTTTGGATGCCGTCAAGTCCCGGGTTCATGAGTTTTCCTTTGACAGCGTTGATGTTCTGGTCTAGACCGATGAAAGCCTTATTTTTCTTATTTGGTCCGAGGAAGAAAAGGGTTTGAAGGCGACTCAACCTTTTCCCACTGTCATCCACTGCGGCTGGGTTGGCGTTGTCTTTAGTGAACATGTCGATGAATGGTTTGCAGCGGACATCCTTGCTATCTGTGAATACCGAGGAAAAGAAATCTTTGATGAAAGACACTTCATCTAATTGAAAAGGATAGAGTTAGCTAGCGATCACGCCTGAAATTAATCTTCTGTAAACAGAGAATCGAGGGAAATTTCTAGAATGATAATGTAGAGTGCTCCGCGAATTGCGAGCGTCAAGGGAACGGATAACTTACAAGCGTGATCAACGCTTAGCTTTTTGGCTGCTGGATTTTGTTGATCATATCCAGCTGGCAATGTTCCTACTCCAGTTCCAGTTCCTGTATTTCCTTTGTGTTGCAAAGTGTAAACTGTGCAGAGCTTGAGACCAGCAGCAGGTTGAGGGATATACCACCACTGGTCACCTGGTAGCCCAGCCGCCGTCGTCTTCTGGATATCTGAAACAGATGGGTATCTCAGTGCCGTTCTAAGTTCAGGGCTAAGAACCTGCGGACAGTTGCCAAGTTTCGAGAGAGGCTTCCCGCGCTTGAGGATACTGGCTGGGTTCCTCGACTGCAACGAGTCATCGATGACTGGGCTCCTCAGAAGAATCACGGAGTTATCATAGGCTACTCGACCTGCAACCCGCTTCACTTTGTTAGGAGTACTCGTATCGGGCAGGTCTTCGCCCGTATTGTTATCGTCGGTCTCGACATCCGAGAGATCAGGTTTAGAACCCCTGTATAACCAGCACTCCGCGACGCCAGTTGGGCCGGTGGATGGTGGTTTGCCACCCTCGGCGGTGCTTTGCAACTTGGATGTTGGTGATGTCGTCGATGTTCCTGGCTTGGTGATTATGATAGTTGTGATTATGGTTTGAATTGGTTTTGCCTTGTTGAAGTCATCCTTCTTGATGTCCACTTTAAATGGAGTTTCCTTCCCTCCCTCTGCAATCTTTTGCATCTGTGCAGCAAACATGGCCCCTACCACACCGATCCCACCGAACCCTGCGTACTTTCCGGCTTCAGCAGCTGCATATATATCGAAAGCTGCGGTGACCTTGGTTAAAAATCCGGGACGGCAAGCTAGAGCCCGTTTCTTAAGAGAACAAAACTCCGTTCTAATGCCGTTGATCTCGTCTACAAACGATGGCGAGATAAGGACAGAGATATCTGCCTTGAGAATTCCATCTGCAGGTAAATCCCCTACAATAGACGCCTGGACGTCGGTGGTACTAGTCACAGGTGTTCCTTGTGCATTTGTAGTGGTGGTTGTGATTTGCGTGATGTACTCGCTATTGACCCCGATCCATTTCGTGACACCGTTGTCTTCTGTGAGCATATCCGTGTTGACGCCAATCTTGCCTGCGTATGACGCAGGATCTTGGGTAAGATATTTTGTGTCGACCTCGATTATATGCTCCGTCACAGTTTGATCGACCTTATCGACGCCAATCTGGCCGATGGCAACACTTGCGAGTGAGAGCAAAGAGGCGACATAGCCTAAACGCATAGTGAATGCCATAATAGAAGCCCTACCAAGCAGTAGTACTTCGAAACCAAAGGGAGGATGAACTCAAAAAGAAGGGGAGGTTGAACCTTGGGAAAAGAGAAAATTAGGGGCTGGAGTGACGTATCAAGTACATATAGAAATGGAAATAGACTTAAAGACCATATCAGTAAGCGCCCACTTGGGAGCCATATTGTTCACCAATAACAGCGCGTAGCTCAAAGACTCGTAGCATTTCAGCTAGTGAAAGTATTCAAACCCGCAGCAAAAATGATCAAGGATTGTAGGCAGCTATGTTCCCGGCACTATCGGCCCAAATCCAAGTCTTACTTAAAAGATTTTGTGCCCAAAATCTGACCTGGTAGGATGATGTTGGCTAGGGTAGACGTAAGGCTACACTACTTAGATTAGACTTTTAAATCAAGGCCATGTGCTTCGTACCTGGTACAGTTTTATTTAACCAGTGGCAGACACCGCTAAGGTTCCCGATCTTCATGATAGGATTCGTGGCTTTCTCACAAAAGTAAGGATCGGCAGGCCTGGCCGGTGTGGCCATCGCACGAAGTTGATTTCTGTAGAGAATTTAGACAGAGCGGCATAGCCTCATGGGTGGAGATTAGAAGGATTCAAGAAATAAGCATCAAGTTACAAAATACGAAACATCAAGCTTACTGGACGGCGTTAAGCTACCCGCCCCCGCCTTCTGTGCTACTCTGAGTAGGCTCTGCGTAGGCTATGCTCATTAATCAATCATAGGGACTGTTCAGCCAGCCACCATCAGCAATTCGACGCCAAGAGCTCCGGTGGTGATCTATTATTAGGGGGCTTCTGCTGTATGCCTGTAAGGGGCGCGACACGCTTAGCTGTGCCCGTTTGCTCAGTGCACACTGCACATCGCGGACGACTCGGCATCTACGATTCTACAGTACTAGGTAAATAGCTCTATCACAGGCGGCAAAACCTGTACCTGATACTGTAACTCTACTACAGTTTCCTCCCCTCATGTGCAGCATTTATTTTGGGGTTATAATTTTTCATTCATTGCCTTGAAACATGGCAACATTTACAGGCTTGCCCGATCACCTCGTTCTGCTGATTTTACAGCACGTACCTAACAATTCTCTCCTACCCCTGGCTACTGTGTCAAAGAGCTTCCATCGCTGCTCAGTCCCTCAAATCTATCGCTACGTTCATCTATGGGAGAATGGGCAGTCGCCCCCGCACGTCCCGGACTGGACAAGCAGATACTTACATCTAAGCGGCGTCGGCCTCGGACGGCCTCCTCCCTGGGATACGCGGATATTTCACCTGTCGCTCTTTCTCCGCACTATCACCGAATCTGAGGCCTTACGCTCTTGCGTTGTTGGCGCGACCCTTACTTGTCGACCGGATCAAGAAGAAACTGCCTTCCAGGTAATTCAGCTATTAGCACCTTCACTACAAGACCTCCACTCCAAGCGTATGCTAGCCACATACGACCGAAACGCAACGTTTCTACCTGCAATTGGCTCCTTGGAAATCGAAATTCCTGAGGAAAGCGAAATTGACTGCGATACTGGAGACCTTAAAAATAGCATTGATAAAGAGAAAGTTTGTTCCCTTTTCGACCTTTCTAACATTAAATTGCTCAGCTTGTCTGGTGTCCGGAATTGGAATCTCTTGGTACAAGGATCTCTTGTGGAGAGATCTGGTACCTCAAACATCACATGTCTATCATTAGCAAACACGGTTCCGGCAGATCAGGGCTTGGCGGAGGTTCTCTCATGGCCGAAGGTTCTGAGGTCTCTTCGTTACGAACTCCAACTTTCTGAAATCCACGACGGATTTTTCGGCCCTGTCCTTCCAGGTGAAGCTAGACTATCGGCGAAAGAATTCGGCCTTGCCCTTAGATCGCAAGAACAAAACCTCGAGGAGCTATTTATCTACGGCGATTCCGAGAGTGATCGATGCGGGTACGAACCAAGAGAAACAATCGATCTTCACTTATTCGCTCACCTACAATACGTTGGGCTCCCACTCACATTCCTATTCATATCAGAGGAGCAAGCGGCCTCGCGTGGTATCTCGACTTCTGTTTCATCAATATCAGAGATCCTCTCTCCTGCTCTCACGGAATTACAAATCGAGATACCATATGAATACCGCTATTCGACCTATTTCTCATTAGAACCTGATGACAACGACCTAGAGCTTTCCCCGGGGGAGTTAAGTGCCTTCATCTGCGAGATTGTGCGGAACAAAACTTCTCGATTTACTAAATTGCGGACGATCGCATTTTGGCAGCAGGATGTCGCGGGAAATCCACGGGAGGTCTATGACTTGGAAAGCGAAGCTTGCTGCGGTGAACTAGTTAAGGCTTGTAAGGCGGCCAAAATTCAGATATCATGGGTCGTGAGTAAAGAACCGCCATTATTTTAGCTCATAATGGCAATAATTACGATGTTATTATGTGGGCTGCGAACAGAGATACCCTTCCTAAATCTCTATATTCTAGAAAAAGTAAAATGGAGTGAGATTTGAGAGGGAATACCACATAAAATTTGAGAGCGTTGAGGTTATCCTGGACTTTCTCTCCTTTAGTGATAAGTTGGTAGTCCAAAGAGCATTCAAGCTGCGGACGTCGTTGGGATCGAGATAAATTACTATTAGATTCACTTTTCGTCCCTTGAGCGAGGATGTACTTAGGGTGCAGCATGGGGCCCCATGGGGTGGGTTTTGAGATTTCAACCCACCCATGGGGTGGGGCGTACTTTTACGACCCAGCCTATGGGCGCCCCATGGGGGTGGCTTATGGGGCAACGGGTGCCCATGGGGCATGTGAGTTATCATGTGATCTCTTATATAATAATAAATAGCGATTTATTCTAGAAAAAGAAATCTATAAACTCTTTATATATATTTTCAATATAAAGAATAGAGTAAGATATAAATAATATTATTAATAATTAAATCAATAGAGTTATAAATTAAATTATTAAATTATTAAATTATTATTAAATTATTAATTAAATTATTAATTCATTGATTCATTGATTCATTGATTCATAGCCCTTAACTACTATGACTACTGCAACTGCCAGATGGGTATATTGCTCTGTCCATAACGCCGTAAAAAGTCAAGTAAAAACAATTACAGCCCATGCTAAATACCTGGCACCTCAGATCCTGTCATAAGCATCCGCAACTGACGCAGGAGTTTCATATCTTTCTGCATAATTGTTACACGCTTTCCATGAATCGCCAGGAGGTTTGCCACTAGTAAAGTTAGTAGAGGGTTAGTAGACAGCTAAGATGTACTTACTTTCGAATTCCTTGGTAAGAAAAGCTTCAGCTGCCGATTGAATAGCTTCTAGAGCACTAGCTTGGAATCTTATGAAATGATGTTGCAGATCACCGCGTGTGATTTCACGGACTAGACGAACAAATGGTGCTTTGGGGAGAAGCATTAGTTCGGATTTCTGGTAGTAGCGAATTTCACGAAGTGCAAGAGCTATAAATATCAGCAAATTGTACAAGGTTAGTAGAAGGTTAGTAGACTTACTTCCAGGCCTTACACGGCGGAGTTGTGCATTGGGATTTTTATCCTTGGTAGGGTGGGCCTTATAGATTGGCGTTCGCAGGTTTTCAGTTTTCTTCTTCTTGCCCTTTACTGGCTTCTTTCCACGAGCAGGCTTGGGGCGGCGGGGTGCTTTGGTAGGAGCTTTTCGCGGTGCTTTTTTTGCTCCTTTACGGACTCCCTTTTTCTTCCCTGCCAGGGCACTAGCCAAAGGTCCTTGTCCAGGGACGAATCCAGCATCTGGTCCAAGGTCATCATCGCCATTTTCCTCCCCGACCTGGTCAGCACCGAAATCAGACTCAAAGTCAGACTATTACAATTTAGCATATAATAAGGTTAGTAGAGGGTTAGTAGACTTACCATAGCAGAAGGTATAGCAGCAGGCTAGGCGAAAACTTGAAAGTGAGCTTTGTTTTTATTTTCAGACGCGACGCGACGCGACAAAGTAGCTAGGCAAGTGAAGTTAGTATTCTATACCTAAAATAATAGTAGGTAGGGGCTATAGGGGCTTACCAGCTTAGTTAGGTTAGTTGACCGATAAATAGAAGGTAAGGTTGTAAAAGGTGGGAGAAATTTACTTTATGCTGACTGGCTGCCTGAGCTCGCTTAATCGGCTCACCGCCCAAACGCGCTTAGCTTAATTTCTTCAACCTCTCCAGCTTTCGAACTTTTAAACCTTACACCTCCGCCCCACAACACTCTACCTTAGACCCTGCACCTTGCAACTTGGGCTTCTACCAATAAAATGCCTCCAAAGCGCTCTGCAACGGCAGCTGGTCTAAATGACCAATCACGCTCTGCAGTAAGTAGCTCTGGTGCCTACTAACCTGTCTACTAACCTGTCTACTAGCCTCCTCCACCTATGCCCTCGACCCCGCCAGGCGGCCTGTCTACGAACCATAACACCGTCAAGGTGCGTGCCCGTCAGCAAATGCTGAAGGCAGACCCGGGAAAATGGCAGCGCGAAAAGGCCCGGGAACGTGATAGGGCAGCAAAAAGCTATGCAGTTAGAAAGTTAAAGCGCACTGATGGATATAAGAACTCGGATCAGACACAGCAGCAAGCACTTATTACACGTGCGGAAGCTGATGTTATGGCTGGCCGGATTAGAGATAAAGTCGATTATGATTCAGTGGTTCAGGCGCAGAAAGATCTACTGGCTGAGAATTGGGACGATATCGAGGATGAGGATGAGGAGCTCACAAGGGCAGATGATTTGGCCAATAACGAGGTCATTCCTGTTCTTGCAAATAGTAAAATTCAGGACCAACTCCGGCTAGTAAGTTTATTCTTGACTAATATTTTACCGAATATAACTAATATTTGAATAGAAGGCTATGTTATTTGGATACGATCTCTGGAAAAGCCACTGGATTAGCACCTATGCCAGTCTTCGTGAAAAATTACACCGACTCTCTCGACGTGGCTATTATGAGATTAATGCGGCGTCTTACAAAGCAACTACTGCTCGGTAAGTTTTTCTATATAAGGTTAGTAGACGTCTACTAACCCTTGCAAGGCACCAACCATTTGTTCAACTTGCCCCCACAGATTACTTTGAGCCATCCGAGATTGCAATGTGGAGCAGTATGCAGTCATGGAACAGAAAAGAATGGGTTGAATTGCCTGGCCCTGCGCGTTGGTGGAATGGAACTGATGATATAGCTTGTGGGTTTGTTGGATCCAAGGATGCACAAATCTGTGCAAATGCTTTCCTACTTGCATTTGTTCCAGAGCGGTTTAAAGTAACTGCGGCACAGCTGTTTTTTCACCCTTCTACTATTGTTAATAGCGATAGTTTCTCGGTGGATATTTCTTCAGAACTCCTAGCAGTACTGGTTTAGATAATTAAGTAGAGCAGATACAAATAACTCTTACTAAGTCTTATATAGTTGTATATTGTGAATAAAGTATAAAGTAGTATAATATATTTATGTAACTAATTCTACTTAAAGAATAGTTTTAACCTTTTTTATTTTAGTAAGCTTAGCTAGTCTGTACTACTGTATGTAGTACGTAATAGATATCAGTACATATTAAGATTCGAAGTCCCTATTATTATCTTTTCTAAGTTCTAACTCTTGATTCCAAAATCGAAACTTATATCTCCCCGACAATTACAAGTCTACTCTTTGTTACTAATACAATGAACGCTTCCCAAGAACCCAATTTCGGCAGTGATTCCCAGTTTATGGATGAGCTTGTATTATCGTCGTCTGCCTTCCAGTCATCCCCCCCCAGAGTCTATAATACATCGGATATCAATCAAGAATCCGTATTACAACGTATTGGAAAGTATCAGCAGTTCTACCAATGGTCAGTAGCCCAGAAGCACGAGTTCGAGTTATGGTGGTCCGGGACTTCCTGGTACGCTGCTAATAATGCACTACCTCGCCCAGCTTCACTTAAGTGGGAAGGATCGCGGACTTCAACAAGCTGGTCAAACTATGCCCAGGGCGCACATATTCGAGATGGGAAGCCTGCGGTAGTATGTCTCTCTTGTCAAGAGGTTTTATCACATCCGAATTCGAAGAGTATATCAACAGGGACGAAGGCATTGATTGCACACACCCGGTCAGACAAGTGCAAGAAGGCTCTTACTCGCAATAATGGTACAATATATCGTCAGTCGACTATATATGAATCACATAGACAAGTGGTATGTTACATATAGTAAGAGGGTTAGTAGACTCTACTAACTTATTCAATAGGCTGTTTCCACACCTCGTTACGATGATATGACCTCGACTGGATTCGTTGTTCGATTTATCCTCTCACTCCACCTCTCTTTTCGTACAGTCGAAAATGAAAAGTTTCGCGAACTAGTTCAGCATCTATGTCCAGGGGAAGCTATGGTATCTGCGTCTACGATTCAGCGGCGGATTATGGATAAAGTACACCAACTAGGTCCAGCTGCATTGAAGAATCGAGTACCAAATGCATCGGTTGCAATTACACTAGATTGCTGGACTAGTCCAACTAATATTGCCTTTATGGCAGTTAACGTTCACTATATCGATTCGTCTTGGAATTTTATCACGGAGCTTATAGGGTTCGAACCATTGACTTCTACACATTCCGGGCTTGATCTTGCAGAAGTTCTATTCAATGTACTAGAGCAGTTTGGGATACGGGAGTTAGTACGAACTATTACTGCAGATAATGCAAGTAATAACAAAACACTTGTTGCTGAGATGAACGAGCTTCTTACCAAAGCTAGAACTTCGAAGCTTACAGTAGCTGGCCGCTCTATGTTCCCGCAGCAGATTGTTAGTGTTCCTTGTCTTTCTCATATCTTTCAATTAGTCCTGCAGGCGATCCTTGGGGGTATCCGGGTAAACCCGACCAACGACGAGCTCAAACAGAATTGGCATACTATAGATGAGGAGGAGTTTCAGTCCGAACAAGGGTCCCAGGGGCTGCCGTTTACTCTGGCAAAGGTATGTACTATGTCTACTAACCCTCTACTAACCTTTAACTAAATTTACCAGGTTCGAAAACTAAGCATATATATCAATTCAAGTCCACAACGCCGGATTACATTCGATAATATACAGCGATCGCTTGCAAGGAATAATAAACCACCTCTTCGGCTTATTCAAGATGTTAAGACTCGGTGGAATTCGACATGTTTAATGTTAATCCGCGCAACGAAATTACGCTTGTCGATTGACGAGTATACACGCCGGGGTACACCATCTATGTTTCGTCTTACTGAACATGAGTGGAAGCAGGTCGAGTATCTTATTGATCTTACAAAACCATTTGTACTTTTAACAGACCAGATCGGACAGTCGAAAGGGATTTCAATTGGCGCAGTATATACGTTCTATGATATAGCGTTTACACATATCGAACAAATGACTGCACAGCTCGAAGTCAAGGTTGGGCGAAGGCATGGACCACAGATAAAGTGGATACAGGAGTTACTAGTAGGGCTAGGCGCTGCACAGGAAAAGCTCCGAAAGTATTACACTGAAACATACAAAGACCTTGGATCGCTTTACGCCTTTGCAATGATATTAACACCTGGATTTAAAACATCATCGTTTCAAACAGATAGTGGGCTTTCTTCTACTGAGTTTGGTACTGACTGGGAATACGAATATACCTCGCAGCTAACCTCTATATATACTAAGAAATATCAGAAAAAGGGGGACTCTGTACATAAACGTCAGAAGCCGGCCCGTGCTCGTCACGACTTACACTTGATTCTTAGCTCGACTTGGGGCAGGAATTGGCTAGGTACAAATACTGATAATGACGAGTCAGAATTGGAGAGGTACCTTCGGGAATGTAAGTGCTCCGCTCTACTAATCTTCTACTAACCTTCTACTAACCTTTTTTTGATTCTAGCTCCAAAACTGCCAAGTGATAGTAGGACCGATCTAGAGTGGTGGAAGGACCAAGAGGCCGAGCTACCCGCATTAGCTGCTTTTGCACGAGATATTTTGGCCACTCCAGCTGCAGCTGTTAGTGTTGAGCGCGTATTTAATGTTGCAAAGGATGTCTGCGATCCACGTCGAGCAAGGCTAGCTCCACTCACGATCCGAGCAATTATGCTTGGACGCTCATATGATGAACTGCCAGCTAATGATGATATTGGAACGACTATGGTAGACGAGCTTACTCTCGAGGAGCAAGATCAAGAAATAAGTCGCCGTGAGGAGGAGTTCAAGGAAAGGTTAACGACAAGTTATATTAGCGACGAAGATGAGGCCGAAGTCGAAGCTTACGCTGCTAATTATGCAATAAGTCGTCGTATTAGCCCGAAAAAGATTGCTGGCGCTTCGCAATCTTTACATCAAGAAACCCCTCGTAGGATACGGCGGGAACGATATATTGCTGCCTTGGAAGCAGAGTCGAGTACTAGCCGCCGTCAAAGCCGGCAGGTATATGACCTTGAGAGCTCGCCTCCTCCAAGTTCTCCTACTCCATCTTCTAATCAGCTAGTAGGAGAAAAGGAAAGTGCGAGTATCCCTACTATAGGTTCAGATATCGACTTTGCAATACCACTTCCGCGTCAGAGACAGTCGACTACACCTACTCCAATAGAGTCATACTCTGCTAAACGTAAAGCAGACTCTCTTTCCAATACTACGACTCGACAAACCTCTCGAAAAAGGATTCCCAAACTTATATTTAGTCCTCAAAAATAGTAGTATAATATATAATAATATAATATTATACTACTTATATATATAAAGTGATTCTGTTGAAATTGTACTCTACTAACCTGTCTACTAACCTGACTTTAATTCTATATAAAGTTATGTATATATTAAAATTATGACAGTGTATTATAATTATGATAGTGTATAATTAAACCCATGGGGCCCCATGATTGGGGTATACTTTTCGTACGCCCCAGCCCCATGCCCCATGGGGCAGGAAACTCGACGCCCCACCCATGGGGGCGCCCCAGCCCATCTGGGGCGTGGGTAATGGGACCCCATGCTGCACCCTAGATGTACTCTACTCCTTAGGCTCTAATTTCAACGAAGCAACGACCAACTACTCGCGATATAGTCTCCATACCCGAGGCTCTTGTTCTGCTCCAATTTCGAGAAATACAGAGCAGAGTATTTCCCTAGCTATATCGATATAATCCTATCAATCAAAGATGGGTTAATCGGAAGTAGACGTAGACCATACAGAACGAAAAGTAGGGGACGAATAGGGCGTAGACTTGGGGCTTATATTCGTCGTAGGTCAAATGGATAAAGAGCTAAGCTCTCTATCTACTATAGATTATTAGTATTTGTACATAAGGTACCTATCTGCCGATTTTATATAATCCAGTTAATACCACAACAGTCAGTGAGTGAGTGCCGAGGTTGTCCCGAAGAAATCCCATGATACGTGACGTGCGGGCCCGTGCGGCCTAGAGCAGCGCTGCTCGCGGTGCTCAAGTGAGCACCGGTTTCTGTCCTAATCGCGAAGCAGTACACAGCATCACCGTGATACCCATCTGCCTCCGCAACCACCACCTCACATCTCCAATCCGTATCCATATATCCCCACCCTCCTCCCTCGCCACCGAGCTGTACCCATCATGGCAGACCGATTTCCGTCCCTCGAAGAGTTCGATTCTGGCGGTATGTGTGGCGCACCCTTATACCCAGGGGAACTACATTTCATCAACATCAACTTACTGGCCTGAGCAATCTTGCTAACACCACATCCAGCAGCACAACTCTCATCACAAGCTGGAACACCCGGCTTCGAGACAGCCAGCGGGGACGACTTCCTCAGCCGTGAGAAGGCACTGCTAGGTGATGACGCCGACCAATTCGCAACAGGCAACGACAACGCAGCCTTTGTTGAGGATGGCGACGATGATCTTCTAGGCGGCGGCGGTAGCAACGAGGAGGTCACGGAATTCGAGAGCTCTTATCCAGCTATTGATACGCGGAACGAGGTACGTACGGGGTTCTTTCCATATCCCACCATCCCCTATTACATTAGTAGCAGCGCCACTAACACAGCAAACAAACAGAACGTAGCCCCAGGAGGAACCATCACCGGCACACCCGCGCCCTTCCAATCATCCTACCAAGCCCCATACGCCGAAGAGGAAGAAGAGCCCGAAGTAATCAAACAATGGCGCGAACGCCGCGACCTGCAACTGCAATCCCGCGAGGAGAAGTCGGAAGAGCGCAAGGCTGAAACCATCAAGGCCGCGCAGCAAAACATCGATGACTTCTACGAGAACTACAATTCGAAGAAGGAGAAGATGATTGCGCAGACGAGACGCGAGGCTGAGGAGTTCTTGGAGAGCAGGGAGGATACGTCTGCCGGTGGAACTAGCTGGGAGCGGATCGCGAAGCTGGTCGATTTGAGTGGGAAGGGTGCTAGGGGTGGAGCGAGCGGAACTGGGAAGGAGAAGTTTAGGGAGCTGTTGATTAGTCTGAAGAAGGATGAGAAGGCTCCTGGTGTTACGGGCTACTAGGTTAATTTGAGACGTGTAGAGAGAGGACCTATGGAGAAACTTGTAAGATCTTAGTGCATGGATGGTTTGTCTTTCATCGCGAGGCCAGCCTTTTTTGGTGGATATGGGCGAATGGGGGCGTTGAAAATACATGACAGAGACCATGTCGGCTTCCTTCACGAAGGAAGTTGATAACTTTGTGTGAATGCAATGCTTTTGCTAATAAATAACTAACTCGCTGCGCTTCCCACTCGATACCTATGCAGTGCAATGCTATTCATTTCGTTGCCATCAAATCATCATGTCCATAATCACTCCCGCATATAGCGTAACTGTGAAATTGATTACTCTGGATCGTCAGAATACTTTGAAAGAGCTGCTTGTTCAGCAGCTTGCTCTTGTTGAGCTGCCTTTTCCTGCTCCTCGAACTCCTTTAGCGCCTTCTGCCCTTCCTCCGTCGTAGCGTCAATGATCTGCTCTTCAACAGATAGCATACCGCCCTATAACATGTTAACAACCGACATATATCACGTCAAAGGACTTTACAACTCACCTCGCTCAGTTGGGCCACGATCTCCTCAGCTTCCTCTACACTCATCTTCCCTAATACTTTATTGACCTCATCTAAGCTTCCGCTCTCCAATGCCCGTTGGAGCCCAGGTGGGAAAGCGTTAAACAACTCTTTCGCCTTAATCTCTGCCGGGTCCGAGCTGTTCTCAGGGGGGATCTGGATGTTGATCGTGGTATTAGGGTCAACAGCATGCAGCTGGATCTGCTCCACACCACCAGTGCCTTCTGCCTCCTCTTGGGCTCTCTGTTTTTCGATTTCTTTCGCTCTTGATTTGATCCGTGCAAAGGTGGAGTTAACATCATCGAAGAAGACCTTTTGAGCCTGGTGGCCAGGAGTGGTGATGCGCTTGAAGAACATCCTAACGCCATCTCGACCTAGTGCTCTGCAGTATTGGAGAAGAAGGGCTTGATGTACACATTGCCGCGCAAGTTCATACGCACCATCAATCGCAGAGTTGAAGGCCAGGACTAGAAGTCCATCTGTCTCCTTCTCCGCTACTACCTCGGGATGCTGGGAAATAAATTCTAAGCATGTCCGATAATCCCCTGCCTTGATTGATGCGAACTTCTTGCCTAGCTCTGAAGCCTCCACTTCGTCCTCATCGTCATCATCGCCGCCCATAGGCTCATCAGCGTCGGCATCCGCGCCAGAGGATTGTTGGCCGTCGGATTTCTTGGTTAGGAGTGGCTTGCCAAGCGCCTGGGGGTTCAGTACTTCCACTGTTTGGGCTTTCTGCGTCGACTTCTTGGCTTCCCCAGTAGACTTATCCTCTGCTTTGCCTTTGGTGACATGAGAGCTGTCAAAGCCTGTATGTATGTTCTCACTGGTAATCTTTCTGCCTTCCTCTTTCTCTAAGCTGTCCAACTCTTCCAGCAGCTGCCTTTGTAAATCTTCAACCTTGGCCTTATGAGACTTGACATCCTCGACATAAGCCGCAAATCTGTTTTCAGGCTTGTCCTCGTCAACCTTGGCCTTCACTTGGTCAACTAATGCGGCCATCATTTTGGAATATGTTGGTTGCTCTTTCTCCTGTGTATGCACTCCAGCCGGGGGCGGCGGGGGAGCCTCATTCGGGGAATCTCCAGCCGTCTCCATAATGGCCATGAACATGAGTTCATCCGGGCTGCGTTTGTCTGCATCGGCGCTATGAGACTCGAGGGCGGCCAGGAGAGCGTTGATGCGTTTGAGCAGGCCATCGTTGACCACGCGCTCATACTTGTACGTCTCGATTTTATTTTTTCGCTCGAAGCGCTGCTGATGGATTTGATTTTGTTTGGCGCGAATGAAGGAGCGTTTATCGACGTTGGGGTGGACTTCGACGTCCGAGTCGTCGCTCAACTCGAGCGCATCCTGGGGTGGTCAGCCTCGAGATTCAGCCTGGTGGGCTTGAAGGTGAACTGGGGGGAGGTGGGGGAATAATGATGTTCAGGTACATGGCATGCCTGAGATTAAGTGGGAGTGTACTTACCCATTTACTGTAATCCACAGGCATTTTGAATACTGCTGGTTTCTTCCCGTGCAATTCCTGGGAGATACTGTGTTGTTGTGCTGAGAGAATGGGATGTTGTTGCGGTCGAGTCTCCAAGTTCTTGTTCTTGTTCTTGTCGCTCGAATGTTCGATGAGCTGCGGCCTCCGTACAGGCTCGGCAAGCACCTTGCTCCGAAATTTAGCCGGCACCCACATGTCCGCAGCCCCCGATGACGGAAGGCCGAAGCTAATAAGACCGTCGACAACAGCACGGAGACTTCTTACCTCCGAACGACTAGATGATCATTTCTTTTATGATACAACAACACCACCACAACCGCCTATCTACGTTCGCACGCAACGAATACGAGACCATGGGACTTCACAGGAGCCGCTATTTGAATGTCATTCGCCCCGTATTCTGGTGATTCTGGTGGCCCCGATATAATTCGACTTCTATTCGCCAACGCTTGTCGCGATGCGCGCTGCTGTTGTACTCCGAGGTCATGGCTGGCGTGCGTCGGCCATCGACATAGCTTCTTCGAGACAATTCACATCCACAAGCAAGACACCTACAGCCATTGCTAGTCGGTTGCCCAGAAAGCACAATCCTGGCTTCAATCTCCCTTTCCAGGCCCCGGCCGCGCCCTCGCTATTCCAGTGTAGATCCAAGTCCAGCCTGCAATCGCCCGTCGCGGAGCTTGTCCGACGGCCTCGGACTGGCCTCTCATCGCCATGGAGGTCTCCCACTTCTCAATTGCGGTCGTTTACAAACCAACCTGCTCTGCGGGAAGCGCCGAAGGACACAGACAGGCAGGACGTGATAGAAAAAGAGAAGGCGAGAAGGGAAGAGGAGGCGGAAGATCTCATCGATGAGCAAGGCGGGTTCCAGAGGAGTGAAAAGGCTGCCAAGGCAGCGCAGATCAACCTGAGCGCGCGTTTGTCGAGTCCAAAACCGCAGGGGAATACAGCAGGGTTCAAGGAGATATGGAGGTTGATCAAGATTGCAAAGCCAGAGAGTAAATGGCTGGCTCTTGCGTTTGCATTGTTGCTAATATCGTCCTCTATCACCATGTCGATACCATTCTCCATCGGAAAAATATTGGACCTTGCGACCAAGGATGCATCTGAAGGGAACAGGCTATTCGGTCTTGATCTTACACAGTTTTATTTTGCCCTCGGAGCTGTCTTGACTATTGGAGCCGCTGCCAATTATGGGCGAATCATTGTCCTACGAATCGTCGGGGAAAGAATAGTTGCCAGGCTTCGGTCGCAGCTGTATAGGCGGACATTTGTCCAGAACGCTGAATTTTTTGATGCAAATAGGGTTGGAGACCTGCTCTCCCGTCTCAGTTCCGACACAGTCATTGTTGGTAAGAGCATTACACAGAATCTATCCGACGGGCTAAGAGCGCTTGTCAGTGGTGGAGCTGGATTTGCGGCCATGGCCTGGGTTAGCTTGAAGCTAACAAGCATTTTGTGCTTGATGTTTCCTCCAGTAGCCATCGGCGCGTTCTTCTATGGAAGAATGATTCGGAATCTCAGCAGAAAGATCCAACGGAATCTCGGAACGTTGACTAAGATTGCAGAAGAAAGGCTTGGTAACGTCCGGACCAGTCAAGCATTTGCTGGAGAAGCCCAGGAAGTTGGACGGTACAACCATCAGATCAAGAAGATCTTCGCACTGGGCAAAAAAGAGGCACTTATCAGCGCCACTTTCTTCAGTTCATCTGGCTTCTTCGGAAATATGACCATCTTGGCTCTTCTATACTCTGGCGGGTCGATGGTCAAGAATGGACTCATCAGCATTGGAGACCTAACGTCGTTCTTGATGTATACCGCCTATGCAGGATCAAGCTTGTTCGGTCTTTCGAGCTTCTACTCAGAGCTAATGAAAGGGGTTGGTGCCGCCAGTCGGTTGTTCGAATTACAAGACCGGAAGCCTACGATTCCTGCTACCGTTGGCACCAAGGTTAAATCTGCTCGAGGGCCGATTAGGTTTGAGAACCTCCATTTCGCATACCCCACCAGACCAGCAGTCAACGTATTTGAGGGTCTCGATTTTGAGATCCCATCGGGGACCAATGTTGCAATCGTTGGTCCCAGCGGCGGTGGCAAATCAACCATCGCATCTCTCCTTTTAAGATTTTACGACCCAACGCAAGGCAAGATATACATTAATGGGCAAGATATTTCAACCATGAATGGCAAATCTCTCCGTCGCCGAATAGGGCTAGTTGGTCAGGAACCAGTCCTGTTCTCAGGCTCAGTTGCGGAAAATATCGCATACGGCAAACCTCACGCCTCCCGAGCCGAAATCACTGCTGCGGCAAAGAAAGCAAATTGCGGATTTATTAGCGACTTCCCGGATGGACTGGATACGTCTGTTGGCCCTCGAGGCGCCCAGCTATCTGGCGGACAGAAGCAAAGAATCGCAATTGCGAGAGCGCTGCTCAAAAACCCAGACATTTTGATTCTGGACGAAGCAACTTCAGCGTTGGATGCTGAATCCGAGACACTCGTCAACGCCGCGCTAGCAGCATTGCTAAAGGGCCAAAATACCACTATTTCCATTGCCCATCGATTATCTACCATCAAGAGATCCGACCATATCATCGTTTTCTCAAACGACGGCAAGGTCGCCGAGACCGGCACCTATACCGCATTATCGCAGAACCCGGAATCGGCATTCTCGCAATTGATGGAATGGCAGATGACTGGTGGTGACTTGGTAGACAAGCGACAAGTGGAAACCAAAGGTCAGCTCACCGAGACGGAACGAATCGAGCAGGACTTAGCCATCATGAGTGAAGAGCAGGATGACGATATTGACGAGAACGGAGATGATGTTGAGGAGGCGTTGAGGGAGCTCGAAGAAGAGCAGACAAAAGCTGAAGCCGTGATAGAAAAGACCGGGGATCAGGTTAAATAAATGGATGCGGAGTTGTTGTGAGTTGGTTTTGAATATCGGAGGGCTTGGCAGGTGGATTGATAGATACCTGTCACGCCGCGGCGCAGCTTTTTGGCCTTTTATCCTTGATCGGCATGTCGATACCAAAAATAGGATGCTGTGTATTATGTTGAATAATCCCCGAATTGGCGTACTGCGAGGGAAGGCTAAGAAAGATGTGTATATAATACTCCGCTCGATAGATGCAGGTAACTAAAAAAAAGCTGTTCACATATTAGTAACCTGTAAACGCCTCTATTCGGGCATGTGGTCATGAAAAAAATACATGGTTGCCCTAACCTGTTGTGTTGCTCCTCTTAAGGAAGAAATGTACAGTAGCATCGTTCTTATTTTTATTTATTTATACTCATTATTCTAGGGGGATCCCATTGCTATTAATCGTGTAATATATATTTGAGATCCAACGAGACTGGAAATTCTACTATCAGGATAATCCCCTGTCCGCAAGGGGATAAATATAAATAAAGTCAGTAGAGCAGGTATGTACTCGTACCGCCCATATTATTCGTTTTAGCAAGGGTGTTGAATGGTCTTGCAAAATTGTAGCTGCGATATGTAGGTTGGCTAATGAGGTTTACGTGAATAGCTGTATAGTATGAAATATACAGACAAGAGTAGGTAGATAGATCGTGAGCGCGGGATCTATAAATCGCTCTAGGATTTACCTTTGATTAGCAACAAGGAAGAGAATAGAGAAGCATTCATCAGCTAGAGATAACTTGTAGTTGTTTTTCACAACTAAACTGCCAACTTAGATAGTTATAGAGAGAACTAGGAAATGGACGGCTCTAGATAAACAACGCAGAATAGGTATCTCGATCTAACCAACCAACCAACCCTCCAACCAACCGACACAACAATGCAATGCAAAATAGGATCAACCACTCCGCCATTGAGACTCGCAGCGGCAAAAAAACGTCCATCTATACAAACTTCACCTCCCCAAACAAGCCCGCCCGAACCTGGACCAGCGCTGCTAGCTCAAGGAGAAACTCTTGCAGCACTAGGACATTGGTTAATACATGGCTGACTGTAACTGTCTTTTGCTCCTCATATTTCTCGTCACCGCCCATATTATCACCAGAGACGCTCGGCTCATCAGCGCTACCTTGGGCACTCGCATCCGCGTCGATGTCACCGCGCCTTAAATTAGGAAATGGAACAGGCGCCACCTCGCCTTTAGCAGGCGGTAATCCCACTTTCCTTACAAGGATGCTTTGGTCTATAGCTGCGAACGCTGCTGCCTGACTGGCGGGTACCTCGTGGCCTCTCGAGGAATCACGCAAAGGGCTGGAGGAGAAAGCGCGCGAGCTATCACGAGAAGGCGTTTCCCTGCCCATAGGGAATTGCGGAGGGGCAGCTGGGTTTCGTGAGCTTGTAGGAGTTGCCAGGCCATAGCCGCCGCTAAGAGCATTGCTATTACTACGTGGCTGGTCCTGACTTCGGCGGCCACGGGGGGAGTTGGAACGAGATGGAGTGGCGAGTTCCGGGAATATTCGTTGGGCGAGGGTATCGAAGCCTGATTTCCGCGGGGGTGAAACGGAGCGGGAGGGCGATTCGAAACTGGAGCGCGGGGGGTGACGAACTGGGATAGGTGTTGAGGTTGCTGATGATGCCGCTTGGAAGGCTTCGCGGCGTTGTTGAAGGAGCTCCTCGAAACGTGGTATTTCGAAACGGTAGGTTGATACTTGGTCGGTTAGAGTTTCTAATTGTGTGATGAAGGCGGGGAAGTTTGACTCGGTCCACAAGGGCGTTCGTCGCATCTTCTTTAGAGCCCGAATTTGAGCTTTCTCTTGGATTTCGATGGGATCGCCTGAATCGATGAAGTGAGGGTCCTCTAAAATGTCTTCGTCTTCTTCATAGACGTATTTCGACGGATCCGGGAGCAGCCAACCATCTATGCGCATAAACCCGCAAGTAGCCAAATCAACGATGGCTGCTGTGAGTGATAAATTTGTTTCCACTGAGTTGGTGAAAAAGGTTGCCAATATCCCAAGCAGAGTCTTCAGCATTGGGTCTTCGGGCCTCAGCGTATGCGCCCGAATATCACGAGGAGCACCAGGAATAGACCCTTGCGTTCCCGGAGATTTCACAGCCCCCCCTGTGGATTTCGGTACTACCAGTGTTATCGAGCATGGATGACTTTCTAATACTGCCATGACATCCTTGATATGATTTTCGTAAATCTCATCAAAGTTATCGTCTCCTCCTAGACTTCCGGCTAAACCGAGTAGGAAGTCTATTTCCTTGTCGTGCGCGCCAATTGGCCTCTGTGGCCCTTCTGAGAGTACCTGGCTGGTCCACAAAAGAGTGGTCACAGCATACCGGTGATGCCGCCTCAGAATCACTGAAACTAGCTGTAGTGTGACGGATATAGTCTGATGACTTTCGGATTGAAGACTTGCTTGGATCAAATCAACAAGGTTGAAGAGCGCTGGTGTTGATGAAAACTCCTCTATCTGAGTAGCCATCATCGTTGCGAGATCCATCGACTTCCTCTTCCTAGCAGCGCTAACAGATGCACGAGATCCAGATGGCGCGGGAGTTACATCAGGCAAGGCAAGGAGATAGTGCAGAATAAGATGGATCATATCCGGATGGTCGAGAGATTCGAGTATTCGGCGGAGATACGTCAGAACAGCCACAGACGAACCACCGTCAACATCAGATGACTCGAGCAGGGAGGGATATCTAAAAATCTGTTAGCTCGAAAAGAAGAAGCAAATAGAGGTAAACTGACAATAATTGTTGGAGAAATATGATCTGAAAGTGCTCTAGAAGTGTTTGCTTAACTTCAACAGACTTGCAATGATTCAAAACATCCTGCCAAAACACCAAATGTGACAGAAACGTCTCCATATGGCCTTGAAATTCTAGCGAACCTGAGCTGACGATCTCGGATGTCGTCGCGGGGTGTTGGTAATCTGACAGTGCTAGAATAGGAGGTAATTCATCCGCAGGAAAGTCGATGACAAGCTTGCGACTTAACTGGCTGTATAAAGCCCCCAGCCCAGTTGCCATAAGGGTAGCAAGATCACTCTCAACTATCCACTGCTCCAAAGCCACGGAATTTGAGGCAGCTTCGATGATATAAAGGAGGCCAGTTCTCGCGAAGTCTCCAATCCGTCCTTCATGGTGTATATAATCTATCAGAAGGTAGAACAACGGGAAGTCCTCCTTGTGTGTCTTGCCCGTAAACTTCTCGTGGGCATCTTGGCTATCATCCGCGGTATCACTTCGCTGTTGTGCCGTGAACCAAGCAGGCAGAATCTCGGGATCAAGCCTGATCTTGGTAGTGATGTTGAAAGCTAGCTCCACGACTTCAACCTCCGTTTCTAACGTCAGGCGTATGCTATTCGCCCCAGTAATCCTGACCAACAAGTTCATCATATTACTTGAAAAGACTTCGTTCTCCACGAAATCCTCCTCCTCGCTATCGATCAATGTAGCGAAAAATGCCACCCCTTCTCGAATGATCCCTTCATTGTATGATGTCGTGGCGATCTTGCCTATTGGAATAAAAATCTGCTTCGAGGATGCAAATACAATGCATGGATGTGGTAACGGCCGTCTCGATTCATCGCTGAGGATTGTGGTGAGCTCCTGAAGGCTATCTCGTATGCTCTCGGAGGCTTCGTAATCTCTGGATAGATTTGACGCTCCACGCCATACTTGCTACAGTATACATTAGCAACGTCTTCCTAAGAATAATAACACATGCTGGAATTAGGAAATACATCCAACATACCAATAACTTGCTGTATTCCCGCTTGAAGCGTGCCAGACGCTTCTCCGGATTATGGGATGCAGCCTTGTTCCCCCCCGGGGCAAGGGAGGTGCCCGCTATTAAGCGTGACCACTGTATTTATTGTCAGCAAGACTAGATATACAACTGCTAAGATCCCAATTTCCTTACAAAGTCCATAGCTTGATGGTACTCATGTCCATCGTTTCTGAGGTCGCATTAATGTCATCTCGAACTCAAACGCGGAACGCGCTTGTAGATTATGAACAGGGGTGAACTTACAGCAACCTGCACGGGCCATGCTAAAGCCCGAGGCAAAGGAACCTCGTCTAACTCGTCTTCCCCTTTCCCCCCCTTTTTTTCACAGTGCAAGTGCCGAATTGAAACCCTAAACTGTGAAAATTCCCCGTTACAGTCTATTTGCATAAGTTATAACTCTTGAACGTATCATGAATTCAAATTATAAAACGTGAAATTTCCTCTACTCATCTTAGCTTATTTATTTTGATTCATACCGTTTTGCATTATTCTATTTTAATCCATTTCATAGTTATGTTGTTCTTGTTTATTACTGTCTTTTGCCCTTGTCAGCACCTTGATTGGCAAACTGATGCCCATGATAATTATTATGGTCAAAAACCGTGCTTTGCTATCGGAGAACTGGAAAGGAGATTTATCTTACAACTGTGGGGTTTACCTGTTATATCTCCCTCTCTAGGCTGCTAAAAGTTTGATGAGAAATACAAATGAAAGAGCTTTATATTGCAACACAATCTCTCTCTCGCTGCTAGCGTTTCTACAATACCCCACACAACTACTGATTAACGAGCCTTCTAAGGTTTAAGAGACTAACACTTGTTGGACCTTCACTTCCTTTTCTTATTGTACGAGTAGTATGCTCTCTCCTACCAACCACACCTCGATAAACTCGCAGCTATCTTGTATCAAAAAACGCTCGAGGTATCCCCGCCTAGTTATAATGTAGCGAGGTTTGTGTCTGGGATTCGGGATACTCTTTCGTTTAGCGACAAGAACTATCAGGACTTCACTTTTGGCAATTCACTTCGAACCCCACGACCACCATATCTTTAATAAATAGAAGCACAATATTTTAAATATCCTGAGCTTGACTTTTCCAACCTACGGTAATCACTTTGCTCTCTAGTCCCTATGCTTAAAAAATATTAGTTTAATTTACGCAATATATAATAAGCAAAATGTAATCAAACCACGCCTTTTGGTTTTGCTCTCTCACTATCGCTTAAAGATAATACGCGATATATATACCATAACAAGCAAAAAGGAAACAAAATAATGCTCTAATGGTCAAGCTGTCTCAGCTTTCGCGACCTCTAAGGAACCTGGTACTAACACTCGGCCAGGCTCCAAAGATAGGGATCCTGAAAACATCGTATGTTTACATCTGCCAACGCTCAGTGCACGGGGCCAACCAGGCGTATCATACAACGCCTAACGAACCTGAGGTTTTGCTTCAAATACTAGTTTAGAGTAGCTAAAGAGGAGTAGGCAAGGCAGTTATAGTAGAAGCTCAGCCTGGCCAACTGAGTGGAAGATATCTGTTTACACTGCAGTTTCTTGATCGGAGGAAGGTGAACCACACGAGTCCTTGGGTGATTCCAGTCTCGTGGCGGATCCCTCCAATGAGAAAAGATCTGTATAAGTCGGAGGAGCTAAGTTCACCACCAAATGTAATCTGTAAGTATTCCCTTCTCCTTAAAATAAGGTGAGGCAAGCTTGACCAAGAGCAAATTCATTTTTTGCTCTATTTTATTTACATCTTTGCCTCGGGGTAGCGCGACGCATTTCGTTAAGCTATTTCGTTGACGCGGAGCCTCGTCGTGCTACGCATCTCCTGCCCCAATTGTTCATGCCCAATAGCACACCCTCGGGAGGAATATTATAAACCGTTCCCCAGCATCATGGACCATTTCCATTTTACTCCCCCCTGGCAAAGATAAAACCCGCCATAGGAGCAATTTAATGAAATATTTGCCAACATCTTTCGGTACCAGCAAAACTGAAGGGCAGGACATTGGGTACCAGCTGTGCCCCAATCACAAGAATACAACCTCATAAAATAGTAAAAGAGACTCTTGCTTCAACATAGGGTGGAATTGGCAGGGAGTTGGCATGCACTTGCATCGAGATACTGTAATAGCTTATAGATTCAGTTTACTAGGTTTCCTTGTACCAATCACAAGGTTGAGTCTATAACATATCAATAGATCTATCGTACCACCACTCTACGTCTATAGGCCACTCGCTTTTCCGTTCCGGACCACTCTACATCTAAAATGCAAAGACTTGATCCTCTAACTTGCTCACTGGCTTGGCCTTCTTGAATCCCAAACCTTCAGATGCCTTCTTCATAGCGCTAATCATAGGAGGAGGACCACAGAGCAGGAGCTTTACATCCTCGGCTGGCTTTGGAAGCAATTTCTATTAAAATTAAAGTTAGCAAACTTACGTTAGTAGCAATGAGGGGATCACGTACCGAGATCATTTCAGGGGTAACAAATCCGACACCGCCCTCCCACTTCTCAGGGGGATTATTCAAGACATAGTGGACTCTGAATCCCTTGTCATCTTGGGCCAGCTGATCCAAATCTTCCTTTAGAAGGATATCCTCTCTGTTAACGTTTGCGAAGATCAAGTCAATCTCTGTCTTGTCACCGGTGGGGCGGCCTCTGATGACTGCGCGGATGATTTGCAGCATGGGCGTGATTCCAGTTCCGCCGGCAATCATTCCGAAGTGTCGGACCATGTTTGGTGTGTAGACCATTGCTCCCTTGGGACCGCGGACTCTAATGGTTCGTCCCACGACGAGAGACGCCATGTATTTGGAGATGTTCCCTGTAGGGTACGACTTAATGAGCAGGTCGAAGTAACCTGGTTGGTGGTCGCCGGAAATCGGAGTGTATGATCGGACGATTTCTTTAGCAGTGCCATCTTCTTGAGGGATCGCTGCGCCAATGGAGATATGTTGACCGATCGGCAGACCTAGGATCGCAGTCGGAGAGGAAAGTTTGAATCGGTAGCTTTTCGTTTGTTAGCAGGTTACAGGGGGAGCTTGGATGTCGGGGATACTGACATGGCGACATTGTGAGAGATGATGGTCTTCTCCTTGAGCTCGAAGTCTTGGAACTCAGTGGGTTTGAGCACCTTTTGGACGCCTGAAGCTCTTGTTAGCCGTAATTTCGACGATAAAGTCTTGTGTGCATAATCCGCCAATTGAAATTGAAGACTTACGGTTACTCCAGAGCTTGAACGCTGAAAGTGTCACGGCAAGCACAACGGCATAAGGAACCCATTCCCGTTTGACAATCAAACATCCAACAACCAGCAGACCCGAAGGAATGTATACTCCGTCGACATAGTACTTCGACGTGAGATCGGAGGGGTTCGTCATAGTGTTTGCGCCGGAGCTAGAATTCGTCACGCTCGGGAAACGAAGACCGAGGGAGCTAAAATCTAAAGAGATAAAGTTGATTTTCCTTATATTTCGTTTTCAAGCCCCTTTTATGTCTGGCCAGCTTCTCAAATGCTTAGCCGAGCGGAAATATCGTCGACGCAATGGATGGCGTGTGTTGTGGTGCGTTGAGGGATGGAGAGAATATGGGGCGGTCGGGATCGGCATCGGCATATGGACAATTTGGTTTTTGTTGACCGCGGACCTAATCGGGTAATTCTGTCCGGCGCCCAGATGCAAACAGGGTAGTTGATAAGATTAGATCCCAACCTCATCTTGACGACCCCAAAAGCCAAATCTGGCCTCAAAATTGACTGTTATGCATATATTGTGCAATTGTTATGCAATTGGCCATATGATACACTTGCGGTGCTATATCAGGATCTCTCGTTGCTTAACCCAATCTACTCGTATCCGGCCACGGAATCAGAGCTCGTTCTCAAGTACCCTCTTAAGGGGAAACTTGATCGAAGCGCCTCCTCAACCGTCTCTGGGCTATTTTTCCCCAAATAGTAAAATGGGTGACCAACAAAACCGCGATTACTCTAGTGAGAGAGATACACGAGAGGAAGAAGATGAACCGTTTCCTCTGACAGAGAGGGATAGAATTGGGATTTTATCCAAGGACGAAGATTTCGAGCTTCATACTTGGGATGCACTTAAAGAGGCTATAGGTAAGAACGTCTTTAGTTCAATCTGTTCTCCATCTTTGCAATAAGCTCTAGGAAATCAATATCTTAGCCATATATGGAGATATAAATCAGTCTCAGTCGGGAAGAAGATATTGCAGTGATGGTGCCCTCCCTTCCTCCCCCACTTTACATTTATACTGGATCGAACAATTTGATAACGTTCCCAAAGCCACCAACAACCTCGGGATTATGCAGCGCAAACCTTCTGAGCTCCGCCGCTACATTGCCTGGTGCCGCAAAGTCAAGTCCGAATATGGCAGTATCAGCAACTATGTCATACAGCACCGTCTTCCGTGGGGATCTCCTCCGTTCACATATCTTTCCTCTATTCCATTTAGCGAGCCAGACGATTACAAGATCCTGATAAATGACTGGCCTTATGGCTGTACGGACGACATTACCCATATCGTGGTTTGGAGCAAGACCCCGATTGCTGCCAATGAAGCGACAGGTGATTTGACTGAGGAAAGTAGGTTGACTCTTCAGAACTTCGTGGAGCGGACTTTCGTAGAGAGATTGGGTGGTGACCATGAGAGGGTTCTGTGGTTTAAGAATTGGGTGCAATTGCAGAGTGTGAGGGCGCTGGAACATGTTCATGTGCTGGTTCGAAACGCGACGAAAGAGGATTTGGCGTATTGGACTGAAAAAAACCTATAGAAGGAAGAGCAAATCAAGTTGCCCAAGCAGATAAAAGGGCATCATACACTTGTAATATGCTAGACGTTAGCATCTCACTGGGCAGAAAGTCGCAGCCCGAGGGCCGATTCAAGACATCACGATTTCTTGTTGATAATAGGATTTTTAAGCTGCCCTCCTCTGTCTCCGATTCCCTGGTCCGGCCACCTGCTCCTCTGGCTGCTGTGCCCCTTGACTGTTGCCCATCATGCCCTTCGCCATACCGAGAAGTCCGTAGCCCTTGTAAAGGCCATAAACCGGCACCACCGCCCAAAGCATCCATCCCCAGTTGCCAAGTAACATAACCGCAATCAGCGACGCCCAAGTGACCCATATCACATCAAACAGATATTCTGTCAGCCCAGGCGCAGAAAGATCCTCCCCTGGGCCCTTCAATGCCTTCGTGGACGGATCACGCTTTGGTCTGCCCGTGGACTCGAGGATATATTCCGCCACGAGCGAAGGGATCGAGAGGAGCACGTATGTCAGGAGCGACCGTCGTCTGATAAGGAAATTGAAGACCAAGAAGAGCGCGTGGACTGAGAGGGTTCCGATATGGAGGTTGTTGAGCGTCGAGGTGTTGGCCTTCGCCCGGTCTTTCTTTGCCTTTTGTGCCATGATGGGGATGGGGTCGGGTTTTAATTAGATTATGAGCCTATGGCGGAGTCGGGGAATATGGCCGCGAGAGATTGATTATATGGCCCGTCTTTATTTGCGACGTAGGCACAGAGTATGCTCCGTAATAATATGGCAAATTCGAAGTTCAAACAAGACTTCTGAGGAGGAGGTTGTGGATCGTCAAGCCCGGGATCAATTCTTGAGTTCGACTTGGCGAGGCTGAAGTTCCAAAGCCTGAAATTCGCAAGGAGACGCTGGTTGCTTGGTCAAAGACGGCGGCCAATGAAGCTTACCCGCCCGCCGCTTTGAGCCAACGCCAACTCCAGCGCTAACATAACACTCCGTAACAACATCGCGACCCTGACATCGTTGACCAGCTCTATTGCCGACCTCGCCAATATTGCTTTGATATAGCTGCAACTTCTTTGACACGGACACCTATACCTTCTGCGGGTTCTGTGTCGTCTGGAGAAAGGATTCGGGGGGTTGTTCTCGCCTTTTGCAGTCACTGTGCGCTCCGCCAGCCCTCTCGTGTTTGTTGTTATTCTCGACTCGGCCCTGGATCACGTCCTCCTACCACCACCAATACCTTCTTCCTCTGGTACCCACGGCCAGATATCAGCTCTGCCTCGACCTAATAATCGGAATGTTACCAACCCAGCAATAACGACCATGCGAGCAGCCTAGTCGAAAGCTTATTGAAGCAAACAAACACATCGAGCAAGCGGTTCGCCGCTGCCGCCACACGTCTCGTCAGGATCGATACGCAAAACCACCGGTCACAGGTGAACACAACGCCTTGCTAGCTGCATGGCCTAGCCATCGTGACAACTTCCACGCTCAGTCCTATCCCCTCCTCCACAGGCCGCCAACATGGCGCCGACGACACCATGCGTTGCGATCCAATTACGGCAGCTCATATATTATCACATCGATAATAACCTCCTCAAGAACGCTCTGTTCTTCGCTGAGCGACTTTCCGCCCACGATCATCGATCCTCTGAATCTGCATACCTCCTAGCACTTTGCCATCTACGACTAGGCGACAACGCCTCAGCCTACGAATATAGCAAGTCGCCCGGGTTGAGAGGAGTTCATCTAGGGTGTGCTTATGTACTTGCACAGGCATCCCTGGCGCTGCAAAGATACAAGGATGGAATAGTTGCATTGGAGAAGAGCAGAGGGCTTTGGGGAGGGAAGAATAGCTTTGGTAAACATACGCAATCTACACGGCAACCGTACGCAGATGCGGCAGCGGTTAGCTGCTTGCTGGGGAAGCTCTACTCCGGGTACGATAACAAGCAAAAGGCCATCAGCTGTTTCGAAGAGGCTCTCAAATTGAACCCATTCATGTGGGATGCATTTACCAGTCTCTGCGATATGGGCACGAGTGTCCGTGTCCCGAACATCTTCAAGATGACCCCGGAAATGGAAGCTGTGCTAAGAGTTAACACTCAAGACCAAGCGGAATCCCAAGGGCCAACAAAGGACAATACTCTCTCGTCCGTGGCGGACCACGATCGAAACCGGCCGGGTGCGCGCCCGGTGTCGATTGCGAGTGACCCATCAGATCCTTTTAATAATGCCCCATCAAGAGGCTTCACAGGTGGCCTCTTTGGCACACATGGTATGTTACAGAAGCTGAATGAGAGCAATCCGAGCTTGACAAATCTACCGGCAGCCGGTGGGGGAGGTATTGGCCCAGAAGCAATGGAAACGCCAACTGGTCCGAGTGCCTCAATAGATGTGACGGCCGCTCCCAGCCGGAGAGATCCTGGAGTTGTATCTGCCTACTCGTCCGAACCACCACAAGCTCCGATACGGAAAACGCGCACTATACAAGGGTTGGGAGTGGATCTCAATATGGATGCTCCAAAAATGAGTCGGGGGCCCACGACAAAGCGTTCCCACAGGAGTGCAGATCCCACCGAGGAGTCAGCGGCAACGCAAACCGTGCGGAACACGAACTTAAACGCCGCAGGAAATGAGAGAAAGAGAACAATCTCTGGGCAGGTGGTGCCCCGACAAACCTCGGAAGATCCTGGGGCGCCACAAAGGAGAAGCGTTAGATTATTCAACCAAATACGCCCAACGAGCAGCAAACCTTCGAGCAATGCTCCAACGATTGGTCCAGCACCTGGAAGGGAGTTGAAAAAGGCGAGACCACCCATATCAAGAATCATGCGTCCAAACTCGAGTACCTCTACCGTTGGCAGACAAGTTAGTGGTAACAGGAAACCAGTCGAAGATACTATGGATCTTGATCAAAAGGAGGCTACCCACCGATCTTGGACCAATACTGCTACTAGTATACCCGTACAAAGATCTTCGGAAACCGATCCGGGCAAGCAGGAAGAAGGATTGCGATGGCTGCTAGACCTATTCAAAAAGGTCGGTAGCGGCTATTTTGCCCTTTCACAATTCCACTGCCACGAAGCCTGGCAAATTTACAGTTCCCTTCCACGCGCCCAACAGGAGACCCCTTGGGTGATGGCACAAATGGGCCGAGCACTCTACGAGCAAGCCGCATATGTAGATGCAGAAAGATATTATAAGCGGATTCGTCATATAGCACCCACAAGATTTGAAGATATGGAAATCTATTCGACAATTCTGTGGCACTTGAAGCGCGAAACGGACCTTGCGTTCCTTGCCCACGAGCTTATTGATGGGTCATGGCAGTCGCCTCAGGCGTGGTGCGTGTTGGGTAACTCCTGGTCACTTGCTCGAGACCACGAGCAAGCTCTCAAATGCTTCAAACGTGCTACTCAACTCAACCCTAAATTCGCATATGCTTTCACGCTCCAAGGGCATGAGCATGTTGCTAACGAAGAATATGACAAAGCATTAATATCCTATCGGCAAGGTATGGCTGCCGACAAGCGGCATTACAACGCCTGGTATGGCGTGGGTCGCGTGTATGAGAAGCTCGGAAACTACGACAAAGCATTTGCCCACTTTTCATCCGCGTCCGTGATCAACCCAACAAACGCCGTACTAATTTGCTGTATCGGGACGGTCCTCGAGAAGCAGAAGCAGCCTCGTCAGGCTTTGGCCTACTTTTCGCAGGCAACCGAATTGGCTCCCCGGTCAGCATTAACGCGGTTCAAGAAGGCGCGGGCCCTGATGGCGACAGGAGACTTGGAAGCGGCCCTGAAGGAATTGATGATATTGAAGGATTTGGCACCGGACGAAGCCATGGTCCACTTCTTGCTAGGAAGACTTTATAAGAGTTTGAGGGAGAAGGGTGCTGCAGTGCGGCATTTCACAATCGCCCTGAATCTGGATCCTAAAGTATGGTTTTCACATCCCGTCTTTCAGGTAACACTATTAACACTTTACAGGCAAGTCAAAATATCAAAGAGGCAATCGAGAGCCTGGAAGATGATGATGAGGATGACGAAGTGAGCATGATGGCATGATCCTTTCTTCCGCACTTCCGTTCCAAAAAATGGAACTTCAGAGTTGCCACCAAACACTCATTGGGTAGCTCTGCGGCGCCCAAACACCAACTGCGCTTTACCCTCCTCGGGTTTATTCGACCGTTATTACACCTAAACATAATTAAGAGAGTTATCAGCGCGCTACGGTATGATGATACGATATGGACGTTGGCGACAGGCATTGGAATTGATGCATTTGCATTGGGATGGCGTTCGGGTCATGAACCAAGTTCACAGTATCATAGCGTATACCTCCATGGTGGTTGGTCTAGTCCCATGGGATTTTAGCGCATCGGGCTGTGGCACTTGGGGGTTGTTTGCGGCACATAACCATGACTAACAGCTTTTGAGCATAGACTTAGAGAAGTGCTCAATTGGTAATATGATACCAAAAAACTTTGAATACAGCGCACATTTGAAGTTTGACTTGCCTATCTACGTGTTTTGTGCCTTTCTCCTGACTGCTAGCTGAAGTGTTGGTACCTAAGTACCTACCGTATGTGCCCATTTGCCACATCTGAGTTAATGTTTCCTTCGGCAGCTTACTAGCTAGGGGATTATATCCGCTCCTAAGGGACTTGGATATCTGTTGATGAAAACCGGAGCAGAGGAGCTGCTGCAGTTGACAAGGCCGACTTTACGTTTAAGGAGATTCAGTTTGGCTGTACTTCGCACTCGAGCTAGGGCTATAAACTTGTAGCATATCTGTAAAGGTTTTTTCCCTGCCTCTCGAACTTATATATTGTAATTGACAGCACTTCTGAGAATGACAACTACTGTTAGAGTAACAGTGTTTCCCCTTCTGACAACAATAGCGCACCCTGAGATGAACAACGAGAAAACCAACGGTGGAAGTTAGCATCTGAGGTTGGTGTAAGGGTGATCGATCCGAAAAACCGCATATATTTCATCTTCTAGTGGGGAATCGAACCACCACTTGAACAGACCATGAATCACCGACCCCTTCTCCCGCCACCTAGGCAGGATGGACTCATCCCAGACATGCAGAACCCTCTCCTAGTTAAACCGGAAGCCTCCAGTTATCCTTGTGCGCGGCGATACTTTTGAATTGCACTTCGCGATACCCGGGATCAAAGAATCTATTGAGGGCCTTGACCTATTGGCGACTGAGGTTATCGAAGCCGCGCTCTTTGGTCATGGGTCCGTGATCATTAGGTTCATCCCATAGGAAGTAGATCCAAGGACTGGAAACCAAAAGTTCTGACCCTTTGCCCCTACTCCCGCATTTCTTGGCCAATTGCGCTCAAGTCTATTAGGCGCATAGCAGATTAAGTTATGTTTATCCTCGTGTTTGAGAGGCGGCGCCTTTAAATAAACAGACTCGCAATCTCCTGCTATTGTATCATGTCCACATCTCCATGTTGTGCCTGTGCATTTTAAAGGGAACCTCTAGCCTCTAACACGTATGACGTTGAGCACGATGAGATTGTGACATATATAAATATAGGTTGTATCTGAAGTATAACGTCAAAGGATTTCGACGAGCAACTCCTCTCAAGTCGATCGACTTTGAATTTACATTTGAATAAGGCCATGAGATTATACAAGATGTTAGGCTGTATATCTAGGTAGGTAGACTAGCGTCTTTGTAATGTATGGGGATTGATATCCAAGTAGTCCTTAGTCGTGACTTCCTATCTGGTCGCCCGGATCTTGCGACTTCTCCAACATTAATCTCTTGTACCAAGCCTCTATAATTATAGTCAGCATCAAGATCACCTTCGCCAGTTTGCAGAACACCAAGCTGCTCATCACCCGCCTCAAGAATTTCCCTGGACCCTTCGAAGACCTTGTTATATCCATCGACCACCCAACCAACCCATATCCGCATAGAAGCGAAGCAGCAATGCCGGACGCTGTTAGTCCCAAGGATATAGAGATGATCCTGGAGTTCGTCATGATATTCGTGAGGCTAGCCAAGTCCTGCTCGAACAAGAGGTCTGTCCCAGGTGCTGGCTACTAATGCGTAGAATTAGGACCAGGGACGAACAACCGGCATCCAGGGCCTCTGGCCAGGTCCGATAGATGTAATCTGGAGAAGTGCTTGATAAAACTCTAGAGAGAGAAGACTCCTCAGAAGGAGGGCTCCAGGATTACTCTAAATACATGTAAGGAATAAAGATCCTGCATAGCTATGCAGGTCTCCGAGCAATCAACAAGCAATCAACGGAAGGAACGGTGATTCTAGAGTCTACTAGAACCAACTCCGATCCAAATGGATGCAATGGCAATATCAACAGCACGAATTTTGAATACTCCCGCCGTGTCGGAGGATCCCTCGCGCGAGGGTGCACGTATCTCCAACCTGCTGTACGACAAGGCAGGTGAAATGAGGCGCCAAAAGGAATTTACTCGTGCATTTCAACAGTTCGTTGAAATGAACAAGATACATGTAGGAGTGGGCGATGAAGTACAACCCGGATTTTCGGAGATATTGCGTCGGTTTTGGGATGAAGCTGCGGATGCTTTCAAACTCAGTGAAACTCTGGAAATGGTTCTGACTGGGGAGCTAATTGCAAACCCGGGAGAAGCAGGAGAAACAGCAAAAGCAGCAGAAATAGCAGAAGCACCAGAAGCAGCAGAAGCGGAAATAGACAATTATCCCGAGGCGCCAATTGAGGATATTCAGGTCTTTTAGACCCCACGGAAGCGTTGCAAAAGTCTCAGGCCGGCGACGAGACGGGAAAGGGAAAAGGAGGAAAGAAGAAGGCTCCACAAAGACGTGCAAACAAGAAAGGATGATGAAGCAGAGGAACGAAGAGGAAAGCTGTAGAAGACGGGGAGCTCAGCCGAAAATAATAAACAATCGTTTGGTGCTGTTCTATAGAACGGCTGGGACCCACAAGGAATAGGTATAATAGAGTTAGGGTTCTCTTGCGCGATATGCCAAGACCATTGAAATCCAGAGGGAGTATGCCCACATGCAAACCACTAAAACCAGTTCATTGTGTTCCCCAATATAGCTCGAGGATGACATGTAATATCTCGAGACGCATCGATAAAAAACGAGTAGACACAAGGTTTTAGAATAGAAGAAATAAACCGTGGATTGTCACTGAGATTTATTTAAGATCTATACCCTCTATATCTTCTCACAACTTGTACAGTAATGGCTACAGCAGCTATCATGCGGACACTTGCCGCAATCCAGACTCCTCTTCTAAGCATGTCGTAATAACCTTCTAACATAACACCAACAGCGTAAGGTCGCTTCGCATTTTTTGCACCCTCTTGAATATCTCCCGTAGCAACCGCTTCTGTTTCACTATCCATAGCAGTCTGGTTCATTCCCCCGCTTTGGAGCCTTGCCGCATTTCTCTGCTTGAGAGATCGCGTTAGGATATTGATTATCCACCGGACATCAGGGGATGTAAAGGTTGGATAGGACCATATCTGCACAGCATTGTGGGGTGGCAATTGATCCAGAAAATCAGCTAGCATCCCGAGTGTCAGTCCCCAGAGTAACAATGGCCTTGTGCTTTCCGCAGATCGTGTATGATCTCCACGACACCAATTATATAATCTCGTTCCCAAGGGCAGCTTCTCCTCCAGCGGGTCCAGGGGGAAGAACTCCGCTGTCGAACTGCAGTATAAAGATTCGGATGGTATTAATCTGATGGCGGAGAACCGCATCTGACCGAGTATGGACCGCACGAGCGTCCTGCGTACCACCCCCGTGCCTGCGAATCGATCCGATACATCGACGTATTCGTATGTACGCGCTGACGGCGACAGCAGAACTCGAAGGGGAACCCAGTGCGTTGAAGCAACCTCCGTTGGTTGTAGCTTAAGAGGTGGCAAGTCTGGTTGCGTCCAGAGGAAGACGAATGGGCAAAGGACCATAATACTACAAAAGTTGAGCAAGCGCAGATGATGAGGGAGCTGGTTTGTAAACCACTTACGGGACCTTCCCCCATGAAGTTTTGACTACCCGTTCGGGGAGATTCCCAACGAATAAAGCATCAGGAGATGTAAGATCAAGGCCAATCTCTTCGGACGTTTCTCTTATGGCAACCGCCTTATCGTCCTCGTCCTCAGGGTCCCGTTTCCCTCCCGGTAATGCAACATGGCTGGTCCATCTGTCCCCTACTCGGGCAGCCCTCTTGATGAACAAAACCTCCGGGTCGCCATGCTGAACCCAGTCCTGCTGGAAGTACTGATCAATGGACGTAGGTTGGGAGGTCTCGCTCGGCCAATGCTTGTAGTGGGGGCGTACCCGCACGACAAGGGCCACTGAAGCACGTCTGTTGCAACCTTCTGGGCCGGGGACGTGAGGATAGGAATTCTCAGCCAGGTGGTTCAGCGTCGAGCGCAGAGCGCTGATCAGCTTTGAGCTATCTTTATTATGCGTTTGTTCGTTGTTTGATGACATTTGGAGGTTGTATGATCGCTTTGGGACACTCGCTAAGATTCCCAGAGGGAGCAAGCCAAGGCACATCACAACATGAACTAGCAAGTCCCTTTGCACCGAGGCATGTCAATAGTGCAGAGCAATTGATCCTTACCCGAACCTACCTCCCTCCTTGAAAAAAAAAAAAAACAACCCAGCTTCAACTAGAGAGCAAAAAGAGCGGTCCTATTATTGCTTAAAACGTTGGTTATTTGGTGATATCTCGGCCTGCTACTGGCATGTAGATTCTTGACCTCGGCTTCTTCTCGCATCGTCACTGGATAGGTGAGCACAATAGACCAGCTAAGTTAGCTACATTTTTCTATTCTGTCATCTGCACTCCGAAATCCAAGCTTGAACCAGGCTCAAAATGTCCAATAGATGGTTGCCCCACTGGGGCCAGAGCTATTTTTCAGCAATGCTCTCAGTTGCCCTGTGTCTCCATTGAGCATCGCTACAACAACAGCTCTGGTTCCCTGTGGGCATTGCTGGAGGCATCACACTGCTATTTGGCGAGTCTTGTTTGCTGAGCGAATGGACTTTTATCCAATCCGTTTAGTTATCTGTACAATTTCTATCGAAATGACACACCTCGTAGCAAGTTGCTAGTTTTGAGCCCGAGGATCAAGTTGATTTTGAATTATAAATAAGGGGATGTCAATTTGTCATAGCTGTAGAGCCTTTCTGAAGGCTTTCAGATTGGACCTGGGTTGGGATGACTCGTCTCTATGGAATCATTTTAGCGTTCAAGTTGGAATGGACATAACTATGTCTGGATATTTTGTCATTTACCAATTCATCGGAAATGTGCGGCCTCCGCTCCGGCCTCACCCCAGCACCAGCCACTCACCCGGTCAGGGTGGGCGCCGCCTCGATCAAACCTCGAGTATAAATTCATCGCTGCTTTCCTCTCTCCGGGCATGTATTGAAGCCCCCGAGCTAGTCGCAGAAATGCTTTATCGCCACTCAACTGCAGCGTCTTGTTGGTTGGGCTCCCTCTTTGCTCTTTTGAAGGGGTCCCTTTTTCCGGCTAAATAGATCAAGGCCGAAAAGTGTGGCAACAAAATATTTCGACATTTTCTGTTATACTACGCTCTCTTTAGTGTAGCTCGTTCGCTTCTCGCTCATCTTTGTGATCATTAAAGTGATTACTGCATTACTTTGCTACGCAATAGAAACCCTACGACCAAGTGTCAATATATACCTGTCGGGGTAGTATTGGCACCGAATCGTTACACCTAATACTTAAGAAGCTTAAGTACTGTTTTTAGCAGAGGTATACCTACTAACGTAGACTTTGTTCTAAGTCCTATTAGTACTCTCCGAAGTTATACTCCCCTCTTAAGTAGGGTTCGGGAGTCGCTGCGGTCCTTAATCTGGAGAGTCGATTACTTTTGCTAGTAATATCTATACTTTATTAAAATCCTGATCAAACAATTATAATATCTTTAATAATACCTTTCTTCTTCCATGCCTCTCCACCCCTCATAAATCCAACCCGTTCATACGATTTAGGTATTCTATTCGAAGGAACTAACACCAAAAAACAGTCCTCGCAAATATTAATAGTCCAAACTCGGGCTACTATTGCATCTCGAGCCTGGCCAGGGCGCAAAGTAGATCTCTTTACCGTTCCCATTCTTTGGCCTTTCTCGTCTGTATACCAAGATCTCACCAACGGCACGTCAGGCTTGAATCCTCTATACGGAATAGGTGGCCAGTGGTTGATATCTGGAGGTTTCGGATCGGATTCGGGCCACATTGTGTATGGAATAAGGGCTTCGTCTGCCCCATCTTTAACATCAGGGACTTCGAGAAAAGCCGTGGCGTGCAGGCCCGAGATCTTCAGAAAACCACCGTTGATTTCTCCAAAATAATTAGTACTGGATGTATTGCACCAAACGTCAACAAAGTCATCATGTATAGGCTCTCCGATCGTCGAGGCCCAATTTGGCTCAACATCTGCAGGGTCGTATCCTAGCTGCCCAAAGCTGCGTTCATAGAAGACTTTCCCATCGATAGAGACCCAGCTCCAAGAGGGTGCGAGGTATTTCTGTGGCAATTTTCCTATTGCTGGCTGATCCCACGACGTTTGCCATCTTAGTCCACGACGAATATCTCCTTTCCAAAGCCCTGCCATATAAGTGTCATTTAGTTTAATACTAAATAGCTGGGCAAGGGCAGAAAGTGCTGGCAGACGATCTGTAGGTACCGTCAACTTTAATGAGGGATATGCTTCGACGATGCTGTACCATCGGTGGTAAAAGTTAGCATCTTCTGGCCGCCCGTACACGGTCGTTCGAGCCTGAGAGTGCACAGCCCTTCGTCGTTGGCGCAACGTGCTGACGTCGAGACTGAGACTCGATTCCTCGAATTGGTCACACTCGCACCAACTTGAACGCTGGCAGTGCCATTGAATTTCCGCCGAGCTGTAGCATACAACTCGCCTTGAAACTAACAGTTCCTGAAACGCCCAAGCTCGAGTGAAAAGAGGGTCAACTGTGGAAAGTTCAGAGTCTTCGTGTAAAATTTGCTCTCGAACCCGTATTTTGGTTTCCGGAATGCCATATTTATACTCCAATGACCTAGCTATATGGGCGCTCCTCGGGCCAAGAAATCCACATTCGTCGCTTGATGCCGATGAGGCGGCAATAGTCAGGTAAGAGTTGGCATAAATTTTACTCATCACTCCAGATTCCATCTCCCAATCATTTCTAATTCACAAGCCAGGCGTCAGTAGTATTCTTAGTGATACCCGACTGTTGATTTTTTACCTATCATCTTGGATAATGCACAAGGAATCGATCCAGATATAACGAATTCCCAGATTTCTAGTAATGATAATGGCATCTCGGAAAGTCTGAGGCAATGTGTTGAAATCAATGCCGGAAGTCCTTTCCTCAAACGTCGCTAATTCGGTTTTGAATGTCTGCGTCGTACCCCAACAATGACTTAACGCAGTATATGGTGATTTCTCCTCCATTGAAACGTATAACTTTGGTCTCCCTTTCCACCCATTGGATCCTAGATCGATTACCCTTCGAGGTAATGCAGCCATTGACTTTGGCTGGCATTCAGGATGATTCTGGTCACATTTCGTCACCGATACTCCCAAGAAATCAAAGCATGAAGCGGACATCGAGTTTGATGCAATATCTGAGGCGAATCCAATTGCCGGAACAGGAGAGCTGATACCTAAAAATATCCCGCCGTTAGATAGAGTTGTGAGATATGATAATTAGTACGATGCGAAATTTGGACGACTTGATCTATAAGACTGACCTTCTCGGACATAAAATTGGAGTACAATCGATTCGGTTGTCACCGTTCCTCCGTAGAGCACTTCCATCGGTCGGCCAAAAATTCCTGGGCAAATGACGACAATGCTTTCATCATCCAGGCCGCCTTTTACCATTCCGATCAAACCTTCGTGTATAAGCAAACATAACGGGCAGCCTTCCAATTTGGTTTGGCGTATTTTCTTTACGCTGGTATGGATGGAGTTGTAGATTAGCGACGGAGAAAATAGTGGTCTGCATTGTTCACACACTCTATTGTCCTGGCTCATAGCTGGCGATGTATTATTTCTTCGATTTATAGTGGCAGTCTAGGTCTTCGCAAGCCGGGAAGTTATCGTTGGTAAATAGTTTATCAGTGGCATGCTCAAGATTACTCATCTTGAAGGTCGCCCGTGGCACCGCTGGGGAGTGGCCACGTGGTCATGCTCACGCTTCGCTACAGTATGTGAATAACGTCAGCTTCCATCAGACGCTGGATATCCTACTCCGCAAACTTCGTCCAATACATGTGCGCACCACAATTAAAGAGCGTCATGGGCATTTAGCGGTACATTCGCCTCCTTTTGATGAAGGCATTCATACATTAAAATCAATGGACTTTGTTCTTATCCGACAGCCTTATATCGTCTTTGTATTAATCTATTGCTCTCCTTAAGCGGCATTGCTGTTACTGGTCTGCCCGCCCCTATTCTCACTTTATGTGCCTTCAAGAAACTAGCCTCCGAAACTAGCCTAGGAAACTAGCCATGCGGCTGAAGTTAAAAACGTTTTGGGCTAGCTTTCATCCACGAAAAGGCAAAGAGGTTCAAGAGAAAGCTGAAACCAAAGTAATTCAGGAGAGGGAAACCCTTGACGAAGAAGACAGTGTAGATGTAAAATTACTACTTCTTGGTTAGTACCGACCTTATATTGCAAAAGTAGGTCCCGAGGCCATGCTAGCGAAGTACTGAAATAGTCTTTATACTAGGTTCTGGAGAGAGCGGAAAGACCACCTTTGCGCAGCAGATTCACCTAATCCATCAAGGAGGATATGAGAAACAAGCCCGGCAGAATTTCCGGTACAAGATTTTCTACCATTTGAACCGCGAAATTTATTGGATTTTACAGGCAATGTCACCATTGGAAACTGTCTTCGAAAACGACGACAATCATGTGAGTCCGCCAGTATTGTTAATTAATATTTCCTAGTTTTAATTGTGTTACTATAGAGACTCCTTGAGATGTTTGATTTGTATAGTACTAAAATATTCAATTTTGATTGGGATCTCAATCAACCTATGTCTTTCGAATATTTCCATGCAATCAAAAGTCTGTTGTCGGACAAAGGGTTTCAGTTGGCTATCCTGAAAAGCCGACAATATACATTGGATGGTCTTTAGTTAGTTAAACCCGACCGCGTTGTGTCTCGAATTTTTACTAAATTCTAAGTTTCCTTACAGACCTCGACCGGCTAGCTGGGGTGGACTACCTGCCTACGGACCAGGATATTTTACACGCCTACACGGTAACATCGGGAATTAACCAAAATACGATTAATTTTGGCAATTTCGTATATAATGTAGTTGAAACTGGTGGGGCGCGCTCAGAACGGAAAAAGTTAAGTTACGTCTGCGATAATGTGGATGTAATAATATTCTTTATTCCACTCAGTGCGTATAATCTTACTTTGAGAGAAGACAGGGCCGAGGTAAGCTTCTCGTTAGTTAACTATATAGTAACTTTAGGAAACTTATCAAGATCTAGAATAGTATAGTCGATGCACTCGCATTTTTTGGATCCATCGTTAATTCAAAGCGGTTTGTGAATACCACATTCGTCCTATTCTTTAACAAATTGGACCTTTTCCAGCAAAAGCTCGTCTGGGGAATCCCAATCAAGAAGTACTTCCCAGATTACCACGGAAAGAACACTGATGTTCACAATGCATTGGAGTTTTTTATAGAGAAGTTCCGTAAAGTCGTCGACAATCCAGCTAAGGAGCTTCACATCCACATCGGCCAGGCAACGGATACCGATACAGCAAGGAACATAATGGCTTCCATTCAGGATCTGATGATAGAACCCAATTTGTCAAAGCTCAAAGCTTTTTAAACACGAGGGTATACTAAGCGTCGCTTTTTCATCCAAAACGCTGCTACGAGTAGACCCCGGGATAGGGCTGGCAATTGAGGTTGAATTTTTCGAATTTTTCGAATTTTTCGAATAAAACTTGAATCGAATGAATCGAATGTTCGTATATACGATTCAAGGAATTCTAGCTTCTGATTCGTCGGATTCGAAGCTTTTAAAAGTCGATTCGAAGAATTTATTGAATCAGCCTTGAATTCTTGACTTAAATATCTATCTACTCTGACAACACTTCCTAGTATTATTCGACTTGTAACTCTCTGCAAAAACAACTCTTATACTTTGTATAGAATTTAAGTTCTTAAATATAACTATATTCTCAATTAAATTTTTACTTATAATTAAAAGACAAGATACTTAATACTATAATATTATCTGATTTATATGAAAATTATTTCAATCGACAGATATCTATCTAGTTAATTAGAATCCTGAATTTTAAACAATTCTATTAATTTTTATATTATAGAAAAAATATTAAAATTTAAAATTACTAACTTTTAGTTGTGACAGTTCTAGAGCGACGCTCGACATGTGCGCTTACCTACACTTACCGATCACGTAACCTACTTCAGGGGATATATACCCCTGGAAAAGTCTCTTCTTCTCTCCTTAGCTTAATATCTTCGTACCTACGTTTAGAGTCGAATAGAGAAATAGTTCTTTAATTAAAGTACTCCTATTTATATTCGTGATATAATATTAAGCTTATTTAACTCCGTTTTTAGAAGGACTTGAAATATATCCCACCTTACTACACTTTACTATCTATCCGACTACTGTCGAGGAGTAGAGAGAACTTTTAAGACTCTCAGGAGGAATCGTAGATAAAACAACCAAAAGAACGCAGCCAAGGTATAAGGATCAATTGATCGATAGGCGCAGTATCGGATCATCGTTGTTTAGCTATCTAGCCAAAGAAGTCTAAACCGTGGTTTAGTATTCTTCTAGAGGAGGTGAATATTCAGGGCGCGCTCAGGCGGGGGTATTTCAGAACGACTAATAGTTACAAGATCTAGTTATTATTATAAGTATAGTAAATTAGGTTTGAATTCGTAATTATCTCAACTAGCTAGCTTCTCCTTAGTCTAACTATATTCTAGTAAATTATATGTGTTTTCTTCTTCGTCATATAAAAGGGAGAGTAAGAGCTAAGAGTTTATATACTTAAGTAGCTTATTTATCTATATACTAACTCTAGTATAAATAGAAATACAAAAACAAAGTAAGTAATAAGTAGTCCTTTAGATCCCTACTATAATATTAGTAAAGAATAATAGGTTATATAAGTAGTCGCTTACTTATACTATTACCCTCGTCTCGCTAAAAGCAGCGCGTTAGGGTGAGCGCCTGGGTGACGGTTTTGCACAATTCTGCTGTACTTAGGCGCCAATATAAGTTTCTGGCTTATACGAATACCGGCATTGTAGTGCGTAAAAAGATTTAAAAATTATGGTTTTTCTTGTTCCCTCATTTCTACTTGTTTAGTTGGTAGAGCAAAGCAACAAGTAGCTCTCATCTATATAGACAGGACCCTAGACAGGTAGTTCCAGCAAGGAGGTAGGGAGAGACCTAGAAAATTTTCCCTAAAGAATGGCTTCTTGAATTATAAATTAATACCTCACCCATTACTTGCAATCGTTGCAACGCTTAAGTGTCAAGGACGATGCCTCTTATAGTCCTTCTGTTTGCCTTCAGTCCCAAATTCCTCTAACGAGCTTCAAGTGGCATTCATCTCATGCAACCCCGGAACCATATTCGTCGTCGCAGGCATCTCGTGTACCGACTGCTGTCCATTCATCTTCCCATCCGCTTCAAAAGCCGGCTGACTCCTATCAGCGTCCATCGGAGGGGAAAGCTGAGCCTCTTTCCTTTTCTTCCTCCTGCGTACCAGCAGCCACGCAACCATTATCGCCGCTGCGACAGCGGCTACGACTCCTATTCCAACCCCTGCTGCAGCGCCTTTTGATAACGAACTCTTCTCATTCGAAGTATTTGCTGGAAGGCTTGTTGACATTGGGGCAGAGCTTGTTAACAAGCTCTCGCTAGTCGGAGAATTGGAAGTCGAAGGCATCAATGTCGGAACCGACAAGACGTTGAATCCGTTCACATGCATCCCATATACAATAGTTGGGCCAGTGGAGACGGCCGTTGATTCTACAACAGTGGTAGTAGCTATTCCCCAAGGACCCGCTGGCGTTGTGGACTGGTAGGTCAATGTCTGACCAGGTATCAGGAGGGAGGTACATTGTGATGGGAATTTCGCCTTGCCCGTAAGCGGTACGTTGAGTTTATAGCTTCTGTGAGAGAGAACGGGTGTCAGCTCATTACATACGCCTTGTACCGTGAGCAGGGGCAAGAGGGAAAACGTACGAGGGACAGCATAGTACCTGTTGTGTTAAGGAATTCACAAGAATTGTTTGCACAGCGCTGTAAGCAGCAGGGCAAACAAAGGTTGGACCAAGGACTGTAGTAGTTTCTGTATTAGATTGGTACCATGAAGATGTCACCTCGGAGGGGAGACACGGTATCGCAGTTGGTACAATGGATTCGCCATAGAGTGGATCAAATGCGATTAGATTCCCTCCTAAGCCAGCACGCTGTGCGTATATTTGCGACGAACAGGCAGCAATTGAAACCCATGGTGTGCTAATAGGGAGCCAGGCTGTGATAGTTCCACTAAGGGTCTGAACTGATTCGGCAGGAAAGGAGGACGCCATGAGCAAATCTAACGTAGAAAAGCAAACTGTGACCAGCTATAGAGGGAAGGAAAAGTGCCAAGAGGGGAAACAGTCAAGTGTTTACAAGCTAGATAGAGCAAAACAATAACTATGCTTAAATTTTCTAGCTGAAAGGGGCATGACGGATCCGGCCGAAACACCAACAGTTGATCTATCCATTTAGGAACGTATCTTGGCAAGCTAAATGTTGGTGTTTCGGGTCACTCGTATCGGACTGTGATACTACCTCGCCCGCAGAAAAAAAAAACACGCTCTGGCACTGAGATTAGGAGCTCACCGCCGATAGGATGTGAATTGGAACCATGGACAGTATCACGCAGCACTTGTAGCTCTTAACTCGAGAAACAGTCGCCCTCCAGACGCTTTAGGGGTAATTTGAGGTCATGAATGCTATAATTCTAATGAATAAAATCCCAAAAAGCCTACGGATGCTTGACCAGAAGGTCATTCGTGGCCATCGCATATTCTGGGCACCACTCCGTCACTTTACCTATCTTATCCTTATTCCATCTTTCTACTTGGTGAAATCCCAGGGGTCTGTCATTCCATATTGTTTCGACTGCAAACTTTGAGGCGACTTCTTTGGTGGGTAAGCGTGCTCCATTCTCCTTCATTTTGTGGTAGAACCACTGATCCTCGAATTTCAGACATGGTTCTTGGGTGACACACGGTGCCTGTGTGATTTTTCCCTCCTCCTTCTCTCCCTGCCAACTAAATGTGTTGACGATGTCGAGTATCATAGACCTATTCCGCAAAGAGAAACCCCCGTTATATCCTTCCCCATGCCCATCCGGTGGAGTGATTGGCACGTCGATTGGTGCCCCAACAAAGTCGTATTCAAGAAAGTCCTCAATTCGGATCTCAGAATTGGAGCAAATAATGCTGTCGGCTTGGAACATCAAAACATGCCCTGCCGGAGCGAGCTGTTCCCAAAGCCAAGGCTTCGTAAGAAATTCGGATACAGATTGGTGCTTTGCGAATTCCACGCCCTTTGGCAATGGTCTGATCGATATGCGGCCCTCTTCGACCGCGCGACGAAAGGCTGTTGAATTTGGGTGGCTAATTACAGATGTATAATATATTATCGGCCATTCAGGACCAAGGACTGAGGCAAAGTGCAAAAGGAGAGGTACGATATTGCCAAGGGCTCGGTCTTCGATCATGACAGCGACATTTTTTGAAGCCGGTATTTTCGATGACGATGGCAGAGCGTGGGAAGTAGCGAATTCCAAAAAAGGGGCTCGCAAAGAGTAGATAGCGGTCAGGGCGACGAGGATGAGGATGGCGATAGGTGCAAGGCTGTACTTTTTGCTCCAAAGCATGGGTAAAGGCATCGCAATATCAACTTCGAACGGCAAGAGAATGAAGCCATCGTTGTTGATCTGGACGGAAGACGCGAGGACATGTCCTGAGCTCCAAAGAGTTCCAACAATTAGAGTGGTTGGCTTGAAGGATGCGAGGACGCGTGAAACTCCAAGGGGGTTCCAACAGTTGGTTCCAATAGTGGGTGGAATGAGGCTGGTGTGGCGCGACTGCAGATCCCCTACCACAGCCCACCAGTACAGTAAGATTGCGGGGCAAAACTTTGACTGGGATATAAAACATACGGTAATACTACGTACGTACTACGTAAACGATTTAGATTTTCAGAGTTGAATTGCGAGCTCAGAAAAGACGGCACAAAGGAATTTCTTTAAGTAGTCGACAAAGAAAGATATACAAAGATAAGATTATAATACCGCTAGTAGACCGAGGAATAAATAGAATAAAGGTAACTACATAGTCTATTAGAAAAAAAAAATTAGCAAAGGGCTAGAAGACGAAAAGAATACAAACACCGCGGTAAGTCATTCTCTTTGGGAGCGGGCTAGGGCGGCGTTACGTCGTGAAAGAATAGAGATATGTTTTAAGGGACTAATAATACGTTTTTATAGAGCACTGGAGGCCCTACTTAAGCTTTCTACGAGCCGACTAAATCTCCTTAAATATAGTCATATAAAGTTGGGTTGATTGCGAACACGGCGGTGATGTCGAAATGTAAAGCTGCGAGGGGGGACGGGGGAAACACGAAACGGGGTGAACAAATATGCGGCTCTAGAAATGAATACCTAGAAGTCATTTAACGAATAGGGGTGATATATTGGGGAAGTGATTAGAACAGGGTGGAGGAAAAGTAGCAATTGGAATGCTCTCCAAAAATTCATGGGACCAAGATTATAGGCCTCAAAGCACCACAAACGCCGTTGGCAAATCGTCTCAGAAATCCATTCCGTTTCCTGCCAGTTCCATGGTGCAAAAGCCAAAACAGTAGAAATCATTTCTTCTGCTCAAACAATCCGGATAGTGTGCCTCTTAGCCCTTGCATCCCAATTCCCATCTGGAACTGCGAGTTCGTCTCCCGAGAGTGCAAGCACCCGTTTCTGGCCGCTTGAATTGTAGGGCGGGATTTTAGTAGTGCCAATGCGTCTGAAACTTTTCGTCCACATGCTTTCTTTCTTTTCTAATTGCAATAGAAGGCATATCAAGTATTTTTCGGAATCCGTTTGCGCTGGCAGGCAGTACAAATTACCCTCGGGACCAAAGATATCGAGGTCGCTATTTGGACTGTCCAAGAACACATTGCTGTACCACTCGCCGGTTAGTCCGTCCAATTTCGAATCCAATCTCCAAGCATAGCGTGTGGTTTCTTTTCTCTTAAAGAGGTTGCTCGACACTATCTTCGGGTCTTTTCGCATTTCAATCTTCTTCAAAATACCTTTAACTTTCACATGTCCGCTCTGCACTAACCCGAACTTGTCAGTTGTGTCCGGCGGCGGGAGCACATGGTCTTCCACTACTTCAATCAAAAGACCCTCGTTGGTAATTTCGCCGTACAATATTCCCTGTGGCGCATCGACTGCAGCCCAGGAAAACGAAGGTGCTCGATATAATTCCGGGCGTTTAGAGGGGTAGTTAAATACTCCGTTCTCATATACTGGATCGACTCTCCACAGAAGTTGACTTGCGAGGTATTCCTTCCATAGACCTGCAACATACGTCTCACCGACCTCTTTTGACATCATCTTGGCAATCCCCGAAAGAGCGATGAGCCTAATGAACCAGGCAGTCAGCATTTGCTAATCAAGAATATCTTAAGAGCAACGGAAAGTACAAAGTCGCGGCATTAGCAAAAGTCGCGAGTAAATCGAGTAAAGGAGACAAAGAACCAATTATGCTTACTTGTCGCTAGGGTTTGTGAGCTTGGTCTTGGAATAAACTTCCACCACACGTTTCCAGCGCTGATAGACAGCAATACTAGTACAGAGATTCTGACCGTTGAGTTCCGGTTCCGGGAGACCCTTCAGTCCACGGCTGGGCACAACGTCACTCCTGTTGAGGCGATAGCTTGGTAGGCCGTCTCTGAATGATTCTGAGGCATCAAGCTTGCCACACTCCCAGGCAATTTGGTTCTGACAGAAATGTAGTACTCTCGGGGCCATGAGTCTTTCTTGAAGTACCCATGCTCTTCTGTTTACAGGCGCATCGTCCACATTTCGCTCCCAGAAGGACAAATCAAGAACGGAGCAGCGCTTGATGGGGTGTTTGTGGCTTTGCTTGTTACCCGGAATGCCGTCAACGTTCAGGTTGATTTCGTCTTCCCATAATTCCCGTGGCTCCCGATCGAAGAACAGGCCCTGCTCGCTGTCTGTGGCTGCAGTTGCTGATATATTGCAGTAGGAATTCTTGTATATTTCGTACATCTTTGCAGATTCGTTGAGCCAGTCTCTCCGTTGGGCATCGCTTTGACCTTGGATAATGCACAGCGAATCAATCCAGATATATCGAACTTTGCGTCCTAGCCTGCGCGCGAAGCTGATCGCATGGCGAAACGTCTTGGGCAAGGTCTCTAGTCGGATACCTTTTTGAAACTCCGAAATGGTCCCCTCTTCAAGCCGCAAAAAGTTTGCCTTGCCCCAGCAATGGCTCAACGTCACGTAAACATCCCCTTTCTTGGGTTCGTCCTCGTTCGTTACCACAAGGCGCACCTGCTCAGGATTCACGCGCTGGCCGGGCTTTCCCGAATCCGCCACGAGGCCAAGGTCGATTAGCCGTGTTGGATACCAAGGGTTTTGAGGGTCTATCCCAGGGCATGCAGCATGTTTCTTGCTGCCATCATGATTCTTTTTGTATAAGCAATCATGGATCCAACCCCTCGCTACTTCGAGGACTTCGTCCGACGACGTACTGGCAGAGAATGGAGTATGAAGGAGACCATCGTCTCGATCCCCTTGTTTCCGAAGTCAGCATTTCATACTATCAAATGGCATATTGGACAATCACCTGTTTGTTGGAGAACGAATGTTCCTACCCTTTTGTAATCTTGCGACTTGAAGTCTAGCCGGTATACGCTAGGTTCGGTCTGGACATATATCTCAGATAGGTAGGCGCTGATTAGTGGAATTCGAGCCTTGTCGAGATGCATTTGATGCCGAAATACATCGCCGGAGAGGAACCCAAGCAACGCTTCACCTAAAGCATCTATAACACCCTTGCGATCCTTTTCCTCAACTCGTGACAATTCCAACAATATGCTTCTACATATAGCGCAGCTCATACCCGCAGACTTTTGCAACTCCACGCGATTGACCTGGTGGTCAAAATGCAAATCAAACGTGCCCCTCCATTGACTCCCCTGGTGTCCGCGCAGCACTCCATAACATACCGCACAAATCATGCTGGACTCCTAAACATAGAATCTTGGAACTTTTGTTGCAAAGTGGGGTCTGTGATGGGAAAAGCGAAAAAGCATGATTGCCAGAGCACTGCCCTTCGTACATACTGCCTCACCATGGTTGTTACACCATCTCCGGAATAGCCAGGGATCTGCTTACTTCCTAAATTATCTCCAACAAGCACGCCGCTCGCAACACAGCATCGACTTGTGGAACAGGAAGGATTCCAAGGTATTTGTCAGAAATTGAAATGCGCCCTCATTGGTCTAAATTCAGGGGGGCGGCCCGGCTAGGCTCGTGCCGGACTGCCGTATGCCCCCTAAAATATTGGATTTCAGCACGCCGACGTAGTACTTAGTATGTAAATAACTAACTTGGTTTAATTCCTATAAACGAATAGATCGTACTGTATGGTATTAGTTAAAAAGCAAATTAAAACATATGCTTAGGATAGACTTACAGTGCTACGTAGGCTTGAGTCTTGACGCAATGACTCCTATGTTGAGTGCTGACATTGCTGAGTCTCCGACCTATCAACTAACAGAGCGCCCCCCCCTTGAGATGTTGTGCTATTATGCAACTGTTGCCTGAACCATTTGGGGGGTTGGCTCTGTTGATGTTGGAGTAGTTGATAAAGCACATGGATAGCGTTTGCGACCCAGAGATCCATAATCATACTTTTCCCTCCCAGGCTGAGAGACTTCTTATCGCAAATTTTTCCGGCACAGTTCAAAGCAGTTGATAAGCCATGGATGTAGATGCCAACTCTTTCGATTTGCCGGGCTTCACACCTCCCGTGCCTGTCAGGTTAACCAAGGACAGTAAGTACTTTTCCAGGCAACTGATGGCCTATTCGGGGCGTATTCTCGAGTCCTACTCCCAATATCTTATGCGGTGCTCTATTGAGGCATTAGAGCTTGTAATCCCGGAAACTTATTGGTCTCGTTTCCTCTTCCCTCCCGGTTATGTACTGATCGCAAAATTTTACCAGTCACCAAAGAACAGCTTTTGGGATTTCCCGCCTTCAAAACATGGGCCAAGACCATCAAGTCCTCTCTCGCCCTTCAATACACAGAAGCGGAACATCCGTTCAAGAACGACCCTTACACCTTGTGGTCGGTGACTGTGCAGTCAGTTGACTACTTTGGTGGGACAAGGATTGGTTTCGTAAAGATGTCCGCCGACGTCAGAAACAAAGAAGGGTATCTACCAGGAATTGCATTCCTGCGTGGTGGAAGCGTTGGCATGCTTATGATTCTTCGACCAAGTGACTACAAAAATGAGAGATGGGTCGTTATGACAGAGCAAGCCCGAATCCCAGCTGGTAGCCTGAGATTCATGGAAATTCCAGCTGGAATGATGGACAAGCACGGAACCTTTGCGGGCGCTGCAGCCATCGAGAGTAAGTGGGGGCATCGCCCACTGAATTTTGAACTCCAAATACTGATTCTGAGGCTTTGCAGTCAAAGAGGAGACAGGAATTGAAGTCAAGGAAGACGATCTGGTGAATCTGACTGAGCTGGCACTAGCAGAAGCAGGAGTCTCGGAGCCCTTGCAGCAGGCTATGTATCCTAGCCCAGGAGGATCGGATGAATATATTGCGATCTTTCTTTGGGAGAAGGTGCTGGATCGACAGGAGATAGAGGACTTGCGGGATAAACTCACGGGACTAAGGTCGAGAGGGGAGAGAATCACGATAAGATTGCTCGACTATGAAGAGCTATGGAAAGTGGGAGCGAGGGACGCTAAGACGTTGGCTGCTTGGTCCCTTTATGAAGCTCTAAGGAGGGCAAGACATAATAAACTACCGAATGAGCGTATATATTAAGAGCTGGAGGGAGAAGGCCAACCCAGATCTCTTTTCTTGTTTGAAGGGTGTAAAATTTGTGGGGTAGGCGAAGGGGCTTTTTTTGCCAGCTGCACGGCATTGCTAGAGCAGCCACACTATTATTTAGTGGGTCCTATTTGTTGAATACGCAAATTAACTTTATCTAATCCGTTTTAGTTATCTCTACGTTTTCTAGGTCGAAATAACAAATCTCGTAGAGTTGCTAGATTTGAGCCTTTCTATAAAATTGATAGATAAGTGAGGATCAAACCAGCGAGACTAGAACCTTATAATATAAGTTCGGTAAGGTTTCGAACGTGAATAACTACGGCGAGCGTGCCCTAGAGCTTATTTTATCCCTTGCTTTACCATTTACTTCCTCGTTTTAAGAACTTTCCCCATCTGACCTTGCGACTTACTTTTTGCCCTTGCTTTTTTTACTTGCTATATATTTTGTGAAGACTACTAAAAAGACGAAATCTCCATTGAGCTGCTTCAAGCATTTACTCAGTAGCGCTGTTTGCGGCCCCAACGATCAATAGCAGCTCAAGATGTTGCCGTAGCGGGTTCCTGCAAGCCCTTATTACAAATGTGCTTATGGTGCTTCCAATCCATCTTCTGGTGCTCTCTGCCACAGTACCGCTGAATCCGACACACCGCACACACCGTCAAGCCCGGCGCTCCAACCTTACACGAAGAAACGCCGCAGACCAAACTATCCTCCTGCATGGTCCTTATCTTGGCAATTGATGTAGGATCCATGCCTTGAATCTGGTCCACCAGCCGTTCCGCCGCATTACTTATCGTCCTGACGGGACTATGACGATATGTCTTTTTCCAGGTGCGTAGGTTTGGTATAAGCTCCTTGATTCGCGGGTGTAGGGACTCTATCTCGGCCGTATATAGAAGCATTGTTGACAAGAACTGCAAGAGGCTGCCGAAATCAGCGTCGAAAGTTGCGGGAGGGAAATGAGCGCCCCCAGGCCTCTCGACTTTCTTCATGTCATCTAGAAAATCGGGCAAGAGAAACTTCTCGATAACACCGTTGACGAGAGTGGGGTATGCCGCGACGCGTTTGCAGACATCGGGATTGGAGTTGAGGAAATTGAGGAGGCAGATGGCAGTCGAGAAGTAGTACTGCGGCAAAGAGGGATCGTGAAGGGTAGGGTCGTCGCTGGTTTGGTATTCGAGGAGAGCGGTGAGGTATTGTGAGGCGATCTGGGCCAGCGCGTGGTTCTGAGCAGTTCGTGGTAGGTGTTGAAGCACGCCGACTTGGTTGGATAATGGGACGTTGACGGGTGGCGGTGGCAGGGCCGGGTATTTGAGAGCAGCGAACCCTATCGTGTGAAGGGACATGCCATTAGGAAAGGTTGGAGGTGCCATGATTATAGACGGTTGTGGGTGGTGATGGTGGTGGTGGTGGTGCTTGGATGGTCCGCTACAGCACAATATTTCGTGCTCCGTGCTGTATGATAAGAAAACGTGTCTACCACCTACCTTATTACAATACTACACTCCCGACAGACGCATCAGGTACAGGTTCAGGTACAGGTACAGTAGGACTGGTGGGAGATAACTATCCGAGCACTAATAATTGCCCTTTAACAGCTGTATTATTATTGGATGCTACCATGCCGTAATAATCACCTTTAAGCAGCTTCAAGATTACTCTCCGCACTTCTGCTTGGTACCGCTTCTCCCCGACCTTCTTCTTTCGGGGATCGATGCAGGGGCACAAAAGTATACTGGGCAACTTTAAGAAGGTTGACATATAGAGTATATGATGTGCTTGCGCAGATCGTCGGGATTAAGCAAACCCTCGTATAATGCTGGACATATAAAGAGAAGCTTGACCCCGCAGATGGGTCGTCCGGAGACCTCCCTTGGTAAGTACTCGAGTAAGTTAATGCGGTTTTCTGCGCCTTGTAGCTTCAAGTATATTGAAGCAATATCGCGAGATCGTCCCCGCCTTTTCTTCTGGCGACATCTGTGCGCTGCTCTGCAAACTTTACGTTTGCAATTGCATGTTACTTGACGACCGGCCATAATTAGAAATCCCCATCTAATTTCCCGTCCCTGGACAAAAGCCGTGGCTTCGGTGCTCGCAAGATGATCTACAAGTTTTATGTTGTCTATACCCTGCTCGCGCTGGTGAGCTCGACATTCGCTCTGAGTACAATTGAATGGCGGGTAAAGGTATTTCCACTCTTTAAATTCTTTTTGCTTGTGTACTGCAGGTCATTAACTTAAAATCTAGAAAAACACATTCAATTCTCGCAGGCAGCTGGAAACTCTCCACAAAAAGCCTACACAAGCTCCGCGCAACTATCCTGAGTACAATTTGAAAGTGCCGGTGGACCATTTCCACAATGATTCCCTTTACGAACCTCACAGTTCGGAGACCTTCAATCTGCGATATTGGTTTGATGCAACCTACTACAAGCACGGCGGACCGGTAATCGTGCTCCAATCGGGAGAAACATCTGGCGAGGGACGCCTGGATTTCCTTCGGAAAGGGCTCCTGCATGACCTAGCTGTTGAAACGAACGGTATTGGCGTCGTGCTCGAGCATCGGTACTATGGAACAAGTATTCCCACACCTGATTTTTCCACGGAGAATCTCAGGTTCTTGACCACCGACCAAGCGTTGGCCGACCAGGCGTACTTTGCTAAGAATGTGGTATATCATGGCTTGGAGCATCTGAAGCTTACTGCACCCCATGTCCCTTATATTGGATACGGGGGCAGTTATGCTGGGGCATTTAATGCATTTTTGAGGAAGCTGTATCCTGATGTCTTCTGGGGTATGTTCATGATCATATACATATGCCCCTTTATTTTGGTAGAGACTTTAGAACTAACTGAATGAATAGGAGCCATCTCTTCCAGCGGCGTAACTGAGGCTATTTGGGATTTTTGGGCATATTTTGAGCCAATCCGCGTTTTCGCAGACCAAACCTGCGTCTCCAACACACAGAAGATCACACACATGGTAGACAACATCCTTCTCGAGCTTAATGACCCAACCACCACCTCAGTGCTCAAATCTGCATTTGGCCTGCCAAATGTTACTCACGATGACGACTTTGCCTTCGCGATAGCAGCCGGTATTGATTCTTGGCAAGGAAAAAACTGGGATCCAGCACTCAATGACCCAACCTTCGATGAATTCTGCGCGGCCATCACATCATCATCTGCCGAATATAGCCCCAGCGAATCTCTGAACTCGACTGTCCAAAGCCTCCTGAAGAAAGGTGGGTACGGCTCGGAAGCCTCTTCGCTGACACTTCCACTACTCAACTGGATCGGCTGGTTACAGGATAAAGTATTGGTTACTTGTGCTTCATCAACACAAGACTCATGCTTCGGTACCCACAATATCACTCACTACGCCCAAGACGACATCAAACAAGACTGGCGTGCTTGGCCGTATCAGTATTGCACGCAATGGGGCTACCTGCAGACGGGGTCTGGCGCACCTGCGGACCAGCTGCCCCTTGTATCACGTACCGGCACCCTCGAGTACAACAGTGTGGTATGCAAATTAGCATTCAACATCACCACGCCTCCAGACGTGAACGCTATCAACAAATATGGCGGATTTGGCATTTCGTATCCGCGCCTTGCTTTCGTTGACGGGGAGCAGGACCCCTGGCGTCCTGCTACACCGCATGCTAGTCCGTTCAATGCTACTGCGGCGAACCGTACAAGTACCACCTCTGAGCCGTTTATTCTAATAGCCGGCGCAGTGCATCATTGGGATGAGAACGGATTGTATCCAAATGAAACGAATAATAAGCCTGGGGAATTGTTGCCTCCGCAGCCCGTACGAGATGCGCAGAGAGAGGAGTTGAGGTTCGTCAAGGAGTGGCTGAAAGAATGGAAGCACCACAAGTTAGGGGACAGGGAATTGAGAGCGGAAAACTGAAATTCTTGGAAATATAGCCTAAGGATGAATGAGGAAACAAACACGATCATAATGTAGAGGCAGAAAGTCAATGTCTAATGTCTCCTCGCGGAATGAACGCATGTTGTATTTTTGGACCAAATAAAACCTTCTGACCAGAAAACAACGTATCAAAATATTCAGAGGGGTTGCATACCTAGGTACATCTATATTTGCCCAATCCTCCTAATCAAAATTACATCGAAGACGGAAACTAATGAGACTCGAAACAGGTAAAAGAAGTCCATTGTAATCATTGACTTGAATAGCCAATAAAGAGCGGGAAATATATTTATGAAATACAGTGTATAAAACCCGGTAAGTCGAGGTAACAAACCTATTCGAGTCTTGAGCAAAGAGAGCTTGCTGCACTTCAGTAGCTAAGGCTTAGTAAATATAGATCAACTCTAATATGTCGGTCCATCAGAATCATCGTGGTTACTCTGTGCTGCAATGAGAAATTCGTCGTAGGCTTGAACTACTGATAATGATCCGTTGCCATTTAATGTTGCAAGCCGCGGAGTGCTTGTGTACCCATTCAAAAAAAAGTTAAGATTAGTACTAGAGTAGATTTTGGAAAAAAAGGATTTGGAGAGTCTTGCTGTGTAGAAAACGATGACAGAGAAACACTACCTCAGCTAGCTAAAAGCCTATAGTTCCTTACTCACACCTGGGATAAGTGGTATGGCTAACGCTCTCTATGTGCCGCTAAGCAACGGGTTTGTGAATACTTGCTAGCTATATCTGATATAGCATGAGACTTGAAGAATCACTTCCCAACAGGCAAAAGCGAAGAAGCACTAACATGCCTTTTATCTACCATCCATCATATCCATATACTACCGTCTCTTCATACTGTCCTTGGTCCTTTGGTGAAAGAAACATTTTTGAGATTTTCGATCAGCTATTACCTGCATCATATATATAGGATATTTAAACTATGCACCCCCATCGGCATCTAGGGGTGTATCTGTATGGCGAACATTGAACAGGGCGCCGTAACGCTCTTCATATTTACCTTGCCTCCATTTCTTTTTTGACTCCTCAGCTTTCAGCCTAGCTTCATCTTGCCTCCTCTGCAGCTCATCTTCATCTTGCTTGCTTTCCAGCTCAGCTTCGGCACGGTTCTTTCGGGAAGGGAACTGCAAACGGCTATTAGCGTTTCATATGAACTACTAACGGGAGACATACCCCCGCTAATTGCCTATTCCAGTCCATCGCTCCAGACTCTTGCCTCTCCGCTAATCCCCTGAGATAGTCGTCTTGGTTGCGGCTTAGCAACCAAGTGAAAGGAGTCCATGGCGAATTTTCAGTGAATTCGGAGCCAAGGGCGCTGTCACGCTCTGAAATAGAGCCATCAAAACGCTTAGTATACCTGCCAGGGCGAGAAGCAGATTGGAGAGCACTATGGCCTGAACCATCCCCAAGCCAATAGTAGGACCGGTTATGCAAATTTGTGGATGTGACATATCCAACAAAAGAGCAGGCAGGGTCATCCTCAAGCAAGTCCCATATACATATTGGAACTGATAAAAGAACAAGAGCAGAAAACCCGGTATACACAGCCTCCACAGTAGCATACTCTACAAGTGTAGGGCAAGCGGACAGCCATCTTTCACAAGTATCCGAGTTCAACGTTTGGTGTGTTTCCAGCGACAAGGATATAATGACTCGTGGCAATTTGTAATATTCTTCATTTTTGTCATGTACTGCTGTAGGAATGAGTGGTGAATATGTAGATTGGCCTGGGTCTTCGCCCTTTGATGGAGACTCTTGTATACCTGCAATCGGTGGTTCGTTCTCGCTGTCTAGTGTTACCCTTCGTCCAAGCTCGATGCTCAGATGTCTAGGATCTGTTGCTGCAAGTATATGGATCGGGGTTCTCCGGCACTCGAGTTTTATTTTCTTACCGCGGCGGGATACTTCCGGCTTTTCATGCTTGAGCACCAAGAGGAGTTGAGTGTGAAGCTGTGCAGCTGAGAATGGACCAGAATTTTTCCAATCTGTAAGAACCTCGATCAAGGCGTTGGTGAAGGAGTGGCGGCCGGGCTGTGGAGCAATACTTTCGAATCCGCAGGCGGCTATCGTCTCTGTCACGGCAGATCCAGCCGTTGGGGCTGCACTTGCGGCGGCACAGCAATCAAACAATAAAAGAACGTCAAGATTCGCTTGTTCGAAGATGGTTTGGATAGCGGACCATTCAACCGAAGCGTAAGAGGGGTCTGATTTACTGCGGATGTGTAAGTTTTGGGACGTCTAATTATCCCAGCAATCGTCATAAATTATACATCACCAGTGGTGCATGGGGTCTAAGACTGACTAGGAAATCGTATCGTTCCCACTAGAGAATATTCCTTGCTAGGTAACGTAATTTCCTTTCCTACATGATGAATTTAAACTGGTAAAGAGGCTGCTGCTAAATGCACTGTGGATGTGTTGATGGAGAATTGCCCGGGAAAAGGGGGAACAGCTCTGAAGAAATATGGCGACGTACCAGCACCAGGTAGACTTCCGATCAGGGTTTATAAAGCCATGACCAGCGTAGTACACAATCAGTAAGTCACCTTGATCATTATGCTTTTTCACAATGTCAAGTGCCCTAGCCATGAGTTCTAGATGTGCACTTTTAGTCGGGATCAACCATCGTTCCGTGTTGTATCCATAACACATGAATACCTTCTCGAGGTCATCAACTTCCCACTCGACGCCCATCTCATCATCTTCCCATCGCAATAGAAGGACCGAGACCTCTCGGTATCTTGATTGATCATGCCATCTATTCGGGAATGCCCGGATAGCAGCCTGTTCGAATTAGTTCCATATTGATACTCTTATAGGATTGCACTTGCATCTTGAAGGTTTTCTACGAATGTCTCCAGGTCCTTGATATGGAATGGCGATCTGCTAGTGTCATGTGTAGCTGATGGAGGTGTTGAAAGAGGTGTTGAAGACTCGCGCGTGTCAGCCGAAGGAGACCTATTATATTGATATTTAGACACGTACAACAACGGACTTTGCATTGCTACCCTCAGAGCTGCTTTCCGATGAAAGAGTGACGAACGGCTGTTCCATCGTCGCCTGTGCCATCGTCTCCTCAGCCTTGCTAGGATGGTCTGCTGAAGGTGGAGTTCTGATGATGCGGTTCAAAGCCGAAGATATCTAAGAATGTAAAGTATCACCAAAATGTCTGAAACTCCCTCAGCAGATAATGGATACAGACAGGAGGAGTCGAATTACTTTAAAATATGCAGGAGCGGTGAAATATAGATGGTGTTTGGTCACCAGCACGTGCATCTGCACCGGTGACAGAAAGGGCAATACGGTAGAGCCTTGTTGATATGGTGACGCTGACTGGTCTAGTTTCGAAGTGGCGTTGGATCTGAAAGCCCGGCTTGCAGATAGGTGAGCTTGACCTCAAAATAGCAGTTTAGGCTTTTGCCGGACCTATCTGCACTGTTGGTTTTGGGTTAACAGGAGTCGCACCCAAGTTCGTTGTTGCCCCTATTTTCTGGACGCAGATTATCCACATTGTAAAGATTATAATCGGGCATACACTTACTTACCAAATCTATCTCAAAAGGACAAGCAGAGAACTATTGATTGAATGCCCTTAAGTCGGTATAATTTGACATTATCTAAGACAAACTCAGCTTCTCCAGTCGATTCTTTGCACCTTCCACCAGCGCCGATTCGCGATCCAACAACGTCATTATCTGAGCCACCTTAGCTTTCCTAACTCCCGATGGCACCTTGACACTCGGTGGTGTAGGACTCTCCCCCATTTCGGATAGGTCTTTCGCCTGTTCTAGAAGCTCGTCCTTCAAGTGGGAGACCTCTTCATATCGTGCCCACGGCTCCTTCGCTCTCCCCTGTGAAAGCTCGTCCCCTTCCCCTTCGCCAAGAACTTTCTCTCGGAGGCTGGTTACCTCTTGAAACCACTCAGCTTCCCTATCAGTCAATTCACGGCTAGTTCCCTTGCTAGCTTTTCGTTTGACCCTCTCAATTCGTTCGGCCAGTTCTTCCTGCCGTTTCGCTGCTTTTTGAATCCGCTTCTCTACGGCTTCATTAGTAGAAATAACCGGCCCATCATCACAGTCGTCATCCATAGTCACAGCTTCCACACGACCGGCCACCTCATTGAGTTTCTTTATATGACTTTGTAGCTCAATCTGCAACCGCTCACATTTCCGAAATAGCTCCGCGGCTGCGGTTCCAAGACGGTGAGTTTCCTCGCTGAGGACCTTGTGTGCGTCCGTCATTATAGTAAGGGTTGCAGGTGATAACTTGATTTCCTCTTTCAATAATCTCTTGTACTTGCTGTGTCTCAGCTTCTCAAGGAACGATGGAAGCGCCGAGTTCTCCTCAAGGGCATGTGCAGGTTGGTATACAGGTCGCGGCTCACACAAGATCAATGGCTTGTCAGGCTCTGGGTCGTAAGTAGGCGATCGAGACCGACCCATCGGTTCAAATTCTTCAACCTCTGGCGTTTCGAAAGTAACCGCAATGGGTCCATATGGAGTAGCAGTGAGGAGGAAATACCCAAGATCCGGGTCACGAATGAGTGTACTGGCACTCAAAGGCGATGAGTGGTCATTGGCTTTCTGGGTATAAACCCGCTCACGAATTGACCCATGCCCCTTAGCAAGTAAGTCGATACGGAAGTCAGTCCCAGCTGTGCCATCTCTAAATTCGGATTCCAACCGATCGACCCACGGCGAGAGTGATATGAACGTAACGCTAGATGTGTCGGTAATGTAAAAGGAGTATCGCGAGTGAACGTCTTCACTAAACATTGGCCAATTTCCCTCCCAAACTTCTTCGTGCCGGGAAGTATCCAAAACCTGGAAAGTTAGGAGTGATGGTGGATCAGCCTCATCTGCGAGTCGGAAGTGTTTGGATTTGCTGCTCGTGGGGAGCCATTGGGCTTGAACACCATCCAAATCTAGACATATGGAAAGTCGTCCACTGCTTGTGAGCAGGCAGACAATACTGAGGGACAGGCCCCCTTCGTCGATCTCGTCTAGTTCAATGTCGTCTTCTTCCCCAAACATCAGTTGTTCGGAATCCATTCGTGCACCAACCACAAGGATGTCTGTCAAAAGACTGTCAAGCTCGTCCTCTGATTCATCAGGAGCCAACTCCAAGTCGAAAGGTCCCTGGAGCCTAGGAACCTTGCCGGGCTTGGTTGGTCTAGTATAGACCTCTGCTACTGCGTAACCGAGAGGTGCTTCAACATGCATTGGTTCCTGGACGTCTAGATCGGACATCCATGCTAGTTGCTGTTGGGCCAACCTCTTCTCGGCATCGGGGATACTTCTGTCATCTTCTATGGCAGCAACCTTTGCGACAATCGAGATAGATAAGGACGGTATCAGAGTTGGAGGCGGCGAGAATTTGTCCGGGAGAAGTGGGCAAAGGGCGTATACATCGCCTTCCCTCATCGCTACCCACAAAGTCATGGGGGCCCATCCTCCACTCCCGTTGCCACCGAAGCATGCTGAAGCAACCTCCATCTCAACCGAATCGGGTGTAAAGGCTGTATTCCCCCCAGTCACAGAAGCGCCAAAGTCTTGGTCTAAGGACGTTCCATCTGCTAGCTTTTTGAGATCAATAGCAATAGTAGGTCGGTCGAAACTCCAGCGATCAGCAGTAGATAGCTCCCAAACGCGTACGATAGCATCTTCAGTCACTGTCACCAGACATGACCCGTTTACTCCGAGTGGATGCCACAAGGCTGAAGCTATGGAGGGCTGGGTTGTGATATGGGTTGTTGGGCCTAGCGTGTATGATTTCAACCGCATGGGACCAGTATCGGGTGCGGTAAGATGCGACGGGTCTGGTAGAACAGCAATATGAACCGTATGTGTAGTGAGGATCGCAAGGTAGTTCGCATGTGGGGAGATGATCAGTTGTCGAATATCTTCACCTACATGGGTTTTGATAGTCTCAAAGTGTTAGAATATAGTCGGAAAAGAACCAAATTGGAATGCTCACTCTGTAACCTTGAGCATGATCCTCATCGTATTGTGTGTCTTTCGACGCTGTCTTTCCCTTTTGCTGTGATTCCTCCCATGCTTCTTTGAGGTAAACAAGGTCTGCCCATCGTATTTCCTTTCCAACAGCTATGAAAACCTCTGTTCCCCGGCGTGCAATCGTTCGATGAGGTCCGGGCTTTGAGTTACCCTTTCGACTCGTGCTGAATCCATTCGAAGAGGGTATTTGAGTGCCCGGAGCGTTTGCGGCTCTCGCAGTAAAAATCTCATGGCCTGGGTTTGGTTTCGATAGCCAAGCTGGCGTATAGCCCACAGCTCTGGGCATGGTGAAAAGACGAGCGGATTGAAATTTGAAGATCGAGGAACGCTCTGGAAGCTCTGGTGTATAGGTTCTTAAAGCAGAATCATGCAGTGATCAGCTTTGCGCCAACAAAGAGCGATCAAAAGTCAGCTGTTGGTAAAGGTTTGTTGTAGCTTTTGGTTGCCGTGCCTGAGCAACGCGCTAGCGCGTGGTGAATCGCCAAAGGGCTCCCAGCCTCGCGAGCCCAAGCTCAAAGCTCAAGCACCTTTGCCTTCGACACCACAGCAACAATAACGATGCCGGGAGTAATACGGAACACGGTTGACAGGCTCGACAAGCCTAGTGCATACTACCAAAGCAGGGTAAAGTGCCTCTACAACTCTGTTACATGCGCTTCTGCGTTTATATACTTACGATATCCTACCTTTAGAACAAGCGGCGCAAGTACGATCGAGAAAATGAAGATCGGGACGCAAAAGAGAAGACCCCGGAGGAGCCAGCTGAGGACCCATTGAAGGATGCTACGACTCTTTACGTTGGCAACCTGTAAGGATATTCAATGCTGCCCAATTGCGAAGACGGAAGCTTACAAGATCCGTAAGATCCTTTTACACGACGGAGGAACAGATTCACGAACTATTTGCCAAATGCGGGGAGATCAAGCGATTAATCATGGGCTTGGATAGGTTCAACAAGACGCCTTGCGGTTTCTGCTTCGTGGAATACTATACGCATCAAGATGCCCTGGATTGTATGAAGTACATTGGGGGCACCAAGCTGGATGAGCGTATCATCCGGACGGATCTGGATCCCGGATTCCAAGAGGGAAGGCAATATGGGAGAGGAAAGTCTGGCGGCCAGGTGCGCGACGAGTACCGAGAGGAATACGATGAGGGTCGAGGTGGTCTTGGTCGAGCTATCCAAGCAGAGAGACTTAAGGAGGAAGAAGAATATGGTAAGGGCAGATAGAACCTATGCATTTGTACAGTACAATTCTCAGAAGATTGGTGGCGTCTCGGAAAGTGGAAAGGAAGTCCGCATTGGCTTTCTAGCCATGCTCTTATTGAAATCCATTTTACAGTTCAGTTCGATTTAGACCTGATAAAAACCGGGAGTGCTAACCCAGCCCGTTCTGCGATACATCCGACCTAAACGCCGTTCGCGTACAGTATGCTTCTTCGTAGTCGCCAGTCCATCATCTGATATTGGTCGTTCATGGCTGCACGAACGTACAAACGTTCAATAATCAAAACACTATAGTACATCCTCCATCCAAACATTGGCTGACATTCCACTCAGTATCCAGGAGGATTGATCCGTTGTGACACCCTGGTCCATTTTGGTAGTTCTAAGACCCAATCAGTATAATTCCGGGCTCCTACGAGTTCTGGGGGATGCTCACTTCGGATGCTCTTCCTGTACTTCTTCTCCTTACGATCGAATATCGTGTACTTGTCTTTGGGTACCATCTCCTGCTCAACAGGCATCTCCCCCTTCCATCTCTCCACTGCCTTCGTTGTAATACTCTGCTTCGCCAATGCCTTATCAAGAGTCGCAACTACGGAATCGACAGCCCGTAAACGTTTGCGTTGTCGCGCTTTTTGGAATTTCGAGAGCCGCCATGGGATCTTCCTAGAATGGGCATTGCAGTCAGCACACAGCTCGCACAAACGTAATTCTTGGGGAGAATGGAAATCACATACCAGAGAAGACCCCCAGATAGAGCATTTGTAGGCCTGAATGCTCCGAACATTGTGTGTGGTTTGGTGTTTCTGGGCGAGAGGTGCAGTCGTTGAAGCTCGAGAATTCATTCCGGCCTTGCCAAGCTATTTTATGCCAACCAATCAAAGTCCATCTCTCGGAACCTCCACCAAAAGCTACTTCGTAAACATCAACGAGACAACCCAACTGGAAATAAAGTACCGATTAAGCACGATGTCGTATTACTTTGCTATAATCGGTACGCAAGATAACCCCCTCTTCGAATACGAGTTTGGCTCTTCGAAACAAGGCGGAGATGGCGTGGCGCGATTCCCAGAGCAAGCTCGACATATGAACCAGTTCATCGTGCATAGCAGTCTGGATATCGTGGAAGAGGTACAATGGGCCAGTGGCCAAATGTATAATTCCCCTTCTTAGTGATATTTTAGGTTATAACTAACCCTGCTACAGGTATCTCAAATGCATTGATCGCTTCTACAATAACTACGTCTCTTGCTTCATGACCGGTGGAAGTAAGACCCCCCTTCCCTCCTATTACGCCAAATCTATCCTAAATCTGCGAGTACTAACGCGGCATGTCCTATCTAGATGTTAAATTCTTCCTACTTCACGCCCCTTCCCAACCTGCCTCGTCGACTGCAACCCGAGCTAGCACATCCATCGCTGCGAATCCGACAGCCCCGCAAACAGAAGAAGCCATCAAGCAATTCTTCAACGAGATCTATGAAAATTGGGTTAAGACGATAATGAATCCGTTTTATCAGGTTAATATGGAGGTGAAGAGCCCGGTGTTTCGGAGTCGAGTTGCTGCCGCTGGGAAGAAGTATCTATGACCGGGAAAGCTGTTGGATGCCACTTTTATGGATGCAAGGAGGAGCTGAAGGGAATGGTCTTGCACGCTTCCAAAGAATATATCCTGCGGATACAACGCTTGGGGCTGCCCATATATTCAGAGACCGGCGACCGGCGCCTAGTGAGGTGGTCTGGCGAAGGCACAATAGGGCGTCAAGGGACTGGGCCTGCTGAAAGGGCATGGGGGCTTCAATTCTCGGCCCGCATGAAATAACAGTGGCGGAACGAAGGATCAGCTGGATATAGCTTTCCCAAAGTCCCTGTGTGGCGAGAGGCGCCGAGAGATCCAGGGAATTTAGATAACAGCCATTTTCCCTTCCCTTATTTATGAGTCAGAATTCGTTCCGGTTATGGGACTCATATTGTGCAAGGACTAGGCAGCAGAAGTTGAAAATATAGGCATTCATACTCTACGTACTAAATATTTACGTGGCCCAATGCCTGTCAGCATGGCGTTTCTATACAAGCTATGTTATTGACTCATAATCATCGGGAACACGTCAGTCTGTAAAATGGGGCGATGCGATGCCAGCGACAGACACCTAACACTACAATGGATGGTCAATTACTGCAATAATACAAAGTCACGGTAGCATCATAGGGATCAAAGATAGCTTAGTTGGTATTATGGTCTTGTGTCATTTCATTGTTATGATCCCTATGGACAATTCATCGAGTATTCATCCCTCCTTCCAGACGCCCACGTCCAGACCAGGAGCCCAGCCAAGCCCAAACGCCGAAAGCAACAGATACAAATAGCAAGAGCCATAAAAGTCCACCCAAAGCCCAATCTGCGAGAGAAATTCCAAACACGTACAATTCCAGAAGCCCCTCCCGTAAACAGGATGCTAGACCGTCTGCATGAGACTATCAAAAGGTTTACTGAAAAGTGTTGAGATCAGATTGGGCGCGATCAGCGCTAAGAATGCTTGTTGATTAAAGATGGAAATATAATGGGCGAAACCCTCCCGTAAACAGGATACTAGACCGTCTGCAGTAGACTATCAAAGGTAACATATGCCCATAGAGAGCCATCAAGAAACAAAAGCCGTCGTCGGATTGCAAGATCGAAAGATTTGAATGGACGTAGATAGTGATGTGTGGGAGATGAAGAATTTAACCACCGAAACCGTAGAGGGTACGGCCTTGGCGCTTGAGGGCGTAGACAACATCGAGGGAGGTGACTGTCTTGCGCTTGGCGTGCTCAGTATAGGTGACGGCATCACGGATGACACCCTCGAGGAAGGTCTTTAGAACACCACGGGTCTCTTCGTAGATCACTGAGGAACATATGTTAGTACCGCTGCAAGCAACGACGCGTCGGAAAGGGTAACTTACTGGCTGAAATACGCTTGACACCACCACGACGCGCGAGACGACGGATAGCTGGCTTGGTGATACCCTGGATGTTGTCACGAAGAATCTTGCGGTGACGCTTGGCTCCGCCCTTTCCGAGACCCTTTCCGCCCTTTCCGCCTATTAATGAAGCACGTTAGTATAATTCAAATGAATGATAAAATGTGGCGATGCAATGGGGAAGAGTGTTGTTGTGGAGGGTTGATCGCGATTGGTCAGAGCGCCAAAGCGCGTCGATGAAGCTATCCCCAACCTTCCGATGGGCTGAAGTTGGTGGCAACGACCACAACATCGCGATAAACGCGATGCAAAGTAAGGAATAGGATCAATACTTACGTCCAGTCATATTGAAGTAGGTTTAGAAGGATGTAGGAGGTGTTTTGGTGATGATATCACGCGTTGTCGTGATGGAAAGTGATGAAAGTGTTGATGTTGTGGCTTTTGGTGACTTAATTGAAAAGAGCAGAACGGACTGGGGGAGACGAAGTTATTTAAGTTGGGTCGAGTGATTGCAGAATGTCGATGGCGCTAAGCCCTTCTCGGCTGCTGAAACTACTTGCCTTTTGACGTCGAGAAACAGCGGGCATTTTTAGCTTTCAATAGCCGAGAGCGTTGCGTTGATTCAGCAAGAATATAGCACAGGCTCTGGCAAGTCCCGATTGGGAAAGGCGTGGGCGAGTGAGTAGTGGAGTGATTGCAGCCTCAGGCCAGCATCAAGCGACGCGACCAGAACGCCCTTAAGGCTTAAACCTCATCACAACAACGCGACTTGGTCGACTCGACTTCTCGACTTCGGGCTACCAAACCTCATCTAGCTGATATTGTATTGTTACACGGCGGTTGAGGGATTATAAGTTCTTATTTATATTCGCAATCCTATGTTTGTATTTTCTTACCAGACCCACATCTAACCATCCGTCTTGGCTGCAATGCTGGTGTAAGGTAGTTTTTCAAAACCCTCAATAGCACCACCCGGCATGCACTACTCAACTTTGAGCTTGTCATAGTTTCTATTCGCGAGTATAGGTATTATACGATGGCTTGCTTGACTATTCAATGCCCAAAGCCTGAAAGTGGTCGGCTGCTTTCCCTGCCTATTTCCGACCAGAAATGTCACTCGGTCGCTCTCTGCCTCGCTCTGGCTATTTGTATCAATTCATCATGGACATTTGTACCTGCACCAATGCTGTTGTAGCTATGATTTGGGAAGGGATGCATGCGCTTCTATCCGTGCAAGGTATTCTCACCTTAAAAGGCACATCAATTATTAATAGGTTGGAACTTGATGGACTCCCTTTGTGTAGTCTCTGTTGAAGACATGATATGCTGACTAATATACTCGGGGTGGTGGTCACCCCTTTTCGAGGGAGTGATATCACGTGATCACTGTGGCATCTTGGAACCTTGTAACCCGATGAGTTGAACGAGAGGTAGATAGCAGTAATGACTATGCAGTATAAAAAGAGCGTTTCGAAGGATACCGAGAGGGGGTTGTTATAGACTATTTACCGGTTTTTTATTAGAACGCCTTTAAAAGTAGATATCACGATTCATATCGAAGAAACATTATGCTTGTATCCTTCATCACGATTTATCTATCTATAGACCTCGGGCCTCTCGTATATCCTCCGTATTATGAAGTTACTCTTCCACATTTAATTCTTAGCAGCCAAGAATAGAGAGTCGATAAGACTGCTCTTAGCCTTTCCAAGCTCCAGCACACTTACTACCTCATCATCAATATTCTCAAAGAAGCGAGCTTTATCCCACGTAGGCTTCCACCCCAATTTGAAAGCATTGTCCACAATAATGTTCGCGCTAAGATTTCGATCAGCCATCATGGCTCTCTCTACTAAGCGAGGAGTACTTACCTCGAGTTGAAAAATATTTCAACGAAGACCTCTGGCACGCCTGTTGCCTCCGCAGCTGCTTCGTCGCTGGTCCATACCTGTGTCTCTGAGCTGGCCACTAGCCCACGAGCTTCCATTGCAGCCGCAAGACGGCCCAGTGTCTCCCACCATGCCATTTCGTGGGCGATCGCGAAATAATGGCCATGCGTTCCATTTGGAATGGTATCTCCGGATCCTTGAAGGATCTTCTTGACGATCAGTCCGTATAGTTCTGTCAAGTCGGAGATGTGTACGCCTGCAATGTTCTACAAAAGAGTTAGTCTTGAGTTGAAGCGTTTGAAGGTTTGCTTACTCTATCCTCAGGGAATTTGGAGACGGATTTCTGTTTGATGCTGGCTTGTACAGCTATTGGGAATATCACGGAGAGTTGGTTCCATTGCCCTTTGCCTTTGCCGTCTAGGGAAAACGGTTAGTCTAGGTGAGATATCCGGAGAGCAGTTTTTGGAGAGGTCCCTACAAACTGTGGAGGGTACGACTATGAAGCTGGTTATCCCCAGCGCTTTGGCAGTTTCAGTGATGGTAACGTCGGTCTTTGGGAAGTCAGAGTCAGCGCATGTCGTTTGAGAAAGGGGTGATATTACCTTCCGGAGAGAGAAGGAATCCGCGAATTGCTTCTCGGTCTCGAAAATTGGACCGGAATCTTTCATGACGCCTTGTGGCCAACCGGTCTTCGGACAGAATGCACTCAATCCCGAGGTCTATGATGAGGTTAGTACCCTACCAATGTGAACCCCATGCTTTGCATGCGAAGAACCTATAACTCACATGTATGAAGTAAGCCTTACTTCCGCTTGCCTTCTGCTGCTCAGCTAGCCCGGCAAGAAGATTAAGTGCCAAGGTTGGGTCCAGGGAGCTGGCAGTGTGGATCACGATGTTGACTATAATCCCATCAGCTACGGATAATTTCTCTCTTCAAACACATCACCAACTCACTGTTATGTTTCACGAGGCTTTCTACGACAGCCTTCTCGTCTGTGAGGTCTAGCTGAAGCACGTTGATGCCCGACTCTGATAGGAGCTTGGCTTGCTCATCGGATCGGACTGCAGCGGTTATACGGCTTCTCTTGAGCACTGGACTACTGCTGGATAGAAAGTCGGCGATGATGGAGCCGCCGCTGGAAGTAGTTAGCGTTTTGATGTGTTGGTGAAATTGGGTGAGATGTACACGTAACCAGCTGCGCCAGTGATTAAAATATTTGAGCTCATTGTACTGGTGATTTGAAATTGCTGAGTAGCGCGATGAGAGGAATGGTGTTGTGAATGTAAGGTAGAGTGTATTCAGTAAGGGCAATGACAACAGAATAGCAGAAACCATCTTGTACTTATACTTTCTTTCTCGTCCCACGACCGCAGCAAATGTTCTCTTGTCTCTAGGGATGATCGCAAAGCATGATTCTTACCAACTCATAGATACCATAAGGGGATGTTTCTAGATCAAGAAAGGTCACATTGGTAATTTTCGCATTGGTCATTGAGTCAAATGGCATAAGATGTCCCTACGTTGAGTTTATCGTTGGCGTTGACTGACTTGATTGGCGCATTTTCACCATTCATTCGGAGCACCCGAAATCTCCGCTCCGAATTGTTTCTGTGGCTTCCCCGCAATCTCGTCGATCTCTGCCTAAAACGTAGGATTTTATTCGCTTGATTAATTCGTCAGCGAGATTCCGCGATCTTGCAATCTCAGATGGAACGATGAATTACTCACCAGGCTCGAATTGAACCGGAGGCTCCGAAGGCTCCGTTCGGGAAGATTAGATCTGACAACAGTAGAGGTCAGGAGGGGCGAGAGCTACACAACTCACGTTGAGAATGACAAAGCTACAGCATGTTTTCTGGATAGAAAAGTGTATATAGGACCCCTGACATAGGACTTAATTTTCAAACATCATCATCTCATCTCGAATTCCTTGTGTACCTCAAATACCTCTATCCAAACATGGCAGCAAAATCCCCAGTCATGCTTCTTCTCGGTTTCGGCCCTAACGTTGGGCACCATGTGTCTGAGGCCTTTGCTGCAAAAGGCTACATTGTCGCCCGCGCATCTAGGAAGATAAAGGAGGAAGAAAGTACTGCCACCCAGATCAATATCCCCATCGACTTGTCCGATCCAGAGTCTGTGATTGGAGTATTTTCAAAGCTCAAAGATACACATGGTATTCCAAGCGTCGTTGTTTATAATGGTACGAGCAGCTTCCACTATCTGAAACTCATACCACATTTATACTGACGGTCAAGCAGCTGGTGCAGGCATTCCACCAAACGATGAGAAGGATCCCCTCTCCATTCCCTTGGCGAACTTCACTCGAGATCTAAACATCAACACAACCAGCGCTTTTGTCGCAGCACAACAAGCCGCCTTGGGCTTCGCACAACTCTCTCCCACAGCGTCTAAGACATTCATTTTTACCGGAAATATATTAAACACCACGACTATTGCATCGCTATTGAATTCGGGGGTTGGAAAATCAGCGACAGCGCACATCATCCAGTCTGCAGCCATAGCGTACAAAGATCGAGGATACAAGTATGTAAACCACCCTTTGCTTATGATGTAGTCTGACTGAAACTTTACAGATTCTATTATGCTGATGAACGAAATGCCGATGGCTCGCCTGCCTTCCACAAAATTGACGGAGCAGCTCATGGGGAGTTGTATACGCATCTTGCGGAGGGGAAGTCGCAGGGCCCTTGGCAGCAGACTTTTGTTAAAGGGGTGGGATACAAACACTTTCCCTCCGCCTAGGGTGGAGAGTGGACCTGAACATTCTTGGGAGGAGGCGCATTATTTCTGATTGTCAACGTGTCGTAAAGAGATCAAATGCGGGTGCAGGAATTGAAGTAATGTTCTTGTGGTGGTTGAGCTTTAAGGCTTCCTTCCTTTCGGCAAGACGGAGATCATGCGTCAGACGATGATTAAGCTGCAGGGATAGACAAGATCAGATAAGCCGCAAGCTTTTGGATTACCAATTCATTTCCCAGCTTTTCAACTTGTCCATTATTACAATCAAAGCGTTCTATTAATGCTAAGGAACTCGTGAGAGATATCGCTAAGCCGGATCTCATGCGTCAGTGCCTATTGTCTAATGTACGTCGATCTCTAGTTGAAGCAAATGAGGTTCTATCACTGTTTGTAGCAGCATGGCGCATCTAGCTTCGTTGCCGGAGGACCAGACTAGATTAGAGAGGGCGGTCATGGTCACCAGGGTCTCGGCACCTATTCTTCCTACGTATAGCTCATTACTGACTATCTTACAGGCATGCGATACATGCAAAAAGAAGAAGATACGTTGTGATATATCCCGAGATAGTTGTACCCAATGTATAAAGTCCAATATCACCTGCACCTTCAGCCCAATCAAGGCGAAGAAGGGCCCGAGGAGACCACCAGGGTACGCATTGAATCCGCAATCACGTGAAGTAGCAAGACTAAGTAGTGATAGATACAAGCATGTGGAAAAGCTTGAGGAGAGACTGAAGAGGATGGAAGCTATGTTGCAGAGCGAATTGAGGAGTCGGCCCGCTGCAAGCGACGTGGAAGGAGAACAGTCCGACGCGGATCTACCCAGTGACTATATTGGAACTCGCCCAAGCAGAGCATCACCAGAATCGCAGCGCATACGGAAGCGTAAACGGAGGACCTCCATTGGGAGCCTTTCTGGCTTGGCCTCGAGCGCTGAGCAGCATATTTCAGTCTCGCCTCACGAACGTACAGCCTCTACTCCTACCACTCTCTTTGGGACATTCAAACTGACCAGTTCCAGCACACTTACCCTCGGCCGCCGTCTTAAATCACAGACCTTTAGATTGGTCACTCACAGGAGCCTCTCCAGTTACCCTCAGCCGAGAAATCAAGCCACTCCCAGGACGGGATGAAGCCCAACTCCTAATTCAAGAAACCTTCTCATGCTTCAACTCGGCGTTTCCTATCTTCGACGCTGCAACTTTCCAGAAAGCCTTCGAGTCGAGCTATGAAAATAACAATCACGATACCCCGGCCTGGCGGGCATGCCTAAACGTAGCTTTCGCCCTCGCGCATCGCTTCCGCGCTATGAAGACTGGGAACAGCAAAACAGAAGACGTTCACGCCTGTGGCTATCTTCAAAACGCTTTGGCTTTAGTAGGAGAACTCTCAATGCTCACAAACGAGCTCATGGCTGTGCAAGCACTGCTTGGCATGGCTATCCTGCTGCAAGGAACGCCGAATCCAGAGCCAGGCTCGATTCTGATATCGATAGCAGTAAAACTTGCACAGGGCATGAAGCTCCATCGGCGGGGCCACCAACTTGGGATCGCCGCTGCTGAGATGGAACAGAGAAAGCGTGTCTTCTGGCTTGTGTATATCTATGATAAGGATATCAGCATACGTACACATAATCCTCCAGCTCAAGATGACGACGATATGGATGTCGACCTACCTATCGAGACCATCGATTTACACCACGACCGTCTTAACGAGGTCAATTTCTATAATAATCATATTGGAATGTCTATCATTCAAGGTCAAATCTACAAGCAACTCTTATCGACACGAGCCCAGAAATCCCCGGAGATCGACCGACTGCGCACCGCGAAAGAATTGATCACTACGCTAGAAGCCTGGAAGCAAAGTATTCCAAGCATGCTTCCCATCGAAAAATTCAATACTACACATGAAGCGCCTAGCTTTTTCATCTTGCTACATAGCGTTATTTTGAAGTTCACCTATTTTCACGCGTTGGATACTGTGCGTCGCCTAGCTCACACAGCCGATCTCGATGCGTTGTGTCTTGTAGAGGCGCGAGAGTCGATGCAGCTTCTCCAGCTACTACCGCAGGGTGACTTTGCTCACGTTTGGCTCCTTCTAGATATCATCATATCAGCTTGTACTCTCATGCTGACACATGTTATTTCTGGTCCAACAACTACACAACATGAGCTAAAAGATTTAGAGCTGGTGGAACCTGTGTTCACCTTGCTAAATTTCCTCAACGATACCTCGAGGGCTCAAGATGTGGCGAAGATGGCAGAGTCCCTCAGAGCTTTAAAGAAAGAAGCAGAGGTGGCTAAAAACGCTGCAGAGAAGCATATTCGTGTTGATGAGGCGCCAAGAATAGGAAGTAAGAGCATACGATCATTGGAAGAATTTATTGGGAGAATTCAGGAGCTGAGCTCAAAGAGATGTGCGGAATTTCGAGCAACAGGACTTCGCGGTGAGTGAGGTGGGTTACGACTTTAGCCTCACTTTCAAGCAATACTTTTGCATCTTGAGAATAATGTATTCGCCGTACGTACTTCCTGGGGAAGGTTACGACACCTCAAGGCCCCCTAGTATATAATAACAGTGGCCTTGAATCTCTGGTGCAGAAGCCGTTGAATGGTCGCCAGGTAAGCTCACCTTATTGCTTGCCCTCGGGAATAGAATGCTCACCTTCGTGCCACTTTCAGATTAAAGATCTCACCTCCACAGCCCATGCCTTAGCTCTTCAGGAGGGAGCTCAGGTGACTCTGTCTCATCTGGAATTTGCAATTGAAGCAGGCGAGGACTTCGAACGTGATGTCAACGGCGCAGGGTCAACAGAAGCTTTGAATGGTTATTTCTAGCAGGATGAAAACATCCAGAAGGGTATAATTTGAGCCGTTCTCCAATATAAATAGTGTTTTTAGCCTCGCGAAAGTCTGCCAGACTGTAAATATGGATTGTGCCTCGTTTCTCTGGGTTCTGTTTGGTGATATTCTCGGCCACGGAGGAACGCACGTTGATGATGAATATATAGGCAGGCACTGTGCCATCCCTAATCAATTTTCTGCTTTTAGAAGACTGCAGGTCGCGTGGGTGCCGTATATGGCTCCCCGTGTGCGTTAGGTCTCTCATCCCATTATATATGAGCCCTCCCCTCCCTGAATAACACCTTTCGAACGAGAGCCCAACCGTTGATCATCCGTTTGGTGTCCGAGCTGCCATATCCGAATATCTAGCCTCAAATCTTAGGCTTTCATTTATTTTCTATTGTGGCCATCATGAAATGCGGGGAGACCGCGAGACCAACTTAAAGGTACAGTACAGATATACCCCTAGATGCCGATGGGGGCGCATAGTTTAAAGCTGACTAATATATCCGGGTTTTCATACTTCCACCCCAAAACAACTGGAATAGTCGCTCCACTACGTCGTAACTGCAGCTTCATCTTTCAATTGGCTAGTTGCTATCGGCGGCATTTATTTCATTAATACTTCACTTGCGGGTTGCCCAATCCCGGGTTCAGCTTGCAGCTTCTCTATCATCCAACCTCTACGAAGGAGAGGCGAGAATGTCTGCATTTTGCGCTATGGCATAATTTTTGCAATTTTTGGCACTTCTCAATGTTTATTGCCTACTAGAAGCCGCCTTGCATCCATTCTCATTCCATTTTATTGGAGTCATCGTTGATCTCTCTCCACCTCTCTGAAATTTTACGAGCGCCACCTGCTTTTCTGATTTTACTGGTGCCCTTCCATAAGCTATACCAACAACCTCGAAGAATATGCAGGAGTTCACCAACGACGAGAACGCCAGGGCGTCTCGGATCCATTGGACCGACGTTGATGTTGAAGCCGCTCATGCAAGACCTCGAACCCCCAACCGTCGCTCAAACTCTCCTATCTCTATCAATAGCCTACATAGCAGACGAGCTTCCATTGACCCCGCATCGGCGCTTCCAATCCAGTACAGGACCGTGTCATACCAGATTGCCGAATCAAACGAGAAAGCCGGAAATGAGACACGGAAAGCAAAGGATTCCGCGACAAAGGGTATGTGTGCTTTTTAAGCCCTAGAATTAACTGTCTGATAGCTGCGTAGAACTCTCAAATCTCGACTGGCACATTTTAACCCCAAATGAGATTTATACCCGATTATCTAGCTCTCCAACCCAAGGACTATCATCAGAGCAGGGTAAACGGCGCCTTGCAGAATATGGAAAGAATATCCTCTCTCCGCCAACAACCCATCTCTTCCAGGAAATTTCTGGATACTTCTTTAAGGGTTTCGGAACCATTCTTCTCATTGGCTCTATACTCGTCTTTGTATCATGGAAGCCGCTTGGACAGCCGCCATCTCCGGCAAATTTGGCACTTGCTGTTGTTCTCCTTGCTGTATTTTTTATGCAGGCGGCCTTCAATGCGTGGCACGATTGGTCATCTTCGAAAGTAATGGCGTCCATTAAAACTATGCTTCCGGTTAGCAGCCTAATGCTTCGAGATGGGGGACAAACCACTGTTGCTGCTACCGATATTGTCCCTGGCGACGTTCTATTCATCAAATCGGGTAATAAGTTGCCAGCTGACGTACGTTTTGTTCAAGTATCTTCGGATGCAAAATTCGATCGCTCGGTTCTCACTGGTAAGACTACCCATCTCAATTGCAAACATTTCTCTAACAGATTGATAGGCGAGTCACTCCCTCTTCAAGGTTCTGTAGATAGCACAGATGAGAACTATCTGGAGACCAAGTGCATTGGTCTTCAGGGCACCCACTGCATCTCTGGTAGCGCGGTTGGTGTAGTTGTATCCACAGGTGATTCCACAGTCTTCGGCAAGATTGCCAAGATGACGAACACTCCTAAAACGGATTTAACTCCGCTGGAAAGAGAGATTATGAGCTTTGTCATAATAATATGTTCTAGCATGCTTGTTATGATTGTCTTGGTGGTAATTATCTGGTAAGTCCTGATTTCTCTTCTCAAGCTTTAGCTGCTCACCTCAGCTCTCAGGGCGGCCTATTTGCGAAAGGAACATCCAGACTGGATCAATGTTCCAACATTGATTGTAGATTGCGTCTCCGTTGCTATCGCTTTCCTACCCGTGGGGCTTCCAGTCGCACTAATTGCATCCCTCACTATTACGGCCAATCTTATGCGCAAGAACAAGATTCTTTGCAAGTCCCTTAAGACTGTGGAGACCCTTGGCTCCGTGAGTGTCATCTGCTCAGATAAGACTGGCACGCTCACGAAGGTATATATACTGTGCAACTTGATCCTATATGAAACTAACAGTTTGCTAGAATAAGATGTACGTAACAGAGTGTTCAATCGGACCGCAAATTATGGGCCTCCAGCGGGCAAGGGACGAGATGGTGTCGGGCCGGAGTGAAGGAAGAAACTTCAACGCCGTTGACCAGTTGCGAGCCATAGCTGGTCTATGTAACTCGGGGGAGTTTGACGCTTCTACAACCCACCTCCCTTTACATGAGCGAAAAATCAATGGAGATGCAACAGATCAAGCCGTTTTGAGATTCTCTGAATCCCTCAGTTCTGTTTCAGACCTCCGACAGACATGGAAGAAAACGTTCGAATTAGCTTTTAATAGCAAGAACAAATACATGATTAGGACTTTAGAGCTTGCCGACCGGAATGGCTTAAATATCGCCTTGTCTGCAATAGAGGCTGCTTCATTTTGTCCTGGGGATACGTAAGCCATTTCCAGCGTGATATTATCAATCATTTTCTAACTAGAAAATAGGCTTTTGACCATCAAAGGAGCACCTGATGTTTTGATCGGTCGGTGTACGAAGTACATCACTCCCGAGGGCGCCAGCGAGATTCTGGACAAGAATACCATTGCCAAAATCGAAGAGGTTAAGGACCTATGGTCATCTCGTGGGAAAAGAGTCATCCTTTTGGCAAGGAAAATGGTTAGCAAGGAGCAGATCCAAGGGCCGGCAACCTCGGCTCATTATGAAGATGGGGTCCTTCATCATGCCCGATCTGGCCTAACATTGGTTGGTCTGGTTGGCATTGTAGATCCGCCCAGAGATGAAATCCCTTCAGTTATTTCAACGTTAAGGAGGGCTGGGATTCGGATCTTGATGGTAAGAAATCTATGGCAGTTCGAATATAACAATACTAATCACTTTAGGTCACGGGAGATTTCGCTCTAACGGCACAAGCTATTGCAGTTGAGTGTGGAATTATCTCAAACCCGCCCCACCTAGTCAAAAGTGTCTCAGACCTTTTGAGAGATAATACCCTACCAACCACAGACTCCGGATCTGAGAAGGTTAATGCCAATGCTATGTCTCCCCTTAAAACCTCCATGGTTATAAGTGGCCCAGAGATGATGACTCTGAACAAGTTCCAGTGGGACCAACTATGCAGATATGATGAGATTGTCTTCGCTCGCACTACGCCCGAACAAAAACTACGTATCGTTCAGGAGTTCCAAGGGAGAGATGAAATAGTTGGCATGACCGGAGACGGTGTCAATGATGCACCGTCACTTAAAGCCGCAGACATCGGCATAGCGCTTGGCAGTGGCAGCGACATTGCCATCGAAGCTGCTGATATGGTCCTTTTGGAGTCCTTCAGTGCCGTTGTTGAGGCTGTGCAATACGGGCGAGTCGTGTTCGATAATTTAAAGAAGACAATTGCATATCTCCTGCCTGCGGGATCCTTTTCGGAAATCTGGCCAATAATGACAAATGTTGTCTTTGGTCTTCCGCAAGTCCTATCGTCCTTCTTGATGATAGTCATTTGCTGCTTCACCGATTGCGCTGCTGCGACTGTCCTGGCATACGAGGCCCCCGAAGCTGATGTACTCCTTCGAAAGCCTCGCAAGCCTAAGGTCGACCGGCTCGTAGATTGGCAGCTAGTGCTGCAATCATATGGGTTCATTGGGGTTATTGAAACCCTTACCTCATTCGCTATGTCATACTGGTATCTCCAACGAAACGGCATTCCGTTTTCGGAACTTTGGTTCCGTTATGGCAGTCTTCCCGACAGCATTGATCAAGATTACGCGGATACCAAACTTGCAGAAGCGTCCAGTATATATTTCGTCAACCTAGTTGTAATGTAAGACTTCCTTTCCTCTCCTAATTGTTGCTCCTTTGCCCTACCCACCCCCAGACTAATATCCTAAACAGGCAATGGTTCTCCCTAATGGCCCTCCGCACCCGCCGTCTCAGCATCTTCCAGCACCCACCCGCTTTCAACAAAGCCACGCAAAACCTCTACATATTCCCCGCCATAGGCTTCGCTCTCATCATGGCTATATTTTGGCTCTACGTTCCACCCTTACAGGATGCCCTAGGAACGAGTCGTGTCCCTGTGCAGCATTTCTTTCTACCCGCTGCCTTTGGAATTGGCCTTTTGGCTTTGGATGAGGCGAGGAAGTGTTGTGTTAGGCGATGGCCTGGGGGGATCTTGGGAAGGCTTGCGTGGTAGATTGAGTTGTGTTTGCTTTTGAAGAGGATCCGTCGTGATGCCTCAACGTGCGCTCATGCGCTCATGATCTCATTAACTCAATTGTCTATCCCACTTACTACAAGGACAGCTTTTACTATCAGGATAATTTACACAATATCCCACTTACACTTATCATCAAAGAAAAGAGGGCCTTGTGAGTACCAACTATAGAGAGTCCATGAAATATTTCCGTTGCAGCCTGTGGACATACATAAATATTATTTAACATTAACGACATATGAGCTTGAGTTACACCCAGCTAGACGTGGATTTTGTGGATTTAAGGAGATGGGTCCTAAATCATCAAAACATCAGGATGACAGAAGCACGAAGTCAAGCTAAGCATCAGAAATACATCTGCCACACACCCCTAGGCTTAACGCGCATGTCACAGCCCATCTGCCCACAAAACGAAAAGAAAAGCGCATCCCCACAGCCCCGAAAACTTACAAGTCGTTCTCCTTCCTCCTCCGAATCTCAATCTCCGCAAGCGGATTAGGAGCAACCGTAGCCTCATTATAATAATTCTCTGGCCTCTTATCCTCGCCTCCCTTCCCCTCCACATCCCCCTTCAGCCTAATATCCCAGTTCTTCAATACCTCGATCATCAGAACTTTAATCTCGTTACTGGCAAAGAATCGACCAGGACATGCGTGGTTTCCATAGCCGAAATTCAATGACTCCGGAGCGGTGGTGACGAATTGGTGCTTGTTTTCTTTGCCGTTGCCCATGGCGCGCAGGTTGGAGAAGCGGAAGCCGTCGAATTCTGTAGGGCCTTTGGCGGTGGAGGGGTTGTAGGCAGGAGAGAACGTTTCTGCGGTGGTTGAGGTGTGGATTGCCCACGAGGGGAAGCCGAATCTCGTGCCTTTTGGGAGGGTGTGGCCTGTTGAGAGGGATAGAGGGGCGGTGGTTATGCGGGTGTTGGATACTTGAGAGTTTTATTAGTGGGGGAGGGTCTGGGGTTTCCACTTTGGGTACTTACGTAGTCCTGGAGGTGATAATCTCTGACTTTCTTTGAGGAAACTGTCGAGCTTACGGAGTTTGGGGATGCTTGATTTCTTTAGCTTCATCGAGCCGTCACCGTTCAAGTCATAGCCATCTTCTTCGAGGACTTGGTTGATCTCATCACGTAAAGGTCCGAGGTACTCAGGTCGAGAAACGAGATCAAAGATAGCGTGGGTTGTAGCCATGGTTGTGGTGTGGATGGCGGCAAAAGATACTGAAAGCTGTGTTAGTTCAATGAACGGAATCTAAAGGTCATAGGGAAAGTGCGTGATAACTTACAAACCATCTGGTTAACACCCAAGACTCGTGGATCATAACGTTCATGCTCGTCAGTATGTCTGAGAACCCACGATACAAAAGCTCCACGCTGGTCCCCAGACTTGCTCGAGGAAGCCTTTTCGTTCTGTGATGCATGCAACTTCTCTTGAAGCAACGGAGCCAGAAGCTCTCCTCCACGCGCTTTGTGTTGCTTGACCCTTCGTATCTCGGGAAGAAACGGGGCCACGAATGGCCGAAGTAAAATATTCCACTTGCGAATGGCATCTGCAGCTGCAACAGCATCGATTGTAAATTTGATGGTTGAATCGAGCCACTCTTCATCCCGGCTGAGGGGGAGACCAACGAAGACTCGACCACTCAGCAACGCCACGATGCGCACAAGCTTCTGATATAGCACGATTGAAGTCCAATCCTCGCACGCACCAAGCTCCTTGTTCATGGAGTACTGAATTTCATCTTGGAGACCATCGAGAACACTGGCAATATGTCTCGTCAAATCAACTTTCACAGCCGTGATTATCTCTGGTCGATCCTCTCCGATCCCAGTGTGCTTGTAGAGGAAAATGTCGCGGACCGATTTCATGAACGAAACCTGGGTCTCGGGCAGATTGCGGACTTCATCCAGCACACATACTGGGAGAATAACTTGTGGTGGTGATATTGGTATGATATAGGGGGTATTGGGATACTATTGCAGAATTGCAAATTAATATGATGCCTAAAGATTTGAGTTAATGGAAAAAGAATTATATCATTACCTTTATAGTGCCTTCGACTAAATCCTTGCTCAGATCTTGAGGGTTGCCTGTACCTACAACGGGTAGGTTGAGCCGTTTTGGCAAGTTGAGGACATAACGAACAGTTAAAGCAACGACAAGAAATAGCGCAGCGCTCAAGGCTAAAGGAGATGCCAAGGCGAGGGTCTTAACATGGCTGACAACTGATACAGAAGCCATGGTCGATGTTCAGTATATATTATCAGGGTGGTTGGTAATGGGTCTTGAGAGAAGATATATACAATAGCATTGAAAGTATCAGGAGATCAAACCGGAAAACAACCATGAGAGAAACAGGTAGGCGGGGTACCCAGAGCTTTATGGGCGCGGTGAGCAGTGAGCAAGGTATTCATTCTTATATGGCTAATCAATAACAATGACCAAATCCCCGACTTGTGCAACCAGGGTTTCCAACGTCTGTAGGGCCAGGTATGCTCCCACGGCCAGCACTGGAGGGCAGATATTTCGGATGCTTTTACGAAGTGAACGCATAAGTACTCTGCCTAGGTATAGTACATGGCTTATAAAACCTTAACTTTACCCGGACGATCAGGTTTGGACCGTGTCCATGTCCACAATTCGCCAGAATCGCCAGGGTCCAGTCTCGCCTGGCTTCAGCCGGGCTGGCATAGATTGGAGATCACTTGATACCGGCACTCATACCGACAGTACCGCCAATAGTGGCAGGCTCAGGCGGGCAGAAAACATAGAATGCTGTTTAACTTGGCGTTTGCCAGCGTCTAAGCAAAAGATTCGGGGATTGGGATCGGCGGCTAAGGCCTCAGGAAAAAGTCAGAGATTGTCTAGGACGGACGGACAAAAGAAACCAACCATCAGAATGCGAGCAAGTATTCGTACTCGTACTCGAAAGCATGATGATGATAATGACAACGTGGGGTAAGTGGTGCATCATACTACTACCTAGAGTACCTTATGTACCTACCTAGGATAGGTACTTTACTTCGTTCATGTACGGAGCATCATCATCATTTTCATTTATCACCCTCGGAAGTCGGTCTCCCGCGTTGGTCATTCGGCAGTCGTAAGGCAGACACCCGGTATATGATAAAATATGATAATAGCGTCCCCACCACAAGACTCCATAGTCTCATCCACTGTTGTCGTCTGGTACTGTACAGGACTTCGCGATGGTAGTCAAATCAGCTCCAAGAGGTTGGGTGGAGTCGTATTCGGATGCTGCCAATTTTTGCTAAACGAAACTGCCAGAATTAACGTCGACGACCAATGATTGTTATCCAAACACAAAGCAACGGCCATGGATCATCGCCCTGTGGCCTGTCTAGCAGACTCTAACTGGACCCTGCTCCAACGCATCGAACCGATGTCGTGTCTGCCCTGTCGAGCATGTCGAGCATGTCTGGACTCTGGCCCTTTCATCCCCGTCTCGGCAACCTGCGATATTTGCATCCGAACACGAGCGATGTTGCGCTGCGTACATGAGACCTGGATAGGCAGCTTCAATGCACAAAGCCGAATCATGGGGGCCTGACGACGTCTCCCTTATTCAACTTCATGAAGCGATGGTCGTTGGCCGTTGGTGCAGTTTACGAAGTTGGGAATAATGAATGAATGGCGTGAGCTACAATTTGACGCACTACCACTCCAGCCCAACGGGCAGTTTTGCGCAGCGCTCTCTCCAGGTCTCCCTGTAATGAGATTCGATCTGGTCTTGTGAGCAGAGGCGGTTGGTATTGACCCTGTTGCTCTGTTTCGAATAATATGGGTCGAAGGGATGGTTGACAAGATGATCGTCGATCAAGGAGTTGTCGCTGGTGAGGTTGCAAGCGAGGCAAAGCTGCCAATGCACCACCCCCGAGTCTGGCCTTCGCCTTCGTTCTCCAATCTTTTTCTTTTTTATCCTATGTCATCATATTATATTATCGGCCGAGGTTATGGGCCGCGGCTTTCAAGAAGCAGCATCGCCGTTTCTATGCTGTTATCGACGTTATTGCTGCCCGGGGATGAGTTGACATCGTTGGGCATCAACCACCGCAGGCACAGATTTCGGTGTTATATATACTAATGTAAGCAAACAGCTGTCACATACGACCATAGACTGAGGAGAAATGGGCATCCCGTCCGCTCTGCCATACACAAGCCTCAGATCGGCAGATTAGTAGTTGGGTGGGTGACCACCAGCGAATACCTGCTGTTGTATGTTTTTATTTTTGGATAACCTTTATAAGTAAGGTATTTTATTTAGTCCGGTCATTTGTACTTCTTTTTGAATATACATCGCAATAGAAAAGAGACATTCCACGATGAAGGCATAGTCTTATTTCTACCGCAACGACCAAGTGGCCTATGTTTTGACTCGCAAATATTGTGCGAGATAACAAGCAACAGGACTCCTCTTTTCGAGCCCAAGGGCAGTCTGAGAAACCTGCTGCACATTTCGATTGCATCCCGCATTATCTATTTCGCAAGTCCTTACCTTGCTCTAGCGACAGCACTACCAAAACTTGTGTCGCATCGGCTGCAGCAGTTGAGTATCGAATACCAAGGTGATCTTTTAGACAGAGACAGGGCAACAGCTATTCCCATGCTCGAGAACCATCTACTATGGAAATGTTAATCGATTTATAACTTAGTATCATGGACGAGCTCGTTTATATTTACAGTTCATCACACCATCCGTCGCCGAGAAGCGACTAATATACCGACTTCTAGACCAGAACCAATATGTATTCGGATCTTGGATACTCTAAAACTGCCTCGTGAATCCTTTTTACCTGCTGTTGCTCTGGTTGAAGTCTATACCATCAAGAGTGAAGGGAAACTAGACACGACTACTCCCACGGCGAATATCTATCGCAGGGCAGTATGGATCTGTTTGTAGTAAATCACAATGCGATGATAATGACTACACTACAAGATTTGATTGATCCTAGGTTGTATGGGTCACATCCTGCATTTGCAGAGGAAAGAGAGCGGAAAAACTTTGTTTTCGTATTCTTCAACTTTGTGAAACGTTCACAGGCCCTCCGGAAATACCAAATATATATATATATATTAGTACAGAAATATATCTCGCACAGAGAATGTCCACTGGTTGTTTTCTTCGTAGCGGAAATCGTCCTGTTTTCATGGCGATCTTTTTATCGCCCAAACCTCGGTATCGCCTAGATACCAAGATTCTAGGGGCTTTCAGACAGAATCCTTGGGCTATATAACGGTCATAGATATTAAAGGCTCTAAGCTAATGCTTTACCAGGAATATTCGTGCTAGATTGCAACCTGGAATGCTATAAAACGATCTCGATACACGTTCCCGAGCCTAGGCAATTCGCTGAAATGATGTATGGCATATGCGCAGATAAACAAGACCAAAGACAACTCAAGTGTACTCCACCACACGAACCTGATGAAGATATAGATATATTACGTGAATCCATGGCTAGCTTGTCAGATCTGTCTCTTTAACGAATGTAAGCTCGATACGAGTATGTGCTAACAGTCAAATGTAGTTGGCAAGGGATAACCAAACTCATTTACAGAGCTGCGAACGACCGCCGTCAATTTACGTCTTGTGCATTAATAATTAAGTCGTTGAAGAGGGCACGTAGGGAAGGATGCCGACTAATAAACGCGCTTTATTAATTTCCTTCTAAGATGGAGCCATTTAGGTAGGTTAATAGATGGCGATCCCATTTTGCTGATTATCCTTTCGGTGTGCTTAGTTTTACGATAGCGAATCCATCGCGGAAGGGCTGTGTAGGATTGACCAGACCTTCATTACCGCCGGCCAGGATGGCTGGACGCATAGGGTTAATTACATTCTTGAAGCAGATCTTTTAAGTTTGTTTATTTTTGATTATTTCTCCTTGGGATGGATGGGAGTATGGCGAGAAATATCAACTATGTGTTGGAGTGGCAATATCTCACCGCTAATGGGTTTTTGAATTCAGCATAATATTCGCCATGACTTATAGTCTTCAAGGTAACTTTGATAGTTGCGAGAAGATCAGCCGCAAAGCTAGGAATTTCTTGAGGCTCCTTCGTGATTGGAAGTTTCGAGTTGAAACAACGCCATCAGTCTCCTCCAAAGTGGTCGACTGCTCATCACCTTTCTTGAAGTCTCCTTCGAATGTAGCCGCAAAATATGGGTACTACTTGCAAAGGAGGGCCCTCGGGAGCTTATCTTACATTCGTGGTTTGCAGATCTGATGGAATTGTAACGTGAGAGACGGAATATAGAGAGACAGTTGTATTCGTAGGGAATGCCAATAGATGCTTGGAAGTACTCACGAATTTGCCAAGGTTTCACAAGGTGTATCAAGAGCATTCTCCTCGGTACCTATACAAGCTATACTTGACATATCGTGTGTTTTGGTGTTGAAGACGTCGTTGGTGAGCGAGAGTCAATTCTGAGGTTCGGCACATGGTCCTCCAGCAGGGCTAACCATAATTACCTACCTAGGTACTTGGCTATGTAATACTTAGAAATTCAATAATGTGCAAAGCGGAAGCCACAATCGCTTCCCACTGTAATGGTGCACAATCATATTGTTTTTAAGAGAATTACGTTGCATGGAAAACGAATCGTGTCTACCTCATCTTAGGTACCGCTAAGGTGAACAGGTCGTTGCTGGGTGAACCATAATCCAAGGAAGCCCGGCCAAGTAGCTGTCGTTAAGTGCGCGCCTTTTAAAGCTGAACACTGAAGGACTTGAGCTTGAGACAGGCATCTAAAGTCTTTCTCATAACATTACATAAACATGTGTGGCTATTATTTATAGCTTCCTCTAAATTTAAATGATATTAAGTTGTCAATGACTCAGCTACTACATACAAAGTTCGTATCACTGAACTGTTTGGGGTCGCCTGTCGCGGTGTAGACATACCGGAGGCAGATGCTGTTGGCTCGTCACGTAATAACATCTGCATGCTCCTCTCTTTATTTTACAAGATACCTTGAAATTCACCATCCTCTTCTGATAGTGGCTCGCCACTCATTATCCACATTCTATTCCACTGCGTCAGGTCAGAAAACCAACCTCCTCAATCGACGCCACAGGCTCTTTTGTTCATAAATCCAGCCATTCCTATTTCGCAGGCTCCTCTCCCTACCTAGGTATTACACGACGAGTCAATTTCCCTCCACGAATCAGCCCACATCTAACATCAAATTTCCAGGGCTAGATCAATTCACAATGGCCTCTTCCGATATTCTGTCGCAAGCCCTTTCCTCCATCACGTCGATAAAATTAGAGGAGCTATCTATTCAGCGATCTACTTTTGAAAATGCCAAAGCTGAGCTCTTGAAAGCTGTCGACGCCGAGGCTAATCAGACCGAGAAAGTTCGCATGCTCGTCGACCGTATCGAGAGTTTCCCGTCCATAAGCAAGGTCAAACTAGGTGACAATGCTCCCATCTCCCTCAACAACATTAAAAAATTTCTAAAGCAAGCTCGCTATGATCCTTCTGTCTCTATGGAACTACAGAAAAGCTGGCAAATCAAACTCCAGGAAGCCCTTGATGGCCACTCCCGCCGTTACGAATACGCTTCTCTGTACGGAAATCTGGTGAGCGAATGGCTTTCTGCGTCGGAAGATGGTGCAGGCTCTTCGGCTGGTAAAAGCACAGTTGAGGAAGTAGGACGCAATGAAATGCACGAACAGCGTAGAACCTGGGAGGACTATGTCTTCAAGGCTCATGAGACCGATTCTTCCGCAGTCGACAGTTACCTCAAAGCATTGTTCACTTCCAATAAGAACATTCATTCGGCATATACTGATCTAGCTGCCGCGTCATGACGGAGTTTGCTAATCTCATGGGTCTCAAGTTCAACAAGGAGAAGACTGGAAGTGTCAAAATCACCAGAAAGGGCGAGAAGCTGGATAAAGTTGCCGCCGGCCTCCCAAAGGGTGATGTTCGCTGGGGACTTCTGAAGCTTGACTTGGTCACTGGACGATTTGTCATCGACCAAGACAGCGTAGATGAACACATCGAAGAACTCCAGCTTCAGCTCAGAGCCTGCAAATCGGTAATTGAATGGATCCAAGTCTGGAATCTCTACGGCGTCCGCTATTTTACTACCAACTTTGGCCGGCTAGCCAATTGTTTCGGTCAGGTACATGTCGAAATGATACTTGAGACTTTCACACGAATTCAGAGTCAACTTTTTGCTTCCACCGGCGGAAGCGTTACTTCCACCCTTAAGAAAATGATAGCCGACCGATTTGGAGTGAAGGATATTCCGGAAGGCTATCTATACTTTCCTATGTCAATGGGCGGACTGGATCTCAAGAGTCCTTTCGTAGGCCTTAATCTTATTCACGATACCGTCGCCAGGAATCCTGATACCTATATGGATGACTACTTCACTAATGAGGAGAGCGAATATCGTAAGGCCAAGATGCTCTTTGATAATGGTACGATTCCAGGCCTCTCAGTTGCGCTCAGGTATTCGGTCGATAGAAAACCATTCATGTCTTTTGAGGAGTATACACGGTACAGGGAGCAGACCTCTAGGAACCTCCGTGAGACCTATGTCGCCTTGACTGCTAAACCAGAAACGAAAAATGTCGACCAGACTAGCGATGTTTCAAGCCTTATTTCCTCTTCTGACTGGAAATCGTTACAGCCATCTCAGCAGTGGATCATCCAACTATATGCTGCTGATATGATTTCACGCTTTGGCGAATTGAACGTTGTGGAGAAAGGTATGCTTCCAACAGGCATGGTGAGCGCGTTTAGAGAGAGTCGGTTTAAGTGGTAGGGATGATTTGGTGATACATACCATAGGGGAAATGGGAGTTGGGGAGTAAATGATACCACACGAGGACAGATCAGCGTTTTCATTTCATTCAAGGGATTACTAAAATTGCATAAGTCCTACTATGGGACTCGGATCGCAAAATACGAGTCTAGCTATAGTGGGGGAAGCTCATGGGAAGCATAAATATTGGCGAATGTTGAATTCGCGGTCTAATAACTAGCTAACGCATTGGTAATGAAGAAATATCAAAAAACACTGTAGAAGGAGGTGAAAATATGCCAATTCCAGTCTAATATATAGAGGCCTATGACGCTTAACCAATGAGAGAGGACAACGGGGAAGGGCAGACGAAACGAATCGACCTAGAACCCGGTACACTATATCCGCCCTTGCCATCAGACCCCTTGCAGTGAGCAGGATCTCCAGTCTTGCTGCTAAAGGGTCCATACACCGTTCCCGTGGTATCACAGTTCAGAGCGGTATAAGTGAAAACTACACCACTCTTTAGCTAACCTTGGTTATAAGTCATGCCTCATGGATATACATACGTTGACATCCATCTGACGGATTAATGTGGTCTTCAATGTATAGTGCGCCGAAGAATTGGGCTTGATTGTAACAGCCTTGCTGGTTATGGAAGAGGACATGGTTGCTAGGGTTGATTGGTGGCGGTGCTCCGCTTCTGGAACAGTCGTTGTAGATGTCCAGGGAGAAGACTTGAGGTCCGTTGGGGTCTTGGCGAGCTTGGAATTCAGATGGTGCAGCTAGGACTTGACTGGTAATGAGAGCTACTAAGGTAGTGATAGATGAGATGGCGACCATGTTGATGAGTTTTGATTTCTGATGCTTTCTTGAGTTTCTTTGTCGTTGTTGAAGTTGAGCTGTGTTGCTGGGTTGGTTGGTTTGATGTGTAAGGAATGGTTTATAATGTTCTTTCCTCGAGAGAGGCGACCCTTATATACTAGTTCTATGTCCTGAAAACTGAGATCCTATCCATCAAAAGTACGAACGGGCTATTCCATCTCATGATCTCATGATCTCATGATCTCTTGATACTATCCTTAGCCATCCAGTTGTGGCCTTGATGAATGATTGATGACGTGAGGAAGAGGCTCATGATCCAAAATCAACACCTCAGTTTGCCATGTTTCTTATAAATCCTCTGTCCAAAACTCATCTTAGCCATGGCTGTTGGCTTGCTCGTAACTATGGCTGATGAATAGCCTCGTAATGAAGATGTGGCGGTTATCAAATGGTAGGTTCTTAGTTCTTGGCTTCCAGTATGAACGCCTTCGTCAGACCAACATCATGTCAGATTGAGAGAGGAGAAGGTGTCTTCTGCGTTTTAACAACATGTTAGTTTCTTTCCATGGGGTTGTTTTCAGAGTCCAAGAGCACAAGTATCAGAAGCCTGTAGCTTATTAACTCTTATAACATGCCAAGAGACATTGGTGTGCGTTTACTTCTATAACTTGAGAGGCGTAAAGATATACGTTTACCAACAAGAAATTCAAAATGATGATCTTGCCATAAATATAGCGGACTTCCTCTTGCCCCCAAAGTCAGTCCCAGGACACTGGAACCCCCTGGATAGGCCAAGCCAAAGGGCTGGGGGCTAGGTCAAATCTGACACCTAGCAGCCCTACCACGTGAGAGATAATATGCTTTTGATTCTTAAGCTCCCTACTAAGCCCCTAAAATCTCGTGAGCTACGGCAATCGCCCAAATAAGTGATACGAGCAGACCAGTTTACCAGTAATTACTAATTAAAGAGATAATTGCCTCAATTAGACAGCGTTTAAAGAACACAGATCTCGCCACATTCCATTCAACTAACACATGTGATTAATTCCTCTATTTGCCTATCTGTATAGGCTTTCCACTCATTAGATTAAAAAAACCAATATACTTAATTACCTGAAAATCGTCCCATTCCAAGTCCCATAACCTAAAAAATATGCCCAAATGCTTATTGATAACATTCGTGTACTTTTCCCAGTCGCTTCAGAAGTCTAGGCTAATATGCTTATTTTATAAAGACGTAGATGTATAATACAACGCTCGAGAGTAGGGCTAGGAATATCCGTAGCGCGCTTGCCTTGCAATACCTTGATTGTCAGGTATATCCACTTGTACTTGTGATTACCTCCGAGGAATTATAAGCCTGTACGACTCGCGGCGATTCCGATAGCCTCGGATCTAGAGTATGATGCTGACGTGCATAGGGCTGAACCCACTGGTTTGGCGAGCATCGTAAGACTTGGTCACACGGACGCAAAAGGGAACCTTATAAGTGTGGTAGGACAACTTCTTATCTCCTTTGAAAATACTCGCAGATGTACACCTATGAGCGGCCCTCAGAAGTGATATTCAAATGACTAAAGCTTTGCTGTGCGGCTATGCACTCTGAGGTAGAAATTCGGTGGCTCATTCGACGCAGCATTTGACAGTGAGGAAGAAGGTACCTTTGGTTTTGTCCAGCCCACTCTAAATAAAACATGTTGACTTGAATCTTGCAGTATCAGTGTGACAGGAAATATATTTTGGTTTGTATAGATCGGTGGTTTTAACCCTCGGCTCAAGAAAGGGGTGGGGAAAGGGGCTTAAGCGAAACCGCCTCGGAATACTGGTCCTACCGGAGAAATGGAAAAAAACTGACGAAACAAGCATACAACGACAGATATTCTTAGGTATCCCTTTAGTGCGAAGGTTAAGGGGTTAAGCTACTAGTTAGCAGCTCCTATAGCTAGGGGTATTGTTATTCCCGAAAACCACCGATTTGTTCTAAGAGTGCGTCTGTCTGATTTGAGGCACCCGAGGATTATCCCAGGCATCGAAGGTATAATACCCATCGTCGCTTTTATCTTCTCCTCGTGATTTCGTAAACTAAACCTACCTTCCTCTATTATCCTTCCGCTAGCGCCAATGATCATCAATAGTAGTCGTGTGAAGCATCTTTGGGATGATGCTAAAACTCAGCCGGCGTGGGCCGCAACAAGATTCTGGGGTTAACTACTTAAAGAACTCTTTTCTAGTTGCGACTAGGCGCTTTCTTCATACCAGCCTCCAACTGACGAGCCAAGTGACCTACGGCGAGCCGATTTGCGTATGAAGAGCTGGATTGACGACCAGTGGCAAGCTATCCTCTTTTTCCAAGGCCAAAACGAACAACTGTACCTGGACTGGGCCGACGCACTTGAAGTTTAGGCATACGATGCTTGCATAAGTCACCTTAAGCCAACAGGGAGGACCCAAATGTACGCCACTGTAGCCATTGGAACCGCTGCACGTCTGTGGTATGTCAATATCGATGAAAGCTATCTACTTCCAATGGCGCCAGTCAGTGAGAATATCGCCGAAAGAGAGTTGTGTATCGAAACTCACAGTGCTGGCGCTCGGAACTCCGGGAAGTCCTCGAATATATGGCCGAAAACAATAGACTCTCTGGAATAAATCTACACGTCTTAAAAGGCAAATGCGCCCCAAAAACTTTCGCAGCATCTAACAGGAACTGTACCGAAGTTACCCGTCCAGCGATTCCCATGGCCCAGCTCACTTATGGTTCTGGCTCCGGTGCTCCGGTCCAGGACTGATACCCCTCACGCCGAAGCCACCCGGGAGGTTGTTTCACATCCCACTAGCAACGATGAGGTCTAGAGTTTCAGAGGTAGCTCGCCAGGCAATGATGGGAGAGTCGATGGGGCATTATGCGGAAGTGGGATGATCCGTACATTGCCTACACAATCAGTAAGCCACGTAATTCTCTGCATGGAACCCTCCTAAAGGCAAGAAGAACAAAAGGTCGTAATAATTGGCGGACTTAGAACTGCTATTTATAAAGAGACTCGATTGTGCTTTTTTATAGAAAGCAGCCAAGATCGAACCATCCTTTACTAAATCATTTTTACCTAATCATCAAATACACCCTATTAAAATCAAACCACCATACAGCCTTGCCTGACATTTTCGTGGTTTGCCATCCAACCTCCGTCAATGTATTGAACTTAACCTCATCTGAGGAAAAACCAACACAGACTCCATCTATGCCGCGAACGGTTCGGCTCTTTCTCCAGTGAAAAGCGACAGGATCCTTCACGGTAATCGACTCGTAAAGACCGACGCAACACCGACCTAACGCCTCTTGCATTCCTGTGGAGTAGGTGAGCAAGACGCCCATACAAGTATCTTGATTGTAATCGCCATGATTTTCCATTCCAATAACGAAGCACCGGGCTTCTATGACATTCTCCAACCGGGCTTCAGTGCATAAGAAATCATTACACCAGCCCCTATCAACGGTGGGCCCAGAGTGTAGTCGTGGTAATTGTTGCCGCTGCGGCTCCGTATCTAACGTTGGGAAGACACCAAAGTATTGTATTGGGTCTCCGGGTTCAGGATCTTCGTGAACTATCTGAGAGATGCCCTTATCGGCCAAGCAGCTGACTCTGTATTCCAGATAGTCGGGACCTCTATTTGGACCATACATGCAGAATCTACCGAAGTTTGTTTTTAACTAAAATCGTATTAGAAGTAAGTCCAGATGACAATGAGGCTTCTTACCATTAGCATTGGAAATGTTGTTGATGGGTGACCAGCTCTTCGGCGAATCCACGCCTCATAGATGCTTTCGCCTGCATTCAATGGAAAGTACACCCAGAGAAGCTCAACTTTTGAAGCCCGCGAGAGCCTACCCCAAGCTGGCATGGCGGAGGGGTAGAGAGCAGTATGAGCATGAATGCCATATATTTGCCTCGGCGTGCAGAAGATGCTAATGCCTGTGAGATCGGAGTCTATCGAGATCAAGCTCATGCGCCTCGGTTTCGTATTACGAGTAGGGGCTACTCTAAAGGTACTCAGATCTGGAGGGTTTGGGATGTTCCAAAGCGTCGGGATGATGGATTGATCCGTGGGCGCTTCGATGCAATAGAACAGCCCCTACTTGATCGTTAATATAAACTCGTATGCCAGACATGGCGTGACTGACATTTGTCATTAGCTTGAGGGGTTTCAACTTATCTATCTCTTCCACAATGTACCGGAAACAGTCAGGGAAACGGCTGTCTCGAGAAACGGGACGATCATCTAAAGGCTCGATGAATTGGACACCTGAAATATCGATGCCTATTCTCAAGAATCTTGGGGCATTGCTTGTACCTCTGGGTCCTAGTGGTTGACTGACATTCGAATTCACCCAATTCCTAATGCTCAACTGATTCAACTCTCCAGCACATATCGTATGTACTGGTAGGGTCTGGAGTTTTTCAAATATGTCAGCGCCCCACGAGAGAACATTGACCGGTCTCCATAACATCGAATCGGAGGAATAAGTTGCGATCATATTTCGTAGCTCCATCGGCAATTCCAAAATTCCTTTCAACAGTTTATACACATCGGTTGACATATCAATAAAGCTTAAATCTGCTGGGGATGCACCTGGCATGATGCAGAAGTCATCACTAGTATCTGCCCTAAGCCACGTACATGACCATGAACCTAGGAGCCAGATAGATGACAGGATGCATTTTGATTTAGTATGCCTCTTGAGTAGTTTGACGCAGCAGAGGTGTGACACGACAGCCACCGGGGAGGCTCGGCAGGTTGGGCATCTAGGATGTCGGCAGAGTCGCCAGTGCGCCTCGGTACCATCGTAGAAGACTGATTCTCTGGTGATAGTGTAACCTGGAGCCGGAAAATCGAACGGGAGGGAGCAGCCTTTGTACTGGAGCCCCTTTCCTAAAACTGCTGCTGTCAGTATCAAAGTCTTCATCACTTAGTTGGAGTAATTCACCCGCAATTGCCTTCTCGTTAACGGCGATATGCTGATTGCACAGCAGACAGCGCGGGGTTGAGATGGAAATATGAGACTCTTTCGCCATGACTAGGTCGTTCGGTAGTTGCTCTGAAATGGTGTTGTAATGGCACTTCGAATATTACAAGAAGTCCCAAAGGCGTATAAACTACTTAAGGCTAGTCATATGCCTATCTCATTTTCCCCCTTCGACCAGCAATATACATATCAAATTAAACGATTGTGTGCTAAGGAAGACAAAAGGCGGCCACCTGGCTAAGTGGTTCAGATCAAATTGTCCAGTCTGAGTGGATCGATAGGGACGAAAACGACAAAACGACAAAATCGGCAAGAGATGTAGGCATCCGGCACCACCGGGCTGAACTCTTTTGCTTTTATTTATGGTGGATGTTGAGAGGTCTTTTTCCGTTTCGCCTACTCGAGTACGTGTTGTTGCAAGTTGGCGGGAGGCGCCTTGCGCGGGAGCCTGAGCGGCTGCCTTCTAGTTAGCACGTCTACGCCCCTTCTTGATAATCTGCTAGTACTATTCTGATTTATTGGCTTTCCTTTTACTGTCCTCCGTTACGCGGCCCTTGATATCCTCTTTTAAACAGCGAGCGTAAGTGTCAAACCCTTCGAGCCAAAAGGGGAGAATATGGTATAGCTTGTGGAATATTAGTGTCAAGCTGTCAGCCTGATCAACAGCTTGGGCAAGTGAGTTGGCGTGTAAACTGGCCGGCGAGCTAGCTTAGAGACAAGCTTACAAGTGACGGCCAGGCCAGCGTAAGGGGATGCACGAAAGCCGTCTTCATGAAAGAGGTAGGCTATAACCTGTTAAAACCAGAGGAAGTTGGAGACGACGCGATACCGGCGACTGGCGCATGGACAAGCAGTCACCTGACTGACTGGTTTTTGGGAGGCCTAAACCGTATAATAAACGCAGATGACCGAGAGGGTATTAATCCATATCAGCAATTCTTGAAATGCAGAAGGGAATGTTACGAGAAGGGAATCTGAAAACAGCAGATAAGTACTTATCACGTGACTATCATTGTCTGAATCAGGTAGGTACCTAGGTACCTTGGGTGGTTCCTGCGTTTCGTTTCGTTTCATGATAATGTGAGAACTGGAGCGACGAAATAAACTATATAAATTAAAGAGAGTATAAAGTATACTTAGGTAACTTTGGTTCAACCGACCGACGTTCTGCCGGCTCAACCGACGGAACTATTCTCTACTCTATCCGAGCTGTAACCCGCGAGCTGTGTCCCCGTTCTTTTTGTAGGCCACATCACGGGGTGCCCCAAACGGTTTCCGGGCGTGGTCTACAAAAAGAACTCCAGATGCACAGCGCAAAGGTGCCGATACTAATTACTTGCCTCATGCACCACTTACCTCCTACATCACCTACCTCCCACACCAAGCACTCAGAGCTCGATCACCGCCTTGGGAGATGGCACAAACAAATGAACAAAGCACCGCATGTCGATCCAGGAAACCAATGACATTATGCATCGAAGCATGCAAGGCCGACGATGTATCGCTGATGGAACAGGCTATATCAATCGCCTCCAAATCTAACTCGAGCCATGCAGTCCAGGACGTCGTTCAACGGGGCTTTAGGCGCTCAGCAGCAAGGAGAGCGGTTCACGTTCTTAACTATTTAGTTGACCACCCTCACGGCGCTGATGTCGCAGCACTGAGTGCCTCAGATATTATGGCCAATGATGATATGGCCAAACCTTCGCAAGAGATCCTTGAGATCCTCGTTGCTCACGGATGGGATATCAATACACAAGGCCCTGGTAAGATTACTAGTTGGCCGTTGCTTTGGTATATTGTGAAATATCCGGATCTTGTTAGATGGTGCTTGGATCACGGCGCTAGAGTTGATATTCCTGACAACCCGCCTCAAGTCAAGGATAGCGTACAGAGCTATACAGTTGTGCCACCCGCAACAATTCTCGGCATGGCGGCGTCGTCAGGCAGTGTCGAGACATTCGAGCTACTACGAGCGAAAGGTGCTCCCTTGGACTTACAGACGCTGCACCGCGCAGTTGAGCAAGCCACGATCTTAGCACCAAAAGAGGGCTCTGAGCCCAGCTCATTCTATACACACCGTATGGACATGGTACGCCATCTTGTAGACGTCGTCAAGCTTGACGTCAATGCCGTACAACACCAGCTTGGCCGCGAATGCAGCACTCCACTTTGCATCGTGGCTAAACGTCCCACCAATCAAATATTTCGAGAGCTGGTATACTTCTTACTGGATCGCGGCGCGGATCCAAATCTGAATGGTAAGACGCAGGAAGATACAAATTGGCCGAGTGCCATTGCTTGCGCTCAGTCTTGGGGCAATTTGAGCTTCTTGCAAGCTGTAAAGAATAGATAAGCGAAGTTATAGTAGATGGCGAACATTAGGTACCCCTCCCATTTCTTCATCCTTTTTAACGTACGCATAAAACCAACCACAGCGAGAACGCTTGAAAACAAGGAAAGAAAAAAGGTAAGAAAGATGCTAAGAGGTATAGGAATGAAGCAAGCTCCAAGCTATTTGCTGACTAAAAAGTGGAGTTTCACAGAGTAACCATGCGAAGGTCAAGTCGGCAGAGTTAACACGTCTGTCAAGCTGGTCACGGCATATCAAAACTGAGCACATGATGAACGATGAGCGAGCCAGCGCCTCAAGATGGCCTCACATCCTCCTATGAGCTCGTCGATGGCGCTGACGAGGAGGGGCAACCTGTGCCTCGTGCAAATCAAGCTTGCAACGAGTGCAAGCGGCGCAAAGGCAAATGCGATCGAGTAGCCCCCGAATGTAGCCCCTGTAGGAGGTTTCGCCGTCATTGTCTGTACGAGCAGCATAGCAAAACACCATTGACCCGCAAGTACGAACTCCTGCATTTATTTCGCTGTCAAAAGGCTAACATTGCCGACTTCAGACACCTTACCTTTGTTGAGCATCGACTCGCGGGAGCCAATGCAGAAATCCGCAGCCTACGACGAGCGCTCAATGAGCTTCGACAACAAAATGGAGAGGTCTCACTTGGTACTCGTGAGGAGAGTGGCGAAGTTCCAGCAGAGGTTGCCCCCGAAACATCTGGGACAAGCGCAGTCTTTACTTCTGACTCGCGATGTCCCACAATCACGAACCTATATCATATGGATGCTTCGCAGATGAATATCTCTGATTCTCCGCCTTTGTCGACTAGGCTGACCGACGGAGGGTTCAATGAAAACTGTGATATTGAGGAAGCTTTCGAGCAAACAGAACGGTCGTCGATTCCGCTTGAAGGACCTCCGACAACTGGGGAAGAATTTGACTGGGATGAGCAGTCCATGTCTATGGCTTCAGAGCTTGATCCTCAATCAAGCGGGGAGGAGGAACCCGAGTTTGTGGACGGAATGGCATCTCTGTCAGTCAACGAGAAGGACGTGGGGTATCTTGGAGTTGCCTCTGGTGCAGCACTATTACGCATGCTTCGACCAGAAAACAGCTCACGAGGATCGTTTTTGGAGAGAACGGGCAGGCGACCCAGAACATCTTCAACCCTTCTTGTCCCACAACCAAATCCGCACGTGCATATTGTGGATGCAATGATTGATGGATATTTCCGATCGTATCATCTGAGCTATCCCATCGTTCATGAGCCACGATTTAGGGCGCAATATTCTGGGGTAATCCAGTGCCCCAAGGACAACGGGTGGCAAGCTCTAATTTACGTAATAGCTGCTCTGGGAGCCTTCTCGACTGCTGAAGATGCTAGTGATGCTGATATCGGGCTTTTCCATGCTGCAAGATCACACTTGTCCATCGATGATCTTCAGTCTGGTAATATAAGCCTCGTACAATCCCTCACTCTCATGTCAAACTATTTGCAGAAGAGGAACAAGCCAAATTCCGGATACAATTATCTGGGCTTGGCTCTGCGCATGGCAATGGGGCTTGGTCTCTACAAAGAATTTCCTGGTTGGGATATCAAGCCTCTACAGATGGAGATTCGGAGAAGAGTGTGGTGGACCCTCTTTGTATTTGATATAGGTGCGACAATCACTTTCAGTCGGCCACTAGGTTGGCCTAGCGAAGGTATCGATGTTAGACTACCTTTGAACATCAACGATCGAGTATGTCAACCGAAAACAAAAATAAGTATTAGGCTAAAATGTACCCAGGAACTGACAGCGGTCACAAACTCCTATCCGACTGAATCTGCGAACCCAACGACCTACACCGCAGTTCGTACTCAAGTGGCTTTCCACTTAGCCACGAATGCAATCTACAAACGGGTAATATCTCTCCCGTTTCCATCGCCAAGGGAATGCTTAGCTCTCGACGAGGAGAAGATCGTGCCTTGGTTCCAGTCACTGCCGCCCTGGTATAGCGAGTCTGCAACTGTTCCTCAGCAGTTTGCTCTAAGTCACTCAATTATGATGTGGCGGTACCGAAATTTGAGATTGATCATGTATCGACCGTTTGTCCTAAGGCGGAGTCTCAAGAATCGTGTCAATAGCGCTCCTCTTACTGTGCGCAAGGACGAGCAAGAGGCCTGCAATCGTTGTCTTCACGAGGCCTCTATGAGTATTACTCTGATCGGAAATTTTTGGTCAACCCACCAGCACACCAAGCTTGCTGCGTGGTACGCATTGTGGGTATTTTCTTATTATTACACGCTGTCATGAAGCTAACATGGCACTAGATACTTCCTGTTTCAAGCCTCGTTGTTGCCAATATTCTGCCTGCGGAACGACCCATTATCACCCAGTGCCAACGATTGGCGCCAGGACATCCGCGTTGCTCTCAGTGTAATTGAATCGATGGCAATAATCAACCCCAGCAGCGTAAAATGCCTGCATACTATCAACACCCTGTGCGAGCAGTTTATGGTAGATACGTCAACTGCGGCAGATATGCTACTTGATCCTACAGGCGAGTCTCCACAAACTCAAATCAATAATGTATTATCTATGATGTGGCCAAATCTTCCAGAACTGGACGTGGTCATGCAAGATGATAATTGGACCAGATTCTATGACACATCTGTTCTGGACGGACGATTTGACAACACATTTGATACGGGCGAAGATCAATGGCCGATCTGAGCAAGATACAAATGAGAAGTAAACACAGCGAGTCTTGTGAGATGATTCTTGGATATATTTTCCATTGTTTTCATTTGAACATATATCTCCTAAAGAGATCTTACCCTCTCATGGCAATGTATACGCTCCATCGATAACCATATTTGCGCCTTTAACAATGTCAGTATATATATCCTCTGCTCCAATTTCGGACGCTTACCAGTCATGTAGCTACTCGCATTGCTCGCCAAGAACACATACGCACCCTTCAACTCGCACGGATCGCAGAGTCTTGCGGCCGGAATCATCGAGAACCACTGTGCCCTCCATTCCTCAGGATGCACGCTGAGCACTATTCCCAGCATTAGTCACACCATATCCAAATCGACGCTTTGCACGGATCACACTCACTATCAGTAGCAATGAATCCTGGGCTCACACAATTCACCCTCGCAAAATCAACCCACTCTACTGCCAAACACCTCGCCATCTGTACCACCGCCGCCTTGGACGCATTATACGCCATCTGTTTCTGTGGCACATTTACAAGGATTGCGGACACTGACGCGGTGAAAATTATGTTTCCGTGACCTTGCTTTTCGAAGATCTTGCCCGCTGCTTGCGCTGTATAGAAAGCGCCGTCCAGGTTGACGCGCATGATTTCTGAGAACTGCTCGGGGGTGTAGTCGAGAGCTGGGATATGCGTTGCGATACCTCTGATTTAATCAGACGTTATTTTTCTTATCGTTAAAAGAAAATTCACTTTTGTATCTTCAAAGGTATTCGAAAGAGAGTGACTTACGCATTTGCAACCACGACCTCTAATGCTCCAAAATCATTCACTACTTGCGCAAGCGTCTCACTGATAGCCTTCGCATCCCGTACATCACTCTTGTACGCCTTGATAGTCACACCGGTTGCGCTTGCGATTTTTGAAGCAAGGGCGTCCGACTCAATGGCCGAGGTTGTGCTGTAGGTAAATGCTACATTTGCGCCTGCTTCTGCAAGGCCGGTGACCACTTCAAGACCAATTCCACGAGAGCCGCCTGTTACGAGGGCGGTTTTGCCTTTGAGGGAGAACTGGGAGAGGACATGCGAAGGAGCTGGCTTGGAGAGCGGCATGGTGGAATGTTTGAAGAGTTAACGTTACTAATTGTTGTTGTGAGGGCCGTTGATGAAGGGAGATGCGAAACTGAAAAGTGATAATCAATACAGTTAAATACGATGAAAATTGTACGATGTAGAATAATTAAAAAAATATAAACAAATTTTGGAAAGCTCTAAGCTACAGTTCTCCAAGATTTTGGGGGGCTTTTCCACACGAAGCCTTCAAAGCGGCACTGGTCAACCTGAGCTTGTCAAACACCTTGCGTCTCCCCACTTCTCCAACGGCGGCGGTCCTGCTCTCCTAGCGTCGCCGTACTGCAGGCGCGGACGACTGTCGCCCAAACCATGCCGGGGTCATACATGGCAGCCCAGATGTTCACTAAGTAAAGAATCCGGGGGTTGTGTGAGGCCCGAGGCACGGCAGAGTTGAGGGTAGGCAAAGATGGGGCGGAGTAAAGCCAACCTTTGTCCCACAATATCACACCTGTTATCAACTGATTGTCACGTACTACTGATTCCCTGATAACCACTACTCCCTTGGCTATAATATCCCACTTTCCCTAGCCTGGACTCTGGCTATAGTACTCTTTAATCTCCTCCTTTCCTCCTAAGAGTTCGTATCTTCTCGTACTACTTCTCTAAGTTCTTCTTACTCTTAAAGATTATTTAGGATGTAAGCTTACTATACGAGAGTAACGCTATGGTTCTCAACTAGCTTTATTATAGTTCTTTAACTATCCCTTGAGCTGCGCTGTCGTGGTGAACCCACCTGGTGGCAGGTGCACTGCGTTTTTCAGCTTAGTAATCGTATTCTTAGCATAGAACATCAAAATATTGATTATCTATCAAGATGTAACAACCACATTTCCCACCTAAAACAGCCTCAATTTAATGTCAAACAGTATTGTCTTTGATCCTATAGATATAGGAACACGTCGGCCTAATGCATATAGGAGAGAAGGGGTGTTTTGGGAAGTACTCGTGGTATAAATAACGAAACTTTCGCTAGTATTGAGCTCTGCAATTGGCCAAAATCTCTCGCTACAAAATTCTTAGCCACGTGAGAATCGCACCCAGGCAGCTTGAGGGATAATACCCAACGCGTATTATTCAATGATCGAGGAGCGAGTCGGTCTCACCACGGTGAAGCCGAAAGCTCAGCAGAACCATAAGATGCAGAGCAGAGGGATATTTTAACATTATTATTACATTGAATTAGGGAATAACTACTTTACACCTTCAATGATCACTTTGATTACACTCTCCTTTCCCTGCTTCACGAGTTCGAAAGCCTTCTCGGCGTCTTCAAAGGTGAACCTGTTGGTAATGAGCCTTTTGACATCGATCTTGCCGGAAGCGATGAGATCAACTGCTTGAGGATAGCATCCCGCTGTGTATCGAATTGAACCCTTTATGTTCAAAGCACGAATGCACGCCGTGGTGATCGGGAATACAACATTCTGCCTTCGTTAGCTGAAGTTCGAGATGCACTACGAATTCGCATCAGGTGTTACCTCTTTTCCCATTCCAGTCTGCACATAAGTTCCCCCCTTCTTCGCCACAAACACGCCAGCTTGGATACATGGTTCGGCGCCAGTGCACTCCAGGACCACATCCGCCCCTTCTCCAAGTCCAAACTGCTTCTTGATCTCCTGAGCCGTGGCCTCGCTCGACGCAACTGGGTCGGCACCATCTGCTGGCTTGCTAGGCTTGAAAACTCCATCAGCCCCATAAGTTTTCGCAAACTCCAACCTAGAGTCGGAGATATCAACGCCAATCACTTTGCTCGCGCCGTATGCCTTGCAAACAGCCTGGCAAAGAACGCCGATAGGTCCCGAGCCAAATACTACGACCGTCTGTCCTGCCTTCACATCCGCAACTTTCGTGACTTGTACCGCCACAGCCGTTGGCTCTACCATAGCTCCTTCCTCGAAAGTCATGTGATCAGGCAGTTTATAGCAGTAATCACTCGCAACAGAATAGTACTTGCTCAGCGTGCCATCCCATGGTGGCGTTGCAGCAAAGATCGTATCCGCGCAGAGATTATACGCGCCACTCCGGCAGTAATCACAGTATCTGCATGGTGTCCCAGGTTCGATAGCGACTCTATCGCCGACTTTTAGGTTGTGGACTGCGTCTCCGATCTCGACGACGGTGCCAGCAGATTCGTGACCCAGTACAATGGGAGACTTTAGAACGAAGTCTCCAATTCTACCACGCTGCCAATAGTGCACGTCAGAGCCACAAATTCCGGTTTGGGCGACGTGGACGCGAACTTCGTGGTCGTTGCGAAGCGGCGGAACTGGGCGGTCTTCGAATGAGACGTTCTGGACGGAATGGAGGACAAAGGACCGGTTCTGTAGGATTCAGTAAGAGATATATTTCACGTAACGATTGTAACTCACATTTTCTGTAGCGGACAACATATTTGCGGGACTGTTTTCGAAGTTGAAGCGCTGCTAAATTTCAAGAATAAAGAATAATCAAGAGGCTGATGATGCGCATTTGAGAAATTTGAAGTCCTACTTTCTTTTATGTCGGGTTTGCCATCTTCGATACCTGATGGACATCCGACTGGGACCACTCCTGAGGGCTTGTGTTGTCCGACGATCTCGAATTTGGGATGCGGAGACATTTTGTGGACTCCCCGGACTTCTGTCGACCTCCCCGCGCAGGGCGGAAACTGTCAGCCTCTGCACCTTTTCAAAGCCATCCAAGGGCAACGCCGTCACAGCGAGATGAATCTTCGGCGTCATGTTAAAGGCCTTAACGTTATGAGATCTCTCTGGGAAATCATCAGGGCACCTACACCATCAATTCTCATTGTTGCTCCAAGATGGAACCCCAACATCAAGCCCTTGCCAGCCGCACCCTGGCCCACTACACGTCTCTCAACTCCACCAACCCAGGATCACGCCTCCTCATAGCTGTTGCTGGCCCACCAGGATCAGGCAAAACCACATCCACCACAGCCATAGCCCGTATCCTGAATACCCGCATGAAGCAGTCCCCGCCTCTCGCAGCCGTCATCTCTATGGACGGGTTCCACTATCCGCGGTCCTACCTCGATACACTGCCCAATGCTGCAGAGGCTTATGTCCGGAGAGGCGCACCGTGGACTTTCGATGCAGAGGGCATCGTGCGACTCATTTCACGGTCTCGTGGCGTGGCTGCCTCTGGAAAGGGGGAAGTGATGATTGCGCCAACGTTTGATCACGCTCTGAAAGACCCCATAGATGATGGATTGATCATAGAACCGGAGACGAGGATTTTGATCTTTGAGGGCAACTATCTACTAGTGGATGAGGAGCCTTGGTCGAGGATCAGGGAGCTGGTCGATGAACGGTGGTGGGTCAGTGTGGGCGCAGAGGAGGCGAGGATGAGAGTTGCGAGGAGACATGTAGCGGCGGGGATTGAGAGGAACATGGTAGATGCATTAAAAAGGGTCGATGCGAATGACAGCTTGAATGGGGTTTACATTACGGAGCACAGTCGAGATGCGGATGTTGTCATTAAGAACATTGAGGAGAAGGTATGATGGTCAGGAACCTAACAAGGGTTCCAAAGCCAACAGTAATACCCGTGCAGTGTTTGTACTAAAAAGACAATAACTATACAAAACCATCACAGGAAAATGGCCCAGTCAAATCCTATAATTGACAAGTTAAAAAAAGAACTTCAAGTTCACGTGTGCCCAAGCCAAGTTGTATTGTCTGGCTCTTTACGAGTCAAAGGCGCCTTACCTTACATAATCCGGACAGTACGAGTAATGGTTCCTATGCGAGGTTGGCTGTCGTCCTTTTCGAACTTCAAGACCTTGGTCGAAGCAACTCGCAGGGACGAGCAGGTCCAGCGGATCTTGTCACCCCTCGACTCCAACCGAAGAACGGAACGCGTTCCATAAGGCCTAGATACAATGGGGGGTAGATATATACGTTGTTATCCTAGGTTTTCTTTTCATATTCATTCATACTAGCATTCTCAGCCTTCAGTCTTCAGTCATCAGATCAAGAATTACTCCAATTTAAGCAAAAAAACGGTTTGTTAAACAAAACAGCCTCGAAATCCATCAAAATGGGCCCCGTTTCAATCCGCAACCCAGATCCTCCGGTCAAGGACAGCGTCTTCGACATGTTCCGCCTAGACGGCAAGACCATTATTGTTACTGGCGGCTCGGGAGGCATCGGCTATGAAGTTGCTCGTGGTCTCGCCGAAGCAGGGGCAAATGTGAGAGTCCCGTCTTAGACAAATCTCCCTTTCTACTCAAAACCAGCCCAAGAGATTCTAACAAATTTCATCAGCTCGCACTCTGGTACAATTCCTCCAACAAAACCGACGAATTTGCTGCCACGATTCGAAAAGACTTCAAGGTCAAAGTCGAAACCTACAAGGTAGCAGTAGAGAACTACACGGAAGTCGCCAACGGCGTGGCGCAGGTCGTAGCCGACTTTGGCGGCCTGGATGTCATGATTGCAAATGCCGGGATCCCCTCAAAAGCCGGTGGTCTGGATAGCGAGCTCGAGGACTGGAATCGTGTGAGGGCTGTAGATTTTGATGGAGCCTACCATTGTGCCAGAGCTGCTGGGTTTGTGTTTAAAAAACAAGGATACGGAAATTGTGTGTTCACCGCCAGTATGTCGGGGCATGCAGTGAATGTACCACAAGAGCAGAGCTGTTATAATGCCTGCAAAGCTGGAGTGGTGAGTCTCTATCTGGAGCAGACGGTTGAATTATTCTAATCTCGGTGGTACAGATCCATCTTTCAAAGTCGTTGGCTGTGGAATGGGCCAAGTTTGGAGCGAGATGTAATAGTGTCTCTCCTGGCTATATTAACACGGCCATTTCTGGAGCTTGCCCTTTTGAGATGAAGGAGGCGTGGTTCAATTTGACGCCGATGAAGAGAGATGCGGATCCTAGGGAGCTGAAGGGGATCTATCTCTACCTATGCTCTGATGCGAGCTCCTATACTACTGGTGAGTGACCGAGAACATACTAGAGAATAATTCGGCTAACTTTCCTTTAGGGGCTGATTTCATTGTTGATGGAGGGTACACATGTAGATAGATGGTGTATATAGGATGGTTAGGTGTTTGTTAAGCTATTTGGTAGATCTTTATGAAAACTTCGAAATATCGTTGTGAAATCTTTGAATAAGTCTCCAAAATGTGATTCCCCAATGTCAATCTTCTCAAGAGGGGCCGGGCCGTAACTTCATATTCATACAGCGGTCACCAAACTCTACTATTAGTAAATTACTTTCTACTGCTAACTCCAACTTCAAATTCCCACACAAGGTTGGTTCATTTCGCCGTTGCCAATGCACAACACAGCTAGCGTGATGAAAACGTTACTTCGTATAGAATAATAATTTACGCCCGTTCGAAAGTCCGACATCGACTTCCGATATAATATCTGAAGACAACAGTCAAGATCCCCCGGATATTACGAGTCATAGGCGGGCTCGGTTCGCCTTGGCAGACCTCCGGTTTCGTTAGCTCAAGGTGATTGTCGTCCGGTCCCCGCCCCCCACATCTCCATGCCCGGGGCTCCAGTTTCCCCAGGACACCGGAACGCGTTATTCCACAGCAAACAACAAGGCAACTCATCCCTTGTCATGATGGAGACCCCGAGTTATTGGTTTATGCATCTCTATAAGAGGGGGTGGTCAACCGCTCGATGTCTCCTCGATGTTCTGCACCGAGAACCTAAGCTAGAATCTCATAAAATAGCAACACTCATCTCTCCTCTAGTCAATTTTATTTTCTAGCCATCCAGCTCGTGGACTCATTTCCTAAACTATCAAACCACCCGAAGTACCAACATCATGGTCCAAAAGAAAAAGGGAAGTAACTATATTGCTGGTGAGGCAATTGAACGGGTCTTACCAGTCACCAACAAATACTGGTTTCAGTTTTCGCATCTGCTTAAATTGAATCTCATCCTTCTCGTCCCACTCCTGTCCTCATCCGTGGCTGGTTACGATGGCAAGCTCGAATCCTCCGCATCAAACTTCTATATGACTAACATCTCAATAGGCTCCCTCATGAACGGTCTGCAAACTCTGCCACAATGGAAAGAATATTTCAACCACCCTCAGGGAGCACTGCTTGGTCTCGTCAACGCCGCACAATCCATCGGATCAGTAGTTGCACTCCCTGCAGTGGGGATGTTGAGCGATAAGTTTGGCCGCAAAAAGGTTCTCTTGAGTGGAATTATCATCATCCTCATTGCCACCATCATCGGAGCTACCAGTATCAACATGGCCATGCTTGTCATCTCTCGGATAGTCGTTGGCGCAGGAGGCATGCTTGTAGTACAACCATCTCCCATGCTGATTGCGGAGCTGTCTTACCCAACGCACCGTGGAAAGTATACCAGCGCCTTCTGGACCATGTACTACCTTGGTGAGTCCCTTTTCACATCTCCAAGTTAGGATCTAACGGGAGACAGGCGCTATTCTAGCCTCATGGGTCACATTCGGCACCCAGGATTACACAAGCACCATGTCCTGGCGCATCCCAACCATCCTCCAAGCCTGCTGGCCCCTTGTCCAGCTCACAGCAATTTGGTGGCTCCCGGAGTCTCCTCGATGGCTTGTGGCCAACGATCGTGCTCACGAAGCTCGTGCAATTCTCTGCAAGCACCACGCCGGCGGCGATCTTGACAGCGCACTCGTGAACCTCGAAATGGAGGAAATCGCCGAGTCGATTCAGCTTGAGAGGACAGCCGCTTCGGGTGGCTGGGGCTGGGGAGCGCTGGTGGCTACGCCTGGAAACCGCAAGAGACTCTTTATTGCGGTTTTCTTGGGCTCAGCTGCGCAGTGGAACGGAATTGGTGTCGTATCTTACTACTTAACTCTGGTGCTGGACAGCGTCGGAATTACGGACGTTTTCATGCAGACTCTGATCAACGGCCTTCTCCAAGTAAGTCCAAAACACACTATCATACTGAGCCTGAATCTAACATTTTCTTCTCAGATCTTCAATTTCTGGGCTGCCCTCTCGGCTGCCTTCCTTGTCGATCGCCTTGGCCGCCGCGTCCTTTTCCTCTGGTCTGGCGTTGGCATGCTCGTTTCGTACATCGTCTGGACTGCCTGTTCAGCCGTAAACTCAAACACTGGATCCAAGCCCGCTGGCATCGTTGTTGTCGTCTGCCTATTCACCTTCTTCTTCCATTACGACATCGCCTACACGCCCCTCCTAATGTCCTATCCAACCGAAATCTTTCCATACACTCTCCGCTCCAAGGGCCTTACTTGCGAACTTCTGTCAATCTATGCCAGTCTGGTGATTGCAGCGTTTGTGAATCCAATAGGTCTGGAGAATATTGGGTGGAGATATTATATCGTGTTTTGTTGTTTCTTAGTGGTTATTCTTGCGGTTACGTATTTCGTGTTTCCGGAAACAAAGGGCTACAGCCTGGAGGAGATCGCAGAGATCTTTGATGGGCCGGGCGTGGCGCTTGATTCGGCTTTTGTGAAGGAGGATAACGAGAAGGGGGGTATAGAGCGAATCGAGAATAAGGATGTTTAAGTCGCCGCAATAATAAGGAGTAAAGGAGCAGAAACAATTAGTCAATATATTATTATAAATTATGAATATTATTTAATATAATTCTTATATAATTCTTTTTTATTTTAGCTAAGGGCTAGTTTCTTATATATATACTAGTTTCTTTTAAGAATACTAATATATTTTTAGTCTTATGCTCACCCGCTAGGCTATATAGCACCAATCGAACTATTAAACTAAGGATAGCCTCAGATCGGCAGATTAGTAGTTGGGTGGGTGACCACCAGCGAATACCTGCTGTTGTATGTTTTTCCTTTTTTTGCATCCTTTTACATTTTTTTTTGCCCCGGCTCTGAGTAGGCCTCTCATATCCAAAAGAGTTTTTATGTTGATGCTGAGCAGCCGAGTTTTGATACAGGGGACATGTTTCTTTCCTAGAGAGCGCAGCCAAATTTTCCCCAGTCGATTTGGATCTACAATCAATACGGAGGGATGATATAACCCAATCCAATATACAATTCACCATCCTTACCAAGCCTTCCGGCCCTCGGTACACACCAGTGGGGCGTTTCTCGAATACCTGGAGGGTAAACAAAGATGAGCAAGTGTTTCAGCCAGCTCATGCTCCAGTGAGCATATAAAGTAAGCTTTGCGTGTCAGCCGGCGATTCTATTCTCCAGGATTTCTGCGCTTCAATAATTCTGTACCTCGGCGATTCTGCCTATCTTGAGCAAGATTGAACGGGACGGATCGCGTTAGGAATCGAGGGGTAAAATAGGCTGTCGTGAAGCCTTTACGCGTGGCTTTATAAACAATAATGTCGATCGATGCTATCGCGCTTTGCCGGAAGGATCTGCCTGAGCCTTAAATATCAATCAAGCATTTCCAGTTATGCGCTGTGGAAAATTACACTCCAGTAAAGTGATTAATTCCCCAGACATGGCATCGCCAAACACTATGGCCCACGGTCGTTTGCATCCAGGTCCCAGTCGCTTCTCCACCCACACTGCACGGTGGTACCAATATCTATCAGAAGAAGCTGTCCCTCCATTTATCTCCTAAATATTTCTGCACCGGCACAGTTCCTCAAATTAGCGTAGCCGCAAGCTTATTCTGCAATTTCTGTTTACATTTAACCTGAGGGGTTTATACTTGGTTCGCTTACTTCGAGTACAGCCTATTTCGCATTGTTTATACAGCCAGAAACAAGATGTTTGCCGCCAGGCACAAGCTGATGAAAACCCTTTATATGAAAGTAGGGTTATTTGTCACCTATGTATTTCATATCTACATATATAGATCTTTCAGGGCCGCCAGAATAGGAAGGTATTCCTATCTGGTTCTTCAACTACGAAGCACTCTTTCATTATGATTAAGGCACTTTTCACCGCCCTGCTTCTCCCTTTGTCGGTGTTGGCGAAGGATGCCCCTGAACCTGGCCCAGATGGGAAATATACTCTGACCGCTCCTGGGATTACCGCTAAATTCGTGGCCTACTCCGCCGCAATCACCAATCTCATCGTGAAGGACCGCAATGGAGTTGACCGCGATATCATTCTTGGGTACGACAATGCGTCCTTCTATCCCGTAGATCCCAACCACCCCGACTACGGCGCCGTGCCAGGACGATATGTCAACCGCATTGCAAACCACACCTATGAGTTAGACGGTACGCGGTACTTCACCGAAGCAAATGACGGGAATGGAACCCTCCATAGCGGCCTCAATGGCTGGTCTCGCCGGACTTGGAACGTCTCTGAAGTTACAGAAACCAGCATCACATTTACCATCCGGGATGAGAACAATTCCTCCGCAGGCATGCCAGGTCTGGTGCTTGGAACTGTCACGCACTCAGTCAGTGCCAATAGCTGGAGCACCAAACTCAAAGCCAAAGCAGTGGACCACCGCACCCCAATCATGTTGACCACACACCCGTATTGGAATCTCGATGCGTTCGCAAATCCAGACACCGATCTCGTTCTAAACCACACACTTAGTCTGCCTTTCGGCGCCAGAATGATTGGTATCGACCCCAACACGCAATCAACTGGCGATCTCCCCAAGGTCGCGAAGGGAAGCATTAATGACTTCTGGTCCAAGCCTAAGCAGCTAGGAGCTAGCATTAATGATCCAGCGTGGGTCGGAAATTGCGGAACTGCGTCTGGCTGCAGTGGGTATAACAACCAGTGGATCGTGGACCGCGAGGCTGCCGATGAAGACAAGCCAATTGCAAGCCTGTCTAGTGACTGGAGCGGTATTAAGTGGGATTTGCACAGTGACCAGGCTGGTGTTGTAGTCTACTCGTGCTACTGGATGGGAGGTAAGAACTCGCAATTCATAATCGTCATCTTTTTATCATCTTAGAAACAGAAAGCTAACAATATTAGGCGTCAACGAGTTGAAGGCTTCTCAAGGAGGCAAGGCAACAAATGGCTTTGTGCAGCGCAATGGTTGTGTTGCGGTTGAGCCACAAGATTGGGTTGATGGTATTAATCACCCAGAATGGAAGAGATTGGATAAGCAGATCTATGGACCTGATACCGGTCCTTTTGAAAGCTCCATTTCTTATAAGTTCAGCACCATCAAATAGGCGATAGGCGGGAACGCTTTTTGGGCTTCCCCTTAAGTTGTCTTGTTGACTGGCTTATATGATTCTCGTGGAGAGCATTGTATATAGACCTCGTTACGTATATAATGCAGCTTTACTGGAAACTTTACTCTGACTTGAGAGTTTTCCTAAGCCCCATATTTTTCTTGTAACTTTGAAGACACGCTCAAACGAACCACCCTATAACGTGTACACAGCATGCTATATCAATATTCAATTCAATTCCACAGCAAGGATCACTATGCATCAGAGGTCATTTTAATTGTCTTATTAGCTGACTGTATATTCAGTATGTGTAGTTATTTTAATTACACGTCATACCGCGCCTTTCCAGCCTCATAAAAGGCATTAAAAGACCCACCCGCAAGGAATAACGCGCCGCTGCCACCCGTGTAATTCTATGAATAGCATCGCAACTCCATTGATATGCAATAGGAGCCATCAGAAGTAACCGCGCCAGTAACCCCCAATGATGCCCCCGCCGTCCCTTTCGCGAAACACCAGCTTTATTTGGACCCCGCTACTTCCTCCGTAAAAACCCAGCCATTCGGCTCCCCGTTCCCCCCCCCTTTCAATGTACAGATATAAAAAAAGACGGACAAAAACCAATTATGCAATTCACTTTCGCGGCGCTCTATCCTTAGCGGCTTCGGCTTCCTTAAAGTCGTCTAGCATCATTCGATGCATCATGCTCTTAGGGGTCCCTCCGGATAAACTTCCAACCCCTAGACTGCTCATAAAACTCTGGAGATCACCCTCGTCAAATCCACTCCGTCCATCAACACTGCCTACAAACATGTTCATGTGTCCTAGGGATGCGGCCTGGGCGTGGAGCTCAGGGCTGACGACTGGCATGCTGAATGGATGGCCTTTGTACGAGCCCACTACGTCAGTGGAAGATGAGCTGACGTTGTGCGTAGGGCCGGGTCTTAAGATGTTGCGTGCGGGTGACTGAGAATATTGACTGAGACTGACTGTTTGCTGAGGCCCATTTTCGGGGGGTTCAGCGGTTCGAGACGAGTTTTCGGATTCGTCGGGCTCTGATTCGGGCTCAGGCTCGGGCTCGCGTTGGATTTGATGTTCGATATTTTCATCAAAATGAAAGATTTCGTGACTGTCTTCGGTAAAGCGCAGCTCGTCACCACTGCCTTGGCCTGGGTGCGTAGTTGCTGTTGTTGGCGATTGGATAGTTTCGAAGGCTGTAGATTCGGAGGGCGAGTTGATGTTGGCAGCTGCATGCGGAGCCTTCATTCGTCTCAAGGGCATGTCAAGTATATCATCATCATCAGATGACGTTTCTACATCATCGTCGATGGTTCTAGGTTCCTCATCACCGTTCATAGCGCTAGAAATAAAGTCTAGGGTCTCTGTAGGAGGGTTCCGATTGGATTCGTCGTCTTGAGTTACGCCCTGTAGGTGAGTGTAAGGCTCGTCACCCATGCTCAAATATGATAGACCGTTCGAAATTGGAAGATCTTCACTGGATGATCCCTGAGATATTCCGTCAGAAACAGCCACCGACGCGGAGCCATCTGGGGGAGCAGAAACGGTGGTCCACTGCGTGCCATCATCAAGTAAGGGGCTTCTCGACAAGTTCCTCAGTGCCTGCGAAGATGAAATGCGCCTGGGCGGCGGTTCCTCATCTCCACCCGCCCCAGAATCTCCCGCATCTGAATCGTCTCCCGTCTGCGCGATGAGTGGTATATCTGTAACAATAACCGGTTCGGAAGGACTAGGAGACGATGTTGGCAAAACCTCCTCACCAGCAACCTCGAAACGAACTCGGCGTGGGCTGTGCTTCGCAGAAGAGGATGACGACCGTCGAAGTGCACTGCGGCGCGCAACTCCATCGCTGAGGTCCGAGGCTATTGAAAGCTCGTCTGTATTTCTTCGTCTTGGGGGAAGTCTATCCAGCTGGGGGGAAGACAATAACGATCTCGAAGTAGATGTGCCTGCGTCGATCTGGATAATATCTGCACCGTTCCTCTGGCCATGGTCCCCTTCTAACACCACCACGGTGTCGCCGCTCGATCGTCGCTCGTTTCGATCTGTGCTGTCGAGTAGCGGTAAGTAGCTTGGAGTAAACAGCCCTTGGAACTCTTTCTCCCGCGCATGAGGATCCGCACTCTCCATCTCAGGATCCTGACGCGCAAAGCCTATCTGGAATGGGGAGTTAGGAGTTGCTGGAGATCTCTGGGCGGCATGGCCATTCTGGGTCTGAAAGGGGGTGGGTGCTGTGGTGTCTGTGGTGTCTGTGTTGTCTGTGGTGCCTGTGCCTGTGCCTGTGGCAATGCGGTATGACTCTGCGGAACCTGGAGCTGCTGGGTCTAGGCCGAGGTCTTTATAGTCCTTCATCGATGCGGCAATGGTTCTCGAAACTGTCTCGGAGATATCTGTCGGGACATCGCGCAGCAGATCCTCCGCATATTTGGTAAACTGGGACGCCATGTCTCGCCGATACTGCAGGACCTTATGATCAAGCTCCGCGAGTTTGTGCTGCAGCTCGGATACCAGCTTACTGGCCTCGTCCATGGTGTCACAGTGTCACCGCCGGGGGAATGGGTTGTGTGCGGCGCCGCGCAGAGAACGAGAGAGGTCAGTAATGTAGCATGCCGACGGGGGGAGATGCCGAGTGGATGGTTGATGAGGGTGAATAGTGAGGCCGATGGCGATGGGGATGGCGATGGCGATGGGGAGCAAAAGCTGTTATGTCACTGTTGTGTTGTGTGTGGATTGTTTTCTGTTGACCTTGAACTCTGCTCGCAGATCGGATCGGATTAGAGGCGGTCGAGGCTCCGAAGGCGGCGTCGGCCCTGGCCCGGCGCAAAAGCTTTAGCGAGGCAAAGAGAGAGAGTAAATATTGTATTGTAAGGTATACATACAAACTGGAACTCAGGTGGAAGCGAACCTCACGAAGTCGTACTGTACGTGTAGCAGCCTCGTCCTTGCAAATGCAACTGCAACTACATAGGGAGATGGGTAGGTATGTACACATGCAATAAATGCAACAAATGCATTAATAAGTATAGCACATGCAACACTGTCTCGACTGTCTCGACATTCCACTACAAAATACTCGTACTACGTGCCGATGCTGATCGTGAATGGGCGGAGACTACCTACTACTACTACTACTCGTACACTTCGCCGAGGCGTCGTGATTGCGGAAGTCACGTCGACGACAACGCCAACATCAATATCAAGCAAAACGATATCAATCGGTGCAGGTGAGTGTGCTGTATTAATACCACCTGGGTGCCTTTACCTATAGGCGTTCGCTAATGGGTTGTCCCTCCAGTCACGCCGCGATGTCATGCTTGGGTCGAGCTGGCTCTTAAGGTTGCACCGCAGATGCCGAGCCACTGCACGCCTCATGGAAGCAGCATCAAGGACTATTATTTACCCGTCCCCGCGCAATGGGACGTCGACGAGTTCGCATTCAGCAGTTAGTTGGTTGTCAACTTGTCCTGTGATACGCGGAAGAGCCTATCCTCAATATATAAAGGTGGAGACGGGGCGGGCTCCTTCTGCTATCTAGACTCCAGAACTCCTCGCAACTCGCTGGAGATACGAGTGGAGATGAGGCACTCTATTAGCCTCGCATACTGTTTTCGCCCCTGTTATATGCAGCTCTAGGTGCCCCGCATGAGACGAATGTGTACACATACCAATCTTCGTCATCAGTAAAAGCATCGTCAAAAATGGCATCTGCAATACATCAGAACGGCAGGTTAGAGGTACGTGGCATGTGCAGCGAGATGGAAGTACTTGATAATGGAGCGAGGGGTATGGAGGGGTTTCAATACAGCAGCTCCCTATTGGCCATATATATGCGGAGATTTGATGAGAACAAGTATGTTCATCAGTCATGCGGAGGTGCAGGCGACAGGTGCCGAGGCTGCTGAATGCTAAGTGCTGAATGTTGGTGTTATATACCCATTCTGGAGGAAGTGATTCCGAAATGGACTGACAGGGCGGAGGGTGCCAAGGTTACCTGCCGTTCTTAGCTATCGCAGACAAATAGCTTTGTCGGATGCAGACCAGCTGATATCCATTGCGGAAATGCCGAATATATTGGTAGCCATAGCCGACAGGTCCTTCCCAAGAAGCCGATCGGAGCGCAGAATAGAAATCGGACCTGGGTACACATACATCTGGGCTCTGGACTCTGAATTCTAGTCCATGGGAACTGGGTTGACTTCCCTAGATCAATAAATTTTCTTTCCCGATGTAAGCTGTCCTCTAGTATTAGAATGTATCGTGAGTTTCTGAAACGTATTTGTTTGTCTTATACATCTCTATATCGTCATTGAAGAATCGGGCTTTGCCATCGTTATTTGCTCTAGAATTTTGCAACTAGTGTTCATATAAGTAGCATTGTTGAGTCAAACTTCTTACACGGTATTCTAAAACAACCCTCTCGCCGTGCTATTATTTCCTATCTAGTTTATGGGAGAAGACTTGTTAGCAAATCAGTAGCATGATGTCAAGCTGTCACTAATGTCTTCCATGTCGTGGGTGGTAACTCTGAGTCGTCTTGCAAAACCAAATATCGTCATTCTTTGCAGTAGAAACAGGTCTTTTGAGAAGTAAGCATATTACTGGTGATATTCCCCATTGGTAGAGAGAATTCCTACTTTTAAAAGCTACTGAACTCGAAGAAAGCAAAAAAAAAAAGAAAATACATCACTTGGAGATCGAAAACATTCAGGGCTTGGTCATTTCCCATAAACAGACAAGATGACACCAGGCTCCACGCCCCCCAACTCGCCACTTTTAACTCGGAATAGTTGCTCAGAGTCTCAGATATCACTAAACGGAACCCAGTTTTAAAGAAGGGAGATATATACGCTTTGCAATATGCGCACTAGGGAGAAGCAGCATCAGAGGGTCTGTGGGTAATTAAGAAGGTACCGGAAGCCAAGTGCTTAAAGAGAGCAGTTAAAAAGTTAACATTTAGTGGTTTGACTATTGCAAGAGTGACATGTACAATTACGCATAACTTGGGACTGGATTACAATATTTACCAAAAATATAAATGTTAATACATTTCAAAAGCCACGTCTTCAGCACTTCGCATTATTAAAAGATATTTACGAGTGTCCTCTGACTCTTGTTCAGGGTCACAACAGCCTGACAGCCAATTCCACTCACAGTGACTCACTTAAAGCACCAAGCCAAACCTACCCAGTTGCTGGCATCACCTTTTGAAATCCCCTCCACTGAGCATCGTCTCCAGCTCATACTCAGGCTGGAATTCACAATATAAACTTTCCTGTCCCAATATTAGCATCATACTAGAGCTTCCGGAAAGAGATACCATAACTCACCGCCTCACTAGCCGTCGCAAAATTATAGCTAGCCTCTCGATCATCAATAATCCTCTTCTCCAAGCCACCTTTCGAAACGGCCGCTTCAACCAGCAACTGCACCTCACAACTCCTCTCCACCAGCCTAAACAAATAAGACGCCTCATCCACCGTCCCACCAACAGTCAACAGGCCATGATTCAACAAAAAAGCTACTTTATTCTTCTCCCCCAAACTCTCCGCGATTCTTTCTCCCTCCTCCCCATTCAGCGCTATCCCGCCATAGGAATTATACAGCGCCTGAACTCTATAGACATTGCAAACATCCTGATTTATCATCTCCAGCGGCTTCCCGAATGCCGTCCAGGCGCGCGCATTGGGCGAATGTGCATGGCAGATAGCATGGACATCCGGACGAGCGCGGTGGATAGCGGAATGGATCATGAATCCCGTGGCGTTGGCAGGTTTTCCGCTTTTCCCTGCGATCAGCACTTCTGATGTGTACATGTCGAGGAGTAGCATGTCGGATACTTTTAACATGGCGAAGTGCACGCCTAGTGGGTTGATCCAGAATGCGCGGGCGTTGATCGGGTCCCGCACGCTGATGTGTCCTGATAATCCTTCGGTGTAGCCATGGCGTGCGAAGATGCGGAATGCGCCTGCTAGATGCTCTAATACCCATTTACGTTTTTCTTTGAGGTCTGGGAAGACGGGAAGTCCAGGGAGAGATACAGGGCCGTGGGACATCGCCTCGATTGGAGTTTCGGTTGGTCGTTGTTTGAGGCCATTTTTGCTGGTATCATGGGTTGTTTCCGTGATTAAGGAGTTCTCATCAGCAAGAGCGGTTGGAGGCATAATTGGTCGTGATATTGGAGTTTGATGGCGAATGCTATGAGATTACTATTATCATGACTACGAGCATAGGTGATAAGTATGAGGTTCAACCCCGCCTCTACGTAGCATCTGAAGAATGATGCAGTTACTCAAGGATGGGGGTTTACATAAGAGCTACAACGACGATCCCTCCAAGGTGGAACCTGACAAATAGCCAATGTCCCAGCTGTAAAGAAACAATTCATTTCTAGAAATATAGGGTTTCAGATCGGGAAAAAAAAGTACAATCCTTGAATGTCTTAAACACAGTAAATAGCTCTCAAAAGCAACTATTAATCTCTTTATGCTCTGGGCAAACACGTATGCATCGATACGGGTAAACTTCGGATTAATTTCTGGCTGTGGCACGAATATGGTCATTCGGCATGTTTCCGAGCCTCAACAATTCAAGGACCCGCAGGTAGAAACACTTTAATACGTAGAGTTACAGACAAAGCTAGCCCGAGTGATAGTTGTCAAATTTTTGTCCGTGAAGCACATACTGATATAGTCCAATTTCAAAAGCACCTTATATGGTTGACAGCAGCTAACCGGAATGATACAGTTGAGGTGAATGATGTGGGTGACGAAGTTGGTGGGGATGGACAGACTGTTGAATGGAATGGTAGTGGATAAGATGGTAATAACGGGTTACATAAAGTGACAAAGCCTAATGTTAATCGGAAGTCCAACTTGAAGCATTTGGGAACTTGATAACTAGTCAGTTAGTGTCACCTGAAGGGGGGGATCACAGCCTTTAGGCCGGGTCCACATGCCTGGTTTCAATATCTGTGGCAGTACGAAACAAAAGAATACGAGGATGGAGACATAAATTAGACCGCAATGTGTATTGCCCGACTCCGTAGTAACACTAGCACCACGGGCCGTTCCCTCAAACTCTTGCGTGAGACGGTACTTGGAAAATATAAAATGCGTTGTTCCTCTATAGATTGGAGAAATGTTCTCCAAAGGGTGAATGGAAGCCCAGGGTGTCGGACTGTTCCATATCCTGACGAATAGAAAATCGCTCACTTGAGTGGCTCTCGAACCAAGTCAATGGTACCTTAACGAAGGGATCGAGGCCTCGCCCATGGCGATGAGACAGAGAGTCATGGCGCCCGTTTGATTATAGCTGACAGCCCCGCTATGCCAAGGCCAAAGGATGAAGGCCGCAAGCAACGGAAAGAGTCCGAGGGCACCATCTGGAATAGATGTCTATCTACCTGGCAGCCCTTGGCAACTCTGCTTATGTGCTCTTGCCGTGAGTAGCAAACAAAGATAAAACGCCACACTGGTGTGATGGCCTCCCCGAACTCCTGGGTACTAGTTGTGATTTTGGCTATCCGGCCTGGCGGGAATGCACACAGTTACCGTGTGTCACCGTACCGAGTTCAGCTTCTTGAACTTGTGGAACAGCGCGGGCTCATGTTTTATAGATCCTGTAGTATATGATGCCCGTGTCATCTAGCTTACTCGAGCCCCATGCAACCTGCCACAATCAATAGCGGGGGAGGTATATCTTTATCGTTAGTGATTCATTCGCGGGCCGTGGCACTGTCAGATCCGCATGCGGCTTCCCATGAGTATCCTGCGTGCATATTGCGTGCGTGGGGGGTTGAGGCATTGGAAAGAGTCGCAGCCTCGGGGCAGAGTCCCGGTATCACAAGATGGGCTCCAGGACCAGGGGTTGGGTCGGATCAACGGATCTATGCAAATTTTTGTAGATCATGCCGGGGCTCAAAGACTCTGGGCTAAGGTGTGTGGTCGTTGAAAAGTGCGACTCAACACATCTGGGCCATAACTAACAAATTCTGAGTTCTTTGCTACAAAACCATTCAACCACGTCCTGTAGGATTGGGTAGCCCTGGGTTGTTTCCTGGACTCTTTGCCATGGAGTTTGAGGTTACCTCAGGGGACACAACTCGTCGCCATGTGGTTGGGATTGAAATGTCTTAGCTACCACATACGCGGGCGGGTCAGGCAGGCGCTTGTGGACCGAGTCGAGTTATGCAACACCGCATTCCGGTACCATGGGTGGAAACGGCGAGATGCATTGATAGATATTCGTGGTGGATGCGCAGCAAGATACTGCAGGGAGCCGTTGGGGTACATCTGTACGTATAGTACATATTACATAGTACGCGGTAATGGGAATGCCTTTGGCTCCCGTATTCTTATATGTGTGGGATATTGGGGGCTTCGGCCGGAGTATCATGCTTCATACTGCATTCGTCCTGCAAGTCGGCATCCTGTTCCAGGGAGCCACCGGGCGGATTGGAGAGGTTCCTCAGCCATGCCGCATCATAAACGTTGGCGGATTTAGAGGCATGCATGCGGAGCATGTCACAGTCACTGCCGCGTTAGGTATGTGGCAATGGCGTAGCTGTCTCTGTTGATCTCTTTGCCTCGGCCTCCATCTCCTGCTCCGCTGGTAAACCTGCTGTTTCAACTTGTTTGTGGCAGCAAACAAGCCACGTTGGCAAGGGCACACTCGTCCGAGACACCCTCAGACGGGGTTGACAGTTGGGGGCGAGCTTTGACACACAAGAAAGACTGTTTCCAATATATCTGTTGCGAAGGAGCCGTAGCTGTGACGTGGAGAGTTTGGCGATGTGTTGGGTCACGTAAGGATAAGGTTTCTTGACATGTCAGGGGAGTTTAAAGTTCTCGAGCAGAGGCCGGGCTAGCCTGACTCAGCACAGCTCCTTGGAACCACCAGCGGAACTCTCCACAACATCAAACACCAGACACCAGACTCCAGACCCCAACGCCTCTCCCAGTTGATACGCAGGTTAATTCCCATACCAGGCCTGCCCCGGCCCACGATCCTTCTTGGCCTCCAGACAGACGCCACCTGCAATGATCAGGCCAAGCCCAACAGCACCCCGGCGGTTTGTATACCTTTGATGGCTCCGGTTGCAGATCTACGAGTACGAGTAGCTAATAAATCCCGCCGTGTAGCAAACATTCCACCCTGAAAGCCACACGGCTGCCACCGCATTGGACACAGATGGTACCTGCGCATGCTGCGGGACCTCGTCGAAACATCTGTTCCGGGACCCTCGCCACCAGGAGGTTGCTGGAACTCCGTATGGCCCGGCCCTTCTCTGGTCATGGCTGATACCTGGTTCGGTGAAAGTGACTTCGTTATCAACTCGTGCGCACAGGCCATGCAAAGATGACCGGAGAAGCAATGGAACAATCGCGATGAATCAAAAGAAATTTCCGGCCACAGATTGGGAATCTTGAACCGAGGTGTCATGTCATTAATCGCCAAGGGCTGTTAGAAGTCTGCATTGTTGGGAACGCGCATCTGGGTAAGCGTCCCCTTGCGGATCTTTTTGGTGGCCGTGGGTAAGACTTTGTTGCTAGCGTATCCTGCAGCACTCCCTAATGGGATGGAAGAAGGTAGTTGTTTGGTCCAAGATGCGTTGCGTTGCGTTGCATCTTCACTGTCGTAGCTACAGTTCTAGTTGCGAAGAATTCTGATGAGGTCACTTTAGGCCTAGTGCTTGTTACTCACTAGCCGCCGCATGCCATCATTACCCCTTCCGCCCAAGAGTTCGGCTGCCCCAGGGTGTCGATACTGGCAGCTATCTGATAATCGGTGGAGTTCGAGGCTTCTCTTATCCTATAGATGAGGTAGTGTCCAGGTCATCCCGTTCAGGTAGCAGGATGACCACATGGAGTCAACCTAAAGTGTCCAAGATGCCCCTCGGGCGATATCTACAATCTCCAACCTCTAACTCGTACGCCTTTGTCTAGGCTTGCTAAAGTGGCAATAGTGGCTGCTAGGCCTATTCGCAAGCTTCTCCCTATTGTAATCAAACTTAGGCTTGCGCAATCCGCTACTCGAGTATCTGTCCTCCGACGTCAAATGATTATCAACAGGCAAACCTTGTGTATCGACCCCCTGGAGAAGCCAACGCCTGGAAGATCCTTACAGGAGTGATGTAGTAGGATCGATTACTGTGCTTGTCGAAGCCTCAGCCACATGAAATGATGGAGAAGCACCCCTTCCTGAATCTTGGATCGTGGGGCCGTCGTTAGTTTGCTTCTACGGAAACGAGAGGCGTGTCTTGTTCTTGCGAACGCTCTGGAGCCACGGGGATCGGAGAGCAAAACCGTGGCCCAACTACGTCCGCCAACCCGACCTAGTAGCAGCCAGTACCTAGCACGGCCGTTACTGTAAGAGATGCTAAACAACGAAATCCTCTAGGTGTTGCAACATTGGCCATAATAGCCGTGACCGAGTTCAGCCAAGGCTGCCAAAAAATTTACTCCAAATGCACGTTCGCGATAGCGATCCTTGGATCGACATGTTGCTTAATTGCAGAGTCTAATGCAGCCGTTCTGGGCTATCTTTTCGGTAGGATGCATGGCCAGGGATGCCCGCTGTTGGTATCACTATCGACTGTTTCTATCGGGGAATTTCGATGCACGGATGGGAAGGATGCTAGACGACTCAAAACTCAAGGCTAGAGAGGCTCTCATTTGTTATCCGGCTACTCCGTATAGTTTGCACTACTTCAAACTACAAGCCCACTACACCTGGGCTGAGCTAGGGATATATCCCCGTCAGGCCGAAAGTGCGAGCCAGACTCCAAGCCAAGCCTAAAGCTCTAGTTCTACAAGCCACTCATGGAGTGGCAGCTTCTGCCGTCTGCCATATAATTTTCCTTACACCGTACCGATATTGTCAGCGACTCGGGCAGGTATCGGGCTCCTCGCTGCCCTAAGGAATGACCTAATGATGAGCTCGAACTACAACTAGTCAAGCACATCCTTCTTGCTAGCCATGGAGCCTCGTGGTATCGAAGCGTTACCCAAACCCTTCCCTCCGCGCCATCCTCTCTTGAAACCCACCCTGCCTAACTCCTGTCACGTCTTCCGGACTCTGTCGTGGAATTACTATATTATATCTACGATCCGCATTCTAGACCACGACTCTTGTTTATACCTCTCCAGCCAATACAGATCTCTGTATTCGCAGTGATCTTTTAGCTCATCCCATCCATGGTCACTTGTTAGATGACGGAATACTTGTAAACGGCAGCTCTAAGCGCTTTACTGCACTGTAGCGACCCCGGCGACGGATTGGGGAAGAGCATATCGGCTCATTACCAGACGCTCAGGATCTAACTCCTGGGAACTCCACCGAGACGTCTGTTTAACGGTGGAAGTCCGAGCGAACCTTATTCGCCTCACCACCTTCATGCCAACAATATACTCCAACCACTGAGAACGGATCATCAACGATATTGGCACGACTGATTTCCCCGAAGGAGAAGCCAGCATTCTTTTCTCTTCGTACATCCAGAACCGTTGCAACGCTGGCGACCGCGATCTTAAGTCGGTCCTTCTCGCTGGGTCTAATCCCCAATATACTAGAGGGAGGCAGATGGTGGAAAGGTATGTCCACACGCTTAAAGCCTTTGAATTTGGAAGGTGTGAGCACTGCTCATTGCCGGAATTGTTTACATGTTTTTTCCGAGCTATCATATATATACCTACTTCCTCTACCAACGACGCCCCACGGCCTGTACGATGTCTATGCAGCTTCTAACAATGATGAACCAGGTTCGAGTGCTCGTGCTGGCATTTTGCCCCCGTTCGCTCGTCGAACGAACAGTTCTTTTCTTGGAATGGACCTATCCTCTCAATTCCCACCTCCTCCGAAACCAAGTCAAACCGGTGGCGAAGATTCCAGTATGTCAACTCTGGCCTTACATCAACGGACCTTGCCATCCCGCTCGAACCAAATGATGGAGGGAGAGCAGCGGCCAAGATCGGGGATGGAGAGGGTTGAGCTTCCTCCAATCCGACAAGTAAGCAACATCTTAATTTCCATATCACCATCTAATGATTTCAGGCAATCCCCGAGATCCAGCTAGGGGTGCAACATATTGCTCCAAACTATAGACCTGATACCACGTCCTATTCTACTATGACTGGGCAAGGGCCTGTGGGTTCTGACGAGCGTCAACAATCACCTTCTCTGAATAAACGTAGGAGACTTTCATTCGGTGCGGACTATCAGTGGGATAGAGAACAATCCACTCCAAGAATATATAAATCTGATGGAGGTTCGGGAGGTCAAGAAATGCCAGCCACCCCTGGCGAATCGTGGTCGGAGGCAAGTCGAGATAACGCCTATGCTCCTTCGCGAGGGCTCCCAGCTGTGAGATCGGCATCGAGGCCGGATCTTGAAAATGCTAACCGATCAGATTGGAGGCCAACACTTCCGATTCTGCCTCATTTATCTGTTGATGATGGCGCATCCCATATATCCCGAGCTCCTACCGGTGCTGCCGATTATCCGTTGGACGCATATCGCTCAAGATCTCGCACGTACCCTCAACCAACAACAACTTTCGACCCGGCTACTTCATATCATCAACCTACCGCTTCTTACGGCTTTCAACCTCCGCAAGGAGAGTCATATCCCAGTGGCTCAGGTCACCCACTTTTACATGAACCAATGCCGTTCTCAAAAGGTGGCATGTACGCTGGCAACAGTTCGCCATATATCATGAACGACCCAGGGCCGGACACCAAGCAGAGAAGACGGAGAGGCAATTTACCAAAGGAGACAACTGACTTACTGAAGGCGTGGTTTATGGGTCATTTGCAACATCCATATCCGACAGAAGACGAGAAGCAGGACCTGATGAGGCAAACAGGCTTGCAAATAAGTATGTATAACACCAGAATCGAAATCCAGTGCAAGACTAACGGCTGCAGATCAAATTTCGAATTGGTTCATCAACGCACGGCGGCGGCGATTGCCTGCGATGATTAACAGCGCACGCGCAGAATCGGATGCCAGAACTGCCAGGGCCGGGGAGGGTGGCACAGCTGACCAAAGTTCCGAGAGGGCCACATGGGGCAATGCCTCCATTGAGGGGAGTGACGCGGAGGGAAGCATTTATGATGATGAATATGACGCGACGTGAGACCATGACCCTTGCCACAAAGAAAACTCTAAGATGGGGAATATATGACGAGATGGATATCCTGATGATGTTCAAAGGCAGTAGCAATTTGAACATGGCCCAATCGATGGACAAGAGGCGGTACATGAGTGATAGATGGCACTTGGAACGTTTCCGATCACTTTCTCAAAAACTATGTGCCCGTTTGTATCACAAAAATACCGGTAGGGGTATAGCGGAGGAACCAGTCTTGTGGACAGAAAGGCTGGAGGGTAATACTACCCTCCGGTCTCAAGACGTCAATTCCAAACCATCAATAAAAAAGAAGTCAAACATCAGATGTCATAACGTCAATACCATATGTCAACGTCAAAGTGTCATCCAACAACCTCCAAGCTCCCAGCTCATCTCCTCTACCGATAATAGACCCAAAAGTAAACATTCGTAATACCAACGCCCATAATCCTAAAAGGGATTTTATCAGTAGATTCCGAGAATTCCGAGGAAGTAGAGTTTGTTTTCCAGTCAAGGCTTATCTATTAGAGTTGTGATTTAACAACCGATAGGAGTGCTAGCGCTCCGCTCGGAGTTTAACCTCTCCCTTATTACTTGTAAAGTACTTTTGGAGAATACAAACCCTTTAGCGAATTAGAATTGGAAACAAGAAACTACAATATTTACAAGCAAGGCAGAACCGAGCAAAAAAGAACAGCAATGTGCATTTAGAATAAATTCAATATATATAGATATTTAAGAGTTTTATTCGTAGATGGCTTAAAGAGCTAGGAAACTCTCTATCAATTATTAAGGTGTGAGATATCTAGAGTTAGACACTTTTTACCATGCCCGTGAATTTAATCTTCCGCCTAGCCCCAAATCCAACGCCGGAGAAACGTGAAATGCTGGCAGAAAATTAAACATTGCAAATGGAGGTTACGCACTTGGGTGGCCCTTGTAGGGGTAATCTTCGGTAAACTGATGCTGCCTTGCCCCCCTTCTAGAGTTTAATGGGGCGGCAGTGTTACGGAGACGGAATCTATTTCTCGTGAATCTTATTTTTTATTATGTTTTATTATCATAAACAGTGCATTCTCGTGTGCCTTGGGGTAGAGAGTTGGGCTGTGAAATTAAATTCCTTAAAATTGAAATTTGGATGACACTTATGCGGGTCATGAATCCTGTTGTGATGTGAGGATAAGATTTCAAAACGACAAGTCATCCCTTGAAAGGTTGCTTTTGCGGAAGATATTGGGGGGAAGCCATCGCCGACTTCGGGACAGCTGCATGTCTCCCTAATTCTCCATGGTAAGTTATTGTTCACTCCCATAAGTCGTTCCGTCTTGCAACGTTGCAGTCCGATACAGTTACGTAGTACGGAAGGATCTGATCAAAACTTGTTCAATTCATGCTAGTAAACGCCGACCAGCCATCCAATTCATACAACCATGACAATAATCCTGTCTAGTTGGCAGTACCCTACGCTGACCGTGGAACGGAGCAGGAACCAATCATCCCCCTTCCCATAATGTACGCCGGAAGCAATAATCACACATGTGGACGTAGCGCACTGCCTATCCAATCGCTATTCACTGGCCCTTTCGCGGACCTTGATCGATTTCTTCGCAGTACCAATATGGGTATTATGGACCTAAAGAGATCAGTATATGCGATATGTTTGGATCTCCGAATATCCATACCTTTGTAGCAAATTTCAAACTTGTCAATGTCTCGCTTAAATGAGCCTCTAGAGGACTTGCCATTACGAACATGAGTGTCTTCGAGTTGCCTCCCAGCGAGTATTGCAACAAATAGGTTAACTGTCTATACTTTAGCATTGTAACAGAGCTTGATGAACGATGAATCCTACCTTCGAGTTTCGATAAGGTATATGAGTGCCTTCTTTTCCTTGTCCTAAAGCCCCAATGACATCACCAAGGCAGCTCAAACTCTTATTGATATTCTGAGTTTCCTTCATTCTGTCGCCTTCAGCACCAGACTGCTTTAATCTCTCAGATCCAGCCAGATCGACTAAATTAAGGGTGCCTTCAGATGTCTCATTAGTGGCGCTATTTCTTCCAACAAGCTTGAGGATGAAGACAGAATGTGACCGCGATGAACGCTCGTTGGACTTTGTTGCGGCAACACTTCGGTTGGCAGCCGCCTGCTTTAAGATGGACCCCACGGTCTCCGGTGATGTTAAAGTCACGGTCCTCAACCCAGTCAAGGTTGTCTGTTTTTTCTGGTCGTCATGCCGTATCTCGTGCTTTTTCTTGTCAAACTCTTTAGGGTTTCCTAGAAGATCATGAATTTCTTCATTGTAAACCTCCACGAAGCTGCCTTCCATAGTGTATGTCCAACCTTTTTCTTGGAGGTTGGTTGCAGTCTCATAGATTTGATGCGTGGCGCGGGGGATCATACCATCCTCGGACGACATTGTATGAGTCTTGCCAGACCCAGTTTGGCCATAGCAGAATATGCAGACATTATATCCATCAAGGGCGCTTTGCACCAGTTGGGAGATCTCCTCGAATACTTCTTGATTTTGGCTGTCGGGTCCAAATACTCGATCAAAAGTAAAGGAGTGGGTTTTTCTGCTAATATTCCCCAAACTACTCTTCTCCTCCTTTCCGAGGATCTCGAGTTCTTTCGCCTCCCTTTCGATATCGGGATATTTGACTTGAGCAGCCTCGTCATCCGCATTGTCCGGTAACGGTCGGACTCTGCACATGACACGGATATTCCCTTTGAGTTCCTGGACCTGGTTGAAGAGAATTCGACGAAGGGTTTCCTCTTTGATCAGCTTCTTCTTAGACTCTTCGGCAGACTTAACGGCTTCCTGTAACCTGGCCTCCATATCAGCAAAGCTGTCGGACTGAGCCTTGCTTCCAGATTCAAGAAAGTGTATCCGGGCGCGAAGACTAGCAACAGTACTCTCCAAGCTCTGAATTGTAGACGAAGTTTCTACGTCCGTCCTCTGCATCGTCTCTCGGAGTTCCGCGAAATCCTTCATCGAATCCAAATTTTTTTCCTGCTGCCGAGATAACTCGCCTTTGATGTCTTTGAGCTCGCCCCGCAAAATATTGATTTCACGGTCCTTGCCTTGAAGCGTTAAGTCTAGATTTTGATGCCCCTTCGAAATCTCGCCCTCGAGTTCCTGAACTTCAAGTAACCTGCGAGTCCGCTCTTCTTGTAGTTTATCATTGTTCGCCCGCTCAAGCTCTCGAATCTTGCTGTCTAGTTCTAGAACAGTTCGGCGTTCCAGCTCGTGAATTTCATCTCGGTGAAGTCGCAGAAGACGATCAATCTCATCAGTATGATCTCGACGTAGTTTATCGACTTCATTACGGTATTCTCGCTTAGTATCATCCATTTCAATGTGGTGCGCCCTCATCTGGTCATCCAGACTGGTAGTTGCCGCTAATAGCTTTTGGTGGAGTATCACGGATTTCTCACGCATCTCATCAAGTTCAGAGTGAAGCAACTTATTAGATACTGATAGTTGAGAATGTATGTTCTCGAGGTCCGCAGCTAGAATTGGAAGTTGTTAGAATGGAATTTAGAATCATAGAATTGGCAACTGACTTCTTGCCTTGAACACGGTCACAGCTTCTTCTAGGCCGTTACGTTCTAAACTGCTAAGGTTCACCTTGTCTATTAGGTCAGAGTACATGGCTTCCATTTTCTCGAGACGGTTGTCAATATCGAACCCTAAAAACCCAGTAACGTTAGAATCTTTTGTCAAGAATTGCTTTTTCTTGCCTGAAGGTTTAGAAAATCTGAAAGGAGTGGTGGGAGTAGGAGTAATATCCGGACGACGACGTAGGGGAATCTTAGAGGGAGTCTTAGGGCCGACTAAGCTGTTTGCAGACTCCATGAACAGCACAAGAGCTTTTTCAGAGTTGTGTGTCCAAAGATCCCCCGAGTCATCGTTCGTGTAATGCTTTTGAGATTGTACACTTGTCTGCGAGTTGACAGTCGTAGAAATCGCTTGATGCTCTTCATTCTCATCGTCGTAGTCAATTTGATCAAGACTTAGCTGCTGCATTGCCGTACTAACGGATACATCTCTGCGTTTGTTGATATGACGTGGAGATCTCACTGAGGGGGTTGATTGTTGATCTCGTAGCTTTCTGTTTTGCAGCTTTCTGTTTTGCAGCTTTGTAGAATTTTGGAATAACTGAACAGATGAAATGGGCGACAATGGTTGCATACCATTTTGTTTCCCTTGGTCTTCCGCTTCCGCTTCTTCTTCTTCCAAGTGGTTCGCCATGGATGTTGCTGGACGAGGTTTGGGCAGCGCAGTCCTTGGCCGAGATGATGTAGACTGACTGAATGCCATTGACGTTTGAGGTCGGCTAGAATACATGGAGTTGGGTCGCGATTGGCCTGGGCCTATGCTACTTGAGAAGCTGCTATTTGATGTGTTTCTCGATGATACCGATGGGGTTCGTGATGATGTAGTTGAGGAGGCATTGTTTCGAAAATTGCTAAAGGACGGATTTGTTGAAGTTATTCCCTTCTACTTGATATGTTAGCGAAGTCCTCGAGATATGTGATGCAAAATAAATCGATGCCCGAGTTCTAGGCTTTGGCTTGCGTGACGAATGAGCAGATTCAAATTCCTAGATCGCCTCTCTCATGATGCCGGTTATTTCCGTTCGGCAGACGGCCTGCAGCGTCATCTCCTGGGCCTGGACACGGAACCTTTCCTACTATATGGACTTCCCCGGTGAATCGAGCCGTTTCATAATCCGAGGCCAGCCAATTGCCCAATAAGAGGCGCGATACAAACGATGCTTGCAGGTCCCAGTTGAGATATATGCGGGCTTGGAAAAAAATAACTTACTCCTGCGGTAAGAAGGGATGTCCCCTTGATAACAGGCCTCGAGCTGGGTGTGGGAGCCGGCAGAGACCGAGGTTCTCCTGCTCTTTCTGCCAATGTTTTGCGCTGCTTGGGATCCGGCTCAGCATCTGTAGCAATACAGTCAGCCCGTTTGTTCCAACTTTTTCTCCATCCGTAACATACAGCATGGGCCTATTCTGTGCTTAAAAGAGGTGGGAGGGGGTAGTTTTGACGCGGGTTTCGATCTCATGTTGCCTTCCGATTCCGTGATTTCGCTGAGGCCTTTCCCGGGTGACGATGGTATGCGACTAGGAGGCCGTATCTGCGATTTGCGCATGTACTGCGAACGAATATTAGTTAATTGGTGATGGTGGTGGAGCGGTGGGGGTGCTGGTATACCGAGTTCTCCTCTGTATAATCCATGATGAGCCGTAGCACTTGCTACACGCGTGGAAAAGCTATAACATGTGTGTGTGGAAGCAATTGATGTCTGCGAAGGGGCGACAAAATGGGCGGTAATAGTGGTCGTTGGGCGATATCGCTATATAGTAGTTGTCGACGAGGCGCCGGTCTTCTGTTCTTCTGTCGTCCTTGATTCTAGGTTGGTGGAGGTAAACAATCGCCATTGCGAATCATTGTTTACATGCGCTGGTCACGTGCACGGCCCCCAGCAACCACCACTATCGGGTCCGGGAACGCGGGAACATTAACCCGATGCAACGAATGATCCCTGGCAATCACAAGCAAAGCAAAGGTGCCACATCATGACACACAAAAAATATATATACGAACGCAGTAATCCTCCGTACCACGACAGACATTCCGTACAATTCCACGCGAACCCACTGTCGCATAGCCACTGCTTCGTACAACACCTCATCAACGTCATTGCTCTGGAGCCCAGCTCTAGCCCAGCGGTGACGCTCCACAAGAGAGAGCCTAGGCATATTGTCATGACCACCTTCCGATAGCGATAGTCCTCCCTCTCTCCACTCTTCAACGGGGTTGTTACGTGTCGCACATACATATAAATATTGTTTCCCGGTAATACTCATACAAGCCATGGAAAAGTATTCTCAATTCCGAGATCGAGGTTCGTACATGTACTTAAACAACTCCCCTACACGTACCAAGCAATCAATAGGCAAGAAGCTCTAGCAGCTAATGCGTTACTTCCAGGATCCGGCATTGCTCCATTCTTTCCTATCCCATCGCAACCAGCAGGAATATATCTCCCCGTACATGTATTCCTCTTCCTATTCAAATTACCGCTTTTCTTCACGATCGCGACGGCGTACTTCGTCTTTCTGCAATGGTTTCCGCTAGGCTCGCTCGGGAAGAAAGCTATATTATGGATGATACTTGGAGCACCGGGTATCTGGTGGATTGACCTGCAAATCGATGGCGTCAAGAAGGGATCACTGGCAAAGAAGCATGATGGCCGGGTGCCCGAACCTGGCAGTGTCATCGCCTCCTCGTTCACCTCACCAATAGATTCGCTCTATCTAGCCGCGATCTTCGACCCCATATTTACAGTCTCCTACCCGCACACGCGCCAAGTCCAGGTCATCTCGCTGTTTGGTGCGATTCTCCGAGCCCTTTCAAAACCGACGGAATACCCTCCCAAGGGTGGGAAGATGACCGACATCAAAACATTACTAGCTGAGCACCCAACAAGTATTATTGTGGTATTCCCAGAATGTACAACCACAAACGGCAGGGGCATTCTACCATTTAGCCCAAGTCTCTTGACCACACCACCCGGAACCAAGATCTTCCCCATTAGCCTTCGATACACGCCACCAGATGTGACCACGCCGGTACCAGGCCGATATCTGACTTTTATTTGGAATCTTCTCTCGCAATCGACCCACACTATTCGAGTCCGGATTGCCGAGGTGGTGTATAACACATCCAAACCATCGGATAGCAACGAGGACTCCACATGGGCTTCTAGTTCGCGTGATTTGATGAATGGGGACGATCAAGACGTTAATGAACAGGAGCAGAGAGTTATAGAAAAGGTTGGCGAGGCGCTGGCACGGTTAGGTCGGGTCAAGCGTGTGGGACTGACTGTCAAGGATAAAGCTGCATTTGTAAAAGCCTGGTCGAAGGGCAGGTAGATTGCTTGGTAATAATCTATGAATAATATTTGATATAATACTAGTTGTCCTTTCCATGCTACCTATCTTCTGATTATCTATCACGCCCGCTACGATCTCAGGGTCTACTAACAGCTGCTTGTTTAGACATGCCTTGCTTTAGATATACTGATAATCGTAGCTACATGCTCCTCCAAGTAACGCCAAATTCTACTCCAATCAATCCTTTTCTAGTTGCGTTTTCTAGTCCTATTCAAAACCGAGCTTTGAATGCGATCAGACATATGTGCCCCTACTTTTGTTTCCTAATGAACAAGATGGAAGGGTTGTAGAACGACAAAATAGAAGGCAAGGCCTTCCGCAATTTCCGTTTCAAAAAACAACAGCTCACCACTAATCATCGGAATATTAAAATCAGTCTCTTACAAGTTGCAAAGGATCAGCTGCGAATGACGACGTCCTCTTCTTCGACTACTCTACCAAATCCAACTAACTCAAGTCATCGAGCCCAATGTTCTAACTCTGTAATTTCAAAAGGATTCCGTGGGAAGGAAGTGTCTGTTGCTAAGTTGGCAGTGGCGCTTTTGACAGTGGACAAGGCAGCTGTAGAATAAACCACCTGCGTTTAGAAGACGGTATGCTACTGATAGATATAAATATCTAAAGTTAGTACTACTAATAGAGTCAAGCCCTGGATGCTCTGGTAGAGACAACCAAAGTCCGCAAAATCGGCTACAAGGTACACAACGTGAAGAATATGGGGAAGGATCGGTCGCATGGGACCTGCGGCGCCAAGACAGGCGGCCGCATATGCAGCCAGGGGTAGCTCCAAGACTCCGAGACGTCCCCGCTGACCTTCGGGTTCCAGTTCCAAGTTCCAACACATCAAGAGTCACTCGCTCACTCACTCACTCACTCTTATGCCCGGATGATCCAGCGTCCAGCGTCCAACATCATATTCTTCTCCGAGTACCATCAACTAGTTCTATTTGCTCTCATAGCTTGAAACTATAAAAGCTCAACATCCTCTATCCTAGCTCTTTGTCTATACTTCCAAGGCGGAATCAACCGCACCCTTCGAAATGCCATCGCTACGCTCCTTTACCACCTTCGCCAGCGGCCTTCTCTCGCAGATTCCTCTGGGGAACATAAATTCTCCCACGGAATCACCAAACGCTCTTAGTTATGGGCACCACTGCCCCGCTGATAGTCCCTTATCCTGTCACAACACCACCACTGCGCCTGATAGCTGCTGTTTCATCTACCCTGGCGGTCAACTTCTACAGACTCAGTTTTGGGACGCAAGTCCCGCGGTGGGCCCCGATGATTCGTGGACTCTGCATGGTCTCTGGTACGCATATCTTGCATTCTTCCCAACTTCAGAACCCCCAATAGTCACCCTCCAACCAGTTCAAGTCACTCTGCTAACCACTTCCCCTCAATCCAGGCCCGACCTCTGTGATGGTTCCTACCCAACCTTCTGCAACGCCGCGCCCCGTCACTTCGACATAACACAAACCCTCTCCGCCCGCAAGGAGCTATATCTCCTCGCCTACATGGAAAAATACTGGCTCCCCAACTCGGGCTCACCAGAGCGTTTCTGGCAACATGAGTGGAACAAGCATGCGACCTGCATCAACACACTCTCTCCGAGCTGCTACGGGGATGAATGGAAGAAGGGAGATGAAGTAGTGGATTTCTTCACGAGGGCGGTGGAAGTTTTTAAGGTACGTACATGGACCATGGAATTATACTGAAGTACAACAACTAATATTCCTCTCCTCAGAGTTTGGATACATACCAAGCCCTCGCCACGGCCAACATTCTCCCATCCACAACAGCAACATATACATCCGATGATATCCGCGGCGCTCTACAAGCTATCACCGGTAAGGAGGTGGCTATTAAATGCCGAGGGAACCAGCTCAACGAGGTATGGTACTCCTTTAACATGCAAGGGAGCTTACAGAGCGGGAAATTTGTACCTACCGAACCGGTTGGTAAGGGTTTGTCGAGGTGCCCACGTACCGGAATTAGGTATTTGCCTAAGCGACATGGTTAAGCATGATTGATATGATACCAAGTTGTGTTTAGTGTTATTTGTTAGTTGGAGTTGGTTACGAATCCGGTCTCAGCGGACTTTGGATAGATACATGTCCACCCGGATTATAGGAATACCTAAATGGCACTTTTATGCTTTTCCATGTCACGTCAGATAGCGCGCGAGTATTCCTTCTACTCATTTGCTTCAGAATTTGTCAATTTCCATTTCCTTCGAACCAAACCGCTCCTCACTTAAGCATGTGAACAGGCTCGATAATAGTCCTCCCGAGTCGCCACATCTCAAGTACCATTTAACATCTCATTCACTCAACCTCACCAATCCAGATTAGTCTCAGGATTTCTGTTTCCTTCTTTCGTCCAATCATATATGCCCCCTCGTTCCACGAAACTCTTCTCATCCCAGAAAACAGCCTTCAAGGCGGAGTCAACCCCAACTTCCAGGATCGACTTGGACGGATTATTCCCCTTATCTAGAAACCTCATATACTCGTCGAGAATGAGGTAAGAGTCCTTCATGATGTTGTTTGGTTCCGGGACGAAGCATTTATTGTGGGAATGCTTGTCGCAAAACTGCTGGTACTCCTTGTCGGTGATGGTGAACCGCGTTGCATTGCGCAGAGTCTTGTCGGAATCATTTTCTCCAGCCACTACCAGTACCTGGAAGCATTTCCAGCGGAACGGGTCGAGCCTCGTAATTGTCTCGTTCATATCCTCCTGAAAGTTGTATTTGCCGACGACAGTGTTCAGTTTGAATTTGACGCGTTCCTTTCGACACATCTTCCTTAGCTCCTCCAACTTCTCCAAATGCGAGCCCTTTCCACGTCCAATTTGTACATTCGTCTCCTCGTTGAAGGAATCGCAAGACACAGCAATGATATCAATGTATTTGCCGTATGAGGCGAAGAATTTGGGCTTGATTAGACTTCCGTTGGTGACGATCGAGACGGATTCTAATCCAAGACCATCTTTGCAGTATTTGGCCAGTTCGCCGACGAATCCGGGGTATAGCATGGGCTCTCCGCCGGCGAAGTTAAGTTTTTGCATTCCTGCTTTGCGAAGAAGGGCGAGACCGTGTTTGGCATTTTCGAGTGGGAGTATGTATGAAGTTTTGGCCGTGTGGAAGCAGAAACCGCATTCGTAGTTGCATTTTCGCGTCAAGTGATAGTTGACAGATACCGGCACTGGTACTGATTTGCGGTTTTGGATCCAGCGCTGGAGCGCGGCCGTGGCAAGTGCAAGAAGGATGAGGCCGCAGACTGAGAGAAAGCTCAACATTGCGAATAATCTGCTTATTGAAATCTGAAGCGTACAGTTAAATGTAGGGGAACCTAGCTGGGTAGGCTTCGTACTTATAGCCCCAGATCACTCCACAGAGTTTGTCATTTGAGATTAGGCGCTTTGTTTAAAGACCATTGCTATCCCATAACTCCGTCCTGTTTCGTCTCCGATATGCCAAACGCCATATCTAAACAAACTTTAATAGATGGCGTAAAGAGCCATATCTCTAGAAGACCCCAAGTAGTTTGTCCTGGATTATTTTGCTTCCCTGAGCCGCTCCATACTTTTATGCATGCTTTCTGCGTGTATCTGTAGATGATTTTCTTTACGTTCACACAACTAAAGAATGAAACAAAAAGAGCAAGCCCATAATATGAGGAGAATGGCTTCTTTCATACGTTTGAATTGTTGCGCCATTCTCACCAAAGTTCAACGTCTTTCAGTATTCCGTTTGCTACATGCCGCCAAATGGCAGTAATGCATCCTACTAGTTGCTGTGGATGCATAATCCCATCAAATCACACCTTTCCTATGATAGGACACAACAGAAGCAGCCAGCCACTCCACATAATCCGGGACTGTTCACTGCTGCAATCCATGATGACCAACGCATGGGAAGCTTACGAATAGTTTGCATCGATTATAAGTAAACGGGGTGCCTTTCGTTTACGACCACTCAAACCATTCTTCCAAGCAAAGACACAGCGATAACCTTCATTTACCACCCATCATGGACCCCTCACAGAAATGGCCTTGCGTGATTTATGTCATCGGTAAGTCATACCATAGAAACACAATCCCAAGCTAACCCAGCATCAAGGCTGCCCAGGCTCCGGAAAAGGAACGCTCTGCAAAAAACTGGTAGAAGACTTCAACTGCCTCCATATTTCACTCGGAGACCTGCTCCGCAAAATTAGCAGCCTGCCAGGGGATGAAAACTTAGAAGTCGCAGAATATGTCCACCAGGGAACCCTCGTACCAACAAAGATAGTCTTTCGAGCTATTGAGACGGCGGTCAGTCCCGGTCCGGCAAATGATCTGCAGGTCCATTTGATAGATGGATTTCCTCGACGTCTTGATCAGGGGATGGATGTGGAACTTTTAGGGGTGAGTACAAGTCAAACTTCCAGAAATATGTCGGGATTCTTGGTGTGTTAACATATCTCTAGCTTGTCCCTAATCTTGTTCTATTCATCGATTGCGATAAAGACAATGCTAAGGGACGCTTCCTCACCAGGCGACTCGACGGCAGACTTGATGATGATGATGCGCTGTTTGAAACTCGGTATAAGGAGTTTGAGCAGCGGAACCCGGCTGTGGTCACCTACTATGGTTGTCTTGATAAGCTCGTCAAGGTATGTCAGCCACTTCCCCCTTTTGGTCTTGCACTTTGAACTGAGGGGTTTTCTAATGTTGGAGTTTTGGCAGATCAACTCTGAGGGCAAAACTGAGGTGACTTATCAGAAGCTCCTCGATGCATTGGATTCGAGAAAAGAGTGGACGGAAATGCACCCTTCCGCTGTAGGGGGTTAATTGACTTATGGGGCGGCTACTGACGTCCACGTCATAAAATAAAGATGTTGAGAGGTGTTGATTGGCATGTCTTAGGAATATGGCAGGACGGGTAGATGTATGCAAAATGTGTATGTGTTTGGAACGAATGCTTAGAACTCTTTGCTTGGTTGCAACACCAAAAGAAGAAGCTTGATTTGATTATGAACTTGTACGGATGTGATGCCTTAAGTCGAGAACTAAATTCCTGGAATCACGATGTTTGGACAGTTTGATCGTCGTCAGCTACAATACCAAGAGAGGAGGTATAGGAGAATGCTTATATTGGAATTGACCCGTTCTAGTACTAGCTAAACAGATGGGTATCGTCTGATAAGTTGGCGCTCCTAAATCAGGTTGAGGAGAGTTCTAGTTCTTTGCCTGATACTCATAAACCAATCTAACCTTCAACACCTCTTTGCCCTTGGAGACCACCACCCTCCGGGTATAATATCTCTTTCCATCAATGATCGCGAACCCCCAGATCTGTCTAGCATCCCATCCCCTCTCCTCGTTAACCACAAAGCTCTCAATATGCCTCTGTCCCTCGGGTCCGCCATTCTCCGAATCGTCATCAATCCAGCCCTCCTTAAGGAAGGGGTCTTCGGGTAGGTCCAGGGTAGCCCATCTGGACTGGCCCTTCACCTTGCCGAACAAGTGGTCCTCGTGCTCGCGCGCGGTCCAGTCTAATTGGCGCTGCTCGCTGGTGCCTTTGATGCCACCGGTGAGCGTCTGGTCGATGTCGACGTGGGTGGTGCCAGCGTCATCATTGTATTGCTTGACGTGGAGGGTAATGGTTGCGAGCCCGACGGCTTTGCGGGTGAGCCAGCCGACACCTTGGAGGGATAGGACGGCGTCGGTGTCATCGGAGAGGGTTTTGTTCTGTGGGAGGGGGTTAGCAGCTAGCTTTAGAGGGCTCATGAACTGGTGGGGTGTGGATATGATGGCGCAAGCAGATGATGAAGTGCGCGGAAAGGCCGGAGGGTGAGAAGAGGGCATATACTGACCATAACCCAGTCTCCGGTGAGGTCCTTGACCGTAATCTCAGCAGGTGCAGCCATTGTGAATTGAGGTGGTGTTCTTTGGTGTTTTTTGTTTTGGTTGTTGGTGGGGTATTATGAGATGATGTGACGTAGCAGGCGATAAGCAATTGGCCCTGGGCAAGTTGGAGACTCCGAAATACGATGCAAGGTACAGAGTACAGATGAAAGAGAGAAGTTGAGTTTAGAGAGAGAAGCTGAGGGTCGGTGGATATAATATAAGGGTCTGGGGGAGATGAGGGTCTAGCTTGGCTTCCACGTTATCCCCCAGGTTCTCCTCGGTCGATTGCGTGCAACAGCATGTGCAAGCAAGTATCGTGGCGCGAGGATTCTCCGAGGGGGCGGTGATATGTCTGTATTCGGCGCCCAAGCCGCTGTGGAGCCGCGTTGCCCAGAAGCAGCAGCTGTGGGGAGAACGCATAGCAGGAATAGGAACAGTATTAAATTTCAACAAATAAATAAACAATGGGAATATACTCCGTAAAAGGGACATTCAAGGTGCATAAGCTTAGATAAGCCCTCAAGCAGTGTATTACCCCACTACCCCGTACTCCTTGATTGTGTGTATTATTATTATGTACAGGTACAAGCACATGTACATGTACATGTACATGTGTACAGTACATACCGATACCGGTGCCCGTACAACGGGGAAGTGGCCGTGCCGAAGTTCCCCCAGCACCAAAAAAGTTGCATCTTAGCCCGAGAGTCATAATCAATACTTAGAATCAGAATCATAATCGCTATCATAGCCATAATCATCTGCCCCCAACAACCCATTCAACATATTTGGGGTTACGCAGACAGATCCTGCCATTGACTTGCAATTGCACCGCAATTGGTATTTGCTGTCACAGCCATCACCGGCATGGTTCTCCCACCGCTGAGGGCGCATGCCCGCGCTTCGTTGCGCATCTCTAGACATACCTCACAATACATGTAAGCACAAAGGCAGACCCTTCTCTGCCCCTATAAACACCAATTGGCCCTTCTAACCTTGTGCAGCCGCTCATTATCATCAACCGCAGCCTTCCGGGCCTCGCAAAATGACGAACCCAAGCTCAACAGGGTCTCCGCCGGGATTACCCAACCAAAGTCCCAGGGAGCTTCACAAGCTATGTTATACGCAACGGGCATGACGGAGGAGGGTCGAAACAAAGCGCAGGTGGGAATCTCTTCGGTGTGGTATACTGGAAATCCGTGCAACATGCATCTTTTGGACCTCAACCACCGCGTCAAGGAGGGCGTGGAAAAAGCGGGTCTGATTGGATATCAATTCAATACTATTGGTGTATCCGACGGAATCTCAATGGGCACGAAGGGCATGCGATACAGTCTCCAATCTCGAGATCTGATTGCTGATAGCATCGAGACCGTGATGGGCGGTCAATGGTACGATGCAAACATCTCTATTCCGGGCTGTGACAAGAACATGCCCGGCGTGATGATGGCCATGGGAAGAGTCAACAGGCCCTCGCTTATGGTTTACGGCGGAAGCATCCGCCCTGGCTGCTCCGTGACCCAGGGCAACGCGGATATCGATATCGTCTCGGCTTTCCAAGCTTATGGTCAGTATATCACGGGAGAAATTTCCGAGGAGACTCGTTTTGATGTCATTCGTCATGCCTGCCCTGGCGAAGGCGCCTGTGGAGGTATGTATACCGCCAATACGATGGCAACGGCGATCGAGGTGATGGGCATGTCCCTTCCTGGTTCGTCGTCGAATCCCGCCGAGTCGCAAGCCAAATACCTCGAGTGTCTTGCAGCAGGTGGAGCGATCAAGAATCTCCTGAAGGAAAACATCTGCCCCAGGGATATCATGACCCGCCAAGCCTTTGAGAACGCCATGAGAGTGGTGACCATCACGGGAGGTTCCACCAACGCAGTGCTTCACTTAATCGCTATCGCCGACAGCGTCGGCCTGAAGCTCACCATCGATGACTTCCAAGCCGTCTCTGACCGCACGCCCCTCCTCGCTGACCTGAAGCCATCTGGCAAGTACGTGATGGCCGACCTATACAATATCGGCGGGACACCGTCGCTCCTGAAATTCCTCCTCAGGGAGGGAGTAATTGACGGCTCAGGCATGACCGTCACAGGCCAAACTCTAGCCAAGAATCTCGAAAATGTGCCCGATTTCCCCGCAGACCAACCCATCATCCGCCCAATGTCAAACCCTCTCAAACCCACTGGTCACATCCAGATCCTCCGCGGCTCCCTCGCCCCAGGTGGAAGCGTAGGAAAGATTACCGGCAAAGAAGGTCTCCGTTTCGAAGGCAAAGCTAAATGCTACGATGATGAAGACGATTTCATCGTTGCTCTTGAGAATGGAGCTATCAAGAAAGGTGAGAAAACCGTTGTGGTGATCCGGTATGAAGGTCCAAAGGGCGGACCTGGTATGCCTGAGATGTTGAAACCTAGCTCTGCCATCATGGGCGCCGGTCTAGGTCAAGACGTCGCGCTTATCACCGACGGACGCTTCAGTGGTGGAAGCCACGGTTTCCTTATTGGACACATTGTTCCTGAGGCTCAGGACGGTGGCCCCATTGGACTTGTGAGGGACGGCGATTCAGTTGTTATTGATGCGGAAAACAGAGTTTTGGATTTGCTCGTTGACGAAAGCGAGTTGGTGAAGAGGAGGAAGGAGTTTGTTCCCCACCCACTGAAGTACAAGAAGGGGACGCTAGCAAAATATGCTAGACTTGTGAGCAATGCTAGTGAGGGATGTATCACGGATGGCCCAGTTGTGCTTGAGAGCCAGTCGTCTTAATTGTGGATGTGGAGCAGTTAGGATACGACGAGCGGATAAAGAATGTATATACAAGGGAGGGAAAATTAAAAGTAAAGTACTAAAAATACACTATGTTCCTGCAATAATCTTCACTGCCATTTACGCTCACGCGGATTTTCGCGGATAGTTCCAAGCATGTTGCTGTGTTTCGCCTAGCTCGTTACACCGACGAAAGGGAGATGATATCTGATAGCCGACGCAAACCCCGTACTCGTCAAATGCCACAACTCCATTGTCCACCAAACATACTACACCCTTTGTTCTTTGTTCCAGCGCTTGTCGAGCAGAACAAAAAAATACAATGGTCCTCTACGAGGTCGAACAGAAGTTTGCCTTCAACGCCACCCTCCTCGCCCTCTTCCGAGCAAATCGAGGGACCCCGCCCTTTCACCGACTGCAGCGTCTCGGAACTAAAAAGTTCGAGGACGTGTACTTTGACTCGGCAAACAAACTCTCCAAAAACGGCCTATGGGTCCGAAAACGAAACAACACGTGGGAAGCCAAATCCGGGAGAAGCGGTAATTTCCTTCGCACCACATTCCACGAGACTACGGATGTCAGCGAGATTAAGACCTTGGTCAATAAACAAGTATCCAGCAGGAGCTGTGGTCCAGATGATAACTTCGGACTGGATATCCTCTGCCGGTATTGCACTACGAGGGAGTCTTTTGTTGTTGATGAGAAGTTCGCGGTTGTGCTGGACGAAACAGACTTTGGGCATTCGGTGGGCGAGGTCGAGCTCACAGCGAGGGATGAGAAGTCGGCCCATGCTGATATCGACGCCTTTATGGAGAAATACTCTTGGTTCTTCTTGCAGGGTGGTAAGCCTACTGGCAAAATCACAGCTTATTTTCAGCGTTTTGGCCGGGCTTCGATTCCATAAAGGATGTCATGTGACCTGTCTCTTGGGTAGATGAAGGGGTGCTATAAAAGTGGATGAGTGAATAGCCCACGGCCATGTTGGAGGAGTCAATTGACATGTACGTACTCGACTTAGCACCTGTGAACCTGGTTATCCTCATTATGGCTTAGCTAATACTTTACCTAGGTAGATCAATTGTCTCACAAAGTCATATCGAAAGAAAGCGCGGTTACGGCAGGCTTATTTTCCCCATAAAGTGCATCCAGGCGAGTGGCTTGCCTAAGCCATTGATAATATGAAAAGCCATGCTAACAAATACCATTTGGCAATCGAACAAATAGCTTGTCCACACAGAATTCTTGTCAAGTGTGAGCCCCGTGCACATTTACTGGTTAACCATAATCAATAGCATGCAACATATTCGCTCTACAAACAGTCCTTAGACACATATGCCGATTCTCTAATAAAACAACAACACTACCTCCCTGTTCTCATTCTTGGATTAATTAGGTATAGCCCGAACTCAAAATCCTATATAAACTTCTCGAATATTTCATTCTGCAGAAAATTCTCCCCCACTCACGCTCAGCTCAGAGTCACACACAGCACACCGAGACCTTTTTATCCACTGACTTTCTGTCATATCTCTTGCTTCTAAAATGAATCCCACTCAGGCTCCAGTTATTCCACAGGTTGGACCTGATCTGCTTTCGCCTCTTCCACAAGAGCTCATGCAGAATATCACCAAGTTCCTCAGCGCGTCTGATAACTGCAATCTGCGACTTGTGAGTAAGGCGGTGGAAAAACACACCCATGTGTATTTCACCGAGAACTGCTACTACGCCGTGCATACAGACTTATCCCTGAAGAGCCTTGAGAGCCTTCTAGAGGTCGCTAAAGTCCATACAATTGCGGCTAATATGAAACTGCTAGACATTGAGGCACACTCCCTGTCCTTTGGACAGGGGTTTAACTGGCCACCACGCAGCAGTGGGATGATGGCTTTTGGACACCAAGACCATCCCTGTGTTCCGTTGTTGGAGACTATCATAGAGAAGCTAGGTAACTGTCAGTCATTTAGGGTTAACAACATATGCTCCGCCGCAGACCATTCAAACTGGATGGTGCCTCGTTCAGCAGACGCGTCTGTTGCCATTGAAGTGTTGTTTGATGTCATATGCCACCTCAGAAGACCTACGAAGTCTTTGAGCCTAGAATATGGTAGGTGCATGGTATTCCCTGTTTGCGCCGCCCCTACACTTAACCCAGGCCCATTTTTTGTGCATCCAGTTATCTTCCAACCTTTCCAAGATGCCTGGCGCACTCTGGAGACTCTCGCTCTGCGAGGAACAATGAGTTCAAGAACTCTCACGGAAAATGCTAATCTAATTTTCGAGGCGACCAACCTGCGGGAATTAGTACTAGATTTCAGATGTAGTGCCGGCACACCGGATGCAGCTACAGCCATGATGAACAGGATGCGCCAGTTGCCCCTCGCGGGCCGCATGCCACCTATCCTAAAATTGGACATCCTCGGTGGTGAGACGACCGATTCGGACTTTTTACACTTCCTCTCGCTATTTGGAACTAGTCTGCGATCACTGCGCCTAGTAGACTGTGTTAGTATTCTGGGGACTGCCTCGAATTGGTGGGATGTTTTTGATAACATGGCAACACACTTGCCGCTTCTGGAAACCATTTCAATAGACCACTTGACTATACCTCGTGCCCCTGGTTATATCAGGGTGTTTGAATACCCAGGTCTCTACGAGGAGCCTGTGATTCCCGGTACAAATGGCGATAGGTGTGAAATATACGAACCCTCCCCTGGATACTACCCAGATGAAAGTCGCGTATCGTACACTGGCCCAAACATGGGTAAGTTTTTGCAGGCACTGTCGAACGGCGCTATCGTAAGTCTGGTATTTAATCACTGAGCTACTGGGTCCCCTTTCTCATTCTTTTTGCAATTTTCTTGTTTCCCCATACCCCATCACCTCCACAAATAAGTATGGCACATGAGAAATATGGGCAGTGAGATTGTGGCTAGTGCCAATCTTGAGCTTACCATACATACACTACTTTTCACAAAGAGCAGACAGATAAATTAAATAATATACTTATCCCCGACATGTACTTCCACCCATACGATAAAGCGCCGCGATTCGAACAAATGTAAGAGAAGTAACGTCTGTCCCTGCGTCCCGAGACGCACCCTGTTACGAGACAAAACATAGGTACTTCGAATTCAAGCGGCTCTAAATCCGCGAATATATCAAAATTTCTATATATTTTTATTTTAGTTATATTATATACCGCTCCCGAACACTCCTGACCTATTAATTCCGAAAAATTATAATCGCGTCGTCGCCGCCTACTTGAATTATAGAGAGCCTCTTATTATAATGTGATAGGACCCCTCAACCCGCGACGCTACTATCAAGCTCTTTCCGCTTTTTAAACTTATAGAACGATTAGATATAGATTTCCGAGTTTCATCACGATACTAAAAAGTTATTCTTAGTGTTGTGGCTGCGCATACTTTGCGGGAAATTTCCTGTTTCCCGACATCCTCCGATTAAGTTAGAGCTGCTAAGCCCGGTTGGTCAATCTCGCCCATTGACTAATCGGACTCTCCAATTGGCCAATATACCACCCCATACCTCAATTTCTCCCTATTAACTAATATACTACCTTATTACTCAATATATATTGACTTCCAGGGTAGTATATTAAAGGTATATTGATTAATAGGATTATCAATCACAGCCCGTTAGTTAATATAGCGATCAGTCAATTAGGGGGGCTTTAAAGTGCTTAAATCACGGGATCTCCGCTTCTATATACTAAAATCACGGGATCTGCACTTCCAGGAAATAGTTGGTTTTGCCTTTAGATTAATTCCAAATACTCCTATTCTCTAGAAAATAATAGTTTGTTAATAAATAGTACTATACCTATTATCAAATTCCAGTCAAAGTACAACTTCGCAATTCATTTCTACCTACTTATCCAAATCATTTATTTTCCACCCCACTTATCAATACTAACATAACTTCCACTTCTACTTCCACTTCCACCCCCCCTTTTACTCCACGTAATAGGGTATACGGCCGCTATGATCAATATATTGATATTACTAATCTATTAGTCCATACCTCAGGCACTTCCTTTCTCCCCTCCTCCCCAGAGGCTCCTGCTGGCCAGGAGAAAGCAGATAATTGGTCAGCAGAGATTGAGGAGGCCTGGGATAAGCGCTTTACTCAAGGAGAATCAAAGAAGATTCTTACTAGCTGTAAGTAGTACGACTACTGTTAGTATTTGGAGAACCCAAAGGCAGGACCTCAAAAGCTCTCCAAAAAAGCAAAGCAAGAGGAGATTAATACAAAACACTATTGTTTGGATAACTTTGAGCTTTAAAAAGGTCAAATCTATTGTCGGGGTAGAGTGGATAAGTCAGGTAATCTATACCCTACAAAGTATGCTGTCTATTACTCAGATGCTTTTGAAATTATCTGTTCTACACACGAAAAACTATTATATTATAGTAAGTTGTAACTTTATATATAAACTCTATACTAATAATAAATAGAAGTCAAACTAACATTTGAACGCCTGCAGCAACTATACTACAGTATCTCACGAGAGGACGTAGAATAGGTTATACAAAGATATACTCAATATAATAGAGTTATACAACAAAAAGGGAAGCCTCCCCTTCAGCCAATCAAATCGCACTATCCGGGAAAGAGAATAGTCCTTGATCTAATTGACTTTCGATCTATAGCCGACGAGTCGTACCACTGGATTACGCAGCTTAAATGCTACTTTTCCAGGTATATTTGGCTGTAGCCTTTGGAGGGCAAAACAGCTCTTGAAGTAGCTAGCTATTTACGGACGTAGTTAGATAGTAATAGGTGCCCAAAAAAGCTGTAAGTAGCTCTATTCTATTTTTAGGATTATATAAGCTAATAAAGTATAAAGTAATTAATAATAGAACTGAATTTAAAAGGGAACTTGAAGACTTTCTTAAAGAGAAAGTAATTAAGCTAATCAGAAGCCGAGCTTACTACCTACAGACCTAAGGATCTGTGGAAGTAGCTAATAAGATCTTTAAAGCCCGGCTACAGGCAGTGTAAGGTGATACAAGTATTAAAGAATAGTCAAAATTACTCTTTATTATTGCCTGGGTAATTAATACAACTAGACTTTCCACTTTACTAAAAAGTATTACCCTATATCAAGTATAGTTTGGCAGGGAGCTTCCTAATTGGCCGAATATCTCGCCCCAAAACTAGAACAGGGAGCTTGCTGAAGAGAGTACTGATGAGGAGGAGGAGGGTGAGCTAGGTATAGCCAATCAGGAGGAGTCTCAGGTTGAAGAGGAGTACTTACTCTCTGAATTAAATAAGAGAGTAAGTGAGTATAATAAAGTTACAGCTGAGTGTATAGTTAGAGCTGAAAAGGGGCAGGTAGTTGAGTATAGTGATCAGGAGGTAGCTATTTTACAGATCCCAAAAAAGCTAAAGGTAGGGAATGAAGTAAGTAGAATACCTGTACAGGTATTACGAAAAGAGCACAAAGTAAGTTATATTCTTATTATTTTATTTATTACTAATTAAGTCTTAGAAGTATATTCTACTTACACAATGGGGTCAGCTGACCTGTATTCATTCCCCTGGGACTTTGAATAAGCTCTATAGTCAGGATATATACTCCAACTTTCTCAAAATAGGCGCTATATACAAAAAGGACTGTATTACGCTTAATAAAACTGTTCAGTTATTTAATAATCGTGGTACTGTCTCTGTACAACAAGCTGCAGGTCGTACTAGTAAAAGGAGGATGGAGCCTCAAGGGGAGGCCCAGGCTGTACGGGCAAAAAGAACAAAAGTGGCCTCAGTTAAGGCTAAGGCAATTCAGGAGGGTAAGGCAGGAATCTAATAATTGTATATTAAATTGACCAATAGGGTGTTAATATATCCGATACGTCAATATTGAGTAATGGGGTGGCCCAAAAGTCAATATATATTGAATTGAGGTATGGGGTGGTGTATTGACTAATTGGAGGGCCCATTGACTAATAGGCGAGATTGACCAACCGGGCTTAGCAGAGCAAAATGTGGCCCTGTGCGCAGCCAACAAAATCGGCCATCCGTTTCCTAGAGAAATGCTTTTGCGTGACAAACTTCCAACTTTTCATTCATTGAAGCCATAACAGAAATCATTATATGGCAATCGACTCTGTAAAGCTGAACCTACACGGTCTCCCGCCTGAGACGTTACAGCAGATAGCAGGCTACTTGAACGACTCGCATCGATCAAGTCTCTTTGCATTTGGATTGGCAAGCAAAATATGCCATAACGCCACTATCCCATCAATATTTTACCACATCCGTCTCGAAATAGGCAGTCGCGAGGCATTGCAGCGCGACGTTGATGCCCTTGTTAAGAGCCTCGCTCGTACCGAATCCGCGTGCCACGTCCGCTGTCTCAGCATCAAAGGACATTTACAATTGCCTGTCAAACCCAAGATTGAGGGGTACAAGTCCGACACGTCAGACCGCTATAGCTGGTTCAAGAGGACTGGTGTTGACGAAATCTTGAGCGATGAAGAACCGTATGCCACTGCCCCGCATGTCGTTTACGACGAACCTGTTATCGCAAAGTCTTCTGAGGAGGATCTGGCATGGCTGTCGGTCGTTGGTTTGATCAAAACACTGCCACATCTCGCAAAGTTAGTATACGACTGCCAGAATCAATTTCCACCCAGCCTTTTTGACGCCCTCTATGATTACCATCCCCAATGCAAACTCTACCACCTTACATTTCGCTTTCGAACACTACTATGGGGCATACCCTATCCTTACGAGATGGCCTTGGCCACTTCTCGGTGTTTGTATAGTGTCAAGGTTATATGCGGTGAGCGGGATTCGCAAGGCGACGACGATTTCAACCAAGAGGCGATGATGGAGCTTGCTGCCGGTCTTGCGCCCAATCTGAAGGAAGTTGTGATCGTGAATCTTTTCCCAGAAAACTCGTGGAGATACTACCGTCGCCCGCGGGAGTCCTGGCGAGGTCTTCCAGGCTTTGTTACTGGTCAATCTATCGGGTCCTTGACCTCCCTGTCGCTTCTCGGGAAGGTGAACTTCAATCTACTGGGAATGCTTCACAACTGGGCCAGGCACACAGACTTCAGCCACCTACGCCATCTCACTTTGGGTGGAGGTTACGGATGTGAGGACATGGGGATGAATGACGAGGCGATAGAGTGGATCGTTGAGAATTGCTCGTTCCCTCAGTTGAAGACACTTCACATTCGTCTGGATCGCCACGACAATAGAGCAGATAACCCCAATTATGTCATTAACGCTATTGTCCTTTTGAGTTCATTCGAGCCTCTCGAACAGCTTTCGGTATCCGGCCCACTAGAGTCCAAGATACTGGACGCTATTCTAGATCGACACGGACAAACGTTGACAAAGCTAAGTTTACGTCCGTCCGAGAATAAATACTCTCTAGAAGAGCCTCGAGTTCGACGAGAAATACCTATGACATTTACAAAGGAGCATATTTTGCAAATTCACGCTCAGTGTCCGGTATTGGAGGAGCTGGCCGTGTCGATTAAACGTACCAAATCAGATGCGCTCGAGGCTGAGATCTATAAGAGCTTCGGCAGAATGGGACGATTGAGATCGCTCTTCCTTATTTTGGACTGTTCTAACTGGTCAGTGGCTCGAGACCCCGATTTGGAAGACAATACTTTATTTGATACAGTTGACCGCGAAACCTGGGGAACAAACGAGTTTGTGAAGAAAGGCCATTTGCGAGAAACCCTGATGAACTGCGCAGTGGATGATACACTGGCTCGATCGATTTGGAAGACCATCTGCCAGAATAAGGCAGGCCAAAAGCTAGAGGCTCTCAAAATGTGGACCTACGGCGGCGGCCACTTCGGCGACGGCAAATGCAGACACATACCAAACGTTGTCGACAATTTGAGTCGGTCCTGGTTGATTGAGCGAGTTACTCGAGATGACGGTGATATTATTAACGTTAGGGAATTGGGTCAAAGAGCGCGAGAAGCCCACGATCAGCAGGTGACAGATGGATATAAGCGGTCTGCACATTATAGGCGAGGCGTAGATGATGATGTGATAGAGCCGGAGGTTGTAGCAGAAGGCTCCGATGAAGTGCAAGTTTTTCGCCGTGTTTGGCCCCGCAAAGAGGGGAGCAAGGATTGGCGCAAAGACTGGTCAAGTCTTCCTTTGCAGGTCTAATGCGTGACCATTGTATGCCACACACATGATCAGGCCTGAGAATCGTGGCTAATAAAAATATAGCAAGCCCGGGCGTGACCTAAGTAGGCTTTGGCGTAATATATATAGATAGCTATTTTCCGTAATCGTACGAGTGAAGACACACGAAACTCGAAGTTCTCCGTGGGGTCTCAGGACACCGCTTTATATAATCACGATCTTGACAAAGCCCTGGTGCTTTGAAACCATCTTTTTCTGTTTTCTTTATTACAATTGCAAAATATAGTACATGAAACTCATTGGTTGGGTAGTTTCCAACCAATGGCCATTATCTGCGGCGTAGTTGAAGGAGACCTTGGCTTAAAACTCATTCGCATTGGTTCTAGACTAATGCACCCACGTCTATTACCTAGATCTAATCGGATATTTTCCTCCGTCTATACAACATAAGCATTGTGTACCAATTAATATCATTGGTTCTATCCGGTTATAAATCGAAGGTATTTGTAGGCTATATTGTATATTTGCTATCTGCCCTGTCTGTGATCCTGATCAGCCTTTAGTACCATACTCTATAAGGAAACTGCTTCCTCCTACCATAACATCCACATCTGACCTAATTTAAGGCAAACAATTACTATATTACTCGGAAGGTATATAGATAGTATAAAAAATGGTATTGACCGGTTAGACCGGAATCACATCTCGGTAATGGCAGCCACAATAATGCTAGCCACCAGAGTTCTGTACCAAACTGTCCCTCAAGAGCGTCATTTTCCATCACCTGATATTTATTTACTCCTTGCTATTGATCCAAGTCATCTGACAGGGAAAATTTTGTTCTCAGGAACAAGCTCTCGGTGAAAGATATATATTTGAGACTCGACGATTCTCTTCCATCTCCACCCTGATCTTCACCCTCGGCAAACCTGGAAGAAAGACAAGCAACCATGAAGTCCTTTTCAACCTGGGTCAAAATTCTATCCTCCTTTAAGCGGGGAACACCAACGCTATCCGGAGTCCCCCCGGAAATTGTGGAACATATTGCTAGCTTCCTAAGCAGCTCTGATCTCCGTTCGCTGAGCGTCGTCTCTAAGGGTATGTATGAGAACATTTTCCGACTATACATTCCCATTTGCTTTCACACAGTGCGTACAGATTTTTCTCGGCGTAGCATTCGAAGCTTACAAGCCATCGCCGCAAACCCTCTCCTTGCAGGTAATGTTTTCAAATTACGTGTTGAGGGGGGATCTACTACTTTTGGAGATGGCTATGAGTGGGTTCGGAGCGCCGTTGGAAGCCGGTACCACTTACTTCGCCCATACCCCGGCGTTGACATATTGGCGGGCCTTCTCTCAACCAAGCTTACTAGCTGCAGGTCTTATGAAGTCAATAATATCGTGAAAGGAGCTATCCCTAAGGCAAGGTTTGGCGATATCTTTAAGAAGAAACCCAAGCGAAACTTGGTAGGTGGCCTGGACGGGATTACGTTATTGATTGCCCTAACTCTCGATACAGCTAATCCACCCAGAGCTCTTTCTATCGATTTTGGGGCCGAAGACCCATATCGCCAAAACTCGCCTGGTGTAACATACCCCAACCGACTATTGTCCCCGAAAGAATGGATGTCGGAAGTGGTATATATCCCTGATTTTGCTTCTACGATGCGCAATAACCTTGAAGCGCTGCATCTCACGAATAGCGATTCATACCCTTCGACCTTCACTTGGGCATTCGTCGGAGGAGCAGCGACGAAATTGCGGGAATTGCACTTAGACTTTGCTGGGAACTACAGCAGTTATGAATCGTTACAGAATCTTGCACTTTTACCTCTACCTGTAGCCCCAGAACTGCAATCACTTACTTTCAGTAAGGTGCCGGCATGGAATTCCATTATCAGGCTATTCTCACACAGGTTTTCTAGCAGCCTCCGCACCCTGAAAATCGAGAGCTGTGGGATGCAACTTGGCTTGAGCTGGGTAAATCTCTTCAACGAACTGGCAAGCTACTTTCCGCACCTAGAGCATTTTTCTGCATCTACGCTTCGGGAGGAGCTGTCGCGCAGCGAATATGAAATGGAGAATTGCTACCATCTTCGGCAGCCTGTCAGAGCTATTATATTCGACAGACTCGTGGTTGACCCTACAATCCCCGACACAGATGGCGACAAGTTCACCGTCGGCGTCCCCGACGGGTGTAGCCTGATATCCTATGTTGAATATCAGGGGGAACACATGGATTTGGCTTTGAAACACCTCGCAACGTATACAGATTCTGTATATAAGGGGTACGAAGAGCAATCGGGACGTTGGGAATCCGCCATCTATGAACTACTTGTGGGTGTCTACCCACAAATCTAATATTTCCGGAGGGGTTGTTCAACCCTGTGTTGCAGTGGCCATTCAGGTATATTGGGTATGCTGTTGGCAAACGCCAAAACACAGGAGGGAGAAAAACGACGAAGCATTCAGAAGGCATGCAAAACGAAGAAAAAACGGAGAAAGAATGGACGAAAGCTCTCCCAATATTTGCCTTTGGTGTTTATTCGTCTGCTCTTGCAAATATCGCTAAATCTTTAGATATTTCCTTGAGATCTCCTTGAACTTATGCGGTCCGGCATCATAAATAATCATTAATAAACATAATTATCAAGAAATAAGTAGAAACTATGACTTGACTGTCTCAATCTTTTAAGGAATGTGAATAATTGATTTATGCACGTAACTAGTAAAACGATATTTATTAAAGCAGCACAATGCCGATATATTTAAAACTTGCGAGCTATTGAAAAATTCTCCATCTTACCTTGTACATAGGGCTTGGTGGTGTTAGACCTCATCTAATATTTTCATTAGCTAATTGATTCTAATTATGTACTGTTGTCGTAGTGGAGGGACTTTTTTAAGCACCCCTCCTTTGGTCAACGGCCTTAGCAACTTGCTCCAGCCACCAAATGTGTATCCTTGGGTCGCCTGTCAGTTCTGGATGGAAGCTGGTGCCAAAGACATTGGCTTGGCGGACTGCTACAATGTCGCCTGCCTCGGCGTCTAAGTTATCTTTCGTCTTCATGTTCACGGCAGTAGTTCGCCCAGGTAGCGAACACATGATCTCGACGTCTGCCAAGTCGACGGCCTTCGCCACAGTTTGATCGATCGCCCTCGAGGGCGCAATGATTGTACCGTCGAGCTTGGCTTCTTCATGCTGAGCTCCAGCCACGTGGGGCAAGAGCTTCTCCACTATGGGCGCCCTGATGAAGATAGCTCGGAAGGGCTTATTCTGACTTAGATCGGACTCTGCTTCTTGCAGGAATGGGAGATCAAGATTCGCTTCGAAGCTCTCAATCTGCCTCCCAAAATGATTGCGCTTGACCCGCACATCAAGACCGCCGATCAGCTCTTGACCGCCTTTCTTTGTCTGGTTCGCAGCTTCAGCGAGCAAGATCAAACCTGCACAGGTACCCCATGTTGGCTTTCTCGAGACCCTGGGGAAGTATCAACTCAACACTTTGTTCTCACTCGAGTTCTAGGTGATATGGCCATGACTCACTTGACGAAATCTCGAAGCGGTTCCAGCATGTTACACCTCTGAGCCACCAGCGATATTGCTGTGCTTTCTCCCCCCGGGATGATCAAGGCGTCGCATGACTTCAGTTCTGCCTCTGTCCGTACCTCCTTAAACGTCCACGTCCTCTGGACACCGTTTTTCCCGGCGAGAATTTGAGCTGCCGCTCGCAGCAACTGGATGTGTTCGTTGAAAGCGCCTTGCAATGCCAGTACTCCAACCGTCACCTCCGTATCCATTAGCTGTCCTGCAGAACCCATATTATATCCAAGCCAAATGCTATGTTGTTGTGAAAAATGAAAGTTGCCCGATATCAAAGCGACTCGTGGCCCGAAGGCGATAAGGGGCAAGTGACCGACTCTTCTGCAAATTTTGTTTGACTGTCTCGGCCTGGCGTCGGCCCCCCAGATAATCCATCGAGTATGATCTCCATATCACATGCGTCCCCTGCTAACCCCGATCTCCATCATCGGGCAACTGACAAAAACCTCCGAGCCTTCTCAACATAAAATTCCACCCTTGCACCGGTAAGTAACTCGCATGTTCCCTCCTCGAGAGGGCCTCCAACTCTAAATAAACCCTACTACTACATACGAAGTACACACCGCATTTCCTGGGCGCATCACATATGATATAACGCCGCCGGCATTATCGAAATATGTCTGCCATATTATACTACATCGAGCTCTTTCTCGGTGGGTATATTGCACTGACGCTTGCTCTCTACACCGTCTCACTTCAAGTCCCAGCAGCTGGCTTCTACGCGCGCTCACTCGCCTCATACTTCGGACTGCTCATCTCCTCGATCTATGCCTTCTTCGTGACCATAGTCCTGCGTCTCTTTGGCCAGAGTCGAAGTGCGCAATTCGCAAGCGGCCGGGGCATCAAATATATCCTGAAGTACCTGATCGGTGTAACGTTTACAGTCGAGGACCCCAATAACTACCTGAATACCATCCGTCCCGCCGTCTTCCTTGGAAATCACCAGACGGAATTGGATGTGCTGATGCTGGGCACGATATTCCCGAAATACTGCTCCGTCACCGCGAAGAAGTCGTTGAAGTACATACCTTTTATGGGCTGGTTCATGGCGCTTTCCAACACCGTCTTTGTCGACCGAGCGAACGCGGTCAGTGCTAGGAGTGCAATGACTGGTGCGGCCGAGGAAATCAAGAAGAAGAAGCAGAGCGTCTACATCTTCCCTGAGGGTACAAGGAGTTATACAAAAGAACCGGTGCTATTACCTTTCAAGAAAGGCGCTTTCCACCTGGCAGTGCAAGCAGGTGTGCCAATCGTGCCAGTGGTAGTAGCGAATTATTCGAATATCTTGTATGTGCAAGGACGGATATTCAAATCGGGGGAGATTCCGGTCAAAGGTAAATAACTCCATGCCATCTAGATGTTTGTTCTTTTTTCTAACGCCTCACAGTCTTACAACCCATCGAGACGAAGCACCTGACATCCGCGGATGTGGACGATTTAGCTCGGGATACAAGGGAATTGATGCTCAAGGAGCTCATTAGCTTGACGGAGAGAGCAAGGGGGCATCCTATCTCAATGCCAGCCCAGGATCTGGCAGACGGAGTAGTGAAAGCGAGCGGCGCAAGAGTCACTATGTCATAGGGAGATATCGAAGCTTCGATAAGCACATCAAGTCTATTGGTTAGGGGGGTGCTGGTATTAGGTTACGGGAAGGAAGGGAAAGTGGAGTGGCTTCCGACGACGAAATTTGGGGTTGGGGGGGGGGGTTCGGTTTTCTGGGTTCTTGCATGAATGGAGTACGGACTTGTTTTATCGTCAACATCAAGAAGTACGGAGTATATACCCCATAGATAACCGATCATCAGCAGGACATTCAACTTCTGTTAACTAATAAACTTCAACATGTGACAATCCTTGAGTCTAATCGCTTGGGTACTGAACTCTGGTACCATCCGAAGGCAACTACTCAAGATTCCCCGACCATATGAGAATGGATTAGATGTAAAGGGTATAATCTGAACTCCTAGCTCTGAATGCATAGATTAAAATCGCCCTCGCCTTGTACCATACGGGAAATTTTGCTACACTTCAGATTAATGCGGACTTAGTCCAGGAGTCTGTTATTATGTGATTCTGTTAATGTTCTACAAACCCAGTCAGAATGTATAGCGCTGGTGAGATCCTAGACGATTCAGTCTGAGCGGACTGGAGTTGTCACTCACAAGTCCAGAATATACGCTATAGAAGGTGGAGCCCGGCAGTTCATGAATCCTGGTTTGGCCCATCCCAGCCTTCCAAAGCCACGAGTATTACAGCTGCTCTAGTGTAATCCATCGTTCTTGGCTTCCGACCAGAAACACTTGGTCTTCCAATCATGTTTCGCCCACATAACTGCCATCGTCCATTTTACCCGTCTCCTTGCCACCCTCTTCAATCCACGTTTCTGCAAGGCCTCGTTTGGGATCCTCATCAGGGTACCCAAGACTCCGCCTAACATTCAGAACCTCCATCCGTATCCTCATCGTAACCTCCTTCCTTAGCGCTACCGCCTCATTTCCATATTTGAGCCCTTCCGTCAAATCTCCCATATCCCACTCCATCACTACCCCTTTCTTTACCAGGGCCTCCTTTTGTAATTTCACTAGTAGCTTCCATTTCTCACGTAACTCCCCAAATACTTTCTCTCCATCAATCTTTTCCCCAAACGCAACGCGAATGTTCTTCCCGGCGCGGGGGATAAAGCGTGGCCATTCCCGTGCTTCCGGCATGAGCTCTTGGGGGCCGTCAATGAACATGGGTATTATATCAGGGAGAGGTTCTGATTCAAGGATTAGGCGTGATACGCCCCATTTGAAGTATCGCATGGCTTTTGTCGGGTGCTGGTGCACTCGGCCTTCCGGGAAAATATGAACCCAGGAGTGTTTGCGTGAGAGATAGGCTGCGGGTGCTGGGAAGTTGTCTCTACCATCCGTGGAATATGTCAAGGTGCCTGCCGTGAATGGATCGGTAACTGGCGGGGGAGATGACTGGGTCGTAGAGGTTTTGGGGAACGGTTGGGAGGAGAGGAGGCGGATCACTTGCCCTATCGTGGGTTGGAAGAGTCCACCGTGAATGGAGTATGCGCCCCGATGTGTGGGTAGAACTTGACCCAGGCTGAAGAAGGATGAAAGAATTCTGCAGAAACACTGGGTTAGTGGGTAGAAGCTGGGCATCGAGTACACATGGCTTACTTATTCTGAAAGCAAATATCATAACTCCCCAGGCCCCATCTATGGTTTGTTGGGTCGAATGCATAGCGGTAAGGAAGGACACCCCAAATCAATGGATCGTCGAGCCTATGGACACAATGTCTCAGCATATAATATTGAATAAGCTACATTACTAGGAACGTACACGCTGACATGATTTGAAACTATTCAACCAACCCGTCAGTTCAATTCCTAATTCTGAATCTAAGCCTTCGCAGAGAAGTAATACCCGTAATTAATCCCCGTTCCCGTCCTTCGACATCCTTCCTTTTCTCAAGCGTATCTAGAAACTTGTCCAGCCCAACGACTTCCGTTTTGTTGAGCCCGCAGATAAACGCCCGTGATAATGCGCCGGTTAGGCCCATTATCACCGAGGAGCCGATGCGCCATGGTAGACTGGGGCTCGATGGAGCATTAGGAGGGGACATGGCGCTATCGCCTTCGCGTGTCATTGGGAATTGAACATAAAATGGAAGACTGCAAAGCAGTCGCAAAAGGAACGACTGTACGAGTTTGGGACGGGGATAATTGAAAGAGTGTTTATGAACCTTGCAAAAATGTAAGGCACGAGGAAGTAGTTCGGTCTTCGGAAGTTGTTGGAGGGAGGTCCGCGGAACGGATTATAGTTTTGCCGTCCCCGGCCATTTTTAGAACCGTGCATGAACTTCTCAACGACATGCCAACATTATTTCTTCATACTTGCTGAAATACTTCAAATATCTCCAAAATCCTGTTATATTTCCAGCCGGCAATAGGAACACCCATAAAAGTGAAATATTGGTTCAATTGATTTCGATAATCCAACTTCCTGAGCGTGGTTGTAGATTTTGTCACTAATCTCGCCCTCTTACCACGCGGAATACAGCCACTGGAACATCAGCCGCTCCCTCACTTGACTTGGAAATATCAATGACTACGTGTCTAATTCACCAATTAAGATATTCACCTGCTTAAGGAAACGAGAAAGCACTCTATTCGTCACATAGAATATCTCTGTGGTGGGTTTTAGTTTGAGTCACCCACGTTCCGCCGGCACGCATCCAGTTTTTATCTCCCACAAGTAGGCGTCAAAACCTAAGACAACCATCGGCTTTCAATCTAAGTCACCTTTTTGAACAATTGACCCAGATCTTGCTTGGATATTGTAACTTTACACGCCTACTACCCGTGGCTATCGCTCTCTAGGTATGTATATCCTCTTGAGTTTTACCTGTTCAAACACAACCTGGGCCTGGCCAGCTTCTGCGTCAACCAACACAAATGCACACTGAAGATCATGCCACGACATTCTTTCTGCTTCGACTTCACCTCTTGTCTAGTATCTTGCGCAAACGCTGGTTTGCTGACAGTCCACTTGCCAACTTATGCCAGATACCTGTCTCTTTCTTGCCCAAGCCCGCGCTCTCAGTTTGGCTTTCATACATGGCCACATGGCTAACGAGTTATAGGGGCAACATTGTCTCGACTTAACAAGTTCTCGTTACGTGCTGGTTGAAAACGACATCAGCTATAGCTAATAGACTACAACATGTCTCATAGTAAGCCCCCAGACCTAATACTGTTTTACTCCTCTAACACATGTTTAGGCAAACGCAATACTTCACGGGCAGTGTTTACTTCGCATGAAAGATCACTCGCCAAATCAGCCTGGAGCTCCACAAGCGCCCGCTTGTCGCGGGACTCCTTCCTGCCCTTTGCTTCTTGTCGGCTGTGCCTAATCCCAGCAACAGATCCTGTCTCATGTTCACATGGAGATATCTTCTGCAGGGAATGTGCGCTAAGCAACATTTTGGCCCAGAAGCAAGAAATCAAAAGATTGGCGAAATTGAAAGAAAAGGAAGACAAAGAAGCCGTTGAGCAAGGAGATCTTGAAGAAGAAGAAGCAGGCCGAAGAGCTGTCCAGGAGTTCGAGAAAATCCAAATGGGCCTAGAGGCAAAGATGGGGGAAAGCTCCTCCAGCAAAAAGATTATTGGAAGACAAGCTGGGAAAATCCTAGTAGAGGAAGTTGCTGATAGCAAGAGAGGAGAAAAGCGAAAGTTTGAACTCGATGAAGACGAGCTTCTTCGTATTGCTCGCGAGGAAAGGACGAAAGCAAGGAAGGCAATCGATGAGGAAAAGGTATACTATCTCAATTGTGCCTTACACAACTACTGTCCTCTGACACACATTATAGGCTTCAAAGACCACTTTGCCGTCATTCTGGGTGCCCTCTATCACCCCTAGCTCAAACACCAACACGACCCTGCATAACATTGCAAAGAAATCCAAGCAATCGCCCGTATGTCCTGCATCTCCAGCTGACAAGCCCCACCACTATTCTCTCCATGAGCTGGTCACAGTCGCCTTCACTGAAGAGAAAGACACAACTACCAGGAAGAGTCAACGGATATGTCCATCATGCAAGAAGGGCTTGAGCAATACCTCAAAGGCTATGCTTGCAAAGCCTTGTGGCCATGTTATTTGCAAGAGCTGTGTTGGGAGGTTCATGACTCCTTCTGGAATCTATGACCCGCACGCTCCAGAGATTGATCAGAATGCCATCTATTGTTATGTATGCGAGGCAGACCTAACCGAGAAGCCGGTGATCTCGTCAGGGCGGTCACTCAACAAGAGCGAGTCAAAGGGGAAAGTCAAGCCCGGATTGGTTGAAATCAAGAGTGACGGCACAGGATTCTCAGGCTCTGGGCAGAACACTGTTGAAAAGGCTGGAATAGCTTTCCAGTGCTGAATTAGGCTTAGCGGCCACATCTCTATCACCAGCTCTTGCCGCCGTTGATAAGTAGGGATTTCTTTAACCGACTTGACTTGACGCGTCTTCTTTCCCCAAACCACCATCACTCTCCGACGCTCAAGGAGATTGCTTCGCCATCCTCACACTCCCTTCAAGACCCTTTGAACCTCAACCATCATGGAAGCACACATCACTAGCAAGCAACTCCTGGAGCTATTAACTGCTCAGCAGCTAGGCAAATTGAGCGAATTGCCAATTGAGCTTCGCACACTCATCTATCGCCTTGTCCATGCCCCCATCGACAAGATCGATTTCCCCGCCATCAAGAAACGTGAGGGTATTGCACAGGACAAGGGCATGTTCATGGCAGTGTGGCTCTTTTCAGTAAAGCTTGAAGAGTTGGACGTTTCTGACATGTTCGGAACGGAGATGGGCAAAGTATGTCACGCGTCCCTGGTTCCTCCTCAACACTGCACCTTCATAGTTATTAACAACTTCCAAGGTATTAGAGAAGTACTCGAAGAACTTTGCCCCCGCCGCTTTGATTCAACTGTTCGAGAATCACGACTCTTCGGCTGCTTGTTTCACTGCCCATCTGGCTATTGAGGAGTAAGTTTATAACATGTCCTTGACGCGTCTACCTTGTGTCGCAATTTGAATTTTTGAAGCCGATCTAACTCCTCTTTAGCCTTGGCGCCGTCGATTATACCGCACTCGAGGAGGTCAAGATCTGCTTCCCCCGCCAGCTCGCTATTGAGTTTTCCCGCCTTGTCCCACAGACCGATAAATATTATCTGTCTTACGCTATCTATCCTTCCCGCGGGGCCCAGCAGTTCCCTGTTCTCGAGCTCTTTCCTGATGGCAGAGGAGTTACTATTCGATCTTTGCTAGTCGATGACGATTGCCCTAACTTGACGGAACAGTGCAACAACGAAAGCCCATCTGTAGTTTGTCTGCATGGTGGTCAAGGATGTGCCTGTACCCTCATTACGATCTTCACCCCCATGATCTCCATCCAGGCTGATTCGGCTTTGGGCCCGCTCACGGTTCATAACAACATCCCCCCGTTGACTCCTTGGGAGCATTACAACGTCCTGCCCCGCTGGAGCCTGGCGTGCCACAAGAGGCCTCTCTACCACTACTGGATCACCATTATGCTGGAGCAGCTTGGACCTGATGCGGTTTGGATTAGCCCTTCCGGTGATATCTGCCGCAGCAGTGATATCGGCTTGTGAATTGCGAACGAACATGGCGAATACGACTACCTGATTTCAACGCTGCTGCGAGCACAACTCGTCGACGTCTCGGGATAGTTCTCCTCAGGAGTGGCTGGCATCTTGCTTTTGCTTTTGCTCTTTATTTTCCAAATTTGTTTTTACATTTGCTCATATTGCTACACTTTAAATAATACGCCTTTGTACACTAGTTCTTCACACGGTGCCAAGCCAGTACATAGCCACCAGAAATGAAAAATGCGATATTAAAACATCTTGCGTCTAATGTGAATTCAATAATCTCTTCACTTTTAAGGAAATCCTTACCCATGGAACATCACTTTCTATCCACGCGTCAAAGCTGAACCGCGTAGATTGTTTGTATTCTGAAAGCGGTATATCACGTGATATATCATTAGAGAATTGTCACCTAGATCGACCGTTTCGGCCTCAAGAGCCTGATAGGGGCGTTTAGAGGGAGAACATGTGTGTAAATAACAGGTGAAGTAGCAAGAAGTAAGCACAATAGGAGGGAAAGTTTGAATAATATAATACACTTATTATATACAGATGCTAAACTTAACAGTGCACTGGAGTTCCTTAATACCATCCCGCAACCTAAATTCTTATATCATAAGTGCCAGATCCCCTAAAGTAGTGTTTCGATATCTCATCGCTATACAAACCATCATTTACATCATTAATCACATCAGCACATGACCACCCTACTTCCCATTCTTAATCTCCTTCCCCTTCTCCACAGCATCAGTCATCTTCCCCTTCGCCCATTCTCCAATATCGCCAACCTTCTCAGCCACACCTACCTCCACCACAAAAGCCTCCGCCGTCTCTATAGCCCCGCTAACAGCATCGCCCGCCTGGTTAGCCAAATCCGCCGGCGAAGGATATTTGTTCAACGCCTTGAGAACCATGTAATACAGCTGGATGATAAGCTTATGCACCCTCTCCTTGACAATCATGGTGATCCCATGGCTAAAGAACCCTTTGAGGATCTCGCCCCATACACCTTCATAGAGCGCCGCCGGGCCCTCCGTCCGGTATATGTGCAGGATGGTAGCGAAGACGGTGCTTCTCTTTGCAACGTTCTTTGCATCGCGGCCTGCCTTTTCAGCTGCGGCTTCACCATCTTTTGAAGCGCCAGAAATGTCAGATTTGATTTCCTTCGCGGATTCAGTATCTACTGGCACGGAGGAGGATGCCTGGGCACGTGTTTTCGCCAGCGAAAACGGGTATGTGATGGTCGAGGCGATAGCTTTGCTCACAGCAGCCATCAGAAATGTAATCCGTGCTCCAGGATCATCCCGCTTTGAACGGGGCAGTAAAGTGCGTTTGAAGAATTCGTATAGGAAGAATGTGATGCTCGGGTTCAGGGTTAGGACGAGGGAGGCGGAATACCCTGACCAGAACCCTTGGATGCCTTTCTCCGCGCGGATGGTGCGCGCGATGTCTGACACGGAGGGCGAAGATTTGCTCCGTGAGGAGGCCGTCATCGAGGATGTTTGCTTGCGCGTGACGATGTTGGCTAGGGGCGTGGTGAAGAATTTGGAACATGCTCCTGCGACAGCTCCAACGGCTAATTCGTCGAGGACTGGTAGGGACTTTGCTTTACCTCCTTGCTTTTGTAGGCGATGGGTGCGCGCGTAATTGTAGAATAGGAAGAAGAGGAAGGAATCCGCGATCGATTTGCCAGTATCTTCTACGACGCCGGTATAAAATGCTGAAAGTCCCCCTTCGTTCTTATACATGCTATCAAAGGCGTCGAGGACACCATCGTATTTGTCTTTGTCCGTGCCGGATGGTGATTTGCGTAGTTGCCGTTGCACTTGAAGACGAGTTATTACCAAGCTCAGTGGGTATATGGCGAGATTCGATATTGCTGATCCTGTAGAGCCTGCTAGAGCATGGCCCAGTGCCGGTAGAGCGGGGCCATCAAGGATAGATCGAGAAGGTTCACGTTCTTTGTGATAGAGCTCAAATGCATCCTATTATCCGGCATTAGCTGGGCATAGTGACTGGGAATTGTAGCTTACCAGGTGGCTGTCGTAAATGTTTGACATTTTGAATTTGTTTGATTTTAACTGATTAGGAAGTCTCGGTTTAAAATATAAGTATAAGTAGCTTGAAACAATTCTCACAATTGAAGCAAAGGATGAATGGAGTTTAGTTATCTGTTTCTGGCATAAACTATACTATGCCCACTACGTCATGTTTACAGTGTTGGCTCCGCACGGACAATCCCCACAACCTCGGTCATGGTTTGCAGCCTTGCTTACAAAGCGAAGTACTTGCTCCTTCGTCAGCCTTGCACGGACAATGAAGTCACTATGGCCTAAGGTAGCCTTGGCACATATATGCTTTTGTTCTAAAACAAGCAAAACAAACAGGTAACAGTGATAATGATAGTGATAATGACCATGGAAATGACATACAAAAGGTGTAAACCAAATCAATATGGGAATCAAATTCTATCGCTGCGCTGCGCTGCGCTGGCAGTCGTGGGAGTCCCACAAGCCAGGTACAAGATAATAATACCTAACTCCTCCGTAATCCAGAAGACTACCGCCCCGACTATAATTAATCCATGCGTGCTTCGTTAGTTTTCGCCTCATCAACCCTCATCTATCTTGTTGATCTCCGCTGTGGCCTCCTCCCAAGTCTCCTTGTTCTTCTTGGCCCACTCGATTTGACTTCGGGCATAGGCAAGCTTATCACCTATTAGCCTCATTTGTCAGACAAGAGCGTGGGGGGGGATAACTAACCATATACCGTTTTAGATCATCTTCTTTTTCCGCTTGGAATCGCTTCAAGTCTTTCAAGATACCGGTACTAGCATCCCGGACGTCTTGTTCCGAGGCCATCTGGGCCTGTTCTAGCTGCCCGATCGATTCCCTGGTCTTACCGATAAGATCTCGTCGGGTTCGTTCAGGATCCACGTCAACGACTCCATGGACGGCATGACTAATCCGCCCAAAGATTTTGTTGGTTATGAAGTTCCCACTGGAACTCTTGCGATGCGCTGCCTCTTGGCCTTCTGAATGTGGGGCGCCTTGGGCCGCGGAGGGAGTGTTTGACGAGTCGCCGTGAGTAGGCGGGAAGTCGGAATCAATAGAAGCCGTATCCTCCTGGCTGTTATCTCTCCTGGATGGGGCAGAATCTCGAGCAGAAGAATTTGAGCGTCGAGGCAGATTACCTGTGCCGCTATGACTCAAATATTGCTCGATTCTGTTGGCTTCGGATTCGCTTCGTTCTAAAGACTCTAGAAGGGCCCTCTTTCTTGCAAGCTCATCATTCGTCATCTCCTGCTGTACCCGTTTCAACACCCGATAGCGAAGGACGCCGCGAAGAACACCGGCAAATTGAGCACTCTCTCGCATTGGCTCAGCAAAACTGGCCCCTAATGATCCTGAGAGCTCTTCTGTTGCAAGATAAGACGAATCCACAGCTTGACCCACCCGTTCAATAGCTGCTGCTAGTGATGGCGATGGTTCTGAAAGAGAAAATCCGTTAAGCCTGGCACCGAGCTCGGCAAGATCTGTAGATAAAGTCGATAGGTGTGTTAATGTTCGGCGGTTCACCTTTTCAATCGGCCCTGTAAGAAGTAATTCAAGCTCCTTAGTCGACGCCTCAAAATTAATAAAGTAGGGATCAATATCATGTTCGCTTAAATGCTGGGCAGCGGGCGGAAATCTCCCCAAGACTTGACCACCGGCCGCGGTATGTGTAGCGGCTGATGGGCCAGTGTGATGTTCGGGGGCTTGGTTCGCCATGCCTGGCGGGCTCGTAGCTGATGTTGAAGCAGATTTAAGCTTCGCGGATGATGCGGGGATGGGTAGGAAGGCATGAGCAGGAGAGGGGTTGGCGGGGTCGAGAGGTGGAGCTTTAAGAACGGATTTTGGAATGGATGCGACAGGGTGCGAATGCAAGACCTCGTTCTTATAATCGTCAGCAACACATCAATCAACACGCGAGGAGCACTATATGAACATACCCAGCTAGAGTTTGGGTCCAAGAACCTCCACCAAACCCCATCGTTCCGAACATCGTCCATTAGTCGACACCTGTTCAGGAAGACGGCTAACATCCGTTTGCGCAGGTCAATAATTTGTTGATCCTGTTTGGCTTTCGTGGGGTTCGCAGCGTAATCAGCCATGGAGTGTTTCTCCGGTATTGGTGGTATAATCAAGGTAGGGTGAAGCTTGGAGAGGGCATCTCGGAGGGTAGCAAATTCGGAATACCGTCGGCGGACTTCAAGGTCCTGCAACACGAATAAGCGGGTGCACTTGGAAGAGGAGGCCGTCAAAACCTACGCCAGTTCGGATGGTATACACAATGTATTTTCCTCCGCTCTCGCTACTCTTTCCCGCATCGACGATCAAGATGGGGAGCTCTGGGTTTTCGTAAAGGATTTGCTCAATGCGACTGTCATAACCACCCTTCTTCCTTCTAGGCCTCGTTGCGGCTTCACGGTCCTCATCATCCCCATCATCGCCAGCACCATCCCCATTTTGGTGTTGCTGGGGCCGGGGATCGCCTCGTGTCTCGGGAGGGCTGTCACTTAGAGTAGAGGGAGTCGCAGGACCGCCGTAATTTGGATCTATATAATCCCAATCTGCGTCAGTACCAGGATCATCATCTAAGTAGACAGATTCCATCATCTTGCGGGCATGGCAAGGCTAGGGGACAGCAGAACAGCTTACGGGAGCCTGGGGAATTAGTATTTGCTGGTGAGGAGGCTGCTGAGTCGCGGCGCTCAAAGCTCGTCCCATAGGGATTGTTGTCCTCATCGTTCCACATCATGCGAGGCTGCGGGCACGGTGGGAAGCTTCCGGCAGCAAACAAGCAGTGGACAAAGGTGTCTTGTGGTGGTGAATAAGGTCGTTGGCAGAATCATTCGTGCTGGAGCTGGGAGGCTGGATGGTGGCAGCGGCAGCGGCAGTCGATCGTGGATAGCGGAAGCGAGGCAGCTACCAGAGTCGCAACCTTATCGCTGGGACAGGACCAAGTGCAGAGCGTCGTCATGGTGCGGCGCGGTTTGGCGAGAGAACACGGATATAGATGATTTTCTGCTTCTCGTCTACGTCTACGTCTACATCTCTGCCTTCACTCCTTATTTGATCAACACCGGCTTCTGCCTTGGAGAATGTACACGATATCTACGGAGTACACATTATTATACTATCAATTAAATGGGCCGTCTGTCTAAGTCTTCGTTCTCGGTTTAAGACATCGATCGCCATTCCCAGCCATATCCACCGCGATTGTGGTGCTACCATCTCCTTGAATGTACTCTACAACGCTCAAGGCCCAAGGCTACAAGCAATACCCCCTTGATAAACCTTCTATCCTCTCAGCGATTGTCTATCCAAGCTGCACTCTCATATACAAAGACGAGATAACTAGGAAATCGAAATCATTAAACCGGTTCTGTGATAGGAGGTCTCAAGGCCCCCTCCCCGGATGAGCTGCATCCGCCATCGGTGAATTCGCGTTTCATGAACATTGCGACCGGGCGCGTGGCTTCATGTTTCTGGGTTTCCTGACCCAATGGTGATCTCGAAGAGCTAAAAGACTTCGCTTCGGATGCAACCATGGGCTCAGCCAAACATTTCGATGGCCCCGGAACAAGAGAGTTTCCCACGGCGAGGATACCATACGTCCATATACGACGACCTGATGCTCCAGAAAGCCGTATCCGCTTTGAAGGGAATGACAGCACTGCCGGTATCCCCCATGCATACTTCCCTAGGCAACAATCTCGAAACAAAGATCGTAGCCATCATGTTCGCCCGAACAGCAGTGAAGGTTTTGTGGCTACCAGAGCAGCCAGTCGCAAAGACTCTCAACCCCCTCGAGCGTCCGATAGCCCTAAAGTCAGCGATGTTCCAATTCTGGATACCGGCCGGCTGCTGTTGCTACATTCGGTAGAAATCACCCTGCTCTTGTGTCTCCTCGGTAGGTGACGGCTTGGATGCACCATGTTGCTTCCATCCATGCGATCTTGGTATTTTTCGTGAACGAAGAAGAGGAGCAGAAGAAACAGGACACCGACTATCAACAATCCGCAAATGATACCAAGGGCGATTATTGCACCTTGACTTGGGGTCGGTGCAACTGAAGTAGTCATCTTCCGTAGCTTCCCAACACTGCAACACCCAGAACCGCAATAATATTTGACTGGAGATATTGTAGTGAAGCAAGTTGCTGGAGTTGAGTGGTTGGGTGGTTGGGCTCCAATGTCTAATTATCCCCGTTGGCCGAACCTTCGAAACCCAGGTATCTATATTATGGTTGCTGATTTCAACCCACAAACAAGCCAGTGTTTGATCTCTTCCCAGTGGTCGCTGTGCTGGCACTCCACCGCATATTATAATGGCATAGCAAATCCGTCTTCACCTCAAGTACAAACATTGATATATATTTCGTGAAATGACCATTGGCTATAGATTTTATAGTCAAGTGACAATATCCTATTTAGCGGATACTGTGCAAACTATGGAATCTGGCAGGTACTTCTCTTTCACTCCCTGTAACATAATTTTTATTCCGTCTCTCCAGCAAACGGTCCTTAAATTCTAGCCAAGCGGGGTGTACGGGCCAATGCAACCATTTATTTGGCTTGGTTTATTTGTTCCTATAGTATACGATTCTGTGACAATTGCTACGTGGATACACAGCCACTCCGCCAAAGGCATCATCCTAAGCAAGTCTAGTGACTTAGTCCAGGGCCCTCGTGATGTTATTATGATTGTCATCCGATAATGAAATGGCCAAAGTTTGATGGGGTTTCTTCAATGATGCTCTGCCTGAATTCATGCCACTTGATCAACCGTCCAATCCATACTCGCTTGTGTGTTGCGTACTCGGCCCTCAGTCTTCAGTATGCTCGGATAATTCAACATGATCTGATATTACTTAGGGAATGCCTGAGCTGGGACGACATTGACGTTTTGCAGCTGGTCGTGTCGACCGCCGCCGTTGAGGTGTTTCTTGTTCTGTGGGTGATCGGCCCCTTGCAGCCCTCTCGTCCACTATCTCTGGATCGGAGTATTTTGTTCTCTCATAACTAGCAGACATCGCCCTTTTCCCCCTGCTTTGTGTCTCCCGGCCAGTTGATGGCCTCCGTTCCTGTGGTGCAACATGGCGGGAGGACCTTGGCGCTGGATCGGAACTACACTGGAGTCAGCTTCGTACATAAGCAGCGAATATTTCCTTGTTTTACCTTCTCGACCGACGCGCTTGATCTTTGATCCTGTCATTTCTGTAATATTGCCCCCATCCTCCTGTCGGCTCCGTGAGAACATTTATCGCTTGGAGTGCGAGCGGTAGTAGACCTAACCAATTTCCATTCCTGAACCCCTATGGCTCTGCTCTTGGGTTGAATAACGTCTCCTAGTTGGCGAACGACTAAATTAAATAAGTACTAGTTTGATAATACTTACAGGGTATTTAAACTTGCCTTACCTTCTTAGCCGCTGCCGATCTGACTCTCTCCTCCTTTGCCTCCCTTGTCACTCTTTCTCTTCAAAGGATTCATCATCTTCGTTTCTATTTTGCTTGGATTTTGGAGATCTATTCCGGCGATCTGCTTCAAGCGGCGATATAGATGTAGCATTCCGACCGCTTCTATATCCGGGCTTTCTCACTGGACGTCTGCGGGAAGTATCGGTGCTTCTTTGTCCCTGTGCTGCCGGCCTTGTCATCAGAACTGTAAAACGACTGAGGTCTGGATTTTGATCTGAGGGCTGTTCGGATGTTACTACTGTGGGGGGGAACTGGAGGCATCTGAGCGTTCTGGGGCCCGAAAGGACGTTGAGTGCTGGATATTTGCCCTGAGGATGCCATAGGAGCAGTGGTCGGATAGGAGCGTGGGGAAGCTCGTGGAACTCGGTGACTTTCTGCTTGGGGAGATGCACACTGCCTTGGGGTAGCTCCTGTCGATCGTCGCCTAGATCGCCTTCGACTCACAGAAGAGGGACTTGATGTCCTACTTGTGGAAGAAGTCAAAGAAGCAGATCGCGGTATATTCCTCATTTTATATCGTTCTTCCTTCTTCGCCCCAGCTCCATCTAATCTCGCCCCAGACATGACAGCCCCAACCGGAGTATTCCTCTTGCCCATGCCACGTTCAACATCCGTTGTTCTTGGTTTTGGTCGCCCTCTTGAAATCCAGGCCCTCCGCCTGCGACATAATGCCCAGATCAATATGCCAATTATTGCTATCCCAATAACAATCGCAATAATAGTTCCCGCTTTCTGACCAGTACTCCAACATCCCCATGCTGCGCAACCTAAGTCTAGCTTGCTAGCCTCCCCGTTCCCAGAATATATAAGTACGGGAGGAGCTGTCTGTATCAATGTCGCCGTATTCAGCGGCTGGCCATCCGTACTGACAATAACCCCCACCACCTCCGTAAGTACCAAGATTGGCAAAGTGGCAGCTGACTTCGATCCTGCGCTCCCAAGGATGACAGTCGTGAATTGCGAGCTCTGCGTAATGGTTGGGTAGTAAATGAATACTGAGAGTGTATTAGTTGGTGCTATGATTGTGGTTGTAAACGTCGCTGTTCGTATCGCTCCGTATGTAGTTGCGAGTGTTGGAGTTGCCGAGGAGATGGCAGTCATATTGCTCTTTGGAACTGATGCTCCACTAGGAAACGGCGGGTGGTGAATGATAATAATGGGCGGATCCCGCCATGGAGCATCAAGCTTGGGATGGTGTTGGGGAGTTGCTAGGTTCGATATTGGGGTGGGTGAAGGCGGCGATTCGGGATACATATTAAATTTGCCTTCAGTGTTGTTTACCTATAGTGGCAAAATTTTGAGACGCGTTTTATGGACCGAGGTGGCACTACCAACCGTGTTATCGAAAGTGAGATGATGGAATATTTTAGATTCCACGAGATTCCTGGGAATGGAACAGGTCGTATAGGTTTTAGGTATTTTGAATGACACCCAGGAAGGCGTATTGAGCACAAGGGGAAGGCTCCCTAGCAGCCTTTCTTGACCTTGTTATCTTTTAATACACATTGTAGATAATTAAGGTTGTCTTGGAAAAGCTCCGGAGCGTCAAGTATCTCGAATATGGTAGACCATGCGCACCATTAACCACAAGAAGTTACGATCACTGAAGCAAAGGGAGTCACTATTCAAAGGGGCACAAGCTCGAAGGTTGTTAGGCAAAGGTGATTGTTTGGCAAAGCTCTAGTGGCCGCGAACGCATTGTGAGTCCCGTAGTCCTCCGAATTCAATGGTTCTCCTCGGTGTATGCCGCGTCTCCGTCTCCACTGGCGCATACGATGAGGTGGTACTGTGACAAAAAGAAAACGTGAAGTGCGTTGCAAGGTCGTGGAACAGTTCAATGGTGACGTGATTTTGAAAGCAAATAAGCAAGTGTAGCAAGTTTAGCAATGGGGCAAGTGACTCTTGGTAGTTGTCCTGTATTGTTGTTCGTCGGGTCTTGAGATCGGGTGGCGGACCTAGATATCAACAATGTTAGTCTCATCGCTCATATATCGATAGTTTATTGGGGGTCTTCATACATGCTCTTAGCCTTATGCGGGAAGGAAACAGAAAAGTTAGGCAAGAGGGGAAGAGTATTTAGATCGCTGATGCTGCGACTGTCGCGTCAGTATTGGTGACTGTATCAGCCCGCGTCTTGGCTTCGCACCTGGGAATCAACAATGTTAGTGTCGTCGCCCATATATGTATAGTCTATTGGTGATATTCATACGATCGCCTCGCCTGTTGAGTATTGGCATATTAGCATCTTTCTGATAGTATGAGAGATTTTCAGCGGAACACTGACCATTCGCCTCACTAGGAATAGGCCAACCGCAATAAGGAGAGCCGTGGACAAGAAGGAGAAGATGAATAACAGAGCGATAATATCGGGTTGAGTGGCCATTTTGACGGCTGTGACTTTCGATCTTTGGCTAAGTCGCACACGAGTATCGTCGAGTTGAGCTGGAGGTCAACCGGGTAGGCTAAGGGGGGCTGCTGCAGAAATCAGTCCGAAATGGAGTAGGAAGATCAATAGTGATATCGTACACAAGATCTGTATCGAGGGCGGTCAACACAATAGCTTCCGTGTGTCTGCCGTGATGACTGGCAAGAGAGATCGTGGCATAGAATAACGCGCTTGACGAGGAATGGCGAGGTCGGATTCTATATTGAATGGGAGTGTTGATGTTGAACGCGAAGGGAAAAGCGTGGCAGTTCGTCGTTACTGACCAATTTGGCCAGCGGCAGCAAAGTATCCAGTCGGGTTGAGTTCAGTGAATCTCGGGATACAATCGCATATACGAGCTCCCAATGGATCTTTTGAGCAAGTCCATTTAGAATAAAACGGTTCAATCTATCCACAATCTCTCTCAGTGTATGAGATAATGGATGGCCATTAATCTTATCAAGTAAAGTTTCCTCTCCTTGACACTGCTTTGCGAGATATGCTAGAATTGCATTTGCACAGAGGAGTGCCCGGCCGCAAGCAGAGAAGGAAGAAGGTCGGGAATCCCAACCAACATATAAATCCCCACTCTCAATTGTACAGACCAACTCATCCAAAGCCTCGAATGTATAGAAGATCAGGCTAGCTAGCGGGCTTTCAGAATTGCCTTCGGCCTTGCCCTCCGCGGAATCGTTAGAAAGGCGGTAGAAAACCGAGACCCATATTTTGACTTCATGGACCTCGTCAAGCCACAAGTTGGCCTTCTCCTTTGCAAATAAGGCGTCATCCTCGACTAAAGCTGCCCGTATATCTTGTCTCGCATTCAAAACTGGGGCGGCGGGTTTTCGATAGATTAATTTGTGCTGGCGCCCGATCATGTGCTCAACAACCATTTGACCAAACGCGGCTGAGCGGGAGTACATGGCTTCCATAAAATCCACAAGCTCATGGCAGGCTATCCACGGGGCAGAGAGTTTCAGGGTGATGGGAGAAACTGCCACGGCACCAAGTCTCCGTATCTCGTCATCATCGTCGTTAAGTACGCGATATGCTGCCCATAATGATGGGAGAAGACTGTCATCACCAAGCAACTCTTTATGTTCAGGCCGATGATAGAATGAGTGCAGCGCCGCTACCGCGCTATTTCGGATATCGAAGTCCTATAGTATCCAATTTAGAAAGGGGCCTACTCAATTTCAATAGGATTCTTACCATAGTGTCCTCACTGAAATGGTACATGTGTAATCCCCAGTCGCGGACCCATTCCTTCCTTTGTGCAGATTTTCGGCAGGAGAGAAGTGCTGCTGAAATAAAAAACCCAGACACTCTGCACGCTGCAATTTCCAGCTGTGGGTTTGTCGGTCCAAATGTAAGTGCATCTGAAAATAACCCTATGATATCAATGTAGGTGCCGCCAGTATTGAAATCCGAAATGCCAGACAGTGTCGTCTCAAGGCTAGATAGAGCGGCGGAGCGAACGGTGGAAGAGCTTGTACAATGTATAGCGCGAATATATGCTGTAGTTAGGCCGTGCAAATGCTCTTGAGTTTGATGATCTTTCCATGCATATTCTGTAGCTTCTAATGCAGCCAATGCCATGCTATCTTCCGTCGAGGAAGCGTATTCAAGAATCTGCTGCAGCCCGGGAAGGTCATCTTGAATTGCTGTAAGATAAACACCTTGACATGCAAGTGTACAGAGGGCCAAATCCGATGGTCCCTCAGCAATGCAGGTATACGCCGTCAAAAGCTGATGCAGTACCGAGTGGCCATCTGTCAAGAACAGGCCGTCGACCAAACTTCTTAAATTATTATCGCCATGCCAAATCGGTTTTGATTCAATGATGATTTTCAATAGAGTGTTGCCCACTTCGAAGTGCGTCGAGAGGATAATTGGAACTCTAATAAAGGGAACCTCAAGGATACCGTTAGGCGCGAAATGTTGTTGGTAGAGCATAATGATTGTGGGGATATCTACCATTATAGGTCAGCATGTATCACTTGACCAGCACGGGATAGGGCCATTACCATTGGTATAATACTCGTTGAGACCTAGCTGATGGTCGAGCAGGGATTTGACGGCAAGAAGTGCGCCATGTCGCCTATTTGCACTCCTCCCAGACATAGAAATCAGCTCAAGCATCCTATCTGTCCAAGAATGGCCTATGGTGAGGCGGCACAAGGTAGAAGCCGCAAGTTCTCGAACCTGCCATACTTTACTACCCAAGTGGCGTAGCACATTGTCGTAGATGGATTCGAAGTATTCTTCCGGTGGCCCTGCTCTTCGTATCAAGTCCAGCGCTGGGAACAGAAGCTCCAACGACTCTTGGACAGGTGTCATCAATTGCGCATCACTATCGGGGGCCGACTCGAGAAATTCCATCAGATGCCCTACGAGATCTGGGTACTTGGAAAAGTGGATTCGTGTCGCTCTTGAATCCCACCCAACCACATTGTCTTCGCCGCCGATTAGAAAATTTGACAGGCTCTGGAAGAGCAAGAGCCCACAGTTCCTAATCGGCCATCTGCAACATAGTCAGCGCATACTTAAAACGGCTTTGAGCTGGAAGTCGAATCGTATTCTTTGCTTACGAAGTAGATGCGAGTGATTCGGCCGCTAGTTGGATGCATTCGGCAACCTTGTCATCGACTACCAGCTTAGTATTGGCGTTCTTGAATATCTCTTTGAGAGAATTAAGCGCATGGACTTGGGGAAGCCGGCCTAAGTCTGCTGAAGCTCCTCCATTAATGTACATGTACACTGGTATCCGGGCTAGCGCGATTAATGTATCCACCATATCTGCTGAAGGCAATTCTCGAGAGTTGGCCGACATTATGCCAGTCACTAGTGCTGGAATACCAGCAGATCTCCTTGTCGTTGAAGCTTGGTTGTGTATACACTCAAGAGTGCCCTAGATCTGTTAGCGAGGCTAGAAAACTGACCTGGACTGGGCAATATCCTACCTTCCACCAGCTTCTTAGGAGATCTAGTCCTATAGTCTGGTCGTTGGTAAGACTCAATTCGGTTATGGAGCTGGAATTCTGAGCTGAGTTGAATTTGACCTGGCAAGTGATTTCGTCCACCGAAATGGATTCCTTTGTGGGAGGCGGGTTGTTCCCTGATGAAGAGCGTGCAAGCAAGGACGTATGCTGCGTCAGTTGGCAGCAATAAGAGAAGGTCAACGAGACAGTGGAAAATGCGCCACGATGACGAAGTGTAGATAGTTGTTTGAATGCCAGATTCCCAATCTGTGCAAAGGTTTTGTGGGTAGACGTTGCGAGTTGATCTGGCGAATAACGCTTGAGCGTGCTAGCGATGGACCTCATGAGATTGCTTTCAAGACATTAGCTTCCGGTTCCTACTATCAATCTCAAAGCTCCAGCCTTGTTCGACGGCCTGATTTTAACGGCCGTCGTCGCCCAGACCTAGTCAGAAAGTTTCAAAGCGGCTTACCTAGATTCATGGATTGCCCTGAAGCTATAGCTAAGAACATCTTTCGTGTCTATGGCATCAAGGTCGTCCAGTTCCTGTGGTAGATAGCCTTCTGGGGCGTCGTTACATAAGATATCTTTTACAGCTTCCCAAGTGCGAGCACACAAGGCCACTATACGCAATTGGAGTTTAATCCATTGGGTCCAATATCGTAGCCCATCCACCTCTATTCTACTAGACTCTAGGGACGGACCAACAAGATCACAAATGAGGCTGTTCCACAATCAGTACATCCCCAGCATAGAACAGTTAGTTGAACAAAGTGGCTGACTTACTTCAACGTAGCAAAATTTCCATGAATAGGAGCCTCAAAAACCGCCTGTGCGAGACTCTGTTCAGCAATCACCACCTTTGATTCCAGATCATCCACCAATTCCTCTAGCAATTTCATACGAGCCTCAGTTGAAGCCTGGAGCCCATACATCAGCCTATAAGAACGAGCAATTCCGTCTGCGTAGTCCGCACGGCCTGTTCTTTTCAAACCTTCCTGCCCTCGCTTAATAAAGTCCGCGAGGAGTCCTAATGGGCGCGCTTCCACAATTGTGTTCTGACAAACACCATCCCTTACTTTTTGCAAACTGGAATCTTGATTGTTTGATTCTCTCGACAGCGAGCTAGGGGTCGCAGTTTCTTCCAGCGAACAACAGCGCGACTCTGCGGCAAAGTTTATCGGTAAAGAAAGTCTTAATATCTCTGTTGAATTGCTTCTCACCTCCTCAAACGGATCCATAAGAAGATCGAGTAGCAACCGCATGGAGCGTGGCGTGAAGAATTGGACGCTGAAAGGCCATATTGTAGAGTTGGCGGGAATTTGTGTAGACGGAAGCACGGAAGGATCAATTCTAGAATGGAGAAACATATTGATGGCTCTCAAGGCTGTGGTATGCCGCTGATATGATGCAGTTGGAATCAACTCTGCCAACAAAAACTCCAAATACCATTCGATAAATTCCTGATGCTTACGCAGCAAATTTTCAGTGGCATCATGCAGGGCTTGTATCTCCATCAGCTCTGGCTTTTGAGCGTTTCCTTCATTGAGCTTGAATGATGATTGGTCCAGCTCTCTAACGAGGAGAGCAGTTGCCCCTCTCAGTCTCTCCATCAAGCGCTTGCTATTGCTCAAAATTTCATTTCGAAACTTGGCATCCGGATCAGAGTAAAGAAGTGCCATGTGTGATTGTAGTAAATCAAGGACGATTGGACTAAATGGGCGTATGGTAGAGGAAGATGATACTAGAGTAGAGAAAGCAAGTGACCGGACAGTGTCAGAGAGGTTGCTTAAGAGTAACCCCACGGCGTGTTCGTCCATAATGATAGCGGGTGTTGATTTCTTTGAGGCAGTCTTTTGGAATTGGATTGGAGCTACGTTTTTAATTAGCTGTAATTCGAGATGGTCTAGAGGATGACCTACTTGGTTCCTCCACTAAACCGGACTTTTTCCCAACTTCCATGGAAGCTAACTGTAGCATAGCATGGGCGCCTATTTCTTCATCCCGGAGGTTAGATATAGGCTTTTGTTGGTTCAGTTCCTGCAAAAATGCTAATGATCCGGGACGGTCGATCTTGAAAAGCGGGGGCAGAAGATAATTTTTAACATTTTCAAGTATTTGAGGGTCTTTCGAGAGACCGGTTCGTATCCAATATTGCCATAGGCCAGTATGACTTGCAGTGGTACCTTCAGTGCCCGCAGCTGTCGTCCTCAGGGCCTTGAACAGGGTCACCAGAAATCTACCAGCAGCTGGCGAAACGTCTGCAGGGCCTAACCAGTAAAACACTCGGAAGACGAAAGAATCCCAGGATGATTCAGACGGAGATTGTACCCCTACATGAGCAGAGGTGCAGGCTTCATCGGCAGCGAGTAATTCCTCAGGAGAGATAGTACTTTTGCTCAAGAAGCTTTCTAGAGCTTTGAAGGCAGGCTTGACTAATGACTGAGCAGCTTGATGACTAATGATGGTCAAGATTCTTTGCAGAATTAATGCTTTAACATCGTCTGATATCCTTTTCTCGGGATTGCGGGCGATATGTGATGATACGAGCTCTAGAACTTGCCGTAATGAGCGGTTTTGGTTCTTCTCATTCCACTCGATGTAGAAGTTGAACAGCCCGAGACATGTCTCCTTGGAGAAGGCAACTTCTCGAATATATAGAGACGATGAACTTCTGCATAACTCAATGAAATAACAGAGTTTGATACATGCATTGCCCGAAGCATGGCGGGGCCGAGAAGCATCACCAAGTAGTTCTTGTAGTTTGGCTTCAGCAAGACTATCATTGCCAAGTCAACACAAGCCCGTGGTCAAAGAAGGCTCAACTTACTGCTTTTGTGACTGGATAGGCTCTCCTTCAAGCCATTTTAAATATTCACGGTCTCCCAGCGGCGTCTGTCTTGGCTGAGATGAGTTTTGCTCGGTGTTCTTCATTTCTCCCATTATATCAGGACTCATCCTAATTCCTGATCGGCAATATAAGATAATTCCAGCGGATTTAAAACATTCTAGCTATTAAATTAGTCACTCCATCTTCTGCTCTTGAAAAAAGGTTGACGGAGTATGTTTTTGAAAATTCCATATCCATCCGATCAGAGTCTGGCGAATCACGTGAAGTAGTCTTCTCCGATAGGTGGTCCGTGCCTCAGCCTCCTGAAATATTTTTGATCCTGGACATCCGTCAACAGCAACGACAATAACCAAACGACTCCGCGCCCCATTCATCCAACTTCGTGTTCTACTCACTATTTTCCGAAGATGTCGATCTGGGACAAATTCACGGGGCGCAAGTCTTCCTCGTCCACAAATTCATCTACCACTTCCCCGACATCCGACACCACCACCGACTCATTCCAGCCCACTCCTTTCGATCCCCAAGAGGGTCAAGATGTTTCTTCCTTTCTCACAAGCTCTACCTTCGCCGACCCATCACAATTACATCCTTTGGCTGGCTTGAATCAGCAAACATTAGATTATTTGTCGCTGGAGGATTCCACCCTATCCGATCTCCCTGGTTCGCAATCAGCCTTACCGTCCCGAGGATGGTCTGACGACTTGTGTTATGGCACTGGAGTGTCTTATTTGACGGCCTTGACGCTGGGAGGTGCTTGGGGTCTACAAGAAGGATTGAGGAGATCGAATGGGCAGCCCCCAAAACTTCGACTAAACTCAGTCCTTAACGCGGTTACCCGACGCGGACCATTTTTAGGGAACTCGGCGGGTGTTATTGCGATGGTTTACAATGGTTTCAACTCGTTCATTGGCCATATCCGAGGAAAGCATGACTCTGTGAATAGTGTCGTCGCTGGTGCTATAAGCGGAATGATCTTCAAGAGCTCAAGGGGCGTTCGGCCGATGATGATATCCGGAGGAATCGTAGCGTCTGTTGCTGGCGCATGGGCTGTAAGCACATTTCCTGTCATAATCCCCCATATACTAATTAGTGGGTTCCAGGTCGCAAGAAAAGCTGTATTCTAAGCTACTTTTTCCTTCCACCCTCAACCCTAGAACACTCGTCGAAGCGACATTACACTCCCGCCCGCGACATCCATAGATCCTCGAGCAGTACCAACTGCTCATTCCTGTATTACAAGCTTGGATTTTTTTTTCGTTTGATATCATATATCCAACGATGGGTACAGCATGCATAAGCGATACGGATTATCTCTCCTCTGGTCTGGGGCATATTGTACATATAGATGCTTCTACGCGGCTGCGTATTTGGAAGGGCGTGGGGGCGTCTGCTATAGTAAAGCGGATAATGTGCGTACGATAAGAATGCTACGTTAATACATTTCGAGTTGTAGCCTCTATGGAGTTGTGTTGGGTATAGCTCCCAGAGATGTAGGTTAAACTGACCGCGGAACGTTAAATTTAGGGAAGTTTTGTTTACATGTCCCTCGAGGTTGCCGTGTGGATGTACCTCCTTTTTGCCAGTCGGTGAGAAGTAGCTGCAAATATCCACTTCCCATCTCGTTCATTCAAATCTGTTCTTCCCCTTCCAGATATTTCCTACCACAACGTACAAAATGTCTTCTTCGGTGCCACCCACTATAGAAGAGGTGAAGGAATGGTGTATTGAGTGGGCAACAGAGTCGGGACACAAAAGCAGTTTCGCGTTACATCTCCATCCCGAATATCTAACCAACTTATGCATGCTAGACTCTGAGTTGGTCGAAGAGATGGATCTGCAAATGCCAACGGCTATTGGCCTTGATATGGAGACAGCTCTTAATGATACAGTTGAGCGATCGAAGAAAGCCCTTTATCCAGGGGAAATGAGTGAGTCGCTGCTGGAAAACCTGAATCCAGAGGTAATAGAGATGAAGAACAAGGTGGAGAAATTACTAGACGAGGAGCTGGAGTCGTATAACACAGGAGAACTGGGCAAAAATATGAGTTTCCTGGACAAAGTGTGCTCATCCTCATCGCAATTATAAGATATAAGCTAATGTGTGCAGGCTGGCGCTATTGCACGAGAACGCGCAATAACCCGCTTCATGGGCGCATCGCCGTCTAGAGCCAAAGAACATAAACATGACAAATTCCAAGTTTGTCTCAAAAGACTTATTGGTGGCCACGGCGGCAGTTGTAGTACAGAGGACTTGGCATTTGGATATAACGCTCCCTTTGACGAGTTTCTTAGAGTTCTCCAAGAAGCAACGGTATTGTGCACGATTCCCCCAGTCGACTTCACCCTAGAGCCTGTCGAGATCCAGGAATCTACGCAACCTACTTCACACTATCCCAGCTTCCGAGATATCAATCCACTACCCAAAAGCAGATTCAGAACCCTTGGTGCTGCAGGGTCATCTAACCCAGATCAGCTATCTTCCGACACAGACGCACTATCTCCTAAAGCAGATGATGGATTGCCGGAGGTAGAGCAGGAATATAATGGGGCCATCAACCACACATGTCAGAGGCGTAGAACACGAAGCCAGCGGGGCTATACCTTAGACGATGGGCCGTGGATCCATCGCATCATCAACAAACCCCAGGCTGGCCAGTCTAGCCAACAAAACCCTCCTCGGGAGTTTCCCAAATCCGATATCAAGGATGATAAGGATTATTCGAAGATGTTAGAAACTCTCAAAGAAGCGAACAAGCAGGAGGGAGAAGAATATATTCTTAGCATCATGCATGTGAGTATTCTCCTCTCTAATCATCTTAGCTCCAAGTTCAAGATATACATGTTAATTCTAAATAGTCCCAAGAATATGATATTCAAACTAAATGGCAGAATAAGGAAAAGCAAGAAGAGCTTGAAGACCAATTGGAGAGGGAGAAGTGGCGAGAAGAGAATGGCATAGAAGAAGGAGATGATGATGATTTGGGAGAGCCATGGATGCGCTGGTGGATCAGGACTACGGGGTGTGGGGGATCCCTTTGAGTGGCGACTGGTACCAACTGACGATTTCAGCGTCTGTGTGTTAATATGGAAATGTATAATTTTGTTCGTAAGTGGCTTTATTCTCAAGTAAGAGTAAATATCCATACTCTGAAAGCACTGCGTATTTCTACACGAGATTTTGAATTATTAGATTCTGTGTGTGCTTCCCTCATCAAGTGCGCAGATTATAGTCAAGATATTCACTTGTTCCTTCCCCAACTCAACTTCGCCTTCCTCATACGGTTTAACTGTCCTGCGGAACACAATATCCTCCAAATGAATCATAGCCACTGCACATCTTGAAGAACAACTTGCAAAACCTCATCCTAATAACCTTCTAAACCACAGCTATAATCTCTCAGATCCACAACCGCACAGCAAGGAGTACCAAAGCAAACCAACCAACAACATCAGACACAATGTGTTGTTGGCCGTGGACTGAGATCTACTTGGAAGATGAGCCAAAGAAGGAGTCGAAAGACAAGAAGAAGGAAGACAAGGGCGCTCTTTATTATGATCCTGTAAGCAGAACCACAGTACGTCTAACTGGAGTTCCACACGTGAGTGCAAATTGATACCTAAGCTGGCATTTTTTATCGCACGCGTTCCTTCCCGTTTTGCTTCCAAGAGGAAGTTTGAAATTCACTTCACCGTCTCGTCCTGCCAACGCTAAGGTGAAGGACGATATCTACTTCCCCCATCCCTTAACCTCTACTCCTCTCAACACCCAATTCGCAACTCGTTTACTTCATCACCTCATTGCTCACCACCACCGCTCAAGGAGTCACGGAATACCGTTGATTCTGTTGAGCTGAATTACTGTATCCTCTGAGATAACGTCGACCTGTCAACTCACTTCTTCCACCATGACCGAGCAAAACATTCAGCCACAAGTTCGTGACACTGCCGCTGGCGCACTTCAGCACACCTACATCCCCAGAGCCGATGGTACAGTCCTAATTGGCAACGTGGTCTACGTTCCAGTTGCGCAGGGTCTACATGTATTGCCCCAACGATCGATACCCAAACTCATACATTTCTCCATCCTTCAAACTCTCAGCATTTTAGTCAAGCAAGCGCTCTATCTTTGATGAGACTTGTCTCCCCAAACCATCCCCTCAGCGCTTGACACCCCGGATTGCTGCTAATATCTTGCCTTTAGGCCTCCCAGCAACCCATGATCTACCCAGCTCCCTTCATGCCACACCCTCAGCCAGCCTACCAGCCATACATGATGCCGTCCCAGTCTTATACCCCTACTCCCGGCCTTCAGCCCTTCACCAACCAACAACCAGCTTTCGGCTACTTTGGCTATACTGGCAGCGAAATGCTTGCACAGCACCTTGCTACCGCCCAGGGCCTCGGAATGAACAAAAAGCAGGATATGAAGCCGGCTGACGACGATCCTCACCGGTTTTATTGGGTGCGGGAGTTCGATAACACTTGGTCGCAGAGAAGTCGTATGACGATCGATAGCGGTGATATTGGCGAGTGTAGGTGGTATGCGAAGGATGGAGAGTTCTATGCAGTTAGACTACAATCTTAAGTGCGAGAGGTGTGAGTATTTCTTCTCCTTATTCCCCGGTACTCAGTGGCGAATAGTTCCTAACATTTCTGCAGAGCCATCTTCCATCAGGACAATCCTCTAAAATATGGTTCATCTCAAACCCCGCTCACTCCTTTTCTACTCTAGAATTGGGGACGGATATGTCTGATAACAGCACTTGGAAGTTTTGCCAAACGGAGCTACCCTTATTTCTGGTCGCCACAATGGCTTGCATTTGAAGATGCTATGGTCTGCTTTGAGTTGTGCACTTGCCACGCTCGGTTATGAGAGGAAAGCTTATGCAGGTAAATCAGCTATAGCAATGCTAATACACCTTGAAAATCTTTGTTTAACTTGGTGATATAAATCTCACAGCATATTGAACATTTCTAACGTATCTGCAAACAAGAGAATAATTTTAACACACACAACAGGTTTGAAAAAGTAGCCTTCCTAACTTATTATACTGAGCAACTATGGGCTAGGACCAACTCAAGTCAACACCAAAACACTGACCTCAAGTCTCCTCATCCCCCTCTTAACCAACTTCCCATCGTCCACCCTCCATCCCATCTCGCCATACAACACCTTCACAGAACTCACATTCATATCCCTAGGCATCGAAACGCTCACCGTAGTCTCAGAGTCCTCGTGCTTCCCATTCGCGACACCAACCAAAACCCTCTCTCCAACAACCCACGCACTAGCATCTGCCATCTCCTGCCCACCACCCTCGACATTCAATCCCTTGATCGGATCCGCCCCCAACAAAAAGCCAATCGCTAGCTCCTCCTGGAACACCTTCCCCAAAGCTCCACTACCCACATTGACCTCATTCGTACTTGGATATTCCCAATAACTAATCCCCTTCGCCCCGTGATTAACGGATAACATCATCATATTCTCAACTTCCTTCGCGGTTGGAATAGCTTTCCAGTAATCCTGTTCACCAAAAGCTTGGAGGACTGACCATGTTGGTTTCTTTCCGCCATGGCCACCACTGCTGGACGGGATATTTTCCTGGTACTTCTGGAAATCATCTAACCGCGATGAAACATCCGTAAGTTCACCAACGCAGTTATCGCATCCACAATCGCCGTACGTGGTGTTACAGGGAGTGTTCCATTTTATGGAATACGTGGCATTTATTGCTACGGGATAGGCGTCTTGGAAGATTATATCTGCGCCTGAGGCGTACGATGCGTAGTAGTAGTTTTGGCAGTTTAGAACTAGGGATACCGGGTGGTATGGATCGAGCGTCCGAAGTTGTGTGTATGCGATTGAGGTAGAGTTCAGGGGGTAGGACCAGCCATCGGGTTCGTTGGCTGTGTACCACTAGTTGTGAAACAGATGTTAGCAAGATTCCCGAATGTTTGCTTCAGAGGAGAGAAGATGATAACATTATGGTTCTTGGGTGCTTTTAATTTTGAGGGACATTGATGGAGCGGTATGAAGTTTTTTCAGGACTGTAGAAATGAATTTTATAAAACCAAATTATCATTACCATTAAAAGTGTAGTGCGGTTCTTCCAGCGGGCGACTTCTTCTTCAACTCTGGTTGCATTTTGGAAGGTAAATCGCATGTCATATATGTTGAAGAGGTTAATGTCGTCCATATGATCCCAGTATGTAGCCAATTCGGCTGTAGGATATGACTGGTCCGGACGCCCACCATCCGGTACTATATTGATGGAGTTGAACCCTTGGGCGGCGTAAGTATCCAGATTGGTAAAGCTAATGTTAGAAGGCGTTACGTAGCCACCATCTGCATAGTACCCATTGGGGAAGATGGCGTACCAGCCTTTCCACTTGTTGAATGCATTTTGAACGTAAAGTCCCCCATAGACATTGTCGATTTTCACCGCACTACCGTAAGACCGGGAGGGGAGGACATAAATTTGGGTGGTGCCGGTGTAGTTTTGTTGGCCGCTGCTAACAGTCCCTTTGATGGATATGGGATACGGCTCAAAACGAGGAGAAAACGAGGACAGGCTAAAATTGAAGAGGTTCCTGGCCGAGTTCACATGAACTGAGCTAGACACAAGAAGCGCTCCGTCCTCCCCATTATGGATTTCAAAGTCCAATGTGGCAGACTGGGTGGTTTCACCATCAGACGATGAGTTACCCCCAGCCACATTGCTGAAGGGTTGGCCAAAGAGATGGGATATTACCGCATCAACAATAAAATCGCCAGATCCATCGCTTTCGAGGAAGATACTGTATCGTGGCTGAATAGTGACGGATAGCAATGGGCCCTTTTGTGGCGTGGGAAATTGAAATTGGCCTCCGGGATCAAGAGATTGAGTCCTGTTAATGTCTATTAGATTCTAAGCAGAACTGAAAAGGGAGCATGAATGGGAGATTTACGTGTCCATGTATGGCTTCCCACACCATGTAGGCACATCTAGCAGGGCATTAAATGCATTGACAGTATTGATTATTAGGAAAGCCGTAATGACTCTGTGGAAGGCGTGGATATTGGCCATTCCGATACTCAGGATAGATACGAGCATCTGTTCGACTTTAAGAGTCCAGTACAATTAATTGTGCTTGTACAATATCTAAATGCTAGGTACCAGATTCCACCATAGAAATCTTAGCAGAGAATGAGAATTGGAAGAGAAGATATGAAAAACCCCACGCGTAACGTTACGGAGAGCAGCTTCAATGAGTGGCACGTGGTCTCGCCGAAACGCTACATTCCATGTTTACCAATTTGGCAGGAGGTTGGTTTGACAGCACAAACCATGTATACAAGACTGGTGCCACATAGCAGCATTTCATAGTACTATACTCATATTCTCGGTGATAGGGAACCGTACACTGTCTCCCCTCCCATACTCAGGCCACGTATCTCGCAACTGAGATCAGCTACGAACAACTGACATGCCTAGGAAGAAGGCGGATAAAGCCGTCGAGAGAATACAAGGTCAGAATAATAGAGACAAGATATTCAGTTTGAATAATAGAGGAAATCATAAAATATTATAGCAATGTGATTTGTTTTGTGTTGTGGTAGAAATGATCTTCTCGGGGTTGAGGTCCCTCCCTGTATTTCCCCGCACGGGCCGCCCCTTCCATCCCCTCCCGTTTGCGCGCGACTCGAAACCTTCAACCTTAACTTTAACTTTAACTTCAACATTAACATCAACCTTGAACTACTACTAGATATAATTATCTCAATCCGGCGAAGGAAGTGTTCTCCAGATGTGTCATATCCGTGCTAACCATCGAGAAGGAAACATGATATCAACGCATTCCATCTGAGCCTTACATGTTTCCTAAGAGTGTTTCTCTCCATTTCCTTCATCTTGGGCGACAAAATATATCCTCGCGTCGTCCTCTGAGGTCCCTGCAAGTGCAAAGAAAACCAGGCCAAGTGGCGAATCCCAAAGTTCTTTGGATTCTTTGTACCTGGTTATACGAGAGTGCCTTTAATTCGAGGTGAAGAAGTCTCATCGTCCGCATCGACCTGACCAGGGTTGCTTCGTATCCACGTCATTCTCACAGCGCCAAGTAATTGTTAGGCCCTTGTTATTATAAGAACTGTCAATCGACTCGAGTGGATAGTCTCATTCGAAGGAGGTGGTCTGACCAGAGCAAGTGCTTTTATTGTAGCATGAAAAGCCACACTACGAAGAACATGGATGGGACCGGCAACAACAACAAACCAATTACCGTGGATTGTGCATAGATCGAATGCAGGGCCCTAAGAGACCGATGCTTGATTTGTCTTTCAGCGCCTGTTGCATGTCTTTTTCGGGTGCTATTTCACGATACCGAAGTCTACAATCGGTTATTCGGGGGTCTTGCACAGCCCTTCTCGTATGAGTAAGACGGCCCTAGAATAATGCGCTGCTGTCGTATTGCCCAATGCCAACACTGCCATTATCATCATTGGGTACGTCAAATAAAGTCGAGGCCGCGTATCACCGTGACGTTGGCAGAGACATCCCAGTGTTCATATTCGTTTTCAACTGAGTATTCACATCCAGCTGAGATGGATTCTGAGTAGTATTTGCGCCTTCGAATGGAACGCAGCGCAATGCAAGAGAAAACGGCCGTTATTATCCCCGTATTATCCAACTGAGTAATCTGCATCCATAGTTTCGAATTCAGTAGTGCTACATTGCTTTGTTAAGTCTATTATTATATCCTCTTTCCTACCATGCATTATCTCTCTCTTGTTGCAATTAACTCATATTTTGATGATTTTTATTAATGTTCACTTATAACACTACTTAACCCCTATATTTTCTCCCTACAAGCCGGAGTCACAGTCTACCTAGTGGTTAGTAATGAGAATGAGGGCCCGACGACGCGGCCCTTTGCTATTTATTGTATCTGTGTGCTTAGTTATTGGAGCTCTTCTTTATCGGTCCAGATTTTTATTTGGGCTCCTACTCCAAGATGGAGCTCGCGATTCAATACCAACAGGCATTACCCACCCTCCATATGACGAATTCAACAACACCTTATACCACATCCCAAAAATAATACACCAAACATACATCGACGAGAATATCCCTTCACATTGGCGAGAACCTAAACAAGCTACACAAGATCTTCATCCAGAATGGGAATACATGGTCAGCTCTCCTCCCTCTCACAATGCCGTACTCAACCTATCCCTACATTTAATTCTGATTTCATTCAAATCACAGTTCTGGACCGACGCTTCAGCAGACTCCTTCATCCTCACTCACTATCCATGGTTCCACCCAACCTACGCCTCCTACAACTACCCAATCCAGCGCGCCGACGTACTCCGTTATTTCCTCCTCTATCACTACGGCGGCATCTACCTAGACCTCGATCTAAAACCCTCACGTCCACTCACCCCACTCCTTCAATACCCCGCATTCGCATGTCGTACCGCACCCACGGGGATATCAAACGACATCCTAGGCTCCAGACCAGGCCACCCGTTTTTTAAACTGGCTATCAATAGCTTGCAGACGTATGATAGGAACTGGCTTGTGCCGTATGTAACAGTGATGTATACCACCGGACCATTATTTTTAAGTGCACTATGGATCCAGTATTTAAAAACTTCACCAGCACAGGAGGATGCGAATCGGATAAGGCTTCTCTTCCCTGATAACACGGGGGGAGGTGATAGCTACGGCTTCCTCCGCAATGTGAAAGGAAGTAGCTGGCATCGACAAGATGCGGAGGTTATTTTTTGGATGGGAAGGCATTGGGTTTTTGTTACTGTTTGTGGGTTTGTCATTGGGTTTGCTGTTACTGGCTTGATGTGGTTTGTGGCTAAGAAGGTGGCTGGGCTGCGAGGAGATAAGCGGGGTGAGAAGGGAAGGAGTGGTGAGTGGAGGTTATGAATTGGGTAAATATTTGGATATGGCCTAGCCTAGGGATGCTGAAGATATTTTGGCATCGCTAGCGCTGTTTCTCTTGAGACACTAGATGGGTTATAGATATGAGCTAATGTATGTGACAATGAATGATAAATGTTTTGCTTTCCACGGCAGAGCGACGGTATCCGGAAGCTTGGTAAAAGAAGTAATTTTAGCTCTGATCGTCAGCAGAGACACAGTTTCTGTAATATTTTTAGAGCCCATCCACCACACGATTAGGCGAGCAGCTCACTGCCACAATCATAAGCAGCAAGAGGGATAAACTAAATAAACGCCTCCCCATTATCAACCGTAATCATTGACATGCAAAATAACACCATCCGTGAGATTCCATTTCGTACACTCATACAGGGCATATATAATATCCCGACATGGAACCTAAAATTGCGGGTATATGGGCGGCGGGTACTCAAAACTAAACTGGTCCATACTACCGTAGGGATAAGGATCTATTCTTTGTCAGCAAGCACGCTCGATGCGCCGGGAGAAGAAGAAGGGAATAAAGAAAAGCCTTACCCCAAAAGATCGAGTCGAATAAGTCCATCGGCGACATATTCATGGTCTGCTGCTCGGATGTTTGGGGGGAAGGCGCTCCTCCTAAGGGCGTCATTCGTTGTTGAGGATAATCCAATCTAGGTTGCATTCAAATATCAGTAACTGACCTCTCACGTAGCTGAATTGCTGATAGTCAAGAAAAATACTTACGGAGGAATCAATCCATTTTGCATCGAAGCCATGGCAATAGCAGCATTCTGTTGCTGCTCAAACTGCGCTTGGTCTTGTGTCTGTGGTGTCTGGGCTCCCGACCGGTCGCCATTCAGAGGTGCCTTCCCCTCAACGACCCAACCATGGTCGTATATATTTTGCAATGCTGCGAGGGCGCGTGATAGAGGCCCACTTAGCTCAATATCCTTTTCGGATTGCGGGAGATGGGCTGTTTGATCTTTCCCAGCTGTCGCTGATAATGCGGATATTAAATTCCCTTGGAGCTGCCTCACCTCTGGATCGGTCTTAGTCTCGCCAAGGATTCCAAGGAGAACGGCTGATGATAAGCCGTGATAGGTAAACGCCCATGAACGCGTTGGAATAACGCTCAGCGAATGCATTTTGAGGTACATGCGTACAGTCTCAGCGAGATTTTGCTTGCATTTCTCTGCCAACAAAGTCTTTTGCGCTACATCCATTCCGATGCTTTCTCCGCGGCGAAGGGCGGGCCGGCACAACACCGACACTACGAAGGAGGTGTGCAGGCGAATGGCATAGTATTGCAACCAATCTTGGACGGTCTTGCAATATTCTTTTTGCCTCAGCCGTGGGCAGACCTGTTGACGGATGTTTTCGACATCATGAGAATTATTGATAATTTGTTCGAAGTCAGGCTGAGAGCTACTGTCGTTGTTCACATATTGAAGTATCTTTTGGCAGAGATGGTACATCGCCTCGGTATAGGACCAGCCCTCGGTCAACGCATTGGGCCCAAGCGGCAGCTGACAGCGTGTCATGACTGCGATAGGGAAGCGGTCAAATGATAGGGAAAGCAGGCTATCTTGCCAGACAATGGTCCACCTTGTACCTGTTAGTAGGATGTCGGAACAAATATGAAGGGATCTCTCACCAGAGCTTCCTCCTTGGCAAGTCATTAGCTGTTGGCTGCGTTATACGCGCAGACTCATGCGGCCCGCGATGTAATCCCAGTGCTTGGGCAAGTCTACAAGTGAAACCTATTAGAGCCCAGGAGGCTTCCGCTTTCATGTCATTTGCTAGAACAAATCCAAGGATTAAAAGGGCCTGAAGGGATTCCAATGATGGTCGTATTAAAAAGTTTGAGAGCCTTAAGCAATGGAAAGATGTTTGGACTACCGGTAGAGTATTAGAGATGGCCACAGAACGAAGACCGTACACTTACCGTAGGTTTGAGACACCGCTACCCGTTTGCGGTAGGGCATCTCTGTGTAGTTGGTTGCAACTGCGAGGACAGCAAATAGCATCCCAAGCCAGGCAGACGACACCCCTTTGCCGCCATCTGCAGGGTGCTTGGGAGATGCGCCTCGGCTTTCAAGATAGAGGCAGAGTTTGGACTCAAAATCTTCCACGTCTATGAGCAACCCCCAAAAGGGTTGAACGATCTCTTTATAGACTTGGAAAGTTCTAATAGTACGCCAGTCTCAGCAACAGCTTAACCTAGGCTTAACCCATGAGGGCGCAACTTACTTGAGGACATCTCGATCGGAAGGCAAAGCAGCAGCTATATCCAACCGAATCTTATCCATATGTTCTTTAGACATGAAGGGATATGGCGCAGTTGATATTTGCAGCCCTAGAATGGGCATAATGTCCTGCCTAATGACGTCTTGACCACCATCTCCTGCTTGTTGTCCGACCCTCGTCTCTTCACTCAAAAAAGCAGCAATACTATTCTGGCCCAGATATCGCGACTCGTCAGGTTCTTCCTCGTCTAAAACAACATTAGTTTCGGTTCTTGCGTGGATATTTGGAGACTCGTGCTGGTGCAGGAATGGGGATGTTGTTTGTTTCTGGTCACATGGGACGGCAGCTCAGAGACACTTTATACCTCGCAGAAATCCCAAGTTTTCGCCGACCGACTGAGTTTGATATCGTGACCCAGTGCCCATTCCAAAAAACTTGAATTAGAACCGGCTTACCATTCGTTCTCGGCCAACGGTCGTCTTCCTTTCTCAAGGACGAATCGCTCCCGGCGGATCGCCGACGTTTGACACCCTCAGCTAATCGGCCGTCGGATTTTGCCACATTTTGACTTTGCTTGGGGTTATATGAACAAAGATTGATGTGCTCTCTCTTCACACAGTTTTCACACGGATGCTCATTATTGCATTTAACCTTGCGCTGGCGACACGGCCAGCATGCGGTACCTAGATCCTGACTCAGCTTTTTCTCCCCAGAGGTTGAACGAACAGCAAACAAGAGGGCAGCACAAGGAAGGAAGCTGGGAAGGAAGCTGGGCAAAGAGCCGCAAGTGGGCCGAACGCGACCGAGGAAGATAAGGACCGCCGAGCTACGAGCTAAGTTGTGGGGAGATGTCGAATAACATACCATAGCGCACCTTTCGATGCGAGTGGATAATACGCTGCGCCTCGTCGACCGAGATCTGGGGCGACACCGGGTCAGCACTGGCGCCGCTCATGCTCATTGTGCGGTTGATAGCAAACACGGAGCAATTAAGACTCGGGTGGTTGATGGTGAGTGACGGGAGAAGAATCGGGATCTTCGGGTTTCGGTATTTTCATCGTTGTTGTTGTCGTGTGAAACAGCGGACAATATTGGCCAAAATTGGCAACGCCTTGTTTATGTGGTTGGGGTTAATAAGGCAGGTGCGTGGCGCGGGGGCGGTCACGTGGAGTGCGGGCACATGCTCCACCTGGGTGCGGTGCGGAAGGAATTGCCAAGTTAAGTCAAAATCAACAACAGCGTTTGTTCGTAGTAGAAATAGACTCCTATTGGATACCTACCTATATAAGATTTAATAAAGTTAATACTTCTGTAGACACCAACTCATAGCGGAGGCCACAATCTGCTGTATATTATAATGCGCAGACGTTTCCAAAATGGCCTGATAAGGGCGAATTGCTCTACTGCAATTTGACATAGTAGGGCGCAACCTACTGGGTCTAGAATTGAGGTTGGGGTTGAGATACCGGTGCTTACTAGTAGGAACTTTATCACTAAGTAGTAAGGGCGCTTTTAGTCGTTTTGACAGGTCCCTGTGCTTGAACATTGACTTTACACTCCTGCACATTGAAGTGGGATATTTTCGAGGCGTGTTGTTCTGCTGTTCCCTAGTCTTTCCTCCATTTGCATCGAAATAATGTGAGCTAACAAGACCTTCAAGAGCTGGACTACACTACTTTAGAGCCCGTCCGGTGTCCCAGATCCCCTTGAACCTGCGCAGAGTTCTTTCTCTTATTGACAACGTGTCGGTCGTTTATCCCAGCAGAAACCAGGTGATATGCGAAAAGTACAACCCACACAACTAGAAACATCAAAGCTGTCCCAGCTGCCACGAACAACGAGACTATTGAGAAGCTGTAAGATGCATCTTCAAAAGCTGCGCCACCTCTTGCAACAGCTACGACCACCTGCATCGCAGACAGCGCCACAGACATAAAAGCAAATATTGCCAGTAACCAGGCAAAGTTACGAGCGAAGAAGTCCTGATACCATGTCGGTGCTGTTATATACCCTCGAATCAAGCCTCGTCGGGTAAAGCCTATTATACGATAGATCTTGTTCAATCGAGAAAGCCGTAGTTCGCCATATTGAAATCTAGGTGAGATGCCACCGAGAGACTGCAAATCAATGTGTTGAAGGAAGTCGTCGACAAACTCTGTCCAGGTTTCCCAGTCAATAATGTGTGGTAGTAGTCCCTGCTCATGTGCGATTCGAAGGTCGCTCTGATGTCTGACAAGCCATGCATATGACAGGACGAAGCCGCAGGCAGCTTCATGTAGCTGCTTCTGACTGCATAACTTTTCGGCCCAGCAGTCGATATCAAACAAGAAAGACGGAAATGGTTTGATAAAAATGCGAGTTTCGTGCCAAACAAGGTGCTCGTTAGGGTCTTCGGTGAGAAGAATCTCGCGACCCAAGAGCTGCTGTCGATGCAAAGCTCTTGCACAACTAGGAACGCCAGCTAGCCACAAATAAGGCTTGATCCCATCAAGGCGCTCAGTCCGTAGCTCTGTTGTATAATATGCGTCTGGGTTATCTTTCGTTCTCGCAAGTGTGCTCCCATCACGAACAGCTACAGGCGGTATATATCGAATTGAGGCTCTCGGTGATCCAGTTGGCAAGGCAGATGCGACGTCATTGCCAGCTGTCAATGTGGTCTTCTGTAGTAGGGTAGGGAAAATGAGTCGAGAAAAAGGTGGTTCTAGCATCTGCGAAGGTTAATTTCCCGCGTTAAATAAGGTGGGAGGTATCCACTACTTACACTAGCTGTCGACGAACTCGTAGATCTCGCCGCGGTGTTCTTGTAGTGAGGGGAGGCGATCCGCCAATATTTAGTCCGTGCGTAAGAAGTACCCAGGTATCTACATCGATATATTATCGGCGATGTTCTCTCAGCCTTACCAAAATCAGTTATCTGCGACCGCGAGACCTTTTTATAGCAGATTTCGATGTGGTTAATAGACCGTTAATTGCTTAATTGTATAAAAGTTCGAAAAAACTACCTAGGGAGGGAAGTACTGTACACTTGGTATAATTTGGCCCTCTCCTCACAGCAGAATAGGAGGCCACATCTTCTGCAACGCCATTTAATTCTGTTCTACAGAGGCCGATGCACGGCAGATAACCTACAGTCTCCTGAAAAGATATGAAAAGGAGTAACCCTATATAGAGATTATATACACATCTATTCTTAGTCTAAGCCCTTTAGGGGCGGCCTCGCTATTATACTAAGAACTATGCCCCCTATTTAAAACGCATTCTGATTAATGATATTATATCAATCTTCTAATTATTATACTGTATTTAAATATGAGGACCATCCTCTGCTATATGAGAAGAAGTAAGAATGAAGTAGGTTATAATCATATAAAGATACCATTTAACTTCAAACTCAGCCATCTATCACCTTATATTGATGGTCCTTCGCATGTATTCGATCTGCATCTATAATACACCGAAAGCAAAGATGGAAGAATGGGCAAGCTTCACAAGTATAAAGATTACCGTATATTCTCTAAATATCATAAATTAGCTGACATATATGCTTAGTGGGGGTATCACTCACATGATAACAAGAGCTACAGTCCCAATTTTGACGTTTACCAGGTTTGCTAATCAGCTGCTTCAGCTCTCCCTGCTTCACTTCATCTTGGAAAACCGAGATTAATGAGCCATTTCTACAAAACGTAGCAACATCAAGCGGTGTCCAACCTTTATTATCTCTGCTGTTCGAATCCGCTCCAGACTCTCTCAGGATTTGGACTGTTTCATGACTGCCATTTCGACAAGCCCAATGAAGTGCCGTCCATCCGTACGTATCCGCAAGATTGATATTGATATTTGACTGCAGAATAAGCTGAAGGGTCCGATCTGATGCGCCTGATGCAGCAATGTGAAGAGTGGAGCAGCCTTGCAAGTCTTGATAACTCCAATCTGGTGTTTCCGTCTTAGTTAAGATAAGATCTATGACTTGGTGACAATTTCCTCTGACAGCAAGCTGAAGTGTGTTTCGGCCTTGATTGTCTTGACAGGTGAGATTAGCTCCGTGGTCGAGGAGTAGCTTAGTAATAGACTCTTTTCCCCCATATCCTATTGCTGCTTGAAGGGCATTCCCGTATTTTCCACCTTGAGCGTTCACATTAGCTCCGTGGTCGAGGAGCAGCTTAACAACGGACTCGTTTCCCCTATATGCTGCTGCTGCTTGAAGGGCATTCCCGAATTCTCCACCTTGAGCGTTCACATTAGCTCCATGGTCGAGGAGCAGCTTAACAACGGACTCGTTTCCCTCATATGCTGCTGCTTGAAGGGC